CGCCATTAAGTATTGCTACTTACGAGGGGAACACTGCAGTAATCCAACTGCTTCTTAATAATAATGCCAACATCGAGACAAAAGACATTGCCGGTGATACGCCATTAAGTATTGCTGCTTACAGGGGGCACACTGCAGCAATCCAATTGTTTCTCGATAATAATGCCAACATCGAGACAAAAGACATTGACGGTAAAACGCCATTAGGAAATGCCGCTCACTGGGGGCACACTGCAGTAATCCAACTGCTTCTCGATAATAATGCCAACATCGAGACAAAAGATAAGGACGGTGATACACCATTAGGTATTGCTGCTTATTATGGGCAAACTGCAGCAATCCAACTGCTTCTCGATTATAATGCTGATATTAATGCTAAGAGCAACGACAAGTTCACTCCATTGTGGATAGCCGTTGATTTCGGCAATAGTTCGGGAACCAGAGTACTTCTCGAGCATGGAGCCGATACAGATCTTCCATATAAAGATACATTGATGCATTTAGCAGTCCAAAAGAAGAAATTTGAGACAGTTCTCGTTTTACTTGAATTCGAAGATGTTCAAGTTGACAAAAAAGATAGTGTCGGTCGCACGCCATTGTCATACGCGGTGGAAAAAGGGGGGAAATCTATTGTGAAAGCACTACTAGACTCTGGGAAGGTAGATGTCAACAGAAAAGACAAAAAAGGCCGAACGCCTCTATCTTATTGCACCTCAAGCAATGTGGCAACTCTTCTACTCAACACGCACAAGGTTGATGTCAATTCGAAAGATAATCAGGGCAGAAAACCGGTTTGGTACGCTACTAAAACTAAGAATCAGAAGCTGATTGAGCTGCTACGACAACACGGTGCAAGGAAAGTTTGAAAGGAAAAGAAAGCTCGAGAGTAAAGGATACCTCGAAGACAGAGGATAGTGCGAAGGCAGAGGATAGCGCGAAGGCAGAGGATAGTTCAAAAGCAAAGAGCAAACGCCGAAAGGCCTAAAACAAACAGTCAAGATAGACGGGAATAGAATGTTGAGAAATATTATAATCGTGTAATGCAAGATGACAAAAGATTAAAGGAGAACTGACAGCCCATTGCCCATCGATACAAGGTATTGAATAGCCTGCTGTGGCATTATAAAGATAATGCTATATCGAGGGCAATCATACATTGAGAATGGAGATGACTCTTTTACGTTGGCTCGCTTTCTTTCTCCATCTATTGATTTACTTTCTTGTTCTGTCGTTTTTAATCCCATTGATCTCTTCGTTGGTGGAGGTATACGGTTTGCTACATAGCTAGCAGCAAACGAGAACACCCCTACAGCCAACAACGAGAAAGGCCACTTCCTTGTATAGAGTTTTAAGATTTTTCTCCTCTTGACTTCCCTTTATTATTCACTTTTCCGATACTAAGTCTCCGATTGAATTATTTCCACTTGGCATTATGACATTATGTTTGTCTTTACTCCTCCGGCGGCACCCTCGTCCGTATCTGCACCCCATGCCACTCCTTCACAAGATCCCCCAAAGCCGCATTCACCATCCTCTGCTGCTTCAACATATTCAACCCCTTGAACACCGGCGAAGTAATATCAATAGCATACATGCTCCCACAACCACCTGATATATCCTGCACAAGCAGCGACGTCGGGTTCAGCTTCTCCGCTAGAATCGCCGCGATCGAGGCTTCGGCGGGTGACATGTCCGCCTCTTGCTCTTCCAGCTGCTCATTGGAAGAGGGCGAGGAGTATTTCCGGAGAGGAGTCATGGAGAATTGGCGGGATGTCGTTGAGGAGAGATGGCGAGTGCGCTGGGGAGAGAGTTTGTTGGTGATGGTGGGCTTGAAAGTGTTTGCGATAGGCGCAATTGCCGTGCGAGAAGGGCGTGAGGCTGTTGCGAGGAGGCGCAGACGTAGCGCGGAGCGGCAGGAGGAGCAGATCATGATTGCGATTTGGCAATTCGAGTTTGTCTGTCTGAAGATGATGTTGAGTAGAGAGATGAAAGATCGATCCAATGCTGTTGGGAGAATTATTCAGCGGGAATTGAATGGAGCTTGCCGGAAGCTGTAGCGTGCGATGGGCCGAGCCGGGGCTTTGCCGATGGCCGGCTATTGCCCGCATCCAAATTGCCGAATTGAGCAAGTGACCGGATGAGGAGCTGGAGTAAGTCAAGTTATAAGCTTAATCACCAGCTCGGTATACTGTTTGTCAAGTTGTCTTAATGTATTTTTAGAATATCAATCAATCATGAGTATTAATTATTAGAGCGTGTTGCTTAACGCTGTGCTATGCCAACTCCAGCCATCCCATTCCGCTCATGTCCGAAATAAACACGCTCCTAGAAACACACATTACAATATAGTACACCACAAGTAAACCACTTACACCATCAAAATCACCTCACAATCCACATTCCTCCATTCCCATACACCTTATCCTGCATCACACCAACCTCAGATCTCACCCCAACCCAATGCATCGGTATCTTATCCACCTGCGACACCACCCTCCCCGTCGTATCATCCAGCCTCTCTCCAAGACTTCGGCTGCTCTTCACACTCTTCATCATCGCCACCGTATCGTGCGGGCCCCAAGCCACGCGACCTAGACTAGCAAGAGTGTTCATAATGTCTTGAGAGTGCTCCCCTGCGAGATGCTCTGGCGGGGTATGGGGGTTGGCAGCTGGGTGGAGGAAACCCATGAGCAAGACTTTGACTTTGGCATCGACGAAATGCATGTCTTCAAAGTCGTGGATGATGTGTACCATGACGTTGTTCTTCATGGCGACAGAAGGAGGTGCGTGTCGAGACGGCGCTATGGTAACGACAGCTTCGAGCCAATCGGTGGGCAGCATGTCATTTAATCCTCCGCTTGCATCGTCGTTGCTGTTCTTGGGGGGTTGTATGCAAGCCCAAGCGGCGAATACACCTCCCATACGAACCTTGACTTGATCTGACACACCACTCAGATTGGCCGTTGGGATACCCAGTTCTGCAATCGACCTGCCCGTCCCTCGAACAACTTTTCCGTCGAATTTCACGGGAAACGGCGCCTCGGGACCGCTCTCTGAACCAACCATGTGAATCACCGGCACATTCACCATCAGGGAATCATATCTTTCCTGTTGATCCCTCTGCCGTCGCCAAGAATCCTGCACTGCATCTCCCATACCAGTTATCTGATAACTCTGATAAGCCATCGTGCCAGCCTTCTTCACCGTGGAATTCGTCACAATGCTGCCTACTTGGCTATTCACCACTGCGCTCGCCGCTCCGATATACTTGCTCGCCATAACTTGTCCTACTGTGCTGGCAACCTTGACGCCCATCTCCAAAGGCATCGTACTCAGGCTCGCACCCCTCACGACGCTCACATCAGCAGACGTACTCGCCACGCGAAACACTGGACTCCCGCACAAAACCTTCTTGCCGGCTTCTGCACCTCCGCAGAGAACAAGGCGAAAGTAGCCATCCGACGCGGTGGCGGGAATGCGCACGATGTGAGTTTCTCGCGGAACGTGCTTCTTTTGGCGCCCCGACGCCTTTTTGGCAAAGCGCTTGAGATCTCGCTGGAGACTGCGCTCGTCTGCCTCGGACGTGTCACTCACGTTGGCACGACGAGCAGGCGTGACGTCGATCCAGGACGAGGTTGTGCCGGCCAACGCCTTGATAGCCATGCCCATGTTGCCAGAGTATCCCTTTTGCTGCATCCAAAGGGTCCGCGTAGGGGGTAGAGGCTCATCTGAGAGGATTGTGATGGAGACTGAAGTAGAAGGGCCAGAATACCATATCAATGCACGAGTGTGTCGAATAATGGAGTAATGTCGCGTGGACTCTGAAGGATGAGAAATGAGGCCCGAGGCAAAATACTGAGCTTCGCCAAACGCCGACTTCCAGATTGAATCCTGCTGCTTCGTTTCCATGGGCAAAGTAACTGCCTGCTGCGGATGCGGCCGCGAGAAGCCAGGTGAAGGCGGAGCCCCAGCAGAGAGCCCTGAGGAACTCTGAGCGCGCCGAAGAGGCAGTTCCGGTGGTGCAGATGGCGAGAGATTGCCCGGAGACGGCGAGAGGCCCGGATAAGGTGGCGGAGGAGGCAGATCCTCGTACGGCATCATGCTCACGGGAGCAGGGAGCGCTTCGGTGCTGATCTCCGGGAGACGAGCCGTGGTGGCGGATCGCGTCACAGGAGGAGGAGGAGTGGGCTCGTGCTTGAGATTGGCGGCTGATTTGCTTGGTCTCAGCTGTTGACCTCTTGAAACTGCTTCAGCCGGCGATGCAACTGATGGCGATGGCGATTCGTCCATGTACATGTCATAAATGTCTGCTTGGTGGTCATATCCAGGCGCTGGGACGGGCCGCCGCCTCACCGGCAGGGGCTTACGCACGTATCCCATGCCAGGAGATGCCATTGATAACCTTAGATAGGGGCAATTTTAAGAAAAAGAAAAAGAAAAAGAAACGAAAGGGAGCCGATCAATTATCCCTGGCCGCTGGCGATGCATCACGTCTTATTTCGGCGTTGGGCATCGGTTTCCGGGCACCCGGCCAGATGGGTATATTATAATGGCTCTTCCGGGAAATGGGTCGTCAAAGGGGCTCTCTTTGTCCGGACTCGCTGGGAATTTGTCCGGCCTGAGTCTAAGGCCTTTGACCGGGGCGCGAAAAGTTTGCACAGTGTGTCGTGAACAAAGCGATCAATGGTGGATTCGTATTAGTACGCGTAAGCAGATTCGCACCTCTTCAGCTTTGTGTAATCTCGTATACAAAGGTTAGTGTGCACAGAGCGAGATTGATATCATCATTTGGTCATTTCTTTTTGTTTCTTTCAATTTTTAATTTTTTTTTGTCTTTTGTCTTTGTTCACATTTTGACGCTATGGGAAATGGCTTGCTTGATTGCGTCTTCTAGCTAGCCGCCATGAGGGCCTCCAACTGAGCCGGCTCCTTGATTGCGGTGGTGAGGTTTTCATAGCCCGTCTCGGTGACAAGAATGTTGTCCTCGATACTGTAGCCACGTCAGTGTGTTATTCGGATAGTAAATCACAGTAGATGGAAATGAGATTGCTGGCTTACCGAACACCACCCACGTCCCAGTACTTGGCGAGCACATCGGCGTCAATGTACTTGCTGTGCTCGGGATTCTCCAAGTAAGGATCGATGATGAACTTGCAAAAGTAGACCTGCAGCCGTGTGAGATTAGATGCATCAAACGAAATCTCATGAAATACTTACACCGGGCTCAACAGTCACAACACCACCAGCGGGAACCTGGCCTCGCAGGCGCAGGTTCTGGAAGATGACATCGGGGTCCTGGCGGTTGTGGTTACCGCCAGTGTCGTGGGTGTCCATGCCCAGGTAGTGTCCCAGGCCGTGAGGGAAGAAGGCCTGGCTGGTTCTGGCCTTGAAGATCTCGTCCTTGTCGCCCTTGAGGATACCGATGGCCAGCAAGCCGTCAATGGCAATCTTGTGGGCCAGGATGTGGGCATCTTCCCAGGCCACGCCGGCCTTGAGGATCGCCATGGTCTCCTTTTGCATCTTGAGGACAATGTCGTAAATCTCGCGACCCTCTTTGGTGAACTTGCCATTGAGAGGGAAGGTTCTTGTCTTTGGTTGCAGCGTCAGTCTCGCAGTCACATCGAAGCTGAGTTACCTCATGACTCTCTAGTCCTCAGAAAGGGGGGAAAGAAAGGAAAAGGTAGGCCACTTACGATATCGGCAGCGTAATTGTCCCACTCGGCACCAGCATCAATCAGCAGGTTCTGCTTTCCAGCCAATGGAGCAACGTTGGTGATGTAGTGAAGAGTCGCCGCAGCTGTGCCGCTAGCAACAATGGGGGTGTATGCCATGTTCTTGGCGCCGTGGGCAACACATCGCTCCAAGAAGACAGCCTCGAGCTCTCTCTCGTTGGATGCCTTCTTGGCCTTTTCCACGACGGCCTTGTGGGCCAAGCTGGAGACGTAGTTGGCCTTGCGGATCATGGCCACCTCGAACTCATCCTTGACGACGCGAGAGACCTCGATGGCCTCCTTGAGGAGAGCAAAGTCCTTGTTCTCGAATCCAATAAAGGTGATGTGATCTGAGACTTGGCCGTTGATGGCGTAGATTGTAGAGGTGCCGTTTCCGCTCGAAATGTGAGCCAGCGTCGCGTTGACCTCGGTGGTGTACTTGACCTCGTCGACGTCGTACAACTTGAGGGCCTCGTCGATGGTGGTTGGGAGGCCGGACCAGATGACATCGTGAGGGTCGATCGGGGGGATGAAGAGGGTTGATTTGGCGGACTGGATGTCGTAGGTGAAGTAGCAGTCGGGCAGGTTGCAGCCGGTGAGGTAGTAGAAGTAGCGGCGCTGGCTATATAGAACCAGGCGAAGTTAGCACATCACATACATTCCATTGTTAAGCATGTACAGGGCTGTCTTTGCCATACCGGAAGGGCTCGGGAGAGTCATTGTCCTCGAGAAGCTTGGTCATGCGGCCCTCGAGATAGAGAACGCCGTTGGCCTTGGGATCCTTCTTGCGGATCTGGTCGACGACGCGACTGGCGTGCGCCTTGCCCGGGTACTTGCCCTTGAGCACGGCTTCGAAATCTTCGGCGACCATCTTTGCGTGGAATCGATGCGACGAGTGTGAGAAGCAGCGACGAGCGTGTAGAGGTAGATGTTGAGGAGCAAAAGTTGATGGCCAAGATCGGGATTGGCAATGATTTGGATCAAGTTTATGGTGGGGGATTACGCGGGGCAGTCTGGGTACATGTACAAGCGCTGATAGCAGAGTTGGCCGATGGACAGGTCGCAATGCTGCGAAACCGGACATAGGGCAGGCGGATAAGAGCAATACTGTATGTCTGGAGTAAGCAATCAATGGAGATTTACATTAAAAATCCGTGGACTTGCATCGTTGTCCGGAAGGGGCGCCTCCAAAAAGTTCCATCATGAGGCCTTCGATGTCGGGGTACTTTTTTCTGGATCTCGGCCTTGGACTCCGTTTTTGCCGAGTGTAGGTTAGGTACAAGTCCGAGCCAAAGCTCCCGGAGCTGCAAGCGGCTGTGGCGCGGACAAAGATTGATTGGATGGAAAGCTGCAGCCTCTGATATCAAGGTCATCTATTACAGAATCGAGTCAAGATACAATATAGATTGCCGTATACAGCAACCAGATGCACTTGATGCATTAGACGAGCAGCAGTTCAACTAACAAACTCACATCCAGCTGGCATAGAATGAAACACATCAAACAGCAGCCCTGTAAGAGCCCTGTAAGAGTCCCATGTGCTGTGGCAGCTCTCCAGTGCTGTAAAGTTCAAGGTTCACGGCAAACGAACGCACGGGCGGCGAACCACTGCACGGCGAACCACTGGAAACCCCCGAGTTAGGGGACTCCACCCCGCTGGAACTGCTCGTCTCGTCTCCACAGCGGCTCGGCTGCCAGCGGCTCATCTGACATTACGCTATCATCCATACATCAATGGATGGATTGATGTCAGAATGTCTGGACGGCTCGTATCTTATCAAACCCAACTGAGACTTGAGCTTCAACTCCAACTTTTGCTGCAGGTCTCAGCCACATAAAAAGTTGAATGGATGCAAAGTCGGGCAATCTGTACAGGAAGCAGATCTCTGCCAGCTATCAAAAAAAAAAAAAACTAGCCCATATCAGTATACCCCCTGCACACGGAACCTCACATTAGTGCATCAATATACAAAGATACCCGACGGCTAAGGGTCAGGGAGATCGACAGTATGGATGTCAGTGCAGTGCTGGGATTTACCTCAGCGCACAGACACGGGAGCATGAACATCCATAGCTTCAAAGTACCAAATACTTATGACATGCTGCTGAGACAGGGCTTTATTGATGTGTCCCGTCCTTGGGCCAAGCTGTTTAGCTGTTGAGATAGTAGAGTCTGAGGGGGCGTGGGTGCAAAAGCATTGTATCTGTATACATCATGTATAAACTCATATCACTTAGAAGCGTCCGTCTCCCTTGCATGAAGCTTCAGTTGATCCCCATTGATCTAATCCCTGCATCTTACTAACCTGGTAACCAGCTGCTTGGAGCGGATGAACCCGAATGTACCTGTGCTAGTACCTACTCGTACGTACCTCTTTCTATAGCACCGGAAGGGAGGATGAGTAAGGAACGAGGGCTGGACTGCCTCTTACCTGTATCTACATGTATTCTCTTATGTAACGAAGCTTCTTCATCTCAACCATCTTGACGCAAAATTATTCCTCCAAAATACCTTCATGGACTGCTGTCCTACTTGTGCTGATCATTGCCGGCAGATGCTGTACCCCCCGTGGAACCCTACAGACATCTGATCTGTCCCGGGAAGCCGGGCCGTCAAACATTGGGAAATATTACTCAGCCGCATCACCAGCATCACGTCTCCCGCCTCCCGTCTCTCTCCCTGCATAACGACAGGCCATCAGCGCCATCTCGCAGAAAGAAGCCTCTTCGGTCGTGTCTTTCGTATACGAGTAGCGTCGTGTCGTCGCCTACGTGCTACAATGCTGTGCCGCCCTTGACGAGTCTCTCCGGCTTCCATCCATACCCATGGCAGTCTCAGACTCACCGCAAATCCAAAGTGTCCGAGTCCAGCTTCATCTCGCCAAGCCTTTTACTTTTTTTCCACGGCTTCAGGCGGTGGACGAGGGATCCAGATCTCTTCGACCCTTCTCCACGTACATGTATGAGACAGAAATTACCATCTCCGCGGAACCAGCTTCATGGAGTGGTGTTGTATGCTGGAGCATCGCGGCTCAACATGATGAGACAAACTTCAATAGTGTCCAATCTGCTGGTTCGAAACACCGACTCTTGCCGTGCTCGCCGTCATCTCTCTTAACGCCGGCCACCTGATGGCCAAGCAATGTCCGCACCGCCATGCTGCCTGAAAATTGCTCAAGACAATGAGAGCCACGCGCGTCATAAGACTTCAATAGTCCATATCATGTCTCAGGACACTTGGTGAGCTCCCAAATACACATCCGCGAGCATACGAATACGCTCGCTGGGCGTGCATGGGGGCTCTGCTCTGTGAGCGGAAGACGCCTTGGCCGATCACACGACACTGCGTCTAATTAAACATTGAGAAAAGCAGATGGCATTCATGTGACAGGACAGAATTAGTATCAGGATGACATCTGCCACACCTCGCGGTACCGTCCGTGCGCCCAGATCCTCGGCCGATCGTGCTCCTATCCCCGGTACGTGGGAATTGGTGTAGGGCCACGACAACCTCAAGCAGATCACGTAGTCTTGGCCGAGATCTAAGAGCGGAAATCTGGTCCTGCCATTCAGCAGACACGTTTAGCTTCCGAAACGTGGTTGTGTTTAAGGGACCATGGCGGGAGCGTGCCGTCTTTGTTCGCTGTCTTTGCCTTACGGACGGATAGCTGACAATCCGGTAACCCTTGGGCTCGTTGGGTGCCGAGAAAATGAATGCCGAGAAGACGAATACCGGGAAAAAGGTTACCAATCGATCTGGTACGCCGTACCCTTGCGACGGATGGACAGCTGACTTGTTAAATTGCGCCACACGTCACACAGACCCCCTTGCTCCGGAGGAGTCCTCCCCCCTATCCGTCAGAGACAACTTTAAGCGAGAGCAAAGAGAGTAAAAAGGAGCAAGAGTAAGAGAGTGAGAGAGTGAGAGTGACAGAGCGAGAAAGAGAATGGAGGAAGGAGAGAGTGTGTGGACTTGAGGCTTCGGGAAGAGTGGTCATATATGTATGTGCCGGATACGTGAGATGCCTGGTGCCTCTTGGAGAAACCATCAGATGATGTCTTGGAGGGCTCATCCGGCTGGACTTTATATTCGGCCTACCATCACCTGGGTGGATCCGTCTGTGATCATACAAGGTCATCAGGAGAGAAGCGGCTCTGAATTGCCCAGGCATCCGCCAATGGAGAGGCCAGAATCACCATGGCTGGCACACAAGACACTGTCTTACAGCAAATTGCCACGTTGTGACGGGGGGTTATGCATATACCTATGTTGGAAATTTTGGCCGTCGATCTCGTCGAGAACCAATCATCTCGAGTATATACACGGCTGGAAGACGTCTCTTGTCCCCAAAACAAAGACATGGCTTAACGCCGCGCCTAGCGCAACTCTTACAGAGTACTAATTGCTCAAAGCCCCCGTTCCCCTCAAGAGGTTTTCAAGTTCTTCTCAAGAAACGAGGCGAGCTGTCTTGGAATTATTGGTCCAGGTCTTGCAATGCTCGTAAAGATTGAACAATACGCAGTCAGAGGCAGCCGAAAGGGCCCCCATTCCCACTCAGCGAAACCTACTTCCACACGCGACCTGCTGAACAAGCAGACGAAGACGACGGCAAGCTCAAATACAGAAGAGAATCTCTATTCGCGAGTTACTTCTAGTTGAAGGGTATACAAAATACTTTGTATACCGAGCGCTTGTCCGACAATGAAGCGATGGCATACAGAGCCTTAATCCCACCACGCCGGGACCCCCCACCAGAGTATTCGGCCCCCTCTCTCTCTCTCTCTCACTAATACACCACATCTCTGATTGGTACACCCCGGAGTATTTCTGCCGCTTTTCTCTCTCTAGATGTGTTACCTTGCCTACAATGATGCTCCAATTCTTAGCAGAGGAAAAAAGTCGAGAGAGAGAGAGAGTCCAAAGATCGCTCACCACCGGCGTGAAGCATATGTCTTCTTTCCTCATTACTTTTCTCGCCTTGTCTTTTTGGCCACACAGCTGCCGATTTACCCAGTCTTAACGCCGGGGAATGACCTGGCCGGGGGAAAGGGAGTGTGGCAGACCGGCCGCGTCTTAGTCCCGAGATCATCCATCCCGGGCCCCTGTCCACACCTCCGGACTGAGGGTTGAAGCCGACCATCTCCCCGAGCTCTGCCGCCATCAGACCAAGAGATGGGGCTAGCATAATCTTGGGCAAGGTCTCCGCCAGATTGTTTTGCACGCCCCCTCCCCTGCACCGAGAACCGGGAACCATGTTAGTGCTTTCAGCCTCATATCCAGGGACCGGTCAGCTCTCTAACCAGGCAGATATCTTGACTAACATGGCTGGTTGAGAGTTGTCGGTGGGCTTGACAAAGAAATTACGAGTACCGCTTTGCGCCCTGGAAAGATACGGCGAAACTGGAGAGCATAAGCGAGGCCAAGCATGATGGGAACAAAGGAGCAAACCGAGAGCATGCTCTGGTGTAAGGGGGTCTGATGGTCGCTTGGGGAAAGATAGTGTGGAGGAGCACCGACACCACCACCACCACTCTTGATGCCTGTCATGTTTCCGTTCAGTGTACTTGGTATACCTGCTGACGTCTGTCTTGACCTGCTTGTCAAGAGTAACCCAGTCTCTGAGACTACATCCGATTCGTTCACATGGGAGGTTAGCGTTCACCGCGCTTGCAAGCCGATATCCATGTTCCCCGGTCGCCGTCTCTTGCAAAGGCTCCAGTAGACGGACAAAGACCACCAGGAGCACCACCTAATGTCACTTTGTACTCGGGGGAGTAGCCCGTGTATTACATGTGTCTGTGAGATGCTCGCGGCTTGCTTTTTCTCATGGCAACCAAGGTTGACCACGGCTTGTCTCTGAACCAGTCTTGAACCAGTCTTGAACCAGTCTTGAACAAGCCACTACGGTGACGAGGTGAAAAGACAGCTCCACAAGTTGAACACACAAACTGTCTGTCTTTGAGGGGGGAAACAGATATATAATGAGGCTCTTTCTCGCCCATTTCGTCGAGAATCCAACCTCTCCAAGCAATACACATCCACTGCTCTATTCTGCCTCTTTTCTGCCTACACTGCTACTATTTCCACATACCATCTACGAAGTTTTCACCTTATAAATCATCTTAGCAGCAATGGCCGTTACTCAACTCATGTACCACCCCACTGTTCAGGCCCGAGTTGGCCAAGTGCTGGCTCCAGCCATTACAGTCGGGCATCCGAACATGGATCCAACTGCCTTCTATTACTTTGCAACCCCTGTGCTTCTAAGCGCTACCGGCACCGTGGTTGAGGGCCTCCTCCAGGGGAACAGAGCTGTGACAGGCATGCCAATCAACGGGGGTGCCGCCATCCAGTACACTTTAACCGATCTGGTCATCTTAGCCCCCGGAACATACTACATTCGCCTAGATCTGTACGGGATGTCTACTGAAGGCGCAAATCTTGTGGCACAGACCAATCCGGCCCTGGTTACGGTGTCCAACTAGATCAAGTATCAGGTACGCTTCTTTATTTACCTAGCTTTCCATTGGAAGAGAGACTCTGGTGAGATGTGCTAATTCCTTCTTTTGCTACGTTTTAGCACTGTATCTATCGGGGTTCGGGGTTACTCAATTGGGAGTCAGACTCTGGACATTGTTTGGGAAGTACTACTTAGTACCAAGGGAATTTTGTTTGTTTCATACTATTAGGTAGCCATAGCATGGCGGCCTGGGGACAGTACCCGAGAGAGCCCTTTGCCTCTAACAGCAGAGTGTGGGTTCTAGGGGAATAAAAAGCATGGCAATGCATGGAAGACTGATGGGTTATACCACTATAGCACAAGGGTTATGACGGGGAGACTGGCATGTTTGTTTGTTTGTTTATTTTATTATTAACGTCCACTAAGTAATCTAGTTACATAAGTCCTCATCTGGGCACTAGGACGGTAGGAGCCGCCGAGTTCAGATCGGGCGTTCGCTACGTTTCAATGTAACAAAGGAAAAGGGGATGTGTCAATCTGTTTTACGTATCTGTTTCTGTAGGGGGAGGGCCGTATGGGCTTGTGTCCTCCACTAGTTTCTGAAAGTCCTTATACCCTCCGTCACCGAGGAGGTATTGGATATGGGTGGTTCCGAAGCGCGCCTCCCTCTCCGGTACGTCGGGGAGGAAAGGGGCTACCATGCGGCACTTTACGAAGTGNCCTTGTGTCCTTGGTTCCCCGCATTTGCAGGTGGGCCTGGCGTCGTGTCCGAATCTCTCGTGGTATTCTGTAAAGTCCCCGTGTCCAGACCTTTCGGCTAGCAGCCTATGTAGGATCGGGCGTGGGAGATGTAGTTCAGGGGGCATAGAGGGGGCTTTATAAAGGCCCCATCTACCGGCCTTGTAGGACTCTGGGTAGTTGCTCTCCCAGTCGGCGTCCTGTATTTCCCTGCGTTTCTTTTTCACCCACCTTTTGATAAAGGTGATGGTGGAGCAGTTTCTCGAGAGGCAAGGGAGTTCTGAACCCTCCTTTGCCAGTCGGTCGGCTTCTTCGTTTCCTAGTACGTCTTTGTGGCCTGGGACCCAGGCCACGGGGAGACTGGCATGTCTCAGGTGGTTTAGATAGATAACATGGTTCACACTGCTACACAGCACTCTATTATTTCTCCGTCCCCAAACGAGACTGACAGGCCAGGCAAGCCTTGTAACTGTGACCAAGCATGATCTCTCTCCATCACTTCTTACTATCTACCGTAACAGGCAATCAGGGACGCCTCAGCTTTGGGATCTGATCTATCAGACGGGCCAAATCAGGGCCGTAAAGATGAACCTTGTCCACACCCAAGAAAGAGGCGCGGATCTACGAGGATCCGTGCAGCCAAAAACCCAAGCCACCGGGGTAGAGGCGCACTGCACTCTATTCCAGACAGATGATGCTTGTACGCTATACACTATACACTATACCATGTAGATTGAAACCGGGAAAATAAGGCACCACGCTTAAGTTAACCGAAATCCAAGCCGTGTCGTGAGAGAAGGAAAAAGGAAAAAAGCAGTCATTCGTACGCGCCTCGTAGAGAGAGCTAGGCAGTTTTGGTAACATGATTGGCGGTCACGGTGAAGCAAGCAAACACGGACATTGCTCCTGCTACTAGCAGTCTGGAAGGAAAGGACTGCTGTACAAGAGAGCAGATGTCTGGTGGGAAGACTGGAGAGATACAGTGTCAGGGTGTTTATTGGATTCGCTTCAGGTGGTCATTGGGAAGACGTAAGGGAGGGGGGAGTGGCATACACAGAGATACGATACAAAGCAGACAGTCACAGAGATAGAGAGATAGAGAGGGTGTGGACAAAGAGCAGGAAAAGAAGATGACCAAGACTCCAAAAAAGGGAACAGGGTGGCTTTGTCTTACCCCATAGATGGAAGCTGAAAAGAGATGTCTCGAGATTTGGGGATAGGATCAGCCAGCCACGGGAAGCCCAGATCGTTCAATGAGGACCAGAAGAACAGGGGGGGGGGAAGCGTCCGAAATCTTTCGGACTTGACTGTGGTTGGCTGGAAATACGATTTTGGCGTAGGAGTACAAAGATTTTGTGCGATGAAAGGGATGGGATTTTGTGCAATATATGTTGTGTAACGTATGGTGGAGAGGGTGGAAGGGGGGGTGTGTCAATTTCTGGGGTTCGTCTTTTCAGCGTTTTATGAGCTGGGAGATGAGATTGAGGCGGTGCGAGATGCTGTACGGGATGTTTCAATCTTGAAAACATGAGATGCTAGCCTGGATCGCCGAGATGGAAAAGTTTGGGGGTTGCACGGTGAGATGGTCAAGTACAGAGGGAGTGTGTGTAAGAGAGGCCATCGTGAGCCAACATACAGTGTGAAGTGTTATTGAGTTTATTTAGTACTGTACAATGAAACACACCTGAGATCAAAGTGGAGTCACGTGTCTCACAAGAAGTGGCCGGTTCTCCACTCGGCAGCCTCTTTTTGTCTTTGGAGTCGCATAGAGCAAGACGGAAGAAGAAAAGCAAGAGAAAGGATCAGCAAGATCGTGTGATATCACAGAGAGACAGAAGAGACAAAAGACACCGGGCAGAGGCAGAGAGAGAGAGAGACGCAAATAAAGGGAGGGAAGGGGAAAAAAGATGGTGTATTACTTTTCCTCCAGTGTCGTGGAGCCGGCGGGCTTCATTTACGTGGGCAAGGACAAGTTTGAGAGTGAGTTCTCCTGGGCCTTGTCCCTTGTTCTCTGTGAATGAACATCCCTGACGCTTTTTTTTTTTCTTTTTTTGCTTTTTGTTTAGATGAGGATCTTATCAAGTATGGGTGGGAGGAAGATGTCTGGTATGAGAACTTGTGTCCCCTTCCCTTTCCCTCCCACTCCCATGTTCTCTTTTACTTGTCTTTTCGTTTTTTACTGATTGACTGACACTCTGTACTCTCTCTCTCTATCCAGGGTATGTATGATTGGATCTCTACCACTATGAATGTGAACAAATGCTCTCACTCAACACTGAGAGAGCATCTGTTTGACCTTTTTCCATTTCCATCATCTTTCCCATGTAAAAGAGAGAGAAAATACTCACATCACGTCTCTCTCGCCAGTTTCACGTCGACAAGCTTTCCAGCGCCCACATTTACCTGCGCATGCAGCCGGGCCAGACATGGGACAATCTGCCCGAGGAGCTGGTCATGGACCTGGCACAGCTCACAAAGGCAAACTCAATAGAAGGTTCGTTCACCTCTCAAGCCCTCTATCTCATCGACCTCTTCAACAGTGCTAACCATCTTCTCTCTCTCTATCAGGGAATAAAAAGGACAACATCACCGTCATTTACACGCCCTGGTCAAACCTCAAAAAGGACGGCAGCATGGACGTCGGCCAAGTCTCCTTTCATGACCAACGAAAAGCAAGTCACACTCTCTTTCTCCCATCCTCTCCATCCCCAACTGACACACACGCACACACACACTCCTAAGAATGCCCATCTAACCTAAGAGCAATAGGTCAAGCGCGTCCTCGTCCCCCACCGCGAAAACCCCGTCGTCAACCGCCTCAACAAGACAAAAGTCGAAAAGAAGCCCGACCTCAAGGCCGAGAGGGACGACATGCTCAAGGAGCTGCGCAAGAGGGACCAGGCTGCCCAGCTGATCAAGGTACGCGCGTCATTCTCAGGCTGCTGCTTGTGCCTCGGACCACCAGGCAACAGCTTTTTACCACATTATCATTGGATGATGTTCTCCTTTTTTTTTGAGTGGACTTTTGACTGACTTGTATTGGAACAGAAAAAAGAAGAGCAGCGACAGGCACAGGAGTGGAAGGAAAAGAAATGGCAAAAGGACCACGCCTACGACGACCTGTTTACCGATGAGAACATGGCTTCGTCGAGTAACCAGGATCGGGCGGCGGACTGGGAAGACGACTTTATGTAGATGGATTGCATTGCATTGCTACAGACAGACTACCATTCTTTGAAGCGATCATAGCAATAAAAAGTAGAAATAAAAAAAAGAATACCATTTCCATAACTGACTGCTCCTGTAAAAGTAGGGTATACAAAATACTATATAGCATTACCAAAACTATCTTAAAATCCAAACCCAGTGTATATCCAACACCTGTCCACCTACACGTTGCAATCAACCCTTCGATTACCAATCTTCATACCATCCATCTGCCTTGTAATCCCCGGCAGCTCAGCAACCTCCAGGATAATCGGACTCGACGAGGTAACCGGTGTCGCAATTCTCTTTGGGCTCGATGGCTGGCCCACGAGGGCTGGAGGCATGTCATATTCCTCCTCCTCCTCTTCTTCATCATTTTCTTCTTCCAAAGCCTCATCATCATCCTCTGCCAATCGTCGCGTGTGGTCAAGCTCCTCGGGATCATGGAGCATCACCACGGGTTCACCACCCGGTAGTCGCACCTCCGTTGCTTCCAGAGTTTGCGCAATGTCCAGGAGCAAAACATCCATCGGGCAGATATACGCAACATGTTTACGCGGGCTCCAGGCAAGAACGTGTCCACAGAGCTGCCCTTGATGTCGATCGACAATCCAGGCGCCACTGTCTCCAGGAATACCCAGAGGAATGGACGGCTTTGCAGAGGGGCCTGACGCCGGCGACGGAGTGCTAGCGATTTGGTACGTATGACTGGGTGACTGGCGTCCGTAAATCTTGACGCTGGTCAGGGCCGGTAGAATCTGTCCAGTTTGCGTCCCACTTGTTCGTGCGACACACTGAACCTCGAGACCTGGAAGAGACGACCATGGTGCCACCGTCGTCGGCCGGATCATTGGCTGATTCTTTGTATTTCTCTTACCCAGACTGCGCGATCTTTGGGTTGTATCATCCGAAATCTTGGGAATATAATTGTCGTCTGGCAGGCGCCCGTCGGAAAACTCAAAGAGGGCCCAGTCAACCTCGTGGACCAAGCCATTGGCTTGCTTGCGGCGAATGCCACTCGAGGCGTACACTTCGCCCAAGCTATATGTATCAAGATGGTCTTCATCTTCAGTCTCAGCGTAGGGATAAAACCCTTCCTCGACATCATCCAGAGCAGGCTGAGTGACGATATAACCATCACCACATCCTGGCTCTATGCCAGGTATGTCTCCAGGCTCATTGTACTCTTCGTCTTCCTCGTCTTCCTCATCATCATAGTCGCTGGTGAGGTCTGTCTCGGAATATGGCTCTGATTCTGTGTCGGACAATTCGTAGGAAAAGTCCTCGCTGTCAAAGCTTCCAAACGTCGACTCAGGGGACCACTCCCGACCGGGAATGGCGCTGCTGCGCATTGTATCAGGAGGACCAAAGTCTCGATCCGGATCATCAAGCATGTGATGAACAGTCATTCCATAGGCCTTGTCATCGACAATGACGAGGCCGCCAAAGCTCACAGGTGGCAAGTGACGATCCCCAATCCAAGCTCCGATGCTTGCGCCATTGTTTGGTCTCTCTTGGTACTCGGGGTTCACAGCTTCGACGTGGTCATCATCGCTATCGTGATTTCCACCAGACCTGCTTCCCCGTGCCATGGATCTCATGACTGCGCCTGCCTGTCTCCGTGATCGAATGACGCTGCCGCGGCAAACCTTGAGGCCAAATCCTGTAGAGTCGTCAAAGAGCTCGCTCAGCTTCTTGTTTAAGATGGCACGGACTTTGCCAACAGATGTGCAGACGACCAAAACCGTAGGTCTAGTCTGGTGAGGGCTTGGCCCCACAGACTCAAGAGATATTTCGACCGACTCTGGGTGTTTGCGATAGAAAGTTTTGAGAGCAGTGTTGATCTGAGGCATGAGAATGGAGTTCCACTTCTCCACCACATCAGGAGGCAGGGGTACATGAGGGTATAATCGGACTTTGGTTTCGGGCTTGCTTTCTTTGATCTCGGGTTCTGGTTTCTGTTAGACGCTTTTGCCTCCCCAACATCACTAACGGAAAATATTGCTAACAACGTACCATTTGTCTCAACTTTTTGCTCTTTGAGGTAAGTTGGTGTTGGCGTTGGCGGTAGAGGTGCCTTCTTGGTAAGGGGCACAGGTACGGCCATTGACTTTTGATCTTTGGTGTCTTTCGAAGGCCCAGCCGTGGCCAAAGTGGGAGCTTCGACAGGAGATGATTCCTGGCCCAACCTTTCCTCGAATCCGCTGACGCCATCTAAAATACAGCAGGCTTCCAAGAATCGAGTGACACGCATTTGAACGGCCGAAAGCAGTGATTCGCCCTTGGACACGCCGGAGAGCTCTTCGTCGACAACCTTCCAACAGGCTTGGACGGCCTTCATGTACAACGTACCACATCTAATGGCCAGCGTGTCTAGAGCAGATTCAGGGACAGTCGTGGGCGCTGCCCTGGGCGCGAGATCTTCTAGCTTCGTCCACAATCCAATGGACAGCAGTATCATCGCCAAGGAGTAGACTTCCAGGACTCTCTCGTCAGTGGATTGAGGAAGAGGCGATACCTGTGCAGCCCGAGGGTCGAGAGGATGCCGCCATATCTTGGTTTCGGGCGAAAGCTCTTCAGTGAAGACGTCAAACGATGATAGCACAGGGCGGCGTATATCAACAAGGCCCTTCTCATCGCCAGGGCCCGCCGCAGTAGCTCTGCTGAATGAAATGTTGACATCAGAGAGGTTGCCATGAGTGATTCCTCTAGCGTGCAGGTCAAACACCGTATTGGTAAGGTTGTATGCAAATCGAAATTTCGCCTCTAGGGGAGGCTCCGAGCCGCCACGGGCAAGTAGATCACTCAGAGTGGGCAGGCTATACTGTGGGTTTTGGCTCACTTTATTGGAGGCGAGAGTGTTGAACGAAGGAGGAAAGAGGTATACCAAGCCCAATCGAGAATTTTCCAGGTCTTCAAAGTAGCCAAGCAGACGAGGCAGACCAGTCCAAGAGCCAGGCGCTCTCTGAGGATCTTGCTGAAGACCGGCCGAGAGTTTCTCAAAGCGGGCCATCGGGGGCATGATACCCGTGGTCGAATAGATGGGATCAAAGTTGGCATATTCAAGGAGAAGAGGAGCCCAAGGTTGTCGAGTAGCACCCTGGGTCGTAAGCTCGGAATAGGCCGTCTTGCTCATATAGACAACGTTTCGACAAGACTCAGATATTGTGCTAAGTCCATCTTGCATAGGTTGCAGGTGCGTCAAACTCCTGGGGTCGATTTGCTGAGGAGTCTGCATCCTTGTTGACTCGAATGGTCTAAAGTCACCCTCGGCGGCGGCCGACTTGTAAGTCGACTTGGTCACTTGCGGGTTCAAGGCCTCAGACGAGCGCATCCGTGACAAGTCGTAGAGAGTATCGATGGAGGCAGTGAGATCCCGGATGAGATCCTCGAACCGGCCCTTGTCCCATTGGACCAACGGTGCTTTTCGATCTGGCGATGGTCGGACGCCCTCAACAACACGCTTATAGCTTAGCCATAGGGGCTCAGCCTCAGCAAGAATGTCCTTGATAGTGGACATGATACTGCCAACGACCTCACTCAGGCCGGCCTTGGAGAGAGACTCATCGATTTCGGCAGACTGGTTGGGATCTGACCACTCCAGTCCCCAGCTGACAAAGCGGTCCTTTTGGATGCGCAATTTGCGATAGAGGGCCTTGATCTCGGGGTCATCCTCATGCTGGGCAGGCTCCTTGACAAAGTCGCTGGATTTCTTGGTGTCATTGTAAAGACGGCTTAAGCGACGCTGAAAGGGCAGCTGGAAGCCGCCCATTGGCAGAATTCGGTCCATCCTTCCTTTTGCTGGGTGAGAAATGGGGAAAGGCTGAATGCTGCTCTCCCCCCTATCGCTGCCTATATATTGGAGATTTGCTGTTGCCTGAAGGGGGACCCCGTTTGATAAAGGTGAGCGCTTGCTGCTATCAGGCGCTGGGACGGCACCCGGTTGGATCGGGGATACTCAAAGCGGATCTAAGCTGGAATCTCGCCTGACCTTTGACACTGCAGCTGCAGGGCGGATAAGAGTCTGCGACAGTTGATTCAAGCGCGACGCATCGCAGCGCTACAGTAAGCAGCGTCGCAAAGATTTCCAAGAGCAGGCCGTGGCGAGCAATTCGTCAATCGGGCAACGGGGGTCAGATGAACCTTATGCAGGCACCTGTTGAATAGAGTAGACCCTCAACAAGGGTGGGCAAAGGCAAACCCGGTGCAACGGTAGTGAGCACAAAAAAAACCTAGTGAGAAGCAACTCGCAACTCCTCAGAAAGGAATGCGAATGCGGCCTCGAGGAGTCGGAGTCGGATCAGGCAAACGAATTGCAAACGACGTTGGCCTCGACACAGATTCAGCAGACAAGACAAGACTCAGAACGGATTCAACGGGCTAATGCGCGATCCCCGAAGCAACGTTCGTTATCGACTCGAAACTCGCTGCCTTGCGGTGGCACAGACAGTGTGAGTGTGTGTCCTGTCCTATCAAGTCGCCCATCCCGTCGGCTTTTCTCCATGGACTGGCTCTCACGTCCCCGCAGCGCTGGACCGGTGGGGGTTTGCTGGTAACCCAGAACGACAACCGGCGAATCCCATCATCGCAGAATCCTGCTGCCTGGTGCCGTTGGTGGGCGACGGCGTGATGCTGATTGGAGGGCTGGGTGAGACTGGGGCCGATCTTGGAGTTCGGCTGGTCTGGAGAATTTTGGAGATGCTGGAATGGGTGCTTGGGGTCGACACGTGATTGCTCACATGATGTTTCACATGACTCTCCTCCTACTGTTCTACGATATGTGACGACAGTGACAAATTAATGATTCACAGCATAAACCAAGGCATTCAGAAAAAAAGAGTCATATACTATTATTGTTTTTGTTATCCTTATCACACAGCTACATAATGATGCAAGCCCATCTCCCTCCTCGCTTCTTCCTTCATCCATCTACGCATACTTGATCGTAAACGCAGGAGACTCGCTGACATCCCAGTCCTCCTTCTTCTTCTCATTGCCGAAAATACGCAGCGCGTGGAAGACGGCCTTGTATGTTCCGGGAGGAGCAAACTTGTTGTCAGTCAGCTCGCCGCTCCACGAAAGAGGAGTCGGGCCACGGCTCGCCCAGAGAACAGGTGCTCCAGCGGGTTGGCCAATGGACGTAGTATCGAGGAACTTGGTCGTCTTGATCTTGGTGTTCTTGGGAGGAGCCGACAGGAGCACAAGGTCAACACGGATGAGCCGGGAACCAAAAGCCGGGCTGACGACAAGGGAGGGAAGCACATCAGTGGACTGAGCATTACCAGGGGCGGGAATGGTGAAGACAGTGCCGTTCTCAACAGGGTTCAAGTTCTCATCGGTGGACTTGGCGATCCAAGAATCCTCTGCGAAAAGGACTTGCTGCTTGTGGAGGGAACCAGTCAGGCCCTGGTACGGGACAGAGAGGGCGGTGCCGTCTGTGCCGTTGACTGTGATGTAGCCGGACCACAGGCCAAGGCGCTTTGCGTCAACGCCCTTAGGAGGAGTAGGGACGACATCAATGGTGATGGACTTTCCAGCAGGGAGCGTCACTGTCTGCAAAGCAAGCTTGACAGAGGCGTGAGCCGCGATGGCGTCGTTGGGGAAAGCAGCCGGGTAGGGGCTGTCGCCTGACAGAGTGTAGAATGTGTTGGTGGGGACGTGGTTGAGCTTGTAGGTGACCCTCTGCTTGCTAGTGTTCTTGAGGGTGATTTGCCTCTTGCGGACAAAGTGGTCAGTGTCGTTGAAGGTCAAGCTGGATGGAGACAGAAGAGTGGTTGCGAAAGCGGCGTCATAGGCCTGGATGAGACCACCACCCTGCTGAGCGACGGGAGCGAGGAAGTCGTAGAATTGAGCGCCGTCGTTGAAGACCTGGGGGTTGGCAGTTGTGGCCAGCAGGTTCTCAATCAGGACAGGGTCAAAGGTTCCGCGAGCCTGGGCAACCAGAGCAACAGCAGCAGCAGTCAAGGGGCAGGCCATCGAGGTACCCGAAAGGGTAGCATATCCTCCCAGAGCGACGGGGTAGGTGGACAGAATGTTGCCACCAGGAGAGCTGATTTGGGGCTTGACGTCCACCTCCCAGGTAGGTCCCCAGGATGTGTACGTGCTGAGAGCACCACCAGTCGCCTTGTTGTCGGCGAACTGAATCTGCTTGGTGGCTGAATCCGGGTCAACCATTGACAAGGTAACAGTCTTTCCGGCCTTGATGGCAGCAATCCAAGCCGCACCAGTCGAGTCCTGAACCATGCCGGCGGCGGTAATCCGAGTTACAGTGCTAACATCGACGGACAGTGCACCGGCAATGTTGTTGTAGTAGAGGAGGTACTTGGCGCCCTTGGCAGCAACATTCTGAGCCTTCTGGACAAAGGTGCAGGTACCGCGACGAACAAGGACAATGTAGTTGGAGAGGTCAGGGGTGCTATCGGGGAGAGGTGAGCAGGCATCATCAGGAATTGTGGTGTCGAGAGTCACAGCGTAGACAGGCTTGGTCACTCCCTTCCAGGCCTTGGCGGAAGAGACATAACCAAACTGCTGGGAATCGCCATTGTCGACCTTGTAGCTGGAGAGGGAGAAGACGGTTGGGATGTTCTTGTTGTCAACAGACGCAACAGCGAGAACCTTCTTTCCGTTGGCCGCCGTGCTGGCGAAGAAAAGACCGTGGTCACCATCGTTACCGGCAGAGACAGTGCAAGGAACACCAGCTTCGACGATGCGGCTGACGGCAACAGCCCAAGGCTCTTCAGCCCAGCCAGAGGGACCGCCAATGGAGGCAGTGATGATCTGAGCACCGTCTTCAAATGCTTTGTTGTATGCAGCAATCAAAACATCGTTACCGGCCTGGCCTTCGCAGCCAAAGACTCGGTAAGCACCAAGAGTGACGTCGGGAGCGCCACCAGTGAAGCCGTATGGGTTCTCCTGGGCAGCAATGATACCAGCGACGTGAGAGCCGTGGCCGGCGCAGTCCTTGGGATCGTTGTCAGGCACAGGGGTGTTGAAACCGCTGTAGTTGTCACCGACCAAGTCAGTACCAAATGATACCAGACAGCCTGCGCCAAAGCAGCCACCAAGAGCAGGGTGAGTGTAATCAATCTATCATCTTTGTAAGTCAATGTCTAACAAAGGGAGGCTCCTAAGGGCAATAGGTTTCTACTCACGCCTGTGTCAATGACGGCAACTTTAACGCCCTTGCCTGTAAATCCCTTGGCCCGCAGCTTGTCAATCTGGACCATCTGGTGGGGAGGAAAGTTGTTTGGATCAGTCGGGCTGACATCTCTTGCCTGCAGAGCAGGAGAGGTGCTGCTGGCAACCCACTCGACCTTTGGGTTGGGGGCCTGGATGAGGGTGACGGGCCACATGTTCTTGACCGCGGGCAGCTGGGCCATCTTCTGTGCCTTGCTCTCATGGTTGGAGAGGTCTTTCAGTTGGACTGAGACACCCTTGAACAGCTTGTAGTTGAACTTCATGCGAGTTGAGCCCTCGCCGTTAAGCTGCTTGTAAAAAGCGGCCGTGTCCTATTGGAGTCCCGTCAGCATTTGCCACCGCGGTAGGCAACGTGCCCAGTGCCAACGGCTGAGCGAGACTCACCTGGTCATTCTCAAATTCGAAGATGTAGGCGCCGGGGACGACTTTCGACGTCTGGCCAGAGCCGCGGGCAATGACCCCGGAGATGGTCGCCAGCAGCGACAGAAACACAGCTGAGCGCACCATCTTGAACTTTCCACTTGTTTGACTATGGAAAGGATTTGCAACGGCGCAATGCTTGCGGAACGATGAGTAGAGACAATGAAAGCTGCTCTCTGCCCTCTTCAAGCCAACATCATCTAGGGTGAAGGGGATGTCTCCCGGTATAAGTACTCACTCCCTCGAGGCCATCCCGCGGCCCTGCAGCTCGAGCTGCCAAGCACGGCTTGATTCAGAAGCACCTCTCGGGACCCTGGAGAACGGGGTTTTCGTCGCCACGACGACTTAGAACGCCCATCCAGGACGCGCTTCTCATGCGGCAGGCAAGACAAAGGACAACGACGGGCTGGGACCTGAACGTTCACTAGTCCCCTTGCCGCTGTGGCGCCAGGGGTTCACAGCCGGCTTCCCCCATGTCTAGCCTCACGATAGCGGTAGTATCTTTGTGCGACTTTGCATCCGCCAAGATCTCTCTCTTTGTCTGGGCAGCTTCCGAGGTCAGAAATTGAAGCACGCGATGAGGTTATATGCGGGGTCAGCTTCCAAGAGAGGAGCGGCAGACGTTTAGATCTCCAATCGCCACTACCATTTTCACCTACCTCTTTGGGACAGTCGGCCGTTGGCGAACCAGCCTCATGTCAAGGCTCGAGCCACAGCGACTGAGGCGGAACAAAAACGGCACCGGCCGATGCGGAACGTTTGCAATGAGAGGCCCGACTATCGCTCGTTGGAGCGTTCAGTGCTTGTAATGGAACTAAGTTATACGTCTTTATCAAAGCGGCCTATAGGAAAGAGTCGAAGACAGACACCCGTGACGCTGAGAAATTGTGCGACGGACCACAGGGATGCAATATATTTGGATGGCCGCAGATAGGTGGCGTTCTTTATACGTGATCATCCGGGACAATATTCCTGTACGAGTGCTTGCATTGTGTTGGTGATGCATAACAAATAACTACAACACGGCTCTCCACCGCGCCCCTTCTCTACACGGTTGACGAGATGTCAGAATGGCCTGGCCCGCCTAGGTAGCATCTGGCGGCCGGCATGCTCCGGTGAGGTATATTGACAAGTGGGGGATGGACATGGACGTGCTCCATGGAACAATTTCATCAAAGCCTCGGTCGAGTGGTACGGCATTGTTGACCTAGGTACGATTTATGCGGACGCACAAGAGGGCGAGCGAGGGGATTGATGCAAGAACCCGCCAGGCCACTGTATTGCGCCGCCGGTCTACGGCAAAAGGGCTCCGCTGCTGCTTGGGAGCGGCTGTTGGCCGATATGCAGGTCAAAGCTCGAGGTAAGCTTGATTATTAGCTATGATTGCCGACGAGAACTGCTCCGCACTCGGTACGGAGCATCTATCGTCTTCGTTGCACCACCGCCCCTGTAAGCTACGCAAAGCCTCCTCGCCAATGGACGCAGCGCAAGGACAGACGAAGAATTCGAATCGTGTCCTGCCTGCTTTTCGCATCTAGCATCGAGGCTCGACTATGTAGAACCAGTTCCTGTGTCGTGTTTCAAGAGTGTCAATGAAGAACCATCTGGACTCCAATACAAACACGCCCGCAATTAGATGTCGCGAGCCACGCGAAGATAGCCTGATGACTATCTGGATGACAGCTGCGAAGCAGGCTTTAATGAAAGCACGCAAACAGCTCTCGCGAAAGTGCAGGGTCTAACCAGAAAATCCTTCCCCCCGCCGGCTTGGCAAAGATATCAGTTGGCTTCACACAGCAACCCTCAAACCCCTGCCAGGACAAAGTTCCATGTTCCCTTATCAAGCACCTCTTCTGTCGTGGTGCTAGTTCGAAGGACTATTGCGGACTTTTGTATCTGCTCTTGGCTCGTTCGGTAAGGTAGGAAAACAAACTTCCCAGTCGGTGCTAACTTGTGGCTGGCACCATCAGCAGGGACCTTTTTTAACCTTGCCGCAACGCCAAGATAGCGCTGTCTTAATATTATGGGGCTTGGTCCTGGAATCGGAGGCCATCGAGGCTAATCGCTTCGTTGACAGCGAAATTGCATGTGCTGGGATGAATCAAGTATAATTCCGACTATGCCCCGAGATGGTCCTTGTTGTGCTTGTGCTGGACGAATCATCAGCACAAGAGTGAATACGAAGTATGAATGGCTTTGCAGAGTATCACAGCGTCGAGCAAAGAGACAGACGAGACGACATGACGATCGGCGGGTTTGCAGCGATCCCATAGACACCCACCAATAGCAATTCCACAATCAAACCCAGGAATCACCCTTGCTGGAAGCCGCTGGCCAAGACCATCATACATCAGTTACACGCTCTGGCCGCGGCCTTCTGGCCCAAGATGGTACTTATTTGGAGCCTATGGATGCACCTGAAGACATAATAAATAGCCAATGTCCTCAAGCCGGAGCCATTTCAGCACAATGCAATGGATGGCCAATCTCTCTGGAACATGCCCATCGCCACGACACGACACGCTACCCCGGATTCGGCATTGGCAAAAAAGTGCCCCTGCTAGGCTTGGATCAAATCAAATCACATCCACCAGGCACTTTCGACGCGGTGGGCCGTTTTGGCGTGCCAAGAGGAGCGACAAAGATTCCATGCTTTGGTCGTCGCGATGATGGCGATGGTCGGATGCATTTCTTGGCTAATCAAACGCCATTTTACGTGAGTAAGAAATTGCTTTCCAATGAATCAATTGAATCAAATAAATCAAATTGTGCCCCTGGCGAGCTTTCCATTCTCGTGGCGCATTCTCGTCGTGTTTGAGTTCTCCAGGTTCACACCCTGAAAAGGTCAATTCTCAAATACAGGAGAGATGATCGTGGAAGTCTCTCACTTCGCTTATGAAAATACTCACGAGTTCATAAGTTGAAGTCCCGCTCATTGCTATTCATTTAGCGATACCGCGCTGATTCGATCCAGTCAGTATTAACATTCAGATGCCAGAAACCCGAATTGCCGAACTCTCGACTCCAGGGTAAATGCCCAAGGCTATTACTGGCGACACGCGAAGGTCGCCAACAGCCACCGAATCCTCAATGCGAATTTCCTCATCGTTTCCTCGTCGTGATTCAATTTGTGCCTCGATTATATATATCTACATGCCATCATTTTAGGCCGAAAAGGCTGTTCAGCTACAATGTCTTTTGGTGACTCTGTCGGCTCTGCTACTGTTTCTACTTCTGTGTCTTCATTTATCACACTCCGAACTTTTCACAAGATCGCCAACATGACCGATCAAATGTCGGATCCACGCGTATCCTGGCTGTTTCTGCTACCAGAACTGCGGATAATGATCCTAAAAAAGTCAATCTGATCACCCTATATGCGAATAGAAGGCAATCTTAAAGAGCAAGCCCGCCGAAGGTCTGCCAATGCTGCCATCCCTCGAGAATGGTAAGCTTGAAACTTGAAAATTTATGTACATTGCATTACATCAATTAGATATCGAAGAATTTGGCAGTGTCATGACGCGAAACCCTCGGATATTTGTGAAATATATCTTTCTACGCCTAGAGCTCCTAGAATATGATTACAAGGGGCGCGAAAAGAGAGAATCTCTCGAGGACGTCAGGATGAACAACCTGCTCTTTCCGAATGCTGTTGGGGGCTTATTTTTTATCTTAATGGAAGTGAAAAGGCGACATTCGACTCAATCTTGGTGCCCATGCTCCAAGCGATGCGGGCCACTGTTTCCAGAAGTCATAGGAATTCACAGGAGCTAAAGGACGGATTCAATCACAACATAGAAACTATCCTTAAGAGACGTTAAACCGGGTAAGAAGAGATCTGATTCTTATGGCTGGAGACATGGGAGACGAGTTGATCTACTCAGCAGTGCCATTAAGCTCAGGTCTTTGGGCATCCTGAGGATGATGCCACGATATGCGTGCATCATTGGCACATAAACTGAAAAGCCTACTCACCATATTTCGTGATCAATCTTGACAAATCCTATTCTCACGCTCTCGCGAACCATTATTTGACAGCTCATCTATCCAACTCACTGGTCGGTGGATTGTGCGTGTGAGAATGTTTTCACTGTAACCAGCTTACATACACTTCTTCATCAATATCAAGGGTTTGGCTAGCACAGCGACCGATCTTGTTGGCCATTGCAGTCCTTGTAGTTGAAGTTTCAATCTGAAAGAATCGTCACAATGAAGTGAGAAGGGCACTATTTCTTACCCTAGGATCCTCGAAACTCAATCTTGGGCGATAGGTTGCGGCTCACGCTTCAGCGCCCGTTCTTGCACATCTTATGTCAATAGGAAACCGTAAAACGACTTTCGCTTATATATATTGAAAATTAATTAATCAAAGTTCAAGTAAATAGCCTCCCTCACCAGTGCTTCTCGGAAATGTCAACGGTATTCACATCAACGCCATCCTTGAACCATCTCTCCGCATCGCTAATCTTCACGTCATTTCCACTCATCTGACGTTTCCTCATCAGCCCATTCTCGGCAAAAGTCCAGTCCTCAAGCCCATACGTGCGCCACCACTGGCCTGCCTCATCATGCCACTCGTACCAGAACTGCACGGCAATCTTGTTGTCTGTAAAGGCAAAAAGCTCCTTGCGAAGTCGGTAGCCGTCTTCCTTGCTCCATTTATCGGTTAAGAACGTTTTGATCTCATCGCGGCCTTGTAGAAATGTGCCGCGATTGCGCCAGATTGAGTCTGGAGTGTATGCCATTTTAACACCATCTGGGTTTCTGCAGGCTTTTGGTAAGTAGTTGCGATTGAAAGAAGTGAAAGGGATGGGATGTACGAACCTGGTGTTCCAGGCATCTTGAGCGGCTTTGACTTTAACTTGAGCCGTCTCCAGCGTGAATGGCGGGTACGGAGCTCGTCCTTCTTGTGCAGCCATTGTGGTGGTTGTGATTGAGGTTGAATATGCTGAGAGAGAGGAGGTATGAGTTATTGGAAATTGTAGAGATGATAGTCAATAGGAAAGTAAGTTGTCTCTCTTATATAGTCTATGTCTTCTATTTGTCTAGATTTAGAATTCTTCTACCAGCCTCAATTTGGAATCCTTCTTTTCCATTTTTACTTTTCGCTCCATCATACATCATGACTTACATCATAACCGCTTTACCCTAGCGAGCGGCACAGCAGCGGCACGTCGGGCGGCTTGGCTGTCGGCATTTGGAGAAACTGCGCCATCTCCGCGGGATCCGCACAAAAACCTCAGCAAACGGCGTAAGCATGCAAGCTGAAAGAAGTCCAAAGTTTAAACAAGGTGATTCAAATGCGGCCTAGGATGCGTCATTTTCGCTGGGCTGAAAGAGTTGAGCAACTCGTTGTGTTGTCGCAACTCTGCGAAACGCTTCAACTCGTTGACAAATGCTTACGAAATGCGCTATGGAGATAAAGAATTGAGCTTGTCATCTTACGGAGCTGATTGTACAAAGTAGTTTCGAAGAAACTTTCCTATTAGAGCTAGGTCAGCTGCTCTCCGAATAGTTGCACAGTGGAGCTTGAGCGTATACAACCATTCGCTCGAGTAACTTTTACTGACAATTAAGACATGAAATATCACAAATCTGATGGTATAAAAGCATTGATACTTTGGCCAAAAGTTTTTTTCATTCAAGTTTTCTAAATACCCATCGCTATGTTCATGTACGAGCTAATTCAATGCTTGAGGCTGGCACATCTGAGCCAAGTAGATTTCCCAATTCATTCAGTAGCCCTTTCACTCAATGCGCCGCCTCAGAGTCGCCCTCAAGCAGTCAGGGTGCCGGCCTCGATGTTGTTGCCAATAGGGTCGTGGATGAAAGTAGCGTAGTACTTGGGGTGAATTCCAGCTCGGATTCCAGGAGCGCCATTGTCCTTGGCGCCGGCAGCGAGAGCGGCGGTGTGGAAAGCGTCAACGGCATTGGAATCTGTGGTTTAGAGTTAGCAGCTGTATAGAAATGAACCACTCTATAAGAGAGAGCGATATGCGTAGAGAAGAGTGTTGTTACTACATACCGGCAGCAGCGAAAGCGACGTGGGCGTTGGAGGTCTTGTCTCCAGAGAGAAGGACAAACTCGGGTCCAGCAGTTCCAAAGCCAACCATGCCCTCAGGGAAGCCGGGGAGCTTCTGAAGTCCCAGAGACTTGAGGACGGTGGTGTAGAACTCAACGGTGGAAGCAAAGTTGGCCTTTGCGACGTGGAGGAGAACGTGTCCGATAGGCATTTTGAAGGTTGTGGAAGTAAAAGGTGTGTAAGCTAAAAGTGGTTGAAAGTGTGTGTGTTGATTGTGTTGATTGGTTTTGAATGTTTGTTGTGTGAATGATTCTCGACTCCAGAGGGGATCCCATCACCTTATATAGACGATTTGCAAGATGCTTTGTTGCCCTGAAACTCAACTCAATCGTCACATCAACGCAACCGACGTCAACATCGGCCCAATTACAAATCCGACGAAGCATACATCCGCAAAGCTCACCAAAGATTACACATGCTTTCCTCCTCGCTTCTCGCGTTGTCTCTACAAAACGGGCATCACCGGCAGCTTCTCTTCCGCTGGGCGAAGGATCAAGCCATCCGGCGTAGCTCGGGGAAGCGCCGCTAAACCGTTCCCGGAAATCTGTACCCTTGTCGTTTTCTGGGGAACTTCGAGCGGTTTCTTTCTCGGCATCACGAAGCGGCGAAGATGCGGGCGCTAAGCTTTTTCGAGGGACCAGTACCCTGGCAGGGGTGTGACATCAGGTTGCAATAGAGTTATTTTGCTAGTTTGGAATCAAAGAGAAAAGCTGTTCCGGGTATCAATCATGCCAGAATTAATATTAAACAGAAAAGTCGTGGGGATAGCCTATCTGTGGCGATTATAAAGAAGTGTTTTATATAATAAGGAAGATGTCGTCTACATGGAGCTGATATACCCGTGAATTACTCTGTCCAAATGAGGCGCTTTGTCTCCTAACTAAACATATTCTACGGCATTCGTTTTCTTTTCCTCTTTTTTTTTATCTAGTTGTTTTTAGGTTTCTTTTTTCTCCTTTGTCTTTTTTCAACTAAGGCTGACGAGGAGTCTCCCAACCCATCCGTTGACACCAATCAACAAAGATGTCCTTTGGCATAATCAGTGCTTCCGTCAGAGGGCTAGACTTAGTACACACACTCATCCGCCAATCCCTCCACCTTTCAGCTGTAGCAAGGGTAACTTTGGCAACCTTGAACTTGATTGCCATGAAAAGCTCAGCTTGAGATACGGCCGAGAGCTCTTGGTTGGCAATCATTAGAATTTTCAAAGCACTGTCCTGCGCAGTCTCCTCACAGAGGGCATTCTCCACCGGATCCAAGCAGAAAAGCAGACGGTTAAGTATGATGGACACGGCAAAGCTGAACCCGAGAGCTTCATGCTTCCTGTCCTTGTCTATTGCCACTTTGGGATAATCCGATGAGGCTGGCCCAAAGAATGTTTCGTACCAATGCAGGAGTTGGAGACGAAGCAGCTGCAGGTTGTTCTTGACATCATCAATCAGGCCGGCCGGTGTGTCGTGGCGAGTGACGCATATGATCTGCGTCGTCTTATAAAAATATTCCGGTACGCGGCATACCGTAGTCAAAAGCGATATAATGGGCTCGCTCCTATCGGAGAATAGATTGTCGGTTGTGGGGATGGAGCGCAATGCAGCCTGCCACGGATCATCGCTCAAGAAGCAAGTTTGGTTGACATTAAGCGCCTCGTGGAACTGGAAGTGAGTTTTTAGTAATCACACCTTTCTTCTTGTCTTTTAGAAGATTGCGGACTAGAAAGGAAGACTTACGATTTGTCCGACGTGAGACAGCACCAATGCCTTCTCAAAATCAGTCTCGCAGCGTCCGGGGCCACGAAGCTTGATCAACGCAGTTGCTCCTGTGGAATGATATCTCCAAGCGTCTTCAGTTGACATTTTCAAGAGCTGGTAGTTGCGTAAGCATACGACAATAGTGGAATCATTTGTCTACAAGTATCAAAAACTCACTTCGTATATCCCAAGGAGTTGCGTGGCACAGAGCACATCTGGTCGAAGACATGCATTAGGACACTGCAGCTCGGCCTGCAGAGCCGCCAACGCGCTCGAGTACAGCTTCAAGATGCTGCTGGACACGGGCTCAGAAGGCGAAGAGAGCCACTGTTGAGCTCGAGCGGCTACACATGCGGCAGCTTTGTCTAAAGCGCTATTATGCCCGATCCGGCCCGGCAAGTAGTTCAGGTAAGACCAATCTCGATGGCCCAGCACCTCAGTCAACATGGTGGGCTTGTTGGCCAGGATGTTTGCCGTTGCATAGCTGATGTGGAATGATGTCAACTGAGATAGATCTAGGAGATCGAAATTGTACCGTATCCTCATCTTTTCGTATGAGCTGGATGCGAGACTAGCCGGGATGAGAACTTTCACCGAAACTTGGGGATCAGATTTGCCGTCACTGCAGGGCAGATACTCAGCCGGGTACTGAATTAGATTATGCTGTCCATAGTCGCCTCGTTTCCGCCTGGCCTGGGCAGACTTGCTCATGGCCTGTTTCCGTATCCGCTTCCTAGCATGTTTGTCGTCGGGCTCCAGCTTATTGGTGGCCGTTATGAAAACGTGAGTAACAGTAGTCGACATGGTGTCTGTATTAGGTGCTAATAATGACAGAACAACCAATCCTTACAGGCGTACACAGTTTCCTGGACATCAAGGTGCAAAAGTATGGAGAGCACCCATCACATCTTGGGAGAGGTTAAGGAGCAGTTGACGAGACTTCATTTCAAAGGTCGGTTCAGCCCGGGCAATAATCCAATCCGAGGTGGCTGTCGTCAGTAGCTTAGCGCGGATAAGCAAGTCATGCAACTCGTAGCTCGGAGAGAGAAGCGGGCTTGGTGGCGCTGGTTGTGGGGTGACCATGAGGATTTGACAAGGGTACTGTTGTCCAGAACAGGAATGGCGAGTTGCATCGCGTCTGAGTTAGTGGAAGAGAGGCGTATTTAAAGAGCATCGTGGGCTTCGACTCTTGTTTATACAATCCCGAGATAATGCCACAAGGAGAATTGGTAACGGCCCTATAACGGAGTTTGACTCTTTGCAAATATATTCTCTCAGTATGGAATTATCGGCATATCTCGCCTTCTCACATAGTTTTCAATAGTTAATACCGCGACAGTTCCTCGTATAAGCGACTATAACCAAAACAAGCAAACCAGATCTTCAATGCCATCAGATAGCCGCCAGCACCGAATCCGCGAAAAACAACTGCCGAAGAAAAGTTCTTTCTCATAACGTCATCCTAGCAATGAAATGATATTAATGTGGCCTTATCCACGATATTGTTATGCGTATACGACTGTTTCTCAGAATGGTATGACGTGAGACCGATAGTCGATCTACTGCTTCGCACTCATCTCGGAGTTAAGCCGTTTAATAGACATGCATAGCTCAGCCGTCTTCAGCCTTTGCATCTCATCCAGTGATGTGTAAAACTCTTCTCCTCATATAGCATTCACTCCGAACAACAACAATCTTGTTATATTGTCAACATTAATGATTAAATCTATAGGATCAAGCGTTACTCCTAATCCTTTACCTTGATGCAGTATATCCCGCCTCTCCCCTTCTCATAACTGATCCTGACGCTATTCCCGAGCTTCTCAAATATCCTCTTCTCGCTCGCCATCCTCGCCCCTCCGTTATAATCCAGCCTCCACAGCAACGGCTGCAACGCCGCCGCCAAACCAACGCAGCTGTGATCCCTCACCGTCACCCTGCTCGCCACTGCGGCTGCAATCACCGCCAGCAGCAGTTGCAGTCCCACCGTCAGGCCCAAGATCAAATGCACATATAACCACTGTGTAATGTCCAGCCTGATGCCCTTCAACGGCAGCAATCCAGGGGCATTGATGTTGGTGTTTACCTGAGCCGTGATGGCCACAACACCAACGGCAAAGGAAGCCATCACCTGACCCATACCGGTCACATTGCCTCCCTGAATTGCTCCGTAAAAGGACTCCGCCGGATAACTCTGGAACTGAAAATGTCTGGTACTGTTTGTGCTGACTCCAAAAGTCGAGGCGCCGTAGCCCTGGAGAGCAATGGCCGAGGCAGCGAGCGTCGTGACATTCACACCAACCTCTTGCACCGGATTCTCGACATTGGTGACTGCTCCAACAGTAACATTACAGTTGTAGAACCACGGATCCGTCGGCGATGCCTCAAACGCCAAGACGTGCCCCCACGCTGGCCCGGAGCCCCGATCGGGATCAACCATAAAGGTCGTCTGCGACGCCCCATTCAGGGCGGGAATCGTAAACTCGGTCCGGTTGGCGTCTCCAATGACAATCGTGTGCTGGGTCCCGTCTCCTCCCTTGAGGACCTTCCACCCCTGGCACGTTGCCTGGGTCGAAATCGATCGATTCGTCGCCACCATCTGGTAGTATGACAGGTCATCTGGGGTTGCCTCGTAGAAGATGTACTGGCACGAGTTCTGATTGCAGTACATCAGATTGGCGTCGGTGTCGAAGAGCGTGCCGGGCTTGGGAATCTCGTCGACTCCACCGTATCCGTAGGCAAGGGCAATGAGGCCATAACTGTGCTACGAGTTAGTTAATGCATCCCTTTATTTCTGTTTCTCTCGAGACGCACTTGTTTGCTGTGTATCGCAGGGCGCTGATGGCCTGTGAATTAGTCGAAAGCACTTTATTTGTCTGAATGTTGCTCATATCCGGCACCGAGACGGTTCCGGGTTTCGTCACGGCCACCGTGTCTGCCGGATTGATGTTGTAAGTCAAGCCGAGAGTCGCAACGGCTATTTGCGAAGCCTAATACCGGATTCACATTTAGTTGAATCGCTCCCGATGAACCTCGTCAAAGAGAAAGGGAGAGGATTGCCGTTACTCACAACATTGATCAACACCCAAAACAAAACATAGACCCTCACCCAATGGCGATGTGTCACGTAGCCCAGCGTGAAGAGACTGCTAAAGTTTTCGCTCTGTAGAATACAATCGGCCTGTACCATCATCAACACATCAGCCATTACGAAATGCCTCGCGTGAATCGGAGCTTTTGTTTTACCTCTCTCGGCGTCCACTCGTACCAGCTCAAAACCCACCATCTCAACTCCCTCACCATGTGCTTCATCGAACTCGCAATGTTCAGACCCAGCGCAATCGAAATGGCAATAATTAACGTGTTAAACTCCTTCTTCTTATTGCTCAACATGGCCTCCTTCACCGAATACCTCCACAGCACGAGATACGCCCCGACAACCAGCAGCACCGTCATCACCCATCGCACGAGGCACGCGAGAATCAGCCGCTTGAACTGGTTCTTGCGCTTAAAGTGCTCGGCGGAGAAGACGTCGCCGCGCTTCTCGCTGCGCCAGCTGTCGCTCCGCAGGCTCTGCAGCGTTGGCGAGTGCTTTATAGCCGTCATGGCGGTACGCATCTTGGTTCTGTTGTTGTTTCCCTCGACCGGAGCGCCCGCACTCGTTGGTGAGAATCGATTACATGTTCGTTTCGGCTTGGCTCGAGAATGCTTGACGGCAGCCAACTTATAGGTTTACTTTTTTTAACCCTCCACCTCCACGGTGTAGGTATGTCAAATTATGAAACAGGAGTCTCCCGTGGAGTCAAGAGAAAGAAATGGAAAACAAAATCGAAACCACCAAGCAGACTCGAGAAAGTGGTCCCAGGAAGAGCTGAAGCATTAAAGTTCAGGTGGCACTTTTACAAACTCATACTAGTTACTCGGTGGCAGCTGTCTCAACCACCAAGGAAGAAGGAAAGTCTAGAAGGAAAAAAAGACCACAAGTTCCCGCTGTTCCAGACCAAAAAACCCGCCCTTGCTAGAGCCGCAATTCCCAAACTGAGACATGTTTTTCGTCTTCTCATCTCCGGTTTTGGCTACCTCTTACTCATAGAAAAGAAAAAATCGTGGCAGTGCTGGTTTGGGGCCATACTGGATAGGGCTCGAGCCGAATCGCGATAGCCGTAAGGCTAGCCCTTCCAAGTCGCCGAAAGGGACAGATGCGGCTGATCGGCTCATTCCTTGTTCGAGTTTTCGTTTTCAATGTTCTTGATACTAAATAGCTGTCAGAGCTGTTGTGGAACAAGAACGTTGACGTCTTCTCGCCACAATGTTGGCATCTACAAGATGAGCTGTCTCGGCTGTCTCAGTCACAAGCACGGTGGCAAATGGCTGATAATTCCAGTCTCCAATTAGTCACAGCTATAGATAACTTGACTTGCAGCGGTTTGCTAATTGAGCTGTTATCTCGCCGGACGGGACAGCTATTCGCACGGGCCAGCAACCAATATAGCCTGTTGAGCCATTCGGAAACGCCGCCACCACCAACGTTGCGTATGCGGCGCTCGTTGCACCGTTCATCATCGGCACGCTTTCCGTAGAGAGCAAACCTGATCAATTGGCACAATGCCCCAATTCAGACATAGTTACGAAAGTAGTACAAACAGCTAAACCAGCTACCTTGTGCTTCTGTCACTCGTATACGCCGGCAGTAGCTCTTCTTTCAACTATTACATACCCTGCATATCCGTAGCGTTTTTGGCGCTTCAACAAGCCAATGTGGCATGACCTGTAAAGGCAGAGTTGCAAAGAGTAACTTGACCACGTCAACTCGGCGATTTCCCCTTCTAATCCGAGTTAGTTACTTCTCATAACGGAAAACAGCTCCCCAAAACCCTTGTTTCTTCTCTGAAGCCTTTCACATGTATGTACGAGCTACTGTACCAGTTAGTAATGTAACCACGGCTCAGAGCCCAACGGCACTTGCAAGCCAATCGGTGCTTAATCAATCGTCCCACACCGAAAAGAGGAGACGAGGGGAAAAAGGAGAGAGAAAAGAGAGAGCCCTGCAGTAGACCAAAACACACTTGGCATCTTCAACCATTCTCCAGCAGCTGTGTCTGTCAATCCCCAGCATCACAATGACGCTTACATGTTGCCCTTGCCGCGGAGTAACTAGCGGATGTATTTCTCCTCTCTTGCATCCTACTTATGTGATGCATTGCCATTGTTCTTGCTCACTGGACGTTGGGGGACGGGCGTCTTTTGGCATATGCATTAGCACCTAGATATGCATCTCGAAGGCACAACAAACAAAACAAGCAACGACAAACAAAGAGTCCGCTGGCCGTTTCCACCAGCCCGCAGCTGGAGCCATGCGATGTGACTAAGGCAAGGCCAGGATACAACATTAACCAACGTGTATTAGTGCATATGTAGACAGCTACATGCTCGTACAGAAACGCCTTCGAAATCCATGTTCGCGATGCACGACCCTCTCAATCAAGAACGTTGGACTCCACAAAGCCATGGGTCTCTTCCTCTCGCTCTCCACAATCGATGCGTTTTCCTTTGCTCCATCTCCATACAGATAATAAGTACAAGCAACGGGCTCTCGCTCCGCCAAAAATCAAGAACAAGGCCAAAAACCCCAGCCGCATCGCCATCCCCCAAAAGCCCTCGTCGCTTAGTTTGGTCCATAAAATCCTCATTCGCGATCCTCCCCGTCCGTTATCAGGTCCTTTCAATCCACGCACGCCCTTGCTCCTTTCTCACTCCCCCCATTTCAAGTCGCCCGCTTGGGGACGTAACTCGTATGTATGAGTACTATGTATGTATGTACGAGTAACTCGCACGGAGTCACTCCGTTGCTCCATCCATTCTGCAACCCCCATCATGCATTGCATCTTACACGTACCCCTATCAAAAAAGAGATACTCCGTATATATAAATTAAAATAAATAAATAACATAATACTACTCGTACTACTATAAAAAAGGCCCCCCTCCCCCTCCCCATCGTCAGGCACCAAGACATAAGCAACCTTATAAAAACGAGCCACTCCTCTCTCAACACATGTTCCCTCTTTTCCCCCTTCTCATGCACATCCGCCCAAAAAAAATGCACGTCCGAATGCACGTCGTCGCCTCGCCACCTCTCTCCTCTTATACGAGGAAGAAAAAAACCTCCCCTAGTCTAGAAGAAACTCGCTCACGCCCAGAACGTAAGAAAAAGAAAAATGATAGTCCCTTCTTCTTCCTTCTAGGCTAGTCCTCCGGTTGGTTTTTTTAAAAAAAAAACAAAAAAAACAAGAGCTTATACGCCCTGATACGCACTGCACTGCAAAGATGCATCTCTCGCGGCCGCATGGAACCAAACCACACACAGGAAGAACAACCAACACAGCCCAATGCAATGGCTTGTTACTTCCACCATTCTATGCACGCACTTCGCCCCCGCAAAGTTGCCGAGCTCATCGCCGCCGATGGCTTTTGCTGACTCCGACTCTTATCTGGATGGATGACGAAAAGGTGAGAGCGATGATGCCGAATAGCGAATGCTCACTTGCTGTGAACGATGACGAGTAGTGCTTTGTATCGTATGTCTGGTCCCCATACCCGTAAGAGTATCCGTCTTCCGTATCTGTGCTCCGTATCCGGACTCCGTATTACCAGGCCAAGTCCTCGCTTGGGAGTAAGCAAACCTGGTACAATAGACATCGTGAACCAAACGGCCAATCCAACACCCCAATTGGCTCTCTTTGTATCCTTCTGCTTGCTTACCTTGTCCTCACGCCATGTCCCTTCCAAGCGAATGCCGCCGCCAAGTGGGCCATGGTCGATGCCAAAGCAAAAGCCAAGCCTGCCATGTAGCATAGACAGGCAATCACATGCAGTCACATGCAATCACAACACAAGCACAGCACAAAGGGGGATTGGGATTGTTGAGCACAACATCTTGTTTGTAATCTAGGCAATTTCATTTATGCCTGATCTCTCTCTTTGTGTAGTAGTAGTACCAGAATGCCCGCAGAACCAATCGAATCAATACCATTAGCAACCGACTTTTTCCTTTCCCGTTCCCCGCCTGCTCGTAGTAGCCCAATGCACCCTGGACCAAAGAACCAACCCGTCGGCCGCCTTTCAGTCCATTCCCTTAAAAACACAAATGAGAGCGTTGACAAGTCATTATCAATCCGCCTGGTCCGCTTGTTCATAACGGTCTGGAGCCGTGAAAGACGTATAACAAAGCGGGAGAAGAAGAAAAACCTCCCGTAGGAAAAATGAAACACAAAGTAGAGGAGAAAACCGTAGTGGCGAAGTTACTCCAACGCAAGACCTGTCATGAACCGAACCCAGAGCGCAAAATAAAAAGAAAGCGGAAAGGAAAAAACAGCACCAGCAATCCCAATGCCCTTGTGAGCGCCAAGCAGTAAAAAAAGACGAATCCGTATCGTATGCGGCCGAAACTCCCAGAAGCTAAAACAAAAAGCCAAAATACAAGTAAAGAGAAAAAGAGTAAAAGGAAAAAAGTACAACAATTATCGCTCTTTAATTGTTGCTGTGAACAAAAAGAAAAGCAAAGGCCCCTTCCGATTTTTGGGGGGCCAGTAAAAAATGGACGAGGTCATATGAAAACCTCGCAATGTTTTATAAAAAAAAAACAATGGGACATCCGTTGCTCTGTCAGCTGTCCAAACCCAAACCAAGTTGTTTCGTGTAGAAAAAATTGTTCTTCACAGTTTGTAAAAATAAAAAATAAAACCGTCAACCGAGAAAGATGCGGCAAATAGCAGCTGTCCTCATCCGATAACCGCCTCCGTGGACAATCTAGCCTCGGATGGCGGTAGCGGTATGAGGCTCTGCGCCCCAACGGAATCGCTGCTGAATCATCTGCTGCGCGAAGAAGGGAGCATCAGTTGGGGATGTGGAAAAAGACGGCGAAGGCGACCTCATGTGAGGCATCGACTTGGGCGTCGACGACTGGTCCCTGCTGATGAGGACAGAGGATATAGAGTCGAGAGGAGACGAGTGCGATGCCGCGAGGTAATCGGCGGTCAGGGGGCGGGTGAGCTTCATCTCAATGGGGTGGTGAAGGCTGTGGTGAGCTGCAGGACCGGTGTGGTGAAGAGGGTGAGCCATCGTCGCCACTGACACCGTAGTCGGGCTGATGCCCTCGATCTCTTCGCTCTTGGTCGTCGCCACCGTCGTGGTCGATGTCTTCGAACCAAACTGTAAGTACAGAAAAAGCCAAATGTCAGCTACACAATTCCATCCCATTTTTTTCATCAATTTTTTTTTCAGATAGTCTTGCCCATCGCTCCTCAAGCCTCCCTCCATTTTTGTTGCATGACGGCGGGAAATTTTCCTTGTTCCAACAACTAGACGGCGGAAGGCGGCTGGGGCGGCTGGGGGACGCTGAAGTGGTCTCCAGGGGTACGTACAAAGCAGTATTTACTGACGAGCTCTTCGTAGGAAGAGCTGGCGAGGCCGAGGCCAAGGCCAACAGGGGGCGAAGAAGGAGCAGAAGCAGCAGCTGCGGCAGCGGCAGCGGCAGCAGGTGCAGCGGCGGGCTGGCTGGACTGCGAAGCAGACTGTGCGCTCAGAGGAGGGCCGAAGCTCATGCTCATGGGCGTGGGGCTGTCGCGGACGTTCCTCTTCATGTAGAGGGCATCCTTGTCCTTGGATGCAGAGTCCTTGGCGGCCTGGACGGCAGCGCTCAGTGAAGCTCCAAAATCATAACGGTTGGCAAAGGCCAGTCCGCTGGGAGCGGTCAGGCCCAGACCCTTGGAAATGTTATCACTAGCCAAGTTGCTGGTCGACTTGGTCTTGAGGCGAAGGCCAGGAGTGTTGTGCTCGCCCAAGAAGTCGTTGATATGGTCATCAAACTTAAACTTTGGTTTTTTATCAAAATCATCAAACGAAAGAGGCATCTGCACCTGTCGACCGGGAGCAGTAGGAGTCTGCTTGCGGTTGCTCCGTGGCAGACTGTTGTTGCTCGACCGGGACTGGGCGCCTTGGAAGCCGTTCTTACCGTTCTGCGGCTTGAATTGCTTCCGGAAGTCGACCTGGAAGTTGGCAGAGCTGTTGCTGTCCCAATACTCCTGGCCATTGACATTGTAGCGGATGCAGAAATACAGAGTCTTCATCTCCAGGTTGGCAGTATCTGACAACTTGATGGAGAATTGGAAGCGGTCTTGACCATCACGGGTAACCTTGGGGCGGATCTCGTGGCTGAACTCGGCAACGACCTCTGAAGTTGTCTTCCAGTAGTCCAAAGTGAAGCGGCAGACAACCAGCTTCTGGTAGGACATGTTGGCGACAACGACGGAACCCAGCATCGACTTCTGATCAGGCGACAGCCAAACCTTTTCTAGGCGAACAGGTTGGTCCCGTCGTGATGGAGAGTCGTGGGGGAAGTTGTTGGTGATGAGTTGCCAGTCAAACGGCGGTGTTCGTGCAACGGTCCTCTTCTCGCCTCCCGGGAAGGGATACTCGGCATCACTGTCGTAGTTCTCAACCGGAGACGAGCCCGCACTAACTGCCAAAGGTCGGTCGACCTGGAGGAAGTGACGGATGTGCTCCAAATGAGAATCGAAGTGAACGGCCTTGGCGAAAACAGGAGTACCAGGCATGCTAGAGGGTCGCTTGTGTCCACGGAGAGCTGGTCGGACCAGCTCGCCGGACTTCTTGCGGACCATCGGCGGTTTAGGCCTCAAGTCATCCTCCGAGTCCTCCGAGACAGTCTGGGAGTTCTCAGCAGATGTCATGATAGCTGACACATTGGGATCGGTTGCAGATCGAACATGGCCCCGGCGTCCCGACTTGGGAAGATCGCTTAGGCTCATGGCACTGAAGCTAGTGTGCACGATGCTTCGAGGAGTAACGTCGCCAGGGCTTAGCCTCGAGTCCTTGCTTGGGGGTGATGGTGTCCGGGGTTGGGGAATCTGGCTGACGGCATCCCTGAGCTTTCCCAGCTTCCTCCCTCGAATCTCCGGCCGGCTGTCATCCTCGCTATCTGACGAGGCAGAGTCGGGCGGAGAGATGATGGCAGCATTAGGAATTCCCCGGTCGTCAGTCACCGGCGGGGGTGACTTGCGGAGGCTTGCGCTCACAGGAGGGGTACCGGCGTTCTTGACTTCATCGGAAGAGCCATAGGGAGGAGATGGTGTAGAGTGGGACTCTACAGCCGGGGGTGCAGACGGTGTTCGACGGTTCTTGCTGAGGTACGAGGCTGAGCGAGGGAGCGAAGGCTTCTGGCCGGAGGTAATTGATGAGCGTCGGCTGACATCCGGAGAAGCAGTCGCTGAGGAGGCGGGAGATCGGTGAGAGGGCGGCGTGTAAGGCATTCCCAGAACGTTTGCCGGGGTATTGCTTGAAGAGTAAAAAAGCCTTGTCTGGTATTGATGATGTAATCCGGCTTATAAGAGATGTTGCAAATTATTCAACGGCGACGAAATTACCGTTGTTAAATGCTGCTAATTTGCACGCTCGTTCCAATTATATCATAGGATAAAAAGAATAGGGCTTGTTGTCGGACTCGTGGGCGGGCAACAGAGGAAGAGTAGTGACTGGGAAGCTAGTATCTAGGTAGGATGATCTGGACACATGGGAAAGTACGTTGTCAGCACGAGGTGATCGACATTAAACAATAAAGGATACCGTTCGAGGTTCGGAATAGGGTGCGTGGTGGAGAGGGAACAACACATGGTTTAAATGACCCAAGTCTGGTCCACGAGCATGGCACGGTGACGTCCATGAGTAAAAAGAAAAAATTTGGACCTTGAGGGCGATGGAACAGGATGCAGATTGCTCAAACGGAAGATTTCGAAGACGGAAAGGAATAAGACAAGGGTTGTCGGAAGTTGCCGTGCTTGGTAATGAAACTCTCTTTGACAAAGGCTAAAACTCAATGGCGACTTACAGTGGAAGGTAGAAGAGGAATTCAAGGCCAATTTTCTCCGAAGTGCACAGGAAGCAACGACACGGTCTCAAGCTCGGGCAATATTCCAGCAACCGAGCAAAAGACTGTGAGGTGCAGCCGTGGAAGCACAAAACTTGGTGCGGAGGCTGATGCTTAAGATCGCCAAACTAAGTCGTCTGGCGGATGATGTGGCCGGCTCGGAAGGGGAGCGTTGTCGAGTCGGGACAGTGGAGAGAGTAGAATAAAAAATCCTTGCACAATGACGAAGTAGAGACCCAGCTGAAGCTTGAAGCGGGTTGTGGAGATGCTCGGGATGAAGGGAGTTGAGAATTGATGATGGACGGAAAGCACGGCGAGGATGGCGGATGACTCTCGAAAGATGCAACGGGAACGACGGGGAGGAGACTGCAGACTGGTTCTTGGTCCTGGAGGCGGGCAGGACGGTCGTGGAATGGGCTGTAGGGGGATGAATTAACCCTTGAAGAAGAGAAGAGGAGGAGGAGAAGAAGAGAACGGCGGTAGTGATGCCGATGAGGTTGAAGATGAGGATGAGGAAATGGGAAAGATAGGGAAGATTGAAGACGGAGGAGGTGGGGAGAGGCTGTTTTTGGCTGCGTGAGACGGCCGATACGTACCCAGCGGTTGTGCCAACTCGAGGCAAGCCTGCAAGTACCGGCGCCCAAATGGAGCAGAGGCGAAAAAAAAAAAAAAATCAAAAAAATCAAAAAATTAGAGCAGCGCCATCGTACAGGTACCTGCTAGTGGAAGGCTCGGGCCCGGATCCAGGTTGCTATGCGCCGCAGCAGAAGAGACTGGAGACTGGAGACTGCACTGAGACCTTGAACTTGCCCTGCTCTAGTCTGCATGGGGGATTGAAAACTTGGCTGGCTGGCGACTAGCGGCAGAGACAGGGGTGAGGAGGAGGGTGAAGGTTGAGGTTGAGTCCATCTCGAAATCTTGTCATCTAAGCCGGCCTTGCCTGGTCGGTGGCCATGATCCATCCATGCCATGCCCATGGGTGATGGGCCAACCCTGGGCCAAGCCAGCACCGCCTTACTAGCAGGACCACCAAGGCCACTCCCCTCCCCAACTGGTTCGATGGCTTGAGATGGTGGGCCGCCGTCGATCGGCTTGGAGGGTGGCCTGTGGCCATGGGCCCAGCAACCTCATCCCTGAGAGAGGGGCCTTGGAGATAGGCGGCCAACAGGGGGGCGAGACAACAAATTGGCGAGCCGAAGCAACAGCTCAACCGGCTACCTGAACCCAGCAACCACCAACAAACGCTCAGCAGCCCCATCGCCGTGCCTAGTGTTAGTGGTGTTAGTGCAGTGTTGTATCGGCGGCCCAAGCACTGGTCCTCCGTCAAGCTTGCCATGCGTCTCGTCGCCTCTCGAGGTTGCGAATCCTGATGCTCAGACCTCCATTCCATACTCGTACTTGCAGTTGGATTGGAGATGCTTGGACCTTTGATCTTCAATTTACGGGGGCCGGGGCCTAGCTCCATCTCGACGACGGAGCACTCGCACTTGTGCTTGGAGTCGTGATATGAAGACGCCCTCCCCCCCCTTCCTTGCCCCATCCACAGCAGCGTCTCCGATATCAACATGTACCAGATATGCTCGTATGTAACAAGCACAGTAGCGCAGCGGCAAAGGAATCAGAGACAAAAACCACTCGGAGAGGCGAAAAACGGCCCCAAGATGCACGCACTCACACACATACACATACACACACAATTTCATGCTCCGTTATACACAGCACAAACCACAAACCAAACGAAGCAGAGGAGGAGAGCGGCGAGAGGGCGGCAAAGTTGTGTGGCCCAGTTCTTGCTTCTCCCCCCCTCCCACAGCCGGGAGCCGGAGGGATTTGCCAGTCCAGTGGTCGTCAGCCAACGAATACCTCGCCAGTAATGCAACCTAATGGAATAGAGCTGCAGTGTCGAGGTCGCATCTGGATGCCCATTTTTGCGGAGTACACCGGCAGCTGCGTTGCAAAGCCGCCTACCACTAGCCACCTCAATGCGCATCCTGCCCTGCCGTTCGTTTTTCTCCTCCTACCTAGACCTAGTGCTTGTGTGTCGTCTCGTCTCGCCTGTCGAATGCATATGTATGTACGAGCATGTACTCCAAACAAGGCCATGTACGAGCATGTATCTGGATACATGTACTGTACGAGTACATAATCCATAATCCAGAGCAGCAATGCACACATCCTGTATTTCCTGTGCACCCCCCCGTTGCCCATTGCCATCCTCAAGACGGTAAGAAGCTAGTAATCGAAACGAACGGAGCACCGGTATGTGTTGGGAAGCTTCTCCAAGCCTTTTGATTACATTACACCACAAAGACAACAACACACTCGTACGAGTACCTAGATAGATACCCGGTGAGCCAAATTATGGCAAACGATAAACAATTGCCGTGATACCATTTCAGCGCCAGACGGAAACATGGCCTCTCGTCCTCGACACTCATTCGTCCAGCCCCGGGACAGACCCAGCCGCCGGCCCCTACGGGCGTTGCGAGTTACCGCAGTGGGCAGCGTTTCTTCTAAGCATCTCAGCAAAGAACGGGGCTCGTCTGTCATCATCCTGTCTTGAAAAGACGCCGTCGCCTTTTTTAGAACGGTTTCTGATCTCTCCCTCCACCCAGATAAGCGTGCACCGGCGAGCGAAAATTTTGCGTCAGTCCCGAAATGGACGTGCGCTTGTGGCGTCGCCTGATAACAATGCACTTACGAATATAATATGGCCTTTTATCAGCTTCGATGGCGATTGCACAAGATCGCGTGGAATGCATGGGCTGATATCGATGTCACATGGCTTGATGGATTGCCCAGATGTGAACGATTCCCCAGGCAATAGCGCAACTATCTCGAGCCGGGCCAAACCTTTTCATTCATTTGAGCAGTATAGTGAGCTGGTAGAATAATATTTGGGTCGGTCCCATCCACCGGCGCCCTCTCTCTTGTTAGCTTTGCCTTTTTTTCTTTTTTGCTTTTTTCTGTGTCGGCGCTCTTGGCCAAGTCGGAACACCGGTGAAGCCGGATATGGAGATAGCTACGACGACTAACACTGCCAATTGACGTTAGTACCAGCTGGCCATTGCCCTGCTAATGAGGGCATCCGGGTACTTGTATCGCTAACAGCACTCGTAACAGCACTTGTTCTTCCGTTTGCTGTGCTGAGCTCGTAGCGGGTACTTTGTCGTCATGTATTATTCATGGTTTGCCGGGCAGCCAGCGTCAACGTTTATGTTGTGCGTAACGAGCACGGTACGGGTAAGGTAATGCGCCAGTGCGGATTCCGTCCGGGTGCTTCGTACTCGCAACGGGACTTGACTGGCAATGGAGCTTGCCCGACAGATAAAATTTGCAAATTTTGTGCCAAACGCGAGCCCTTGTTGGCTCAACGGCCTGCCGAATCGCATTGAAGGGGGCGACTGGGGGACTGAGGCGTTTCCAGGTATTTTTCTTGCTTGCAGCCTTGCACTGCAGGCTCCGTGCATGTACGGTACGAACAATAATGTACCGGTCTTCTCGCACTCCGTCCGTCCTGTCCTGGGCCCTCTTTTCCAATTCCTCCTGCATCAAGATGGGGAAGGGTGGGAAGGGAAAGAAAGGGAGGATGGCAGAGGAGCTGCGGCTTTCTTCAAGTACGGCAGACAGTTCTGCAATGCTTCGCTGCGAGTCTGCCCATCCAGCTCCCAAAACCCCATCTCCAAAGATACATGTCCATGCTCGTACAGTATACACACGCCAGTAGGCTTTTTCCAAAGGAGAATTTTCGTTTCTGGCGTCAGGGGGGGTTTGGTTGGATGGACATGGCCTGGGAATAGCAACTGGGGTGGGCTCTCCGGCATGAGACCCGGTCCTGGTGTGGCGCCCGACGCTGTGGTCCGTTGAATATATCTCACCCCTGTTCTCGCCAGTGCAAGTCCATGCCGACCGTTCTCAGCCGCTCATTGGCAGTGCCCCGGCCTGGGTTAGCTGTTTGATGTCGAGATAATGACGTTGCTCGCGGTTTGGGTGAGGCTCGCTCAGAAGGCGCCCTCCAATCAGGGTATGGCAGAACACGCGCAATGCATTCCGCAGCGTGGCCTTCCTGTTTCATATTGGCCTCTTTGTTTGCTTTCTCCCTGCAACGCCTGTTCGTCTGGTGTCTCTCAAACCACTTCTTGAAAAATAAAAGTGGGAAAACGGAACGGACGCGCTGTGCGGAGTAGCCAGTACTTTCTACTCCGAAAGTGCTTCAGCCCGTCCCTTCGGGTGTCCGCCCCGGATCCGGGATCATCTCGAGACACCAGCCTGCATCGCCGTCTCTCCATGACTGACACCAAACGAGAAGATTCCCAGAAAGATGCAGAGAATCCAAGGGCCCCCCCTTTTCCCCCTCCTCCTCCCCCGAGCCCAACGACATCTGGCACCTCTTCCCCCTTCCCCACGACGGACCGAAAAGCTTCCCCAGGTTGTCAAACTCGGCCTCGTCATGCCTCCTAATGCAGAGAATGAATGCAGCTCTTACTAGCGAGTGCATGTCTGCGCTGCGCTGCTGCTGCAATGCCTGCGAGCCCAACATGGAGCTGGTTCGGGCTCAATTGGCTCCAATTGCTTCTGCCAGAGCATCACCGGTTTAGGCGCCTGGACGGCTTGAGCTGCATATGAGCTGTCTCTGTCTCTGGTCTACCCTACCCGATTAGAGGTAGCCGTCCGTATCTGCAGGAGGAGTAACGGACGGCACGCTGTGTGATGACCGAGTCAGGCAGCGAGCCACCGACCGTTTTCCGAGTCGCAATTCGCAAGGCATTGGGAGCCGTGTATCGGATGGATACCGTGAAATAATAATAAATGATAAAAATGATAATGACAATGAAAAAATGCCTCCATCACGACGACAGTCAGTAGCAGTACGTAAAAGGCCGTGGAATAGTAACAGCAGCTGAAGGGCGTGTATCTTGAATTGAATCCAAATTGAACCCCTCCATCTCCATCTCCATCCCATGCATCTGCGGGTCACAAAAGGCTGTGCTTCCAACTTCCAAGGCACAAACATCGCCATCGTCAAGCCACATTGTCTTAGTCATCGCGCCAAGAGATAAGGAATGGGTCCAGCACGGGCCAATGTCGAGCTTCCAGTTCCACGCGGTGGGGACAGGGCAAGCCACACGCACGGGCCACTGATATCAGGGGTGGCTTGCTCCTCATTTTGCAGCGCTAGCAAGCTAGAAACAACGCCAAAGGCAATACTATCACAACGACAGGAAAACCTTCTTCATCCTTGCCATCGACCATCTCCATTTGCACACGCTGCCGTGCCGTGCCTTCGCTACAGTACCCGCCTCGAGCTTGTCTTGTACCTGTGCTGCCATCCGGATAGGGAGCGGTACTTCCGTGTCTTTGGGTGATTACCTACTGGAAATTGCCTGCTCGGCTACAAGGTTCCCTCTCCCGTGGTATTTGCTCGCCTCTCGTACGAGCATGGGCACAAAACGACTCGCGGAAAAGACGCTTGGCATGCACGCCATTTGCAAGCCCATCGGATGATTGGATGGTCATTGTCAATGTCAATGGAAAAAACGAGATGCTGTATGTCGGCCTGGAGCTGAGCTGAGCTCCCAAGCCGTCCAAGTGCGTCTGCGTCTGCGTCTGCCTGCCTGCCCAGCACATCATCTCGCATCTCGAAACTCGTCTACGAGCACTTACATGACGCCGGTGCTCCGTACATGATGCTAATTCCATGTCGATGCGCCTGACCATCAGCAAACGCACAGTTCTGCATGCTTAAAAAACCGCACCTACATGCCGCATAGGATGGCGTTCGAGCCTGAAGGGTCATCATGACTGGCATCCCGGCATCCAAGTACATGTAGTAGGTATGTATGAGATGTGCCGAGCTTACGATACTACTTGGGTTGATACACACTGTACTCCGTACTCGTACAGTACAGTCCTCGTACATGGGCAGATGCTGATGGTGTCGAGATAGATTACGGGAGCTTGTCTTGGCCAATCTGATGGGCTAGCAGCCCAAGCACAAAGCGCTCAAGTTTGCCGCCCGCCACGGCCTCCTCAGATCGCGGAGACGGGATTCTCTCATGGCCATTCGTCTCTAGGCGCCCAAGGGGCCTGCTCGCACATCCCAAGATGTATCTCTACTGCTACTCTTACCAACAGGTCTCAGCAATCTGCATGGCGTCCCAGGTGCAAGGATGCCATGGCAATATCCCCAACAAGCTACGAATCCTGACTCCTCGTTCGCCAGCCATGGAATCGCTCGTCGCCAAACGTACCACTATCACGGCATAGCGTCGCAATGCGTTGCAGCTCCCGTTCGCCAGCGAGTCAAGACCAACCATGGTTCCATCTAGGAAATGGCACAGCTCAGATCAACTGGCCACTCTGCAAGTCATCCCATGGCACCACGGCGCCAACTCCCAGTGCTACACATTTGTATGTGTGTATGTAGTCTCTTACAAAAGCGGACGCAGGCTTCGTCCGTGTTGCTAGGAACGGACAAGACGACGACTAGTTTCACGCCTTGCAGCCGCATCTCCACCAGCCAACAGTAAGCGAAGAAAAATTAGAACAGGTCCACTTTATGCGCGCATGGGGGGGGGGGACACAACGAGCTCTGATACGTAGGGACACTGCAGAAGTTGGCGACACCACTGGCGCCCTCGTATCTCCCTAACACACGCTCCACCAAGAGAACCGCTTTCACATGGTAAGCAAACAGGGCACAGGCATGCAACTGCCACCTACCTGTGAAGCTACAATCTAGAAGACGACAGGGAAAATGTCGTGATAGCTCTTTGCAATACGCAAGCAATCTGACTCACCGCGGTGGGAAAAGAGCAACAGAGCACTCAAGAGTAAGGCCAGAGCTCGGAAATGGCTAGTTCCAAAGCATCTTAACGAGCTTCTTTTTGCCTTTTTAGAAGGACGAGAAGAAACCCAGTTCAGGCACAACACTGCGAAACTACTTCCAGATGGAGTCTCGAAGGGAAATCCTCAACGCCGCCGGATGGACTGGGCCACCGAGCCGGTGGCAAAGCTCCGCGGCGACGCTATCATCGGCCTTCTTATTAGCGCTGGCCGCACCGCAAACCTTGCAGCCACATCCCTTCAGCACTGGCCATGGAGGAGGGCGAGGGCCGTCAAGGCCGTCTTGCTCACCGACACCAAAACCGTTGAGAGAGAAAAATTTCCCTCCTGAGATGATAAGCGTAAGAAAGCTTATGTGTGTACTACTTGCCTCCCTATCCACGCCTAGGAATAACTGCTGTACGAGTACTCCGGTGTGTCGATGCACGCCACCTGAAACCGAACGCAAAGGCCGCTGATTATTTCTTGTCTTTTTTTCCCATGTTTTTTTGCAGTTCCCTGTTTTGTAATACCTTACGTCGCATTACAGTTCCCGGTCCCCGGCAGTTGCTTGGACGTGCAAGGTTGCGAGGAGCCCGAAGCTGGATATATCTGCAGCTGAGATTCGCAATTTCGTCGTCTCGAGAAGAAAGAAAAAAAAAGCAACCCCCTCCCATCTCGACAAGCAAGCCGGGGGGCGCTGGCTTAGCGAGTTTCACGCTCATCGTTCGATCGAAATCTTGCCCCTTGTGAGGCTGCCATTGACGCTAAGCAGGGGTAGTAGCTCTTTTGTCGATTCCAGAGATGGAATACTAATGCGCAACCAGCCTTCGGCGGACAAGGCCTAAAAAGGAGAGGCTGCCTGGGCTGAACATGTTGAATTGTTGAACGGAACCGCCAAGGAAGTGATGAATTTTTTTTTTTTTCAAATTGTCATTTACAAGTGACTCATGGCAAAACAAAAAGTACTCGCAAGGGCTCGTTGTCAGCCTTCGCATTCTGCTCCCGTAAAAACTGAATCATCGGTTCGCTCATCTCCGCGCGGCAAACCCACTTCGATAAGAAGAGCGACGCCGCACAAAATCTCCGACACACGGACAGCTTATCTATCGCCATAGCCCGGCTGTCGCTCCGTATACATGCAGTGTTCATACTATTGAGACATTATCCTTCCACCAAGCGCGAGATGAAAACGGGGCCCATCTGGCATGAATGCCCAAAGGCAAAATGATCACTTGCATTCATACGGCCGTACAGTCATGCTCCTAGCCGATGCTGAAGACATCCGACAGAGGCCCAGAGCCGTGAGCATGCAAGTCGGAGCGATCCGTACCCACAAACTCCCGTGTCCGGCTGCCCCACCTCACGATGTTCTCTGCCGCCGGCCTTGTGGTAGTCGTGGTAGTAGTACGAGTTACAAGGCTGGCACCAGAACGGGGCCCACGTCTTTGTATATGGGGCATAAAAGATGGACGCTTTTGCAATGGTACGAGTGCTGTAGGGAGTACGGTTCGGAGTACTACGCACATGTACCACGACGACGCTACTGTAGACGCGAGCACTTACAAGCAGCAGTTTGCGATGTGTATCATGCTCGTCAACCCGAGACGCACAGTCGGAGCGTTGCAAACGCGTGTCGGCGCTTCCAGCATGCACATCATGGCCACTCATATGCCCACAAGCCGATAAGGGCGAGCAAGTTTGGAGTCCGAGGAGCGCCTTGGCGAGGGCTTACTCGTACATACATACAGGGAGACGCAAGGATCCGAGCTCGGACGGCATCCGCTCCGCCATGCCATGCCATGTCATGTAGCATGTACGGTGCAGCAAGGAGCATGGAGCATGGAGCCTGTGCTATCATGTATCATGTATCATGTAGTAGCATGTATGGCGAGCATCAGCAGAACATCAATAGTTGCCGGCCCATGCATGCAAACGGTAGGCACGGAAATTATTTTCATCTCGAACGTACACCTTCAGGCAGCATTTTCTGCTCGCACTTTAACTCTCTCTCTCTAGACTGCGGGGGAATGGAGGCAGCTGACTTTGGCAGAAGCGAAGCAAGCGGGAAGTCATGTTCTGCATGCCCGTGATGGATGGCACAGCACAGGGAACTCACATCGGCAAAGAGAGAGCCCACCTCTTCCGTACAGGATTCTCAACTAGGGAGGAGGAGAACCAGCCACAGTAGCAGTCAGTTTTCACCTTCGTCTTCTTCTTTTTGCCTCCGATATGCATCCAATGGACCCTGTGGCGAGAGGAAAATACAGTTAGAGAAAACGCCTCCCGTCTGGACGATTCCTTTTTCCGTATTACGAGTACACCGGTCTTCTGGGCCTTTCGCCATTGCCGCATGCCGCATGCCACAAATCAAATGTAAGGGAGATGGTAGCGGCACACGAGTACCTTGGTGGTGTGGCACTTACTTTCTTGGGTTCTACAAGCCGCAGATTCCAAGGCAACGATGCAGGAAGCTAGTAGCATTAGTATTACCATATCCACACCGAGTCGTAGTCGGAGGGGGGAGTGTGTGAAAGGCTGAGAGGACCAGCAGCAGCAAGCCCACTCTCTTCGCCTTTCGTGCCGTGTTGAAGGGGCTGTGGCATGGTTTCTGGTGGATACAGTACCGTCCAAAGGATCTCCCCAATCAAACTAAATGCCAGCCATCCAACAGCCTCTGACCCAACGATTGGTGAGATTGTGTTGTGGGAGTTTCCCCTCTCTCTCTTACACCCCCTCCGGGGCCTACTCCGTTTACCAGCTTGTGGACTGGGACCTGGATGGCCAGAGAGAACGGAGACCAGATATGGAGATGGAGAGAGAAAAGAGAGAACGGTCTCCTCCCCCGTGGAGAGGATTTCCTCTTCGTTTTGCAGCTCCACTGGCCAAAGGTCTAAGAGAGGAGTTGCTAATGCGAGACCCGTATTTACAGCACAGGCAGTATCTATGAATAGAGGTTGAGCCTTATTGGTGATGGACGGTTCCGGACAAAGGACGAGATGAACTTGCAGAGTCACCGCCTTGCATTGTCCACGGCTGTCAACCCCGGATCATCCATCTCATCACGCCTTCGAAACGATGGGTGGCTTGACATGTATTCGACCAAGTCGGCAATATCAGCCCAGGCGGTCTCGTGGTTCGACAAGCTGCAACCCCCGTCAAGCCACCTGCAGCCGCCAGGTGCTTGTCGTGCATTTCATCTCGCTCCCAGACAGCTTTTGAGGCGTTCCCCCGTACCTCGTACATGGCGCACAACTTACTCCAAAGCATGGCTGGCTCATTGGCGCCAGGGGTCGAAACTTCCCACACCTTTCCTCCGTGGGGATGTTGTGATTTTTTGTTTTAGTCGTGGCCGCCCTGCATCTTGCTCCGCAGTGTGGCGCCAGAGGGAAGCTCGTTTACTGCAAATTGCCCAACCTCCAGGATGGCTGATAACGTGAATCACATGCTTCGAGTCCGTCTCATCCGTGCCGCCAATGTATCAGTTCTCGAACCTCGAGAATTTTACCTTTAATTGACTTGCATATTCGCAAAGGGCGGGGTAAAAAGGAGGGTGGCATTCTCTCCCCCTTCTTCCTCTGATATTGGCAGCCGTCTTCCCCGGAAACCATCAACAATCAAACGTTTATGCCGGCGGCGCAAAACAAAGCTGGGCTGGCTGGCAATGGCACTTGATCACTTCAGCCCGCGGGTTCATGCTAGGGGGGACCATAGCTACACCAGCTAAGGCATGTCGAGATGCAACCCACGCTGAGCAACCCGTCCCGGCTAACGTTGGACGGAGCAATTTAACGGCGCACACAAATCTGCGGACGAGACCCGGTCTGCTGCACGAGCGGCCCACCGAGATTGAATCCCAGCAAAGCAGCTCGCCAGCTCTGAACCACACGAACGCCTCAGTCAGTGCCTTGTGTTGCGCTGCTGCGTTTCAAGTTGCGTGCTGCAAAAAGACGACATGGGTATGATGGCGGGGCCGTTTTTTTCTGCCCTCTGCCTTGGTCGCCGGCGGCTCGATGACGACATGCTGATGTTTGTGCTCCATTTCTGCGAGCTCCTCTCTCCCTTGTGTCGAGCTCACGGAGATGAGGGAAAAGGCCAGCTGAGATTTGATGATACGTTGTCAAGTCAGATCAGATGTTGGGCGGCGAAATGTCGCTGCAGGAATGATAGATGAAGAAATGGCCCGAACGGCTGGGCATACATCTCGATGTTCGCCACCGGTACAGGTACATCTAGATCAAGAATCGCTAGCCCAACAATCTAGCAATCTAGAAGCTCGGATCGACAGAGGGAGCAGCAACAATGTCACCATGAAGGCGACGAGTTTAGACCGCGCAGCGCACATCAGGCAAATCAGGGTCCTATTGGCAGCATCTAGATGTGCCACGGCGCAATCTAAGGAAAATCCGGGAATCCTATCACAATGCCATGGCAAAAGGGACAAAAAGCCATCGGCCGCGTCGCCGCGCAATTGCTTGTTATCAAAGTCGGGTCTGCCACACCATCTCGCGCCGCAAAAGGCCATGATGCGCGCGCCGCCTTGCTTTGTCAGTCCTAAGCAGTCGTGTGAGCTCGTGCTGCATTAACAATAAATTACTGTTTCGTATATTTGAGCAAGAAAAAACCAAAAGGACAGTACACAATGAAATCATATGGCGTACGCCCCCCAAGAGGAAGCGGCCACGTCGAATCCCGCAGCAGCCGGCGGTTTTTGTTACTCGTGCCGGTTTACTCATGCATTGTGACATCGTTTGCCTCTCCACAGGGGGCCTTTCGGGGTGAATCTTTTCTGTTCCCTCAACAAAGCTGAATACGTCTCTTTTCTTTTTTCTTCTCGCGGTGAGATGGGATTTGAAATTACACTGGGACCGAGTCTTGCGAAACACGGAGCCTCTATTTTTTTCTTAGCCCCTCTAGATCGTGATGAGGTGCATGGCACATCCAGCCCTGATCATGGATCAGTATGAGGATCGAAAATACGTACCCTGTCACCGAGGTGGATGCGCGACGATCGCAGCGTTATTTACGAGTGCTCAAGTGGCTCCCGTGTGTCAAAGCCCAAACTAACGGTGCCAGTCTCCTCCAGGCTGCATACGAGAGGACGAGGAGTCAATGGCAGCTGGCCAAATAGGGCAATTAGCTCTTTGACGAAGCTTCTCGTTTACGGCGATGATTTTCAAAACTCCAATTTTCATTTCCCATGCAGCCGGATATACAGGCAAGCTCTGACTTTGGGCTCTCTTTTCTTACGGAAGCTTTCCCTCCCACGTACGGCCTCTCCCACACACACCCCCCTTTGAAGCTTTTTCTCCTCCTCACCCCGGCCATCACACCGACTGGAATTGGCGCCGTCGGTTGGGGGCTGATGATACTATCCCCAAGCGCTGGCTACTCCAGGTACATTCGCTCTGCTGCCAATACTTGTACATGCTTTTCCTGGAAAGCTACGAAGGGAAGCAAGGAGAAGAGGGCGGATAACGGAGCTAAGGCCCGTTGTAAGCTTTCGTCCCGTCCAGCTATCGCAGCCATTCTCAATTCTGCACCCCCTTCAGAAGTTCGTCAGTGTTTGGTTATGGCGCTGTATATTGCGTTACGACCCCAGCCCAATTGTGCATATTCAGCCATCAAGTTGGCTTCCTTCTTCCCCGCAGTCCAAGAAAGCAAAAACTGCAGCCCGTAAATTAAAAACCCAAAGCTATTGCCCGGTCGTCTGCAGCTTTTGGGCTCGAGGGGGAAGCAGCCAAAACGGCCTTGCATACGCGCCTGGAGACGGTTTGGCGAACGAAACGCCACGCCGATGTGGCCGGCACGCCTGAGCGCTGCAGTTGCAGCAGCTAACGCCGTATCTGGCTGCTTGACGAAGCTTGGATCATGCATTATGTGTCTATTCTTATGCCTGCCTACCTTACCTTAGCACGCCTTTGGTACCCTTACCGGTACTCGTAACAGACAAACGTTGCAGTACAAGCTTGGTACGTGTACCGTACTTTGGGACTAAACCCAAGGCATGGGTGAGCAAACGGAGTGTGCATATGGCCTCGCATCCGGCCCCACTGGATGCCGGTGACGGATGAATGATCATTTATTTGATATTACTATATTGGCAGCAAGACGTACAGTACAAACGGGCGTCTACGAGAGTGCTAGGGCATGGGGAACCATCCGCGAGACGAAAAGGGCAATGAGAAGAGGGAGGGGTCAGGGTACAGTACATGCGATTTGCAGAAGCCCGTCTTCTCTCGTCAGGCATCGTTTCTTTTTGCTGCTTGGTTCCTTTTTCGAATAGCTTCATTTTTGGGCGCGGCCGAACTCGAGGTTCTTTTTTCCCTTTCGACGGAATTAAGATGAGGTCTTATTACTGTTGCTTATGGGACTGGGGCTCTTTGCTGACAATAGCTGGGCTTTCTTCTTTTTGATGACAGATAAACGACGTCATGGACATGCCGGGGGGTAACCCTAGCTGAGAGCGGCAGGTCATGATACGGCAGCGTTTTTGTATCATCTGATGGGGGGAGAGACGAGCAATTGAGACACCTTTGCTTTTTTTGCTGGGAGAGAGAGGAAAATCCTATTGCGACGGCGAGATGGTTTCACAAGTTTAGTTCGAAGGCGGAACCGGTGAAGCTTCTTCCGGGGGGGCTATTTCATTCAAGCCCGGCCGGCCGCCTTTCAGATTTGCTTAGTCCGCTTGACCGCTAGTCCAAAGGGCTATCTTGCATCTCTTCTCTTTTTACCCTGGAGGTTTGGTGGTGGCTTGCAACCTTTTTGTTTTCGGGGCTAAAAGATGGAACGGCTTCTGTTTTTGCTGGCGCGAGAAAGTAACCCTCCTCCTGTAAGACGCATCTTTTGGTTCGCGTTCGCTCCGGCCGGTGTATTACTTGGACGACTAGTGGTGGTACTGCTTGGAGTTTGCCGGCCGGTTGGCTGAGCTGGGCCGGTGGTGGTGGTTGCTGCTGCAGTTTACCCTGCATCTGCGTTGTCGTTTCTTTTTTTTCCCTTTCCCCAGGATGTTGCTTGGTTTTTGCCTGGATCATGCTCCTTCGAATGCACCTGGGGGAGGGATGATTGCATATGATATTCTGGGGTGCGGCATTGGCGGCTTTCTTGGTGTCCTTTTTTTACGAGCTGCGTGAGTGACTTGCGTTTCCAATGTTTCGGAGTGTGCATTCTTTGGTCTTGTCAAAAGACAAGATGGGAGCAGCTGGATTGGCTGCTGGACGGACGATGATGATTCATGTTTTGTTTCTTTCCTGGGGATATCCATGTCAGAATAAGCACATGTTATCCCTACCTATGCTCGTGCGTGCATGTGTGTATGTACTCATATGCAGTAAACAGCTAGGTTTTGGGGGGCGTAGTCATCCGCATGTCTCTCTTTTTTCCCCAGGGATGATGATCTCTTTTTTCTCTTCACCGACATGGACATGGACATGACAGCTTGCGTGCTGCAGGAGTCGTGCATGGCGCTTCGCTTGTAAGAGACTTGACTTGGCTGTGCAGGAGTATGTAGTATGTAGTAGAAAGAAGCAAGCTGCTTTGCTGTACGAATATGCATGTCCAAGTCAGCAGGCAGTCAAGTGACCTGAAAGTCTGTACAGTAGTCCTTTCTGGAGAAGCATTAGCTCGGTGAAGGTAGACTGCTCACGCTGGGCTGGGCGAATAGTTCAGTCCTCCTCGTCACGAGATTGTGTTTTTCGGTAACCGAGAAAGTTTACTTTTGTCTCTGCTGATCCGATCAATTTTTATTTTTTTTTCCTTCTAGAATGATGCTTCGATTTCTCTTTTCGTCTGAATTGGATGGTCTTGAATGGCTGCTTCGAGTTAGGAAGACGTTTGAGTGATCGGAGTCTGGGGTTGTGAGGTGTACGGTAAAGTTTCCAGCTTGCATATCTGCATCCATGGGGGGTCTTTTTTTTTTTTTTTTTTGTGATAACTCAGAACTCGTATCTCTGTTTCTCTGTCTGTTTGTGTCAACGGCAATGGCAATGCAGAGATGCATCATGAGATCTATGATGGCATTGACATTGAATTTGTGACTGTCTGTATACGTGAGTGTGCATGTGAGCGTATAGATCGAGATGTATGAGTGTATAACTTTCGGTTGGCCGTGACTATTTTTTTTTTTTTTTCATCGTGTGACTGGAAGAAAAAAAAAGTTTGTTGCCTCTTTTTTCTTTCTCCCTTTCTTTCTCTCTCTCTCTTTTTCCTGTTCCGTTATCCTTTCGGCTTGTTTCTCCTGTGTTGTGAGTACACGATATGTTTGGTTGTGCAAACGGAGTGACGGTGAGCTTCTGATTGCTCCTGTTTGCCTCGCACAAAAGGCCAGTTTCACAAATCTAGTTCATAATTCAGCATACCGTTTTGAATTGATAAGAGAAAGAAGAAAAAATAGACCGAATTCCATACCCTTGTGCCGTCTCTCGCGAGAAATTCCCCCCTTCGTGAACCCTTTTGATAACGATGACTCTGCCACGTCACCAGAGGGTGGTGTTTGATAAGAGAAGCGAGAGATACCCGATGGAGGACCAAAGTTAAGAGGACGACGAGGGTCGATAAACGGCGGTGGGAAACCCGGAGTTTTGAAAGAAATAAAATATTTTATTTCGCACAACTATGTAAAATTCCTGTTGTCATCATTCACACGTATCAAACATCCACCACCAAAAAAAAACGCCACTCTTTGGGGGTATCCAAAAATCCTTTTTATTTGCCCTTTTTGTTCCAAAAAAAAAACACTGAACACTTGAAAAAAGGTGTGAAAAGCTCGCTTAATCTTCATGCACAGGGGGGCCGGCATAGTTCTTGTTGCCCCAGGCCCAGTACCAGATGCCGGAAATCGCCGTCGCGGCAACGAAGACGACGGGGGCGTAGTTGACGGTCTCGGCGGTGACGGGGATGACAGTCGGCATACAGAACAGCGGCAGAGCGAGCAGGGACCAGGCTGTTTGAAAACGGGGGAGTAAGCATGAGAGCAGAACAAAGAGGGTTATACGATTCGAGAAAGAAAGAGAAGATTACATACCGACAGTGACGACGTTGCAGACGGTGCCAAGAGGGCCGAGGTAGAACTTGCCCTTGCGGACCTGCTTCCTTCCACTCAACAGGCTGATGGCAACGGGAGTTGCATAGGCAGCAGTCAAACAAATGACACCCACACCGGAGAAGGCGTTAAATGCGGCGGGGGAACCAAAGTAGATGACTCCGAGGATAATCTGAACAGCCATGCTGAGCATCATGGCGTTGAGCGGCACGTCGAGCTTCTTGTTGACCTTGACCCACCACTTGGAGCCGGGAATGGCACCGTCACGAGCAAAGGCCCAGGTGCAACGAGACGCGGCAGTGGTGCAGCCAATACCGCAAATGATGGCGAGGACCATGATGGGAATGAGCAGGCCAATAGCACCGCCAGAAGATCCAACGGCCGACTTGATGATCGGGGGCACGGGCTGAGCGGACACGAGTTCGGCGAGCTCCTGCAGATCGGGAATGACGAAGACGAGAGGGATGAGGAAGAGGAGGCCAGCAAAGGTGTTGATGAAGATGGTGGCAACCATGGCCTTGGGGACCTGGGTGGCCGGGTCCTTGACTTCCTCGCACATACTGGACGTTGTGTGTTAGTTTCCAAGATGACAACTCGAAGGGGGGCTGCCAATTGCAAACGGCATGACTTACGAGATAATCATTCCCGTCGAAGAGGTGGCATAGGCGGCGTGAAGCAGACCGACGCAGAAAGACCAGCCACTGGGCCAACCGGAGAAGGACTCGAAATGGCCAAACACCCACTTGGCCTCGTGACGGCCGTGCTTGGCGAGGACCAGAATGGTGATGAGAATGGCAATGACACCGGCAAAGGTCCAGAAAACGGCAGCAGTCTGAGCAGCAAAATTAGCACATTGTCAGAATTGGTCGCTGAAGCAAAAGAAACCCCCATTTCCCTCGATTCTGAAAGGAATTGAAAGAAAGACGAGGACAGGATAGGACAAGACTCACATCCAACCAAGGAAGCCATTTGTTGCCGAGAGCAGACACAGCATTGCAAAAGAGCGTCAGGGCCAAAAAGATGAGAAACACCTGCCAGGTTTCACCGGCAAAGATGCCAACGCCGGGCTCCTTTTCAAATACATTGATGCAAGAGACGAAGAAGAGCGTGGTGCCAAAGTTTACGGCCAGGGTGATGGTGATGTTGCCAACAACAAAGAGCCAGCCCGTGATCCAGGATGCGATGCGCCGCCACTTGGGAGAGGCCAGCATAAAGGCTTGGTAGTAGACACCTGAGGAAAACAGCAAAGATATGAATTAGCACGTTGCGCATTACGATTACGAACAATTATACGAATGTTCTTGTTTCTTGTCCGGGAACGGGATGGGCTAGATGTTTATTACCTCCGGCAGTAGGGTAGACACTGGTGATTTCACCCAGAGACACGGCGACGCAGACAATAATGAGCGACACGAGAACCCAGCCCCAGATGATGTCGACCGGACCGCCTCCCACCAGCGGGTAGTATAGCGTCGTGGCAAGACCGTACGGGATAGAGGCGAGGACAAAGGACATGAAGGCGACCTGGGCGGTGGATCGGTTGCGCGACAGCTCGGGGGTGTATCCGAGCGTCTCGAGGAGGTGATCGGCCGAGTCCTCGACGGTGGAGAGATTCTGGGCGGTTTCGAGCTTGGAGTCGACGAGGCCCGGCTTCCCTGCCGGCTTGTTGGCCGAGGAAGAGGAAGACATTGTCGCGGGTGAGGAGAGAGGCCGCCCAAGAGTATCACCAACAGAGAGGAACAGAGAGGGGAGAGAGAGGAGGGGGGATGAGGGGAAAGAGGAGAAGAGGTGAGAAAAGAGAAAAGAGAAGAGGAGGAGATGAGGAGGTTAAAGAGGAGAGTAAAAAAAGAGGCCGGAGTGGTCTAGACTTTTGCGCGTGGGAATAGCGATAGATGATTGTTGAGAGATTGTGGCGCCGAAGCTCATGCAAGTAAGCAGTGCAACCAGGATGCTGTCATGGCCATTAAACGAGGGTTCGTTTGGAGCTGAGATTTCGGTTCGGTTTGGTTTGGTTTGGTCCAGATGGCGAGACTAGGCCGCATCCGAAGATTGTCGCGTGCTTCGTTTCGGGGGTTTGGGCCAAAAAGAGGCTGAAGGCGGAAGCGGAGACGTTGAAGAGATTTGCTTGCACTAATCAAAGAGGCTATTCTCTAGTATATATTGATGTGAGTATGAGTATGTGTAGCAGAATCTCGTAGGGGAGAGAGAGTGGGAAGAAGAAGAAGAGGAGGTGAAAGGTGAGAAAAGAAGGTTGAAGAGTTTAAAAAGGTAAAGAGAAATTTACGAGTCGAGCAAGTCGGCAAGTACCTGAAAAGCTGAATGTATTTTTGCTCGGTTTTCTGGGCGGCGGGGCCTCGGCCAGTTTCAGCAGCAGAAGAAAAACTTGGCGTTGATCGACGGTGCGGGCGGTTTGGCGCTAGAAGTAGAAGAAAAAGAAGAAGATGCTGATGTTTCAATTGATGGATGTTCATTCTTTATGCGTGCTGGATCGCCGTCGTACAGCTGAGATGCAGGGACTGATTGAGATCATCGGCATGGATGGAGGCTGTACACAGAGTTACAGTTACAGTGGTTACAGAGCTGGAGTTCAGTTCACTGATACAGTGAGTACACATCAACTAACAGCCTTAACACATGCTCTCTCTCCCCCAGAGAACAGACCACACAGTTCCCACCCTCCGCCCGTGGAGACAAAAGCCCAAATTTCCCATCAAAAAAACCCCCCATCATGGGATTATGGATTCTTGATATCATGGCGCCGCCCATTGGAGCCCATTGGAGCCCTTTCCCCAGGCTAACGACCGGCCTAGGCTGGATTCATCAGGGGGAGGCGACCTAAGGCAATCTTGGTTCATCCATGTTCCTAGGGGGGCCCTTGAGTGGCTTCCAGTGGCTCCAGGCGGCGTCGTTGGTGGTTGGTCCAGCGCTGGGCCCGAGAGGCTAGCGGACGTTGGAACCTTGAACACCTACGTCAGAAGAGTTTTGAACACAGGCGGCCTTGGCCGAAGGGGGGGATGACGGTGGTTGTGATTTGTTTTCTAGAAGGCTTGAGGGCACTATAATACGTAAGGAGGTGGTAATCTGATGGCGGGAATGCTTTAGAATGCTGACCGGCGGCGGCGACTTTTTTTTTTTGCTGGAGATTTTTCCCAGATTGAGTTTCATCTTGCTCGCTGCGAGATGGACGGGGCCTTATTTCAGTGGTTCAAATGGATCAACCAACGGAAGGATGTCACTTGTAAAGACAAACAAACACACAAACAAACTATTAAATTCACATACAAGGAATATCCATATGCATCTATCCCATTAATCTCATAAACAACACAACCAGGTATCGACTGATGAAAAAGCAACTGACAGAGGAAGAAACAAAAAGACCCGCAAGCACATGCAAATCCATCCTCGAAATGATAGACTTGTTTGTACCATGTTCGACGCTAAACCGTTAAAAAGTGTCGCTCGGTGGGCCATTCAGGAAAGACTGCACGAGCGCGCTAAGCCGAGAGGGAAATGGCCCGGCCGCTGGCAAATTCAACAATTCGAGTCTGGCCCTGGTAAGGGAACTTGTGATATGATATGATGCCTGTTGTGCTGTTATCTGTTCTGTTTATGGCCAACTAGGTAATACGGCCAACTAATACTAATTGATTATTCATGGTATGAAGATATACTCAGCTTAATCTATCTAGGTTGTCTCTTTTGTGGACTGAAAGGACATCATCGGCTACAGAAATGCATATTGAACCTCAGGTACACGCAATGGAGTCGTCCATCCACCACTGACCGTAGCATCTCTCCCCTGTATTTACGAGCACGAGCACATGCTGTCTTCTCTACGAGTACACACCGCATGTCTTGGGTCGCATCTCGTAGTAGCCATCACAACTAACTATCCTTCTTATAGCCTGGCCCATCTCGCCCTCTGTCCATCACGACCCGTAGCCCATCAGGGTCTGGACGTGCATCAGGGTCTAGACGTCTTGCCATCACCTCGGCCCATCTATCTGTCCAAACCAGACCACAGCTGCAGCTTTTGCTCACTTGTCCATCTCAGTCTCTTCTTATTTTTGTTTCTTTCGGCTTTTTTTTCCATCTTTCTTTTTCTTCTTGTCATTTTCTCTTTTTTTGTTTTAGTCAGCTCTTATCTCGTTTCACTCGCTCCTCATTCCCTCTGCTTTTTGTTTATATGTGCTCGCTGTATCATTCTCATATCATGTCATCGTCATGCCATCAACTAAAAGTACTAGTCACGTATATGTAGCTCTATATCGATATATCCAGATTTTTGTTTTTGGGCTCCCCTCATTCTATCCATCTATCCACTCTCTGTTCCGTCCCTTCACCCCATCCTGTCTCTATCTCCCCCCATATTCCCCCCCTTTTAACGAGTCCCCAAATCAACCCCGTCCACCGTTGTAATCAGCGCCTCCAGACTTCCGCAACAGCTTCACAAGGTCGTCCTCCTTGAGCTCCGACCGCTCCTCCGCCGTAATGGCCAAGTGATGATGCGCCAGCGCCTTCTTGACGTCGCCGCTCTCCACGCTGACCCGCGCTTTTCGCATCACCCGCGTGTTCTTGCCGATCCACACGGCCAGCACAAACTTGACGCGCGTGCTCTCCTTGTCGTTGGCGTACTCGATCCGCACGTAGCCGTACTGCACCTGCTCGTCGTCCAGCGCCGCCACGAGCTCCTCAAGCCCGCCCGTGCCCGAGGCGGTCAGCGTCAGCTTGTTGCCCACGGCCGCCGCGTACGACAGGAGCATCCAGTTGGTGTCCTTTTTGTCGTTGCGCACGTCGTCGTACGCAGCCACGATATCGGGGGCGTCGAGGCCAGACATTGTTGCCTTTTATCTTCGTTTGTAAATGCCGGGCCGGTGAAGTCAAGGTGACACAGCAGAATGAGTGAATCGCCGATCCGGGAACTTCAAGATAGATCGGCTTCGGAGCTTCGGGTTGGATCTGGATCCAAGGCACGTGCGGGACCTGCGACAGAAGACGGCCAGTTAGCATTGCCATTTGCCATTGCATTGTTTTCTGTCGATCCGCCGCTTTGCTTCTCCCTGCTCAATGTTTCAATGTCTCGCCTTACCTTGCAGACTGGCTAGATGGGCGTATTCTAGAGGGTTGGGAGAGCAAAAGGGCGGGGAAGAAATCTGGCTTAGTATGTACGAATCGTCGGTCACGGCCTCCACCGACAGCCCCCTTTCGCCCAGCTAATCGATTACAATACATTCGCCTACCCTAGACTTGGCCAAGATGTTGGAATTTGTAGACCGTAATCCCACTTGCCAGGTGATATAAGGAAGAGCATTGCCTGATAACCAAGTAGGATGCACTTTGGTCAATTGTTTTCTTAAATGGGTTGCTCAATGGAATTGCATTAATCGCCCTGTGTTTGTCTCAGCCATTTCTTCTTCTATTGCAACCCTCCAATATCAACTAGCAATGCCCCTCCACACGAAAAGATTCAACATCCATGTAGCATGATCGCCAGTCCCTGCAGATGCACAATGCAGTACTTAGCAAAGTAAAGTGAATGCGGCCATAGTATCAACATCGTCGAGATTATTAACTTCTTCGTGTACTTCAGTAATGTATATCTTTGTTTAATCTAGTTGCCTGGCTCATTCATGTCCAATCCGGCAATATGCATCTCCAACCTCAAAATCCAAACGCCCTATATCCCATCTCATAGTCTACCTGTACAGAGTTTCCAACTCGTATTCCCTGTGAATTAAACGCAGTACTAAGAAAAAAAGAAACACTGTCCTTCTTACTTCATCACTTCTACAACTCTTCCACTGCCCCCTTCACCATCTCCCAACACTTCTTCATCCCCGTTCCCATATTCTCAGCGTCAACATCACCTCCAGCCACCCACCGTCTCGGCTGGTCTTCATCCTCTGCCACCGCAGCATCATCTCCCACCTCAAACAAATAGACATGCATCGTCAGCTTGATGTGCGAGAAAAGCCACGGCACATTCCCCAACTCGCCCTCACACGATATCTTTGTCTTTCCACCTGCCTTGTCGCCATTCAGCAAGTCCGACACGTACTCATGGGCCAGCCGCTCGCGCTTCTTCTTATCCGACTTTGTCGACGGCTCGAGCAATTTGCTGGGAAACTCCCATAGTCCGGCCAGTAGACCGCTGAGAGGCCGGCGGTGGATGAGATAGTGGCCGTCGCTTCGGCGGATGGCGCACACGAGCGTTTCTTCCTCGCGGACGGCCTTTTTGATGGCCTTGACGGGGAATTTGCGAGCGTAGCTGGTGATTGTGTCCATTGTTGCCTTGGAGGTGGCCGAGGTCGTCGTTGATGGAGAGGGCGAAGGGGATGATGAGTTGCTAACGGTTTTTCGCGTAAACGCAAATGCTGCAAGCGTGGGCTGCTTGCTTTTCTTTGCTTCCGTCTTCTTCGTGCTGCCGCCTTTCTTGTCCTGGATCGAGTCTTCGTCGCTGTCGCCGTCGGCTTCGTCAAACTCTTCGCATAAGATGCACAAGTCTTCAATGTCGACTACCCTCGGAGACTTTTCCTTTGACTTGTTCGCTTTCAGTTCGCCTTCTTTATAAACGCGACATGTCGATGTGATAGGACATTGAGAGCAGTTCGGGTTTGGTGTGCAGATTGTACTGCCCAGCTCCATCAGAGCCTGACCCCATCGTCCCGGTCTGTCATTAGGCTCTGAGCTTGTCTTGCCGTCGTCGCTATCCTGCTCGGCTGTGGCTTTGACAATTGCATCTGCCGCGGCCCAGATGGAGTCAATGACGGCCTTGCCCGTCTTGATGTTGCCGTGTATCCCCAGCTGCCTGCTCAGTACTCGCAGCACGTTGCCATCGACCATTGGCTCTGCCCGACCGAAAACGATACATGAAATGGCGCCGGCGGTATATCGTCCGACGCCAGGCATCTTTGCCTCAAGATCCTTTGCCGAAGATGGTAACAGGCCCTTCATCTCTGAGTCGCCAACTGCCAGCTTTGCTGCTTCATGGATTCTCGTCGCACGGCTGTAATACCCGAGTCCGCTCCACGCAGCAAGCACGTCTTCTGACTTTGCCGCTGCCAGGTCGTGAATCGTTGGCCACTTGTCCATCCAGCGGCTCCAGTAGTCAATCACGACGGCCACTCGAGTCTGTTGCAGCATGATCTCGCTGATCCATACCTCGTATGCGCGCTTCTCGAGCGTCTTTCGAAGCTCTGCTGGGTCCGATATCGTCTTTGGGTCAACCCAAGCTTTGCGCCACGGCATAGACCGGGATTGGCTGACTGAGTCAAACCACGAGAGCAGAGCCTTTCGACCTTGAGATCCAACTTGTTCATCCAAGAGGAGGGGTCTGTGGTATAAGACGGAGTGCCGGCGTAAAGGTGGGAAGCATGCCTCTTCTTTTGCCGCTTCTCTGGCTTCTTGTGCAAAGAGTCTCTTGCTGAGAGCAGCGTCGAATTTGACTGAACGCAATGCAGGAGCTGCTATTTTTCGTCTTTTGGCGTCATTCTCTGGTGGGATGTCTTCCATGTCAACTTCATCTTCAACCGCGACCTCAAAGTCAGAATCGCTGTGTGAGGGCGAGGCATCTTGCGTCTTTGCTGCTCGAGAGACGGAGCGAGATGAATTTCTTTTGCTTGCTGCTGAAGATGCTCTCGCTGGCGGTCTTGAGCGTTTTGTCGCAGGCATGATTTAATTAATTATTTTTGCTATCGATTGGCAGCTTTGAAGCCTGATTTCGTTTCTGCTCATCTGTGAGAGGAAGCTGGTGAACCGCGTCTTGGCTTATCCTTATCTGAGTCGCGACGCGCACGGACCACCCATTTACTTGCTTTGCGAAAACACCAGAAATTTGGCATCATGGGAATTGTGTGTGTAGTTTTGATGCTTCATTATCTATTGTGAGAAGCAAAGGCTGAACTCGTAGTTATTCTTTTAAATTTAAAAGAGAGTATGGAAATTGTAATTCACTCAAAACAACTGCATTTGACTTTCCATTGACGTCGACTATTTCTGTCATTTGTGCGTGTGCAGATATTTGGTGAGGCCACCTCTACTCAAGTTGCTTACAGCTTCGAGACCAACGCATTTGTAGAGAATATATTTTTTTTATTTACACGCCTAAAAGCCCAACTTTTAACAATTCTTCTCTAACCTCTTAGAATCCAAGCAACATGGCCGCAATCGACACCGCCGCTGGAACGGCCTGCACATACAAAATCCTCTTGCTCGCCGTCGCCGCGCCATACACGCCTGCCACTCCCACACATCCCAGGAAGAAGAGCCTGATCTGCGCCGCAAACTCCTCCACCGGATGGGCCAGCCCCCAGAACAGCCCGGCGGCGAGGAAGCCGTTGTACAGGCCCTGGTTGGCCGCCAGCACTTTGGTCTTGGTGGCAAAGTCCGGGGCCAGCTTGAAGGCCTTGTGGCCGCGCGGGGTGTCCCAGAGGAACATTTCGAGCGTGAGGATGTAGACGTGGATGGCACCCACGGCGCCGGTGGCGATGTTGGAGATGAGAGGCATTGTTTGTTTAATTGCTGTTGTGGGAGTATTATGAATAACCGCCTCTGATTACTTCTTGTTGTTCTTGTCTTGTTCCTGGAGTCTTGTCTGCTGGAAACTGACTTGGTAGACGCGGCTCAAGCTAGCAAGTTGGTGCTATTAGACCCCCAATGACTCGATTGGCCGAGGGAAGATGGGTTCAGCTGGGACAACTGTGGCTTTCGGGGAACCAAGTCTCGTAGGCGATTGGATGAGCTCTAGTTTCGTGGCGTCGTACTTCGTATTTGGCTGCGGAACAAAAAACCGGCGAAAATTGATTCGAGACAGTGAGAGCGGAATGAGTGCGAATGTAAATCAACTTGAGATTCAATTTTGTAAATAGCTGGACTATGTATATATTGCAATAAAGGCTCGGTTGAAATAGTAACACAACTATTTTTCGTCTCACTCTTTTTCACGGAGAAAATTTAACATTGCATCGGACACAGCGACATCTTACTCTATGCGGCAGCTTGAAAACCCTGTACTACGCCCTTTCAAACCAGATGGCGGGTCTCGTCGCACTTCCCGTGTCAGATCGGCTAGTTTTCCATATTAAAAAAAATGAACGCAGTCGGTACTGAGGCAGAGATGCCGAGGCATGTCTCGTTACGGAACTTGTACGCGTAGTATAGCGAGAGTGGCTGAAAATCTTGTACGTTGAAGAAGACGCGACACGGGAATATAGAAATACAAACACAAGACCGGCCTGAATGCCCAATAATCATAGATAGACAGAACTTGGCGAAGAGGATTCTGCTAGTCGCTATCTGGAAAATGCATCTCTGCTAGAACTGGTACCTTGACAACCAAAGTCTTAATGTTGGAAACTCAGGAAGCCAACAAGTGAATATTCCTTTTGTTTGTCAGCAAATCATCTTGGTCAAGTTCGAGACTTCTCTTTCAGCTTGCAGAGTCATCGGTGGCTCTCGGAGCGAGAGCCTAAAGCCAAGACCGGCGGCATGTCGCGGGATATCGAGCGTTTAGCCGGTCCTCGTGACTAACGCGCCGACGATGAACCCAGTTGCTTGTGCCGTATTCTTACGTGGTAATAATATTCGGCTGGCGTGTTGAAGCATCGTTTGCAACTACACCGAGTAGATGGTAAGGTAATGCGATAGCTTTCTGAATACACGTACTCGTAGTACATGTGGATTCACCGCCGGCTGCTTAAAATGATGACGTTCCCCATTATACATGTACTTTCGGCCGAGTGTCTGGAGCAAGCACTCGCTACTCCGGAGAGTCGTTTTCATATCACCTCGAATGGTATCGGTTGACGCAGAATGATAGTCGCACGCATATCATAAACGATAAGTCTTCAATGATAGAGAGATAACAGGCCGATGCCGAGTTGATTGTATGATAATACGGCATAGATTGCTGCTATGCCTTATCAGTATGCGCCAAACCAACATCTCACCACTTGACCCCCTCGCAACTCCAGCTGAACCAAGCTCACGTTGCAGCAAGTCTATCAGCAGTTGAACCATTCATTCGGGACGACGCTTCCATGAGGCGCCACCGTGAAAACGTCAAGCCACTTCCATGTTTCCGCTGTTGTCCAACGGCGGTCATCTGGCTGAAAGCTCCATGGCTGATATTGGGGGTCCCAAAGCGAAATCCATAGAAAGGGGGCGCACGAGAACAATACAAAATATCAAAGCTCTCAATAGCGTCCTTTGTTAGACCCACGATGCAAAAAATGGAAAAAAAGGAAACAAGAGAAAGGAGGAATGGGAGACGAGTAAAGTTGAGCCCGTGTCATTCTCTCGTATTTGTCAACGTTTAGAATGCTCGCAACTCTCTTTTCAGTCTTCTTCAAGAGGCTCGTCTCGTGCAAGAGATGCAACCCCATTCTGTGGGGGACCAACCGCAGGGCGCGGCCAGGTTAAATTCATACTGGGGGCTTTCACCAAGCGTCGGCCGCGTGCGGGGAACCCGCAGGGAGGACTCAAAATAGCAGCCGGAGTAATACCCGTCTTTCATAGCAGAGATGAAGCTCTGTGAAGGGCGTCATGAGCTTCTAGTTTCTCGTCCCGGATCCTCCATAGCTCTATGTGGAGCTCCAAGGTAACATCTGCTGCAGCTAGCACCATATCAATGAATTTCTCCAGGACTTGTGTACAATACTTGACAGCTCTAGAGATAGGTATTGAGGATCTCGCTTTGCTGGCCCGAGGCGGGACCCCCTACCTCTTCTCCCAAGCTCTTTTGGGGACCCATACGGGCTTCCGTGGGGGGACGAGCCTACGCCAGGCCTCGCCGTGATGAAACGTTCTGATCAGCACCTGCTCTGTCACCGCCGACGATGAATATAGATAGGCAAGACGTGCGCCAAGAGACGCCTCGCAACGTTGGGGTGGTACACGGGGGGTTCGGTTGGTGGGGTTTCTATCGTCGAGCGTTCGACGCTGGGCTGACGACGAGATACGATACGGCTGCTGGGAGGAAAATGATGATTCGGCGAGCGAGTCTGTCCGGCGGCGTTAGGTGTTTGAACACACAAGGCCTCGCTAGATATCTTGAAAGAAAGAAATGCACGCAGATAACGGGATGGTGTGGGCGCGTGAGCAGTGCCGATCAGGGTGTAGCGAGCGATTCGGATAAAGGCATCTAGAAGGAGGAGGTCGGAGCTACTCGAGAGGGAAAACTGACCAACGGCAGTGCGTGGATTGAGCAAGAATGGCCTTGTCCTTGTCCCTTGTTCATGCAGTGAGCCACACCTCTTTTTGTTCGTTTCTTGTTTGCCCTCAACTTGGATTCAGACAAGACACACTGCTTATGCATGAGCCCCGGAATATTATGTGATGGCTCACAGTGTCTGTCTGTGAATAGCTATAAAGACCAAAGCCATGTATTGTACGGAATAGGACGGTGGCTTTCTGCTAGTACAGTGTAGGCGTTTGCCCAAAGAGAGAGAGAGAGAGAGAATGACAAGACTCCAATCTCTCTTCCTCTCTCTCTCGCTACTGTATGTGCTAGGTTCGGTGAATTGCCATCTTGTTGGGGGTCAGCCGCCAGTCTGCATCAAGATAAGCCCCAGGCCTGGATATGCTCTGCACATGTACGAGTACTCGGTATGGCTTCCGTGCCTGAGGGTGATCGTGGCTGAGCAACTTCAGCTCGATTTCCGTTCAACAATGAAACGCCAGTTGAGCCTCATTCAAGATGCGATACACCCACGCATACGTCCGCTGCATCATCCCTTTGTGAAAGCCCTTTCCCCCCTTGCGTGGCGGACGAAAGCTCGTGGAACAGCGAACCAAAGTCTCACAATCCACCGGTGAGCTGCCCATTCACCACAGCTAAACCACATACGGCACTTTTTGCGTATGCATTTACAATGCCTTTTACCCCATCTCTCCGCGTCTCCAAAAAGTCTTGCCGCCGCTAGCCTTAGACCCAGCTCAATGGTTCGAGTGCTTATTGATCCCTGGCGCTCGGTGGGGGAACAAAAGATGGGGGAAAAGAGACTTGCGGAGGGCCACAAGTTGTGGCGCTTTTTGCCTTGGGTTTTCTGCTTCCGAAGGGGACTGAGACATTGCGGACGGAGGTGATAGGGCTTTTGCTGCCGCTTTCGAACCAAGTGGGCGAGGGATTGCAACCTCCATATCGTGCCTTGGTTACATACCCTTGTCCGGAATTGGGCCTTTGCCTCGTGGCTCTTCGTGGAGCATGGGGAAGATATAGCCGTACTTCGTACAGTAGTAGCCTTGGTTACCTATCGCTGGACTGCGCGAAACCCATAAAGAGATCTCGGCCCGCTGTCAATCTTGCGTACATCCATTCCCTTCATCGGCCTTTCCACCTCTCCCTTTCCCTTGCCGACATCCGAACGCTGCTCTTGACTCGCAGTAGCGCGCAGGGAAAACAGCAACAGATATCAAGGAGAAGCGACAGACGCGATATCAGAGCAATGGCGGAGAAGGACGAGTCGCGGCCAGAGCCGGTCATCGACCATGGCTCGATCAATGGCGATCACATTGACAAGTCAGCCATTGGAAACGTCACCGAAGTCCAGGGCAACACACACTTCCACGAGACGGTCTCTGCGGCGCCTCTGAATCCCTGGTCATGGACGAGCATTCAGCTCTACTGTATCCTCCTCGTGGCGGCGTTGAACGCGACATCATCTGGTTTCGATGGTGTAAGTAAAGAGACTCTTGCATTGTTGTCGGCAAGACACGATGACTGACCGTTCACAACAGTCCATCTTCAGTTCTATCAACGCCATGACTCAATACCAGAACTACTTTCATCACACGGAGCTCGGCTCTTCTACTGGAATGTAAGTTTTCATCTTTATGCCGACATCTATCTATCGCCCGTCTGCTGTATCTCACACGGTCCTCTTTACAGCATCTTCATGATTTACACCATCGGTAACATGATCGGCTCTCTCTTCACCGGTCTCATTTGCGACCAGTTTGGCCGTCGCGCGGGTATGATGACCGGTTCTCTGTTCATCATGGTGGGTGCTATCGTCCAGACGGCCGCCAAGTCCGATGCCTACCTCCTCGGAGGTCGTTTTACCCTCGGATTTGGTGTTGCCATCGGAACCTCGTCTGCACCTACATACGCTCTCGAGCTGGCTCCGCCCCAATGGCGAGCCCGAGTAGTCGGTTATTACAACACCTGTAAGTAGAGCTTCTTGTGGATAAAAAGGAGTTTCTTATACGGATAACTAACATGGAGATGATACTTAGTCTTCTACACCGGTTCTATTCTCGCCACGGGAGTCACATATGCCTCTGCCAAGAACAACAGCGAACTGGCCTTCCGCCTCCCCATGGGTCTCCAGCTCATTCCTCCGTTCTTCATCTTCATCGGCGCACTTCTCATCCCCGAATCTCCTCGATGGCTCACTGCGACGGGAAAGAAGGAACAAGCTGCTGCAATCCTGGCCAAGTATCACGGAGGCGGTGACACCAACCACCCTGTTGTCCAGCTCGAGCTGCGCGAATTCGAAGACTCCATCGAGCTGCAGAAGGCGTCCAACCTGTGGGACTACTGGGCGCTGGTCAAGGACCACAACGCTCGCTGGCGATTCACCATGATGTCCTTCATGTCCTTCTTCGCTCAGCTGTCTGGAAACTCCGTCTTGACTTACTACCTCCCTTCCATGTACAAGATCCTCGGCATCATCTCCGTCGAACGTCGACTGCTCCTCTCCTTTGCCAACTCTATTGTTTCTGCTACTGGTGCTGTTGCTGGATCTGCTACCAACGACAAGATTGGTCGTCGTACCAAGCTCTGGGTCGGAAGCATCGTCCTCGCTGGCCTGTTCGGTGCCGTCACAGGATTCTCCGCCAAGTTTGAGCACGGCGCGGAAGGCATTAGCACAGCCTTTAGCAACGCTGGTGTTGCCATGGTAAGTGATGCTCCGTATTATTACCACGGCCTGTACTAACGTCTTGTGCTTCTAGATCTTCCTCTTCGGCTGTGCCTACTCCTTCGTGTACACTCCCCTGACTGCCACTTACTGTGCCGAAGTTTTAGCCAATCCTACCCGAGCCAAGGGTATGGGAGTTGTAAGTTTTAACCAAATAATACAAACTATTTCTCTACATCTGTCTCAGTTGCTGACCACATCTTTCTCACAGCACGTCATCATGTCCAACTGTGCCAACCTCTACAACACCTACGTGACTGCCGTTGCTCTCGAAGCCATCAACTGGCGCTACTACCTCATCTTTGTCGGCCTCAACCTCATCTACTCCTTCCTCTGGTGGTTCCTCGGTGTTGAGACCCGTGGCCGCACTCTTGAGGAGTTGGACGAAGTCTTCAACGCCAAGTTCCCGCCGCGTGCTGCTCTGCAAAAGCACGTCATGGTCAAGAGACAGGATGGCCACCTTGCTGGTCTGAGTGACAGCAGCGATGTCGCTGACCGAGTTTAAATGGATATTGCCGCAGGCGGTGTTGGGCTTTGTAATACCTGGAGGTGAAGCCGTTGGTGGAGAGTTAATTGCCATGAAGCGGAGGCTATATTTGTTAAGATATTATATGCACGATTAATGATAAGAAGAAGTAGAAAGCGTTTGCTTGACTACAAGTATTGACGAATGTCATTTATTCTGTCGAGTCCATTGTCATGCTTCCTGAGTGCTAGTTCGGCTCATCTTGTAGAATGCCGTACATATTTCCATGGCCTGAGAGATAGCTCGCCAGCTCGCTGCTATCTTGGTCATGCCCTTCTTGCAATCCATTCAGCTTGGTAATATCTTCAATGGCCCATGCTACTCTCTCTGCAGCAACTTTGGCCCCTCCAATGTTCGGTGCTGCTGGCCCAAGCTGAAGAGCTCCCAACCGTCCGGCCAAGAATAGGGGCACGCCGTCTTTCCACATAAGATCCTCGTTGATGCAGGGGAATCCGCCATGCCCATGGATAGGATACTTTTGAAGCATGGTTTGCAGGTATGGTAGGCACGCAAAATCCGTCTGGATTCCTGTAGCAAAGTATATGTAGTCAAAGAGTGGCACCTCCGCAATAGGCGGCTCTGTCTTGATGGCCCAGAAACGAAATCCGTTTATTTCTTTCATCTCGGCGTCCACCAGGCTTGTATTGGTGTGAAGCTCGATATGGCCAGATGCAATATATTTCTTCACTTTCTTGTAGTAAGTGGGTGTGAGACTGCCGCCGCCGCGGGCCTCTTTTATAATCTCGAGACGTTCGATATCCGAGTCTGCGGTCCAGAAACGCGCTTGCTCGGCGTTTTTGTATTTGCCCATCCATGAAAGATCGACGTCAAAATGCTTGACGCGCATAGGACCTCGCATGAGATGCCATATCTTGGTGACACCCCTTTTCAGGGCAAGCACGGCGAGCTGGGCGGAAGTAAGGCCGCCACCAATGATGAGAACATTTGTAGAGCGGCCGGCGGCGATGCGCGATTTGACAATGAGATCGGGAAATTCTTTGATTTGCATACTGTGGCATGCTTGAGGAGGCACACCGCTAGCTGTGAGAGGAGCAGATGGGAGAGGAGGGATTTTGGGGGTATTTGCAGGACCGACGGCGAGGACAACGGTTTTGGCGTAATAGTGTCGAGTAGAGTCTGTAGTTACAGTAAACAGTTTTGCACCGTCTACTGAAACGCCTCGAACTTCGCCGTAGTCGATGTCTTGTAGTGTCTCCTTGCGGATGAGTTGCTCTCCAAGATTGTATCGTCCGGCCACATCCATGCAATGATCACGAAAGAGGGCTTGAGATGGTGTGTAGTAGTCGTTTCGTTCTCTAAGATTGATGGAGATTCTTGCTTCTTGTCTGTGGTCATTTGTTAGCATATTTTAATGTGATAATCTGAGAAATGGAAAGTAACATACTTGCCACCGCAAACTCGGCCATTGGCCATCTTTTTACTTGCGTGTTTGCTTATCTCCTTGCCGACACAGTTGCGGATCTCGACCAGCTCATCCTCCCGCTGATGATGATATGCATGCGCGAGAAGCGCATCTCTATCGAGGGGATCCACGTGCCAGAGCATCGGGCTGCGCAGATGCGAAATGTCGTACGTCTTGAAAAGATGATTCCATCGGCCCAACCACTTGTTATCCGTGGCGTCCAAGACGAGCATCTTGTACTCGGGTCGACAGTGGCAGCTTTGTGATATTTTGCCACTTTTTACATGTTTGAGGTTGACATTTTTGCCGTATTTGCCAATCCAATGGAAACGGCGGTGTTCTTCGTCCGTGAAGAGGGCGGCCGGGGTGTGTTCGCGGAGACGGGAGGCCGTGGAGAGGCCACAGGGGCCGGCACCGACAATGATGACATCGTATACTTCGTCTTCCACTTCAGCCATGGCTTTGGAGTAGGATTGGAATAAATCGGTGTGATTTTCTTCGGTGTAAAAGAGTTGGTAGCTGTTGAGACTTAAACGGGAGATGCTGCGGCGTTGCTATATGACGGATGAAGTCTTGTCCGTTCATTGCTATTATCCTGTTCATCGTTGAGAACCTTGATGGCAAGTTTCTTTGCCTTTATAGCAACAATTTACGCGTTCATCTCATTTGTTCAGTATGGTTAGACTTGATAAGATGTATAGTTGGAGGTTGCGTGGACCTTGATGGACTGTGGGGGAAGCCATCAAGGTTGCTCGCAATGAGATGGCTAGCTATTCCTTAGCTCAACTTGGAAACAAACACGGTCCCTCGACACTCAGAATTTATTCTGTGCCACATTTAATGAGTTAATCTGGTCAATGCTTTCCTTCAAAATGACCTCTAAGTTCATTTTATTGCTGGGACATTGGGCTTCCCATAAATGGAATCCATTTCGGTGAACAAAGTGGCTCTTTTAACAAGACGGGATGAACATTGTTCTTTTATTTGACATAACAACTTTTTGCAGTCCCCCACGTACATAGATACAGATGCCAGTACCGTTGCCCTCCTACACAACTCATGATATGACAGAACTCAAGTCTATGGCGACCAGCTTTCCTGGCTCCATTAGGGTACCACTGATAGGTGAAAAACGGTCGCCTGATGTTGTAACAAAGAGTGTTTTCTTCCGATGCGGCCCTCTTCCGAATTGCGCAGCTGTTCCACCACCAACGGCCAGTGAATCGGCTGTTCCGGCCAATTGTTGCACGCGTCCGTCGAGTGAAACTCGAATGACAGTGTTCTGAGACGTAGTTGGCAAATACACAGTCCCATCCGGTTGCACGTCAAAGTCATCGCACATGAAACCCTCAGCGATCCGCTGGATGCTGCCGGTGATTGTGCCATTTTTAGCTATAGGAAGCCTGCTCAGACTCATTTGAGCTGTATTGGTGAAATACAAGTAACCGTTATGAATGTGCACTCCATTTATTCCTGCGGGGATGTTGCTACCCTCGGGAATTGCCATTGACGGGTCTTGAAGGAAAATCTCGTAATGGCCTGTGGATATATCGACCTTCCACAAGAGACCCAAGTTAGTATCGGTTACAATCACCGTTTTGGGGTCAAGAGTTGCAATGCCGTTCAAGAAGCTCGCACGATCAATTTTGGCGATAGGGTAAGTCTGAGGTTCCTCATGCGTGAGGTCCAGGCCCCAGACCTGAAAAGAGCCGTCAACTGCTCCTTGGCTGGTGACATTTCCGGCGTTGAAGGCGTAGACATTGGGAGATGTCTCTGTGATACCGAGTACGCTGACCACATCGCCCTCAATGGTGATGACTCGAATATGAATGGGATCTGCAGGGTCAATCCACCATATCTCTGGAACGTCGATTCTGGTGGCAAGGATTGTGCCGTCTGTACGAGTGATGAGATTCTCGAACTGAGTTCCAGTTTGCTGCAGTTGGACGACAGTCTTAATAGGAGCACCTGACACTGATTGGTAGGTTGGTGCTGCCATAGCTGCCACAGCTGCGCTGAGTATCGTAACGATATACAGCAACATATTCATATTCTGACTTCCCTCGAAGATTTAGGAGCTTATTTTTGAACCGAGCTTTATAAAGATGTGATGAAGGCTATGCACTTGAATGGGTATAATATGTTCTTATGACATGTTGAATAAGAGAGTTAGGGCCTTCAAGTAACTACTTATATATTCAACATGTGGCATGCAGATACCTCATTATTAACAACTGTTCTTACGTAGTTGATATGATCTCCTTTTCTCAAAGTTACATCCGTCTTAGGGACCGCCCATTACTCCGCATATCCCGCAACTTGATCCCGTGTCAGCAAAGAAGTTATGTCTTGGTGCATGAAGCTTTTACTGCTACAGCTTGACTTATGTATATACATGATACAAGACATTAAATTTTTTTTAGAGCATAGACGACACCTAGAGCTCCAAAAGAACGATTTGAAGAGATCCAATTATCACCAATTGATGCAACATAGAATGGGGTATAAGCTGGACACAAACCCAAACATGCTCCAATATCACCAGTGACTGTGGCGATTTTCTTTTCATGTCCTATTTCCGTGTTTGGCCAGTGGGATTCGGTAATGGCGTGGGATGCTGCTTGATTCTGCTGAGTAACTGTATCCGCGATGTAACACTTTCAAAATCGCCCCACGCTATATGCTGAGTTGCTTGGCACGCCGGAGTAAGGAGTGATGACGTGGAAGGTCGAGTTTGGTTGTGTTCCGCATGTTTAACTCCTTTGCCGGATTTTAAAAGATTTAATTTGTAAATATTCAGAGATTCGATGTATGTATGGACAGACAAGCGTGAACTTCGGAAGAGCATCATTTTCAATGATAGAAGAAGCCATGGGCGATGCGGAGAAGCGATGCTGCTTCACTGGTATATAAGATGCTCTGAATATGGCGGTGATGATAGAGGATGTGAGACAAAACATCACCCAAGAAATAACATTTAATATCTCATTGCCAATAAAATGCTTCGAGCTCTGGTCTTTACTATGCTGAGTCTGCCAAGCCTCTGCTTGGCTACAGGTAAGTCAAGCAATGCCCGGTTCTCAAACTTGAACCATATTAAATCTAGGCCAAATGCAGACAATTCTAGCGCCTTGATTGATCCAATTGCCCGTTACTCGGACATGCGACTCAGCTTGCCAACTGGCGCTGCTGCTGAATTCCCTGTTCTTCAGTCTAGCCTTGATCAACGCCCAGACTGCGGCGAGACATCTTACAAAGGAGCTGGACGACTTCGGGGCCTCAATGCTTTGATCACGGGTGGAGACTCTGGTATCGGAAGAGCCATTGTGATTGCATACCTTCGTGAAGGAGCCAACGTTGCTATCAACTACATGGAGGAAGAGGAGTCTGATGCACAAGACCTCGCTGATTTTCTTGCGAAAGAGGGATTGTTTTTTGAACGCATTCCTGGAAACTTGCTGAATGAGACCTTTTGTACCTGGCTTGTCCAAGAGGCCCATCGCCGTCTTGGCGGTCTCGATATTCTGGTCAATCATGCTGGGTGAGGAAGCCTGAGAGACCCAGTAGACGATGAGAAAAACTGACATGTCCTCACAGAGTCTCTGGTTATACTCAAGGTCCCAATTGGCGTCCTATTGCCAATGAGTCAACAGAGCAGTTTGACCAGGTATTTCGCACCAACGTTTATGCTAGCTTTTTCTTGACGAGAGCCGCCGTGCCTCTGCTTCCACGTGGTGGCAACGTGGTCTTCACTGCCTCTACTGTTGCCATAGAGCCAAACGCTGGAGCGCTTGCCTATGGAGCGAGTAAAGCGGCCATCGTCATGATGGTCCGTAACTTGGCCCAACAGCTTGCTGAGGATGGAATTCGGGTCAATGGTGTTGCTCCCGGCTTCACCTATACGCCTTTCTTAGCTGCCGGGGGGTTCACTACTGAGTCTGTGAAGGAGATATCTGAGGGCACTTTCTTCAGACGCCCTGCTCAGCCTGCAGAACTTGCACCGCTGTATGTGAGTGTCGTTGATGCATCGTCCTCGTATGTGAGCGGGGAGATTTACGGTAACAGCGGAGCGACCCTTGGATTTTAGAGCTGGACGCACATTAATCCAATATGTGCCCTGAAGTCGTCGTCATGTCCATAGTAAATGACTTATATACCTTGGCACGCATGGCAAACGTATATAGACTTCAAGATGGATTCTTGTCAAGTGCACTATCAAATAGAATTCCGCGTTTTGTCTTCCTGCGTCTTATATCTTCTCTTTTCTATCATCAACATCATCACGCTTCACACCAACACTAGTAACACTTGGTAGTGCTTCTGGTGATCCATTTCTGTTCCGATTCTGACTCACAACTCCATCCTGGACGCTTATTCCCCACTTCACCTGCGAGTGGAAATTTTCACATCCACAAATCCATCCATCCATACCTAGCAATTTACGAGCGTCGCCATCCAACAAGCGAATCAAAAGCAATTTGGCGCAGTGGAAGCGCGCCGGGCTCATAACCCGGAGGTCGCACGATCGAAACGTGCAATTGCTATTTCGCCTTGTTTTTTTTTCCTTTTGTTCTTTTTCTTGCCTCTCTGCTTTTACCATATCATCAGAGTGAGCTTGGGTAAAGGTTTTCTTTTTATCATTAAGTCATAAATCATAAATCGTCAAGTCGGCCACTGCATGGCCATACACCTAAACCACAACAGAATATGCAGATCACCGCCACTTCTTCCACGTAAAGGAGCAATAGATGCCCGTGATCACGCACAAGACCCCCAAGAAACTGCACAGATGCAGCCACTCCTGGTTTGTGCTAAAGTGGAAAAAACTTCCACAAGCAGGACCAAGAAAAAGGCCCAAGGCCCACGCCGTACTCAGGCCGCTCAGCATCATGCCGGGAGTCAGCATTTTCAACTCCCAACTTAGTTCCACGCCGCTGGCTCGAATTCGGCTTCTTAGAGCCTCGGCTCTCTGTGCAGCTGCGGAAATGGCGGTTGTTTGCGTCGTTGTGCCGAGAGAGATGCAGAGGCCAATGAATCCGATATTCACCACAAAGAGGATCTGAGTAGTGGGATCATCCCCAGTGAGAAAGCCTAGAGTGACCATGAAGACACCGCATGCGAGCGATGCTATGGTGCTAAACCATCGAGGGCCGTTCAAGGTGGTATATTTGCCAACCAATGGGCCGCCCACCATAGGCAAAAGCAATGCAAACATGACGCCGCCACTGGTCGACGAAGTCCAGCCGAAATGTCGAAGAACGTAGATTGGGATGGTCTGATAGGTTTGTCAATAACACACCAGAAAAACAATTTGACATGTGCGGTGAGCTTACAGCTTCCAAAGCTGACCTAACGACACATGCTATGGCGGCGCCGATGACGCTGGAGAGCCAGTTCCATCCCAGAGTCCTCAATGCTGATACATCACCATCGCAGTCAGTCGTACCAGAAAGTGCCGATCGATCGTCATCCCCTCCATGCTCCAAATCTGTCGATGTCATGTAATCTAACGTTCCGTGAGATACCGCCACTGAGTTACCCAGCAAAGCATCGGTATCGGAAAGTCCCTTTACTGCGTCCACCAGGCTTTGCTGCTGTGATTCCGGTTCTTTTTCTTTGACTAGGAGTCGAAGAACAATGTCGCCCGCAATCACTACCTCTACTACACCAAAGACAGCCCAGTGCCCCAGCCTCTCATATAGGTAGCCACCGAGTAGAGGTCCAATGAGCTCGCCGATTGTAGCACCCAGCGTCGTGTAACCCATACACACTCCTAAATTAGCCTCGTCCACCTGCGAGACTAGAAAAGCGATGCCAGACACCCATACGAGGGCCTCGGAAGCTCCTTGGAGAGCACGAGCGAAGATGATGAGGTATGGATCTACACTGAGAAAGAAGAGCAGAGTGGCGATAAGCATAATACCGATGCCAGCAAGAAACGGACGGCTTTTTGAGACGTTCCCATCGGCAATGTATCCAGCAATCCCTAGGCGCAGATCAATAAATTTGTCTTAACAAGGTTGCTGAGTGAGAATTTGGTTAACATACAGTTGGTGATAAGCAGTGCCATTCCAAAAGACTCGAGAGATAACGCTGCCCAATTGTCGACTTTTGATCGGCCACTAACGTCAGCAAGATTCGAATTTAGCTGCTGATAAAACTCGGTTGATTCTAACCATCTTCTGGAGGTGTCTTTAGTCGGCCCGTGAAGAGCTCTGGTAAAAACGGTATAACCAGATCATACACCAATCCGTCCTATGAATTGATATCAATTAGCTCTCGGTTCAAATTTTGGAGGCCCATTCATCAGGTCTGTTACTTACTGTAAACACTGCAAATGCGACTGCAAAGGTCACCAATCCCTCCGACGAGCGCCATGGCGATGTTCCTCTTTCTGATAGGCGGCCCATCACAGGCACTTTGGGATGGCGCTCTGAACGGCGACGATAGATCTGAGAAGAGCAGAGTAAACAAGTAGGATTCCAGGGAAAATGTACTCTTAGAAGAAATTTGTCATGGAAGCCGAAGGGACCCTGACATTTTAATACTCCAAAGCTTCACCGCAAAAGAGACGTAGGATCAAGATCTGGAAGCAGGTTGGGTGGGCGGGACGGCAGATGCTCGAAAGGGAGGGTACAAAATGCCCAAGTCCCTGTCCACAAAATGGCGGGCCATCGTTATTCTCTCTGTATAAGAAAGACTTGACTGTCAATACCAATAGCGCCTGCATACTCCGTAATACATGGAGTACTTTGGAGACTTGTGTAGAAATAGACCAGCGCGACAGGTCATGCGAATCGGTGGCGGAATGCGTAGCGAGGCGAGAGGATACTAGCAAATTGGAGAGCCTGCCGTACCCCCATGGATATGTCTCACAGTAATAAAAAGAGCAAACACCAACTCACGATGATGGGCGTCTATCTGGTAATCAGCCACTATTACAAGGAGGCGATAACATCCCGCCTCTTCCACACGCCCCAGCCAGGTTCCACTGCCACCTCCTACGGAGAGAAACGGGCTTTGTATGTACAAGTCTTGATTTTGCTCCGAATCCAGTGCTACGCGAACACAGCCCTACTGCGAAGCCATTTACAAGCATTGATAGCTGACGCAGGGATGGCCAATTGCATCAATGGATTCTGGAGCTGAGCTTGAAAAGGTGAGAGGTGATTAGTGAGGCCCTTATCTTGAGAAATCCGGTACTGATATTCCGACTGCAAGCAAGGAGGCTTCCCTTCTGCATGTTTCTCCACTCCCGAATCGAGGGATGTGAGATGTGTTAGCCTCTCTGGAACAAGAAAGATGCACGCGCGCTCATGATCAAGGATCCACCAAGGACTGCCTGCATATGATCCTTGACAAAGAGAGATGGCGTCTACTGTAAATGCATTCTATTGATGCAGATTTGACTGGACAGGTGGTATGTATGCAGAGTCGGCGACTCACCGACCTGCAGCTCTGAGCCCGTTTGCTATTCAGAAACAATTCCACACAATGAGTGCATGATTCACTGACTGAGTGATAGCGTACATGTCAGTACTCGTAGAGCGGAGAGTGGCGCTAACTGTCTGCGTGTCTCAGCAAACCTCCATCACCTTTGCCTTTATCACGGAGATCATTTTCCTAGCATTGAAATGCAACTCGAGAGACTTTTGGTCATTCTTACTGCGAGATGGTAACATGATAGTCTCGGAAGATGTTTGCCTCTTCTGCAAAAGCAAAGACAACATCCGTGTTTGAGATTTCACATTGCATTCAGAATGAATGCCACGCCATGCACCTTGCTTCCGCCACAAGGTTGCCTGCGTACCCTGCTTCCATGCCCTTGACGTGACATGCTTTATACGCATAAGCCACGGAAGAGATAGATTGATCCATCTGCAAGATGTGATTTTTTTGCCCCGAAAAGGACATCATGATCCGTGTCTAATGGCCAGCTTAACTTCCTTATACAGGCCCCAAAGCGCTTCCAGGGATTCAGCTTGCCCCTCTCTAGCAACCCCGCGCCTTGATAGTTGGTTTTGTTTCCGAGTATTAGCTTGGTTGCTACGCTTCCGTACGACTCTAGAGCGGTAGGAGCTGGGGAAATGGTGGTCGTGGGGGCAAAATTCCCTCAAATCACGAGGCGCAGTGGGAAAAGAGGCATCGTGACTTTCGGAGAGCCGGCGAATGAGGGGCCTCCAAGGCCTCACGTTACAGGCGCGTAAGAGGGACTAAGGTATCCGACCGGACTACTATGTACCAACGGCGATTTTGGTCATTTAGCACGAAGGCGTGCTCGGCTTCAAGCATCGCAGGGATAGATTTGAACGCAAGCCTGGTCTTGCATGACGAACATCACGCAGAGCATTGAATGCTGTTGCATGGAATGTGATTTTTGTTCTGAAACTGTCTGAGCTGAATATCTTCGTCAGCAGCTTATACGTAATCATGGTCATAGCATATTCTGATTTATCGGGCACCTAACGAGATGAAATAGTAGAACTATCTGCAGGCTTGAACTGACAGTAGTATCATCGACCGCCTATTGTGCGTTCGGTATGGATTGAAATATCGAAAATGATAGACAACACAATTGGTCGTCTTTGCGACATATGACTGCTTGATCGAAACTGCGGCTTAGATCCAAATGTGTGTTCAACCGCCATGAAGGTGTGTATTGAGTATATCTGAGCCATCGATCTTCATCTGGGGTGGTGTATGCGCTCTCCGAATGGAAAGCAATAGTAGCTAGGAGTCCAAAAGAGGAGATTGCAGGACTTGCACTATCTGTTGGCGATCTCCAATCAAGAGGCTCTATTAATTTGGAGGTGCAGCGCAGGATGCGGCACTGATTCAGTAAAGGCTACATCAGTTCCTCAGATCAAGTGGCTTGGCTCTATTCTTTGAGATACAACAATGGCTCCCAGCGCCATATACGAAAATGGAAAGCGGAATAGATCAAAGTTTACCTCACAAACAAAGTTCTCGGTGGATGAGAAATGGCGCACGGCCGAATTAGAGTCAAGCCAAAGACCTGACTTACAAAGTTCGGTGATAAATCAACGACTGAGAAAAAGACCCGAACAATATATATGATTAAGGAAGTCTGGGTATTTATATACACCAAGGGGGTCAATTATATCGTGGTAGAGGCGTAGGATATTTTGAATCCGCATCGACATCACCGTCGTCCTTTATAATATGTGTGAATCGGAAAAAATTGACGCTGCTCAGCGAAGAAGAATGCCATAGCCACATTTGGAAATGCTGATAAAGTTCTACCATTTCCTATTCATCGGGGCAGCAAAAGCGGCTTGGGCGACTTAGAAAACGGTTTGGAGATGATGGAAGCCACAGGATTTGACGAAACCTAGATACAGTGGAGGTGTGCGAAATGTGCTTTTCTGTATTATCCCTCATAAATATATCTTTATCTAGATATACTGGTCAATGTACGAAGAAGCAGGACATAGTTGCAAAATTAAAAGGGATGGCCTGGTCTTTGATGAAGGCACTGTGGTTGGAAGACGAATCGTCAGAAATCTTGAGATGATAAGCAAATTTCACATGCAAACTCGGCTGTACCTGCGCATTAATGACATTAGGCTATGAGTTAAAATAGTCATTTGACTTGGCTTAATATATATTACGACGGAATTGATTGCTTGGCTCAGCACTTAAGTGTAACAGAGGGTGGTTTTGGACAGGGTTCTCCGCCTTATAAGCGCCGGCAAATGGCTTAGAGAAGAAGCCCTTTTTGTGTCGTACTATTAAAGGTACCAATGTCTGCAAGCCAGGCCTGTTAGTTAATTGGTGAGAAGGCAGCTCGGCCTTCTCATTGACTCAGTTTTCAGCCACTAACACGGGGCTTGTGCCTTTTTGTGGTTTCCACCGAGCATTTCAATCTACGTCCCTACCTAAGGCGCAAGATTATTCGCGCATTTGGAATATGCTTTTCTTTTAATCGCCCGCAGCGTCACCCTAAAATGAAGACAAGCCGGCGCCTTGCCTTTCCTGTTACCGGGCCCTACCGGCACGGCCCAACCAGGAAGGGCAGAGCCGTCCGTGGGCGATCGGCGACTATTCGGGATAAAGAAGGCTTCTGGAGAAGCCTCTTGGCATAGTATGAGAATATACTCCTTCAGGCAGGTCCATGATATGAGCGGAAGCTTGTTGAGACTTTTGTCTGTCGGCATATCTTCTACGCCAAGTCTAAATTAGTTGATGGGTTCACTTCACTTACGTATACGAGAGGTATCTACGGAGTAGGTAGCATTGGCATTACAAATAATTATAGGACTGGATATTGGCATTATGTATAAAAGGAGCAATCGTTCGCTCTTGAGCCCGAGGAAAATAGACGTCTGAATACTTCACCAACGTTGCCATCAAAGATAAAAGCAACTATCTTCTCATCATGAAGTTCTCAGTTATTCTGGCCACTCTTGCCCCGGCCGTTCTGGCATTGCCGGCCTCTGATGCCGCACTGACCCGGCGCCAAACCAGCCTCTCAACCATCACAGACCAATATCTCTTCAGCCTTACCCTCCCTGATTTCATTTCCCGCCGCAATGCCAAGAACCCAGCCACTCTTGACTGGACCTCTGACGGCTGCACCAGCTCACCCGATAACCCTTTCGGATTCCCTTTTGTTCCTGCCTGCTACCGCCACGACTTTGGCTACCAAAACTACCGCATCCAAAACCGATTCACAGAGAGCGGCAAGCTCAGCATCGATAACAACTTCAAGGCCGAGTAAGTTGATGCCATATATATTCTGTTAAAAGATAAAAATGGACTGCTGATTGTGAACAACTATAGTCTATACTTCCAGTGCCAGACATCGAGTGTCCAAAGCGTTTGCAATGCTCTTGCTGATGTTTACTACGCTGCTGTGAGAGCGTTCGGAGGTGGCGATGCTTCTCCTGGAAAGCGTGAACAATCACAAGAGGACTTGGTTAAGGTGTATGAAGAGAAGCTGGAGATTTATAACAACGCCGTGAAGGATGCCCAGGACAAGGGACTGCTGCCCATCTTGGAGTAAGAGGATAACATGTACTGTACGCTTTGATATGATTGACGATACCAAATATGAAAAAATTTCTTTTACAAGACTGGTGATTGATGACACATTTGATGTTGATACGAGGGGACCGGAGTGGCTTTGTATAAGCAGCTTTCTCTTCAATAGGTAGAGAATGGTTTGCATGCTAATCCGATGCAATTGTTGACAGCATATCGACATACAACGTTCATCATATACCATTGAACAACAAATTCTCCCATATCAACAAGCTGCAGCTCAAGATACGCTCGCAGATCCTTAATGACTAAGTAATCAAGCTTAATTCTTCCTTGTCTTGTGTATTCTGCTTCTATATTTTGTACCACGCACCTTTCAATGCTACCCCGCACCGCCGCTCTGGCAATAGTCGGATCAGATAATAGAGGCGTCTCGGTTTCGGCTCGGCGGACGGGAAATACCCATCGCGCGCAACATCTCCAAGGAGGAGCTGAATTATTGTATACCAGGCTTGCCAGGTATAATTCCTAGGGCGTTGAATGGCACTTATAGTGGGCCACCGCCTGGAAGATCCCGATGAGAAGCGCCGATCTAGCGCCAGTCAGTCTTACTATATAAACCTGCACATGGAATGCGAGAGTATCGGCCATACTTGTTATACCCTAATGAGAATATTGCTTCAATAAGGTATCTTGAATTGTTTTTCGTTTTAAACATGGCAGCTCCGGCCCCAAATCCCATCGTGGCGCCTGATAATGTTCACGCGCTGCTCAATCGTCTTCACGAGCAGTCCCTCACACAAGAAGCAGCGCTCCCATCTACGTATTTGAGCAACCCCGATGGATTTGATGACTTGATGAGAGACAAGTTTATTGCTCTAGATCAGGATAAGTGCCAATTTGTCTATCAGCTCGCCAGAGCAATTGGAGCTCGCAACATTGCCGAGATCGGCACCAGCTTTGGCGTGAGCACCATTTATCTTGCATTGGCAGTGGGAAGCAATTTAGACCGCTTCGGTGGCGAGGGTAAGGTAATTGCCACAGAAAAAGAACACACAAAAGCAGAGAGGGCTCGTCAACATTGGAAGGAAGCCGGCGACGATTTGGTGACGCGTCATATTGATCTGAGAGAAGGTGATCTTCTCGAGACGTTAAAGAATAACATTCCACAGCTTGACCTAGTCCTTATTGATAGTGAGTTGAGGCCTTAACTGGTCAAAAACCATCGATTCTAACCGCTATATAGTCTGGGCTCCTGTCGCTCTACCTGCGCTGAAGCTGCTGGAGCCGAAGCTCAGGTCTGGAGCTGTTGTCATAATTGACAATTCAATTAGTTCTGCGACTAGATACAAGGAGCTATTAGGCCACCTGAGATCTCCGACAAACGGATATACAAATCTGACGCTTCCGTACTCCAAAGGCTTGGAGCTTTGCGTCAAAATCTAATAGGAAAGAGCACAGGGGAAAAAAAAATCTTAATATGAGTACCACACTACTTACTTCAGAATCCAATCTGTATGAGCTTTTCTGAACTCTCTTCCTGTGACCCGAGAAAATCCCAGTGCTAGGAGTCCCTGGTTGGTTCATTATCAATCTCAATGTTTCCAAGGGTTGTCAAGGAAAACTCCCGACTCATTTCCATAAGTTCCGCCAAGCATTCAGGACTTTGGCACCACCATGGGAGCGTAGGCTCAGTATTATCAAGTGTTTGACTTATCACTAACTTTGACCCCGACTTTCTCTCTATAGCTTCACGCGGAAGTGCGGAATTGTTTGTGTTCGAGATCACTGATGTTGTTGTTGTTGTTGTTGTCATGGGATTTGAAGCCGACTGCGAAGCTTCATCTGGTAAAGAAGCGTCCAACTCTTGCTGGCTAGGCGCCGATGCCAATCCATGGCCAATTTTAAACAATGTCAGCCATTGGTCGTTGTCTGCGGGAGTTTGATTCAGCGGATCATCATCGCCGAATAAAATAATCCGAGCCTGGCGGCGAAGTATATCGCAATTGATGATATCGCCATTTGCGCGCGCCGAAACAACAAAATCGCCAAGACGGGCTGTAAGTACTTCAAACACATTCGGAGGATTCTGCTTCTCTGGCGATGAAAGAGTTTTCTTCAAAACGCCCTTTGAGGCACTAAAGGGCTCCAAGTCCAACGACTCGGCACCTATAAGGTAGGGAGGCATTGCGCTCTGTACCAGCATCGCGACCGAAGGCTCGAGCCCTCGATCTCCTTTCCAATCTTTCATGGATTTGCCTCTTCTAAAATGATCCACTAGATGGTCGTTGCGGTCGGACCAGAGAGAAAATGTCTCCCCGCAAAAACCGCATCGGGATTTCACTTCGGAGATTTTGGACTTCCAGGAATGCATCGACGGTATCATTTTGTCAATGCCGTGTGCAAGGCGCAAATGTTGGAGCAGGTGGTCTTTTCTATGGAAAGTTCTGAGCGCCTGAGGTTTCATGATGCAGTCGGAAATGTGATGAGACTCGAGATGGGCGTCGGTTGTGTCAGATGAGTCACACAGAGAGCACTTTGGAGCCGCAGCTCCAAGATCCCATCTCTTGGGTCCAGCGGGCAGGCAACTCCACCGCTCAAGAGCTAGATGGAGTGTCGCTTCGTGCCTCGTCCAGTCATATCTTGATTTGAAAGTGTCTGTACAGAATGTACACTGATATATTCGCGGATTCCCATCTTCTGTTGATCCCTTCGTGGATTTATGGCGCCAACCCGGACGTGAATTGCGACGACGATCACTTCCGTCATCGGAGTCGCGAAGGTAAGAAGGAAGCGCTTCATCTTGAGAGTCAATCCCGATCAAAGCGTCTTGACCTATAAGCTGGGGGATGGCGCCCGATGAAGAGGAGTGGCGTAGGCGATTGGTTGCCTCGACATTGTCCGCTTGTTCTTGTGTCGCATCGAAAGACCCAGGCAGCGATAAAGATACAGGATTGATGTTGGTGTCAGATGATTCGCTGGACTGCCGTTCAGCATCTCTTCGTCTCGTATTCACAAACCATTGTGATACTTGTCGAACGCTCAAGCCGCTTTGACGGCCGAGCTCCTCTTTTTCCGCTGCGCTTGGGTACGGCCAAGTAGAATTGGAAGTGTACCATTGCTTTAGTAACTGTATAGAGCCCCATGAATGTCTGGTGATTGGCCGAGTTGAATTGGTTCCTGGTGCATTTTCCATGTTTAAACTTGTCTAAAGTGGGTATGCCTTTTTGTGCAACTTTTAATGATCGAACTCTTTCTTTCTGCGGCGCGGGTATTCCTGGAGCTACGAGACGATATCACATAGTAGGATTGTCGCAGAATCTTTTTTGTCTTGTATTATTGTCTTGTAGAAGAATAGAGATGAGTTGTGAGCACTAACTTATTAATTAGTGGGAAGAAAGATGGTTGGATGAGAGATGACTGCAACTAGATGAGGAGTTATCAGTAGTCCGACAATCTCCGGGTTTACATCCACTAGATGACGTCTAGAACCCTCTTCGCGCGCCTTATTCTCGTAATCTCGCATCCTTCCACATAATACCCAAATTTGGAGTATGTCTAGCTACATCATATCCTATTAAGTTCCATCAAATCAGGATAATGCATTGAGATGCACTTCTTACTACGCCGGCGTATGGATCCTCAAGTGTGTCGTAATGATTACCATTTCCCTATTGCCGCGTAATCACATTAGAATGATACGAGTCTGAGCTTTTCTTGGCAGAGAATGTAGAGTTTCTTATCAACTGTCATGTAGATACATGTTCTCGCCGCCATGACTCGTCATTTCTCGTTATAACGACTAGAATTGATGAGACAGACATGTTTTGGATGCCTAATCGACGAACCAAAGCTGTTCGCTTGGCGTCTCCTCCACGATGACATCGTGAGAAAATACCTTGGGAATAAAAGCCCACATATACTCCTCCATATCAAGGCCGATGGTGTTTTCAACCGTTTGTCTTACCTCTGGCCTGGATTTCCAAGCTTCCGCCACGACCTCTTTCATCTTGTCTTTGACCTTGGCCATGCAGCTCTTCCAATCCTCGCCGTCACGATCCTCGCCGTTATGATCCTTGCTGTCATGGTCCTCGCCGTCGCAATCCTCGCCATCACGATCCTCGCCATCACGATCCTCGCCGTCACGATCCTCGCCGTCACGATCCTCGCCGTTATGATCCTTGCTGTCATGGTCCTCGCCGTCGCAATCCTCGCCATCACGATCCTCGCCATCACGATCCTCGCCGTTGCGATCCTCGATCGCTTGTAGATTAGACGTTTCTTGATCCAATGCTACAACACCGGCCATTTCCCTGAAAGCCATCATCATTCGTATTTCGTCATCGCCGAGAGCCGACATGATCACGGTCCTTGTTCGATGAATTCTTATACCAGCTTGAAGTTCTGCAGATGTAATCGAGGCGTGTTCAAAATCTTCCTCAACCTCTTCGATCTGACCCATGCATGTCATTATTGTCCCATCAACCCTCGATTTTTCATCATAAATCAACACGCATTTCCCGGAATCTACTTCTCTACAGAGAGGATGGTTTTGCTTCCTGTCAAAAGCCGACAGCTCCTCGGCTGTCCAGGACGCAATCTTCTTGCTGCGGTACCAATCCATTATCCGATACCATTTCCCGCTTTTTGTATCCTGAAGAATGATTTGGTCTTCCGTGGGATTAATGGCCCCAGGCCAGGGATGTAAAGGGAGTCCGGCCACCAGAGGGCGTGGAAGAAGACGATATCCTGGTAGAGCAACTTTTAGGCCCAAGGGGGTCGGGATGCCCTGATTCTTAGCATCTACAACCAAACGTAACACGCGCTCGTCAATACCCAAGACAGGGTCTTTAACTGCTGAGCCTAATAAGCTTCGGGGAGCCCAACGCCATCCGGGTATGCTCAACACTTCATCTGCATAGAATATGACTCGACTGGGAAGGCTGCCCTGCGATTTGTATATTAATTCCCAGACGCGAGCCATTCGGGTTTCAGCATCCGGAGCTGCAGCAATGTACTTTGTGTCGAGGTTCATCAAAGTAGAGATACAGAGGGGTTCATCAGATGGCACAGAGACTGTTCGGAACTGTAGTGATCGTTGGAGGGTAATGAGCGGCGACTGGTTGATGGTCGGACCCTCTCTTCCACTGAAAAAGCCCTGAAGTTCATTGTACTACATCACATAGCTGTTAGATTGAGTCTTCTCATGGTTAATAAGTCATGATAGAGTAGTAGACTTACTGCACCCATGATATCTTGCCAGATTTTCATGTAACGCGGATCGCTATTGGCCCCGGTCCAGAGTTTGACAAGTAACGCATAGGCATTCACAGCTTTATCCGCAAATTGTATATATAGGCTTTTTGTCAGTGCCCCCTCTATTCACACGTATTAGTTACTGACAAGAAGCGAAGTACGTTCGGGTAACTCATTGAGATATACCTTGAAGAGTCCATAGCCGTCTCATCCAGGGAGAAGCTCCGTATACGCGCAGCATCAATTCGGCCGGATGGGTATCCTGAGGATCGAATCCGGTCAAAGAAGCGTCAAGAACAAGAACATGAGCTGCATTCCGGTATACACTGGCAATCCTCTCGAGTGCAATCAGTTTACCTCCAAGCTCAACAGGGCAGCAAAGCGTGTCGATCCACATTCGGTATTGGGTTCTGTATTCTGCATCACCAGTCTCTGCTTCGACCTGCATCGAAGCTATTAACTGAGCTACATGTTTTATCTGGCATCTTGGCAGAGAGTTGGCCTTTGGATTGCCCAGGCCATTGGCCCAAACCTATTGTTTTTAGTGAACCATGACACATACGTTGATATCGGAGAGCACTCACATGAGAGAGGGCGACATAGGGGACGCCCGGCTCGTACGGCTCAATCACCAGCTCGAAATCATCTACTCCATCTCCGATCTGGTCAAAGCGTATGATGGGATAAGTATCCGTACTACGGAGAATTAACGACGTCGCTCTCCCGTCAATGCCAATGAGGTCACAGGTACAGCCATCAGACAGATGTGAGGGCTTATAGGTTTCTATATCCATCTGGAAAGCCGTGCATAGATGACGAGTACAGTTCGAATGATCTTGGTTAGCATTCGGCCTCTGCAACTGTGCTATATGGTGCATCGTATTCAGTCCATTAAACTGAGATCGTAGCTTTTCAATCTCGCTTGGGCACCATCCTTGTTGGAGCATTTGGTTGTCCATGGTGCCTCCAGACCGCATGTAATTTTGATGCCAGCTAAATCCTACAATAGGAACGTCTACCTTGGGGTTTGACAGCGCAATAGCTTGAAATAACCCTGTGGAGAAGTATTCTCCTAAAGCGCATATCGAGTATCGCACTGGTTCATCCAAATCTGAGATAGAGAGAGTCATCAAACTGGCAAATTGAAGGCAGTCACGCATGTATGTGAATCTCTCGCGCTTGTCGGGCACAAGTTGAGTTCTCTCAGCAATGATTTGAGAGGATTCCAGCACTGACTTGGCACTGATATATCTATTACCGTCTTCTTCAGCGGCAGATACGCAGACCTCGTACAATTTCCGAATCTCCTCGGTAGCGAGCGTATCTTCAATCATGCGATGGCCGGGGCTGGTCTCATTCAAGCCAAGCATCTCGGCAAACAGCCCAAACCAAAGCCATGTCTGCAGAAATGGTTGGATCTCTTCCTTTGGCGTGGGGTGAATGACCTCCAGATATGGCTCATTTGAAGTATCTCCACCCAAATGGTGTCTAAGACGCGGTGGTACTACTCGGGCCATGCCCTTCCGCACCGCATAAGTTAGGAACGGGCCGCCATCCCAAGCCTCCGTACACACAAACGGTGTCGTTCGGGGTGGAGCAGCCGGGGAGTTTGGTTCGCACAGTAAATCCATCGGAGATGCTATTTCGTATTTGAGAGTGATAAAGTTGTAGATAAGTTTAAACCCCGTACACAAGAAGACAGCTGAGCCGAGTTGGACCAATAAGAGTGCAAGCCAGTTCAGCTGGTACTTTGGTTGCTCTAAGAGGTACGATCGGCCTAACACAACTTCACCCTAGAAAGCGCCAATTAGATATGGTCCTTGTTAGCGTATAAGTATCACGATGCTGACAGAGCAGACACGAGGAGGCTGTGTAGTCGTTATATTTCCTCGTGTAAAACAGCCATTTGTTTGACTAACCGGCTGGACTCCTTCGACTCCATCTCCACCCGTTTTCTCTGATATACATGTTATAAATTCGCCATCTACCAGATCCCGGTAGTTTCGCCGTCGTTGATGCTGAAATCTGACAATCCGTATTGCAGAGCCGAGGAAACTGAAGCTCAGGCGGAAATACGGAAATATCGAAGTATTTCATCTTGCCTTGTCTCCAGGCCCCGCCCATTGGGAGGCTAGGCCAATACCTCGTATTTTAAACGGAATACGCATGGATACGAAGTACTCTTTCCTCGAAACAATTTTGCCTCCTGCACAAGAGTCGTTCCTATTGCTCCGAAGGATTGCTCCGAGGGTTTTTCTTCCTTATCTAAGCGGATCGTAATGTCGGGTATGCACCGGCTCTTTTGTTATTAATGCATAGATGGTCCCTTGACTAATAATCCCCTAAGCAAGCCGAAGACAGTCAATAGGCATCATGAAAGAGGACTGAATGGATGCGTTTTATCGCCACCAACTTCATTTCTCACATCAATTCTATTCTTCTTTCATTTTCTCTTACTCTAGTTGGCACGATGACGAACATTGACAAGGCTTGTGAGGAATGTCGTATTCGAAAAATCCGCTGCGAGGGCGGAAACCCTTGTTGTCGGTGTTCGAAGCGTAACATGCAATGTGTATATCGCTTCAAAATCCGAAATCGCTTGAAGAAGCCTCGCGTTAGACCCGCATCATTGTCAAAAGAAAACAACCATGAGACATCTTTAAGGAGACAAGTCAACCTCAGCCATGAGTCTGAGACCGAGAGCAACCAGGGATTTCACGTCCATAGCATAGCAGCGCTCCCGATGCCCTCATACAACTTTCAATTGCACTATGGACCATCCTCCAATTTCTCAATCATGCATCTGGTGTCTAGCCAAATATCCGGCGTTCCGCAACCGCTTGGGCGAAGTGAAGAAGTGGCGCAAGTTGGCCCTGGATTGGATCTATTCGAGTACCAATTTTTATTTTTTGGCGATTTGGCGGACTCCAATAAAGTTGCACCGATTACAGGGGTTCACTTCACCACTCTCCCATCGCAAGAACTGTCCAATCGGCTTCTTGAGCGGTATCTTTCAACATACTGGCATCTGTTGCCAATTGTTACTAAAGACATTTTCCGGCAGCGTCTCGCACAGATATACGCTACGCCCGGAGTATGCGCATTTGACTCATTAGATGGCATGGTAGTACTTGCTGCCATGGCTGTTGGTGCATCCATGATGGGAGAAGAGAAAGTCGCACAGATGTTATTCCAAGGGGTTAAGACCAGCGCGAAACGCGCCAACGAATATGTGAATATCCAATCCATTCATTTGGAGCTCATGCTTGCACAGTTCCGAATGGAAAGATCAAAACCTCATTCTGGGTTTATGCATGTTGGAAATGCGGCTAGGAAAGCCATTGCGGCTGGTCTTCACAGAGGAGTTAATATCCGGGGCAAACTCGAAGATGCTTCACAGCGCCGACTTGCGTTCTGGTGTACGTATGTTTGGGAAGTGTGAGTGCCCCTTAATGTCTTCTTGTCTTGATAAAATAACTGACTTGACGTGTGTGCTAAGATGGGTTTGCTTCATTCTTGGGCGCCAGACCTCTATTTCCGAGCTCGGCTTGCACATACCTGTTCCCACAGACGACAAGATAATGGCGGCCTTGGTGAAACTTATGAAGATTGTATCGCATTGCGCTGATCGCATCTACAATCGGACTTACGAATCTCTAGTGCATATGTGGGACGTGGTAAATGAGATTCGTGGCGAGCTCCGTGAGTTTGCCAATGAGCAGCGAAAGGAAATTGGGCTTGAGCCTGACCGAGTGTCTTGTACTGGAGAATTGGGGTTCTGCTTGACTACAATATCTGCAAGTAAGTAGGGAGAAAGTGCTATTGCGAGTAACTACTGCTAACAACATCCGTTTGATCCTAGTGTATCATCATACTCATCTGCTGCTGTTTCGACCTTTTCTTATACTAAAAGCAAAGCTGGATCTCATACCACCCACAATAAGAACTCCAACGTTAAATAAGCTTGATAGACTCGCTTGGTTGAATGGGGCATGTGAGAATTGCTTAGACACGGCTCAGAAATGTATACGGTTGGTTACCAAGTCTTGCGAGTTGGACGAGATCTGTAGAGTATGTTCAAATCTCCCATCCGAGCAATTGGAAAAGCAACTAACGTTGTAAACAGAGAACAGTATACATGGCATTTTTTCTCGAAGGAGCGTGCTTTGTCCTCGGCTTTGATATGCTCAGCAATAATTCGCGGCGCACAATCCATCTTCCGTATATGCAAAACGCCGTTGATTGCCTTTCAACTATGATTCCTAAACAAGACAAAGCCCTCCCGCAAGTTCCGATTCTTGTGAAAGGGATACAACACATAATCGACTCATCCATGACTTCAGACGTCCAAAGCATCGAAGGAGGCTCACAAGTTGAATCCTTGTGCAACAGCAGCCCATCCATGGTAACTTCTGCTAATACAGAAGCCAACCTGGAAGATTCTGGACCTCCACCCTTTCTTTCTCAACAGCATACGAATAGCATGGCCGACTTAACAACATACGATGTCTTAAATAGCCGCGTATCCTCTACCCTTACCGATATTGAATACGGCTGGCAAAATATGAGTGTCGAAATGCTGTGGCCGGAATTTCCGCACCAACTTCTTCTCAACATGCAGCACACCGGAAGAGCTACACCAAATCATGACCATAGCTTTGGCAAACCGATATAGCATCAACAATTTTTAATTGGCAACAAACTCAATACCCGAATTAACCCGCTGGACATAGTTAAAGCGCTGCTTAAGATTTTGTAATTTACCATTTGACTTTGCCAACGTGAGTTCATAGCCGCTTAGTTCTTGCTTTTCCTTGATAAGAACGTTTGTGGAAATCCATATTACAATATGATTCAATGGGAGGAATTTGCCACCTGTGTTGCAACCCTCTTGTGGCCGTAAAGACACCCCCCATGTCGAATTTGGCCGTTCTACCATATCGATATTACACTATTCCATGCAGCTTAGGGTCGCTACCTGTACCTAATCCATATTAAGGTTTTGGTGAACAACAAACAGCCACATTAAATATGATGCCAATCTCTACACCTAAAGTGTCATGATCGACTGATTTATCTCCATAGCTTCCGAGCCGGTCTAACCACTAAAAAAGAGGTCGGTTGTGAAACTAACTCTAATCAACCGACTAGATAATGCGCAGGTTGGTTGGCCTTGATTTGTGGCTTAACTTGGCAGCAGCTGATATAAACTTCAGCCATCGCGTGAGGTATAACATACGAGAGAGAGTAAATGTTCTGCCATTTACATGACTAAATGTATCTGGTACTTGGTATACATGGAATGTGAACTAAGCATTAAACAAATCATACGTCATCTTGCAATTGATTGCAGCGTAAAAAGGAACGACTTATCATTAGATCCTAGCATGCAAACAAGAACTACCATTGTTATCAACAGCTAAAATGCCCGGGTCACGTATTGCGATTGTTGGAGTCGGTCAAGTTGGTGCCGCCGCTGCTTACGCACTCATCCGCAGCTCAATAGCTGCTGAGCTGCTCTTCGTTGATATCAATGTGAATTTGAGAGATGGACAGGTTCGCGATCTCTCAGATGTAGCGTATAGCTGCAACAGCCGGACAAGAGTACGAGCGGCAAACTACCACGAGGCGGGCCAGTGTGATATTGTAGTCATTACTGCAGGCTCAAGGCACAATCTAGGTAAGATTGGATGAACAAAGGCATTCAACTGAGGTTTTAATTCGAAGACTTACACGTGATCCAGGTGAAACTAGCCTCGACCAAGTATATCGGAATATCTCGATTGTCAAGACCGCTGTTGACGCAATGACGCCCTTCAAATCAGATGCTATCCTATTAGTGGTGTCTAGCCCCGTTGATCTACTCACTTCCCTTGCCTTGAAGCTCTCCCAGCTTCCGCCGTCCCAAGTCTTGGGCTCTGGTACGTATCTGGATTCTGTGCGTCTTCGTGGAATGTTGGCGGACAAGATTGAAGTAAGTGCTTGTAAGCTATATTCGAAGCCGAAACATGTTAACGATATCATTAGGTTGCGGCGAAATCGATTGATCTATTCGTATTGGGGGTGCAGGGAGAATCCCAGGTGACGGCGTGGTCTGCCGCAACAGTTGGCGGCGTACCCATCGACAAATGTCTCTCAGCGGGCATTCCCATCAATCGCGCCGAACTTTCCAGCGAGTGTAAGAATCGATCGCAAAGTATAGTGCGAGCGAAAGGAGCAACACCTTTCGGTATTGCTTCCATCGTGTCCAGCATTTGCTCTGCCATTGTCTTTGACAAGCGGACCGTTCATCCCCTTAGCCACTTCCAGCCGTCATTTGGATGCTGTTTCAGCTTACCCGTGGTGCTCGGCATAAAAGGAATTGAACGCACGGTGAAGGTGCCGCTGGATAGGGACGAGGATGTTCAGATAGCCGACTCAGCAATTGCACTCAAGATGATGATTGACCAAGTGAGTAAGAACTGGTGAATACGGCGAATTTGGAAAGAAATAAGAGAGGGAGGGGGAGAAAATTTTTAGGAGGCATCACGATCTTGTACATTAAAATTCGTCCAGCTAATACACTATGAATGTGTACGTAATGCAAAATTGGGATCTGAAAACAAATAATAGTAATGCTTTATCTTGTCTGTCCTACACCCACTGCTTGTGTGCCTCGGTGGTGCTGACTCTGAATTGTGTGATAATGCTACAACCAGCTTGCTATCCCTCATATTCGGAATCATGGTGTTTAAACACTCATGGCAATGACACAAGGTTTGATCATAATGCACAGTGTACTGTCCAAACAAGCGGGATTTGATCTCGGCTATTCGTGGATGTCGCCGCTGGAACATTGTGTCGTCAAGCCAAATTAGCTGCTCGGCATGGTGTGTGAACACTGCTTGAGTTTGTCTCTAAACTCTAAAGTGGTATGATAGCACTCGAATTATTACATATGAGATCATCATCCGTTGTGGTGTCATGAAAACGTCTCTTAAGTTTAGGTAACTCTAGAACGAGAGAGTGAAATGGCATTAAAGCAGGACGCAGCATTCGGTCTTTTTGGCGTTCTTTAATTAACTGTCCCTAACTTAATTCTCGATTTTGTCTATATATAAGGGAATAAGCTACACTGTCGGTATTCTTTTGCCTCACTTTAATCCAGCTATAAGTGATCGCTCAATGCAAAGACATTGATATCACATAGCAGAGATTGACCTGCGTCATAAAAGAAGCTTTCTTGACCGACCAAGACATTGACTCAAGCAACGGCAAAAGGAGAAAAATGAACGGCCACCCAATTTCGGGACCTATGGTCCTCAATTTCGAGCACTTAAAGCGCAATGATGTCAATCTAGTTGGCGGGAAGAATTCTTCTCTTGGAGAAATGATTGGTGCGCTGAGTGCCAAAGGAGTTCCTGTCCCCCCAGGCTTTGCCACAACTTCCAACATGTATTGGCACTACGTTGATGCCAATGGAATACGAAGCAAACTGGCATCGCTGGTGAAGGAATGGGAAGCGGGTAGGCTGAGCCTTGCTGAAGCAGGCCAAATGACCCGCAGCTTGTTCCTTCATGGGACGTGGCCGGCTGATGCGGCAACGGCTATTCTGGCTGCATATAAAGACCTTGCGGATAAGAATGGCGAAAAGAGACTCAGTGTGGCTGTTAGATCCAGTGCGACCGCTGAGGATCTGCCCGATGCGAGTTTTGCTGGCCAGCAAGAGACTTATTTGAACATCTCTGGAGATGAGGCTCTCCTAGACGCCTGTCGCCGTTGCTATGCTTCACTCTTCACAAACAGGGCCATGAGCTACCGCCGAATTAAAGGCTTTGAACAAATGGGTGTTGCGCTGTCCATTGGTGTGCAGTGCATGGTTCGCTCTGATATCGGCGGCTCTGGTGTCATGTTCTCAATTGACACCGAAAGTGGCTTCGACAAGATTGTCCTCATCAATGCGGCATGGGGCCTGGGGGAGAACATCGTACAGGGAACCGTCAACCCTGACGAATATCAGGTTTTCAAGCCACTGCTATCCAGCCCCAATCTAAGCCCCATCTTGGAGAAGAAGCGAGGTGACAAGGGGATCAAGTTGGTCTATGGCGATCAACAGACGCCCACACGCAATGTCCCCACGTCCAAAGCAGAGCGACACGCTTTCGTGCTCAGTGATGACGAGATCTTACAGCTAGGGCGGTGGGCATGTACCATCGAACAACACTATGGATGCCCTATGGATATGGAATGGGCCAAGGATGGCATTACGGGTAAACTGTTTATTGTACAAGCCCGGCCGGAAACCGTACATTCGCACCACGACACCGGCGTCTTTAAAACATACAAAGTTAACAACAAAGGGCGTGTATTGGTCACTGGGCTTTCAGTCGGCGAAGCGGCTCTGTCGGGAAGAGTCTGCCTTATTTCATCGCCAGCAGATATTGACCAATTTGTTGACAACTCTATCCTCGTCACCGGAGCAACAGACCCCGACTGGGTGCCTGTAATGAAACGAGCCGCGGCCATCATCACGGATCACGGAGGCCGCACCTCGCATGCTGCCATTGTCAGCCGTGAACTCGGACTTCCAGCCGTTGTTGGCACAGGCAATTCCACCTATCTCCTGCACAGCGGCCAGGACGTTACCGTATCTTGTGCGGAAGGAGACTGCGGTTTCGTTTATGAGGGCATCTCGGATGTAGTGAGTGAGACAGTTAGCGTGTCTGGACTTCCCGAGGTCAAGACGAAAATCATGCTCAATCTTGCCAATCCAGCAGCTGCTTACCGCTGGTGGCGGCTCCCAGCCGATGGCATTGGTCTTGCTCGCATGGAGTTTGTCGTTAGCAACGCCATCCAGGTTCATCCGATGGCTCTTGTCCATTTCGATTCACTCAAAGACGCAGACGCCAAGAAACGCATCGCCGAACTCACGGCGGGATACGAGCACAAACCCGACTATTTTGTGGACAAGCTATCGCGTGGCTTTGCGACTCTTTGCGCTGCCGTCTATCCAAAGCCCGCCATTATTCGATTGAGCGACTTTAAGACAAATGAGTATGCTGGTCTCATTGGCGGTGCTGAGTTTGAACCAGATGAAGAAAACCCGATGCTTGGCTTTCGCGGTGCGTCACGGTACTATTCGCCACGCTACCAGGAGGGATTCGCGCTCGAGTGTCAGGCCATCAAGCGTTTGCGCGAGGAGATTGGTCTCTCTAACGCGATAGTCATGATTCCCTTCTGCCGTACAGTTAAAGAGGCACGGAAGGTCCTGGATGTCATGGCTCGCAACGGGCTCAAACGTGGAGAGAATGGCCTACAGGTATATGTCATGTGTGAAATCCCGTCGAATGTGATTTTGGCGGCGGACTTCACCGAGTACTTTGATGGGTTTTCCATCGGCTCCAACGACCTGACACAATTGACACTTGGGGTGGACCGCGACTCCGGCGAGTTGGGTGATCTGTTTGACGAACAGGATGAGGCAGTCAAGTGGATGATTTCGCGAGTCATTTCCATTGCGCGCGAGAGAGGCTGTAAGATTGGCATCTGTGGACAGGCTCCAAGCGACCATCCGGAGTTTGCCAGATTTCTCGTTGACGCAGGCATTGATTCCATCTCCGTCATCCCAGACAGCTTCTTAGCTGCAAAGAAGCAAGTTGTGGCCGCCGAAAAGGCATTGGGGAAGTCGCACGGCTAATCTAGTGAAATCTGGTCTATAATTGTAGTGGATTTTTGACGAACATCACGCTTAAGTCTTCAAATAGGGATTCGTTTGAGAATTATAATGTACGTTCTTGTCTATGAAAGCTATTTGACCATTATGAGAAAAAGATGTACATGGACTACATTTTACGAAATAAGTATACAAAAAATAATGTATCTGGCTACATAATCGGTCTTGGATGGTGCTTTTACGTCTGTAAAATGTCAAATGCGTCCACTCCATATTTGGCATAGGAGCGAGACAAATAAATAAATACCAACACTCAATTTTAATGTATTAAGGTAAATATCTAAACTTTCAATACCGAAAGGTTTTATGTAGAAATGAATTCTAAGCGATGACCTTAGGCAGAGCCAGCCAAAGCTACGTTCCGAAGAGTTCCAAGATAACCCACATTAAGAAGAGTTACTCTATCGTTAAGTACCGACAAATCAACTGAGCGTGGATGAGTGGAATCTTCCGAGAAGAATTTATGCACTCGTTTGGCAACCCACGCAGGATTCTCATCCGCTAATAATTTTCCAAGGTCAGCCAAAGAACCGCAGACATTATTGATGGGAGGGAATTCCATGACTTACCAATCCAGTGTCCAGCCTTTGGAACAGCATCCGTCTCGAGATGGCTAGTCACATTACCCCAGAGTTGCTTAGCAAAGGGCCCTAGGCTAGCTTCTCCTCCCATTGACAAGGTTGCCATTTGGAGTGGCTTCTTTCCGAGAGTGCCTTGGAAAAAGCTGGCCGTTTCGGTAACTGCTACAATCCCGAATGGGCCAAGCATGGCTCTGAGGAATCCTGGTTTCGAAATTGAGCTCGTATATCGATTGACAATATCTTCGGAGAAGCTCGTAGCGCCAGAGTAGCTCCCGTGATAGAAATACCATTCAAGCATCTGCCTCTCTTTCCCGGAGATGAAGAATTCGGCGGCATCTGTGATCGAAAAGAAGGCGAGCTGCCAATTGGCGTATAAATCCCAGTACGATCCAGGGTTTCGCGCTGTTTCAAACCCAAAACCAGGGAGAAGGTATTCCGTCACAACAAGCCTCTTAACCAGATCAGGATACTTCACAGCCAGGGCAGTCGCTATGCCAGCTCCCATATCATGCGATAGCACGTATGCTGAGGTTATATTCAGATAATCCAGGACGCCTTTAAGATCCTCTGCAGACGCCATGACGGTGTAATTCCCATCTGGTGGCAACGAAGAGTCTCCGGCCCCACGGTTATCCACGGCGATGACGGTGTAATTCTCCGCCAGTAGAGGTCCAATAGTACGCCATGTGAGGCTGAATTGAGGGTTGCCATGCACCAGCAGTACAGGTGGCCCACTTCCAGCGTAACGAAAGTGAATACTCACGTCTTCGAGAGCAATGCGTTGGTGGGCCCAGTCATCGAAGTTTGTGAGCGCACTTGCATAGCCAGTCCATTGAAGGCACAAGAGGAAAGGTATAATAAATGGCAGATGCATTTGAAAAAGATTGTTTCGTGGTGCCGAGTTTGACTGATGTGTTTTCAAGCTTGCTGACAGGGCTGCCGATGCTAGGAGAGTGAACTCTCTGTTGTGCGTGCTGTGAAGAAAGGAAAAAGCTGACTGTAAATAAAGCAGGCAGAGAAGTGGCCTTGGCAAAGGAATGGTCACACAGATCCACTTGATAACTCAATATTTACATATATACGGAGTACTTCTACGCCTCATCCATTATTGTGTCGTACAAAGCAGACAACGGATGGGAAGCACAAAGAACGTGACAAATAGGCGTCCATATTCTAATTCCGAACGTATCACTGAGGGCGCAGGTACGCATGGTGTAGGCGTATGTGGGATGCGTGCTCATCAAAGCCTGCTTATAAATTTTGTACACAACTCTCCTGAATCAGCCACAATGGCCTATTCTTGGATCAAGGAGGAGCCTCTAGATTGCATCAGATTGATGATTAATTGTGTGAAAGCCAGGCAACTATGAGGTGGGTGATATCTCCTCTGTACTGCGTAGACCCAACTAAGGTGCTGAGTCTTTTGCTCGAGATGGATAGTTTTGGCAGTTGCCATTCTTGGACAGTCTCCTGATGAAATGAAATAGAGCATCCATTCCCACTTACTTTACACCAATCAAATATAAGAAGGCAAATCGGTAGTTGATATGTTCTCACAAGTGAGGTATAAACCATGTTTAGTTCCTAGCTGTCAAACCCTTGCAGTTGCTACTTTTAGAATAGTCTACGAAGTCCGGAGTGCCGAGGGGCGATTTCTACCACCTTCAAGACGCCTCTTCATAACCCAAGAGAATTTGTTGGTAGTATCATGCAGTTTATTACTCAATAACTAACGGGCAATTCGTCGAGGAGATTTCAAATCAATCATCCAAATGTTTCTACCGCACGGAACGATTCCTTTGCAATGAACCCCCCCTTCCCATCATGGTCGCCTTCAATGACAACTATAAAACCGCGAATCTCAGCTACGATGGTAACGAGTTTCCAACAGTTAAATTTCCAACTTGATACAACTACACACAAATTTTATTGATAACCAATCTTCGAACATTTTATTCAAAATGGCCGCGAAAGCACCCCTCAACGTCATCATTGGAGCTGGCAATGTATTTTCTTCTCGCCACAAGTATACAAAAGGTCTTACTCTGACAATTGGCTTGTAGATTGGAGACAGAAGTATCGACAAAACGGTGCGGTATGACACTCCTGAAGAAGTAAATGCATACTTGAACGCTTTCTACGATCGCGGCTACAAACATATTGATACCGCTCGCTCGTACTCGACCGGTGCACCAGGAACATCTGAGCCCAGACTTGGTGCTGTTGAGGCTGGCAAGAGGTTCACCATCGATTCTAAAGCGCTATCTCGAGAACCAGGGAGCCACACGAAGGAAAAAATCGCCAATGAGGTTGACGCGTCCCTCAAAGCTCTAAAGGTTGACCAAATCAACATCTATTACCTGCACCAACCTGACCGAGAGACCCCTTTTGAGGAGACATGCGAAGCCATGGACAAGGCGTACAGGGAAGGCAAGTTTAGAAAGTTTGGGCTTTCTAACTTTAGAGCCAGCGAGGTCGAACAAGTTCTCGAGATCTGCGAACGTCGCGGATTCGTGAAGCCGAGTGTCTATGAGGGACAGTACAACCCTATTGTCCGAGGCGGAGAAACAGAATTGTTTCCCCTTCTGCGCAAGAACAATATTGCATTCTATGCATGGAGGTAGGTGATTCGGTTCTATCATTCAATACCAAGTTTAGCAGTCCTCGTGAAAGAGTGAGGGAGACGAATGAGGTTATAATAAGCTAACCATTTGATAGCCCTGCCGGAGGAGGCTTCTTTGCTGGAAACCACAAGAATGGCAAATCAGGCGGCCGTTTCGACACATCCGTGAGCTTTCTTCATCAATTACTCGGACTGGTTGCGAGTTGATGGGTAATATCTAACATTAATATGCAGACTTTTCTCGGAGCCATCTACGCGCAGCTGTATCTCAAGCCTTCCATTGAGGCAGCAACGGAGGATGCTTTGGCAATTGCCGGCAAGCACGGCATTAGCGGCCATGCTGTTGCCTTGAGATGGACCGTGAATCACAGTCTTCTTGATAGGAAGCATGGTGATGCCATCATCATTGGCGCCTCTAACCTCGACCAGCTCAACTCCAACATCGACGTCATTGAGCAAGGACCCCTGCCTGACGATGTCGTCGAAGCTGTGAATGCTATCCATACTGCTCTTGGCTCTGATGAGGTCCCTTATCACTTTTAGAAGAGAACATCACACTGTGGCTGGGCAAATTGACTCATTGGTAATCCGGCGCTTTTCATCTTCAAGTTGCCTTGGATCTCGGTTTTTGATTACTGAGTATGAGCCCGGTAGAAAGCCGGCCAAATATCGGCAGGTGTCGGAAGTCCATTTTGGGAAACTGCAAGTCTTGGCACGCTCGTTGTAGCCTAGCGTCGAATTTCATAGTGAGGCTCTAAGTGCTAAGTGAGTGGCTTTGCGGGCAATTGAGATTTGGATTTATCATCATGTCATTCCATACGGAATTAAAATTCTCACAAAACATCAAGTATTTCGGCCGGTATTTTACTCCCATTTCTTTGTAGTCGTTCAATTAGTGATATAGTTCCAACGTGCCTGAATCTCCCATTGTTATCGGTATCATCCAGCAGCATCTCGGCACACTCCACCATGAGCCAACCAACACGAGGAAAGGTGCACTTTGTCTATCTCACAGATCCCTCAAAGGCAGCCATTTCGTCACATAAAGCGGCTAAATCACATGCCGCGCGGCACGGACATGCAAGGATACGGAGACAGCGAATGAATGAATACCATGAGGAGAAGAAGAAGCACGAAGGAAGCAGTCAAGCGCCCCGGAAAGCCGCGGCAGAGTCCTCGGCTGGCGGCAGCCGCTCAGCCTTGGCGGCAAATCCACGATCCAGCTCTAATCAGAATCAGAATGAAGCCAGTCGCGAAATAGTTCTTCATCTTCCTCCCACTTCTCAATCTCCTAGTTTGGAAACCTCTCCACTATCTTCAATACCCAAGAACATTCACGCCGTCTATGGCGCCGATATTGATCCTACCCAGCAATTCCTCCTCTATCACTGTGAGTTGCTGATCCGCCGTGCTGCTATTTTGAGGATCATAAAGCGACCTAGCTTATATAATGATAGATGTCAGCTTTGTTATCCCGTTTGGGAAACGGCATTGCAAGAAATACACAGACTCTAATGTGTGGAAACGCTTCATGCTCACCGAGCTACTTCCAGCCGCGTTGGCGAACCCTGGATTACTGAGCGCAATTTTACTTTCTGCTTGCCGAAGCCTTTTCGAAGAGGCTAAGAACAATCGTTACGTACAGCTAGCTACGTACTATAAGCTGGCTTGCCTGCGATCGATGAGTGAACTGCTCGCAGCCCAAGATCCGCCGGTTGGTGACCCGGCAATAGCCCAAGTCTCTTTGCTAGCAGCAGATGAGGTAAGATACGAGCTTACATACTCGAAAAGGCTGATGTTAAATCCTTGAGCAGCTCAATATCGGTGATAAAGATACCTCGAAGCAGCACATGGACGCTGCCAATAGGATGGTCCTTATGAAGGGAGGCAGCGCAACGCTTGGTATGAATGGCTTCCTCAAGGCTATAGTGGATACATTGACTTGCGCATTATCACGGCGAGATCCAATGTGTAAGTCTCTTATTCCCAGGATATCCCAATGACCATTCTATGTTAACATGAAAGCAGCTTGCGATATGACGTGAAGTTCAAGAGCACAGTATCTGTCCACAATCATGTGTCCAATAGCTTGTAAGGTGGCATAAACCCTGTACTGTAAATATAAAGGTAAAGTGAGTCTAAGCAGAGCAGCTACAAGAACATTATATAGTCTAATAACCATCATTCTTCAATTCAAACGTCACCCGGCATATTTCCTCAGAAAACCTTTGTTAGAATACGTTTTTTACGGACTGGTGGCGATAGAGCTCTATACGATGAATGGCCAACGCCAGGATTGGCAGCCGAGACGACCGACAGTCCGCTAAAAGCAATGCGTAGATTATCTAAAGTAGATATTACAGGGTTATTTGAGTCTTTTTTTAGTACAGTCTTTCTTGTCAGCTCTTGTTGCGGATGCTTCATCCGACCCCAGACATCAACGGATCTTTTACTAATAATGGCGCGCCCTCTTGGAGCTGCCTATAACGGTAACGAGGAGATGTTTAATTTGTTGAGCACAGCCTTGTGATTTGACCACGGAAAAATTCAATGCCGCATTTGTATTCTCAGGGGCTTTATTCGGCGTTTATACAAGATTGCTCACGATGGTCTTGATTTAAGCTATGTGGAGGTGTCGGCTCGGCAGTACCAGATAAATTGAATGCACACTATCGCATGTAACGTTGGAGCTTCACTCTTGCCGGGTATCTCATCCTACCCGGGAAGCATCCGCCGGATTTTTGGAAAGTAAATAATATTTGCGCTATGCTATCTACAATTGAGCGATTCGGATTGTTGAAACAACAAGATTTGTCCTTTCCAGTTTGTCGTCAAGGTGCTGTCAAGAGCTGCGGGCAATGAATTGAACCGAAGGAGCAATAAACGCAGTCATGAAGCTTAAATGTCGAGATGGATTACGGATGGAGAAAAGACCCTTGTTGCCCCATTTTATCCGTAGCGGCCGCACCGCTACAGAAATTTTGCTACCGATGGGCTGACTTGTATTCTTTTGCGGCCGTCGAGAGCCGGTGGGTGTTCTTGATATGGCCTAGAATCTGTAAGTTCCATTGTTAATGGTCCTGTTGTGTACTGTATCGGGATGATACAAAGCACCGTTGCTATCTGGAGTTCCTCGAGGACTATTGACGCGGTGCCATATTCGGGTAACAAGAACAGAAAGCATGATTCCTCATCGACACTAGCAGCATATAGGAGAATCGATATATCCCAATTGGGCAGGAGCAGGGTTAAGCAGAGCTGGAAACATCGCCAAGAAACAATACACAAGTCACCGTGTCCAAGAGTGCCAAACAATCTATGCATCTGGATGAATTGAGCAATCGCTTCCGGACGCGAAACGACGAGACTGGTCCTATCGAATCATGTACATCTGCGACTCACGACGAATGTTTTTTGCATGATAACACATATAATTCAGCATGACTGATCTCAGCTACTCGGAGCATCTCCCATTGGCGAGCTCAGCGGCTTCGACAAATTAAATCCCGCGGGTAGGAAAGAAAGCTCCGAAGGGCTCGAGACCGTTCCGTAAGAAAGCATGAACAGGCCACTCTCGATAATGTAGTCTATGTCGGGCATTTTACCAAGATATTTATTCCGTAATCTCAAAGAACTTGCTCGTCGGTCAATTCAACTCCGTCTACTCAGCCACATTGAAGCGCTGCTGACAGCTTGGCGGCTATGCTTTGCTACTGGACCTACCTCAATTGGCCCTTTATTCTTCTATTCCCTTACCTCCGGGTGTAATTTGTAGAACGAATCGGAATTGTCACTCAATAACTGAAGTCTACCTTCTCGAAATGTGCCAGTTTGGATATCGCTACCTGCCTCATTGGGGCTGAACATCTCACCCTGCCAAGTGCGATTTGGCCGCAGAATATACCGAGCTATTGCGCTAAGGCTCCACGCGTGATCCTGTGCCTTGAAGTTAATATAGTTTATTGTTATGCCTAACTTGACAGTACTCCACCAGCTAAAGTTGCGCAGGATAGACTGTGGCGACTGCTTGCTTGCAGTCAGTTGATCGTGCGGCTCGTCGGATAGCAAGGAGTCCCTGGTAGCTGAATAGCTTACTGCTTAATCTGTATGTGGTATGTAGTTCGCAAATCCGGGTCCCTCCGGAGAGCTAGATTTCTCTGGACTATGCTATGCATCGGCTTAAGCATGAAAACTACAATGCTTCATTCAGGTTGCAGTCTGCACCCAATGCACCCCAGAAAAAGGAGAACGCACCATATGTAGGCTACTACCCACGATACCCTGTCACAGTAACGTAGTGGGACTAAATCAGGAACATATTCAATGCGAGTAACGCTGAATAGAGCCAGACTGCACACTAGCGATTATATCTGCCGCCCTTCAGAGTTGTAAGTGGGGGATATCCAACTGATTCTAACGTTATTTGCAATAGTTTAGCCCGTTGTAATAGATGAATGCTCTGGCTATTACAAAATCGTAGTAGCATAAGAGTCCTTGGCGTTCGCAGGCATCGCCGAGTTCATGCAAGCTTAACATATGGGGGTTATATGAGAATACTCAAACGGATAGGTCTGATGATACTAGCGGCGGTACCGATACTCCATGACCCTTGCAGCACATTCAGCTTAGCAGTAGCAATATATGATAGTTTGAGAAGATGGAGCGTAAGATAAGCCCTGCAATAAGCTCACGATGCCCTGGAGTCGAGTCTTGCTCTAAGAGGAAGCTGGAATGGAATCAACAGGTGGTCTAGAAGATCGAAAGGACGATCATGAATAATATATAACGAACAAGAATCCCGCTTTCTATCTCATATGTTATCACTCTCATCAAGGTCATAGCCATCGCCATCAAATACGACAAGCCTGTGAATATCTTTCTTCCAACCAAACCGAATTCAAGATGGTCAACAAGGTTAGTCACAAGTTTTTAGCAATATTGAAAGTATCTAACACTTTTTTAAGCTTCTTGTCGCTTCTCTCTTGGTCGGGGCCTCTCTGGCTTCCCCCTACCCGCCGTCCGCCATTGACGGCCCTACCGCCCCAGTTCCCGACACTGTGGACTTTTCGATTCCCAAGAAGGCTGATGCTAGCCACTTTAAGCCTTCAAAGTCTAGCAGCTCTCCTGTTTCCAGGACCGCTGATGCACCTGTTGTCGCCAATGCCAAGCTTGAGGCGCGAGTGACTGGCGAGAGAGTCAACAACGCCGTCGCCCGCTTCGACAACTCCAACATCCAGGACGGAGTTGGCGCCGGCAGCGACACCTACACTATGTACTGGGGAGATGGAAGCACTGGTGCTGGATGGCCCGCTCAGAGCCGCTGGGTGTCGTTCCAGACCATGTTTGACAACTACAAGAACCAGATGTTCGCCTCATGCCAAAACCTGCCCACCCCCCAAGCCAACGACAGCGGCCCCGAAGTTGGAGCTATCTGGGATGGTATTCAGCAAGCAGCAGCTGCTACCGGCGTGGATCATAGATTTATCCTTGCCATCATCATGCAGGAGTCTCATGGTTGCGTCCGAGTCCACACCACCGCGAACGGTGTCCGCAACCCCGGCCTCATGCAAGACCATAACGGTGCGGCTACCTGCAATGAAAACGGCAGGGTACAGAATCCGTGCCCTTCTGCGACTATTTATCAAATGATTCTTGAGGGAACTGCTGGAACTACCAGCGGAGACGGTCTGGCGAACTGCATCAACCAGTCCGGCCGAAGCGACGTCTCGGCCTTCTACCGTGCTGCCCGCATTTACAACTCAGGCTCAATCTCAAACACCGGTCAGCTTCAGAACGGTATTGCTACTCACTGTTATGCCAGTGATATTGCTAACCGTCTGACTGGTTGGGTGAATGCTCGCAATGGATGCAACTGTGACGGCAACCCTGGTAGCTGCGGCATCACCACCAACTAAGGGAAAATAGAATGCGCTTGTTGTATTTAGCGTATAAAATTGTTTATTTCGACGTACTTTCTTATCCCGTATGTACATAAATATTGGAATTTGTACATAGCCTTGCTTTAGTTGTATATAATCGACATCAAGTTTCTTGACACAAGACACTCTGTTCACTGCTATGCCCTGAAGTAATTTGGTTCCATTGCAATTAATACGACACAGCCTAGTAGTAGATTCGATACTTGCATACAAATGTCAAATTCTGCTGGGATATTGCTGGCGATTGCAGGCGTCATGTTACCTCCTTTCAAGGCTGTCTTTGCCAAAAGTAGACCGACGCATGTGATGGATTTAAGCACTTGACATTCTACTTGACTTCATTTTTGTTAAGATTTGTCATAGACAGGCCTGAATAGCTCTTCAGATAAAGTGTTCCGTAAACATTTATCCCAATCTTGACCATCTGGTAGTTGACACGCAACGGAAATTGTCCGACACGGCAAGTTCATTCTTCACTTTCCACAATGCATAATATTTTTCACTACATGCACCTAGGGCGCATTATCTATCATTGTGGGAACAGCGCTTGGGATGACTCGCTGACATTGTGAGCGTGGACACAGCCCTGGATATTTTCGCCTCATCTACCATTAGAGGCGATGTCGTCACGGGCAGGTCGCACTCCCGATATCGCCAAAAGGGACCAGGAAACTCAAACCTCCAGTAACGATAGAGAAGAACCAAGCAAATGGCAGACGTATGCACGCTGGGATGGCCCCGACCCGCGAAGATTTCGGCGGCCATTAATGGAGACGAAGCCACCGCCCATCGTGCTTGTGCGGACAATGTCAATAGTGCTGATCTTAGCTGCTAGGACAACATTTGCTAGAGAAATTCAGAAAGATATGTGCAGCTAACGTCCACGCATGGACGATAGAGAGATGGAAGGACGGGTCCATGGAAAGATGTAGAAATACAGAGGCAAACATCCTTGCGAGTACGGGATAGCACGGGCTTGGGTCACGTATTACTCGTACCTTGGAGGCAAGGGAGGCGCCTCTTGGGTCTCCAGTCGACGCACTCATCGTTTGCGCGCAGGAGGCATCAAGTATTCTCGGGTTGTGGGATAGGTCGGAGGAACTGGCCTCGACTTCAGCTACCTAAGCGACCAAGACGAACTTGCTGCCGCGTCCAGATTATTGGCACGATTCCCTCACATCCACCATATCGTTTTGGCTCGTCAAGAAGCTCGCTCCAGCCACAGGTACTCGCATAAGCACTGTGAGTTCGTCTCCCATTGAGGGGCGAGAATCTTCGCGAATCGGAGTCGACCCGTCTGTCGTACGCCTATTGTTTCTTCTGATCGCTGTAGGTATGTGTTTGGTGGTCTCCTTTGGCGATGTCAAGAAGTGCGACCAGTCAATGATGAATATGTGCCAGCAATATAGGTGCTTCATACAATATTCTAACCTGTGTTCTCACTCACAATGCCGGTGAGTCGCTTCAGGTATCACAGCTCTCTATCGGTTCATTTCTTTGACACGCTATGAGGAAATCTCCCCCGCGTTCTTGTACCGTGTAGGGAGGTCGTCGATGGTGTACGTACTCCGCACCTGCAGCATCGTCGATGACACAAACAGCTGCGAATGATACAGCATACCATGGATCACGACTCTGCCAGCTAGCCGCACAATTAGCTGGAGATTCTCGCTCTCCTACTACGCAAAAGAGAATGCAGATGACGACACACGCCTATGTCGCTGTCATAGCCTGCTACATGTTTGGCTGGAAGCTCTCCCTCCACACACGAGTAATCTGGTAGTTTGAAACCACGATTCCGCTGCCAGTGGATGAGGGGGATGAGCCTCGGTCGAGGCCGTCACAGCATTATACTGCCGCCATCCTTGTTGCTACTGCAACTATTGCCAATTTGTAAAACTCTGTACGCTCCACTAGGAACATACTGCGTTTCAATACTGTTGAAATTGCAAAAAGGTCGAAAGCCAGAGGGCTGTTGAGGCTTAAATATCATTAATTTCATCAAATACATCCTTCTACCCATTGCGGATCCTTTCGAAGCTGCGTCTCCAATCTGTCCGCAAAGACTTGTGCGACTGAGTTAAAGCTCATTATTAAACGGCGCTTGGCACAATGAAACAAGGAATAAAGCGATTGTGAATTTGGACAAAACATGTCACATCAAAGACAAACGGATGTAATCAAGACCAGACACAACCCATGTGTTAATTAAGAGAAAAAAAAAAAACCACCCAGCCAGACACAAACCCACGAACCCAGAGCATTAAGAATTTTTTTTTTTTAAAAAAAAAAAAAAAAAAAAAAACCTCACGTGAGAGAGGGAGAGAGAAGACAGGAGCAGGGGCTCATCCCCGATTCAACCATCCGTAAAAAACCGCGGCCTGCAAAATTCTTAGTACATACTCGTATACATTACCAAGTAGTTCACAATGACAGCAGGTAATACTTACGCCAAGTCCCCACAAGGGGTTTGCTCCCGGGAGGAAGCGATTCACATAGTTGGCCAGCATTACCTGGTGCTTAGCCAGGGGCCGCCCAACACCAGCAAACATATTCATGGCCGGAGCCACCACACGCCAAACAGGGGCAACGACATGGGCTAAAAAGCCCACCACGGAGCTGGTCTCCTGAAGGAAGCGGTTCAACAGGTTGACTCTAGGTACCTACATTTTGGTTCCAGATATCAGACACTACTAGGTACTACGTACGGGAGATATCAGAGGGATATAGCGATAGCAGCAAGTACTAGAAGAGAGTCGCAGATACTAGAACAGAGTATCAGATACTAGAGGAGAGTACCACATGATAGAAGAGAGTAACAAATACTAGAAGAGAGTAACAAATACTAGAAGAGAGTAACAAATACTAGAAGAGAGTAACAGATACTGGAGAATGTAGCAGATACTAGAAGAAAGTGGCAGATGTTAGAAGAATCAAGGAACCGACATTTACTGTTTACCTAGGTAGGACAGTACCCGTACCCTGTAGTTAATAAACGCCTCCGGCTTTCTTCCCTGCTTGCTCACGCCCGTGCCTTCCGATTCCACGTTTACGGACTCTTATTTTCTCCGTAGTCATCATATTCCTACAGGGACTTGAGGTGTCCTATGGATACTCCCAGTATCCTCATCTGTGAGAGGAGTGCTGGGCTCTTCAACTGGGTACCTGTGCGAAAGCATTCAGCACTTGAGTTGAGAGAGAGAGCAAACATGCATTAAATTTCTCTAAAGATATTAACGCCAAAATGTCATCCATCACCAAATTGCCTCAGGCACTTCTCTCCCTGTGCCCTCTTCTTCTTCTTCTTCTTCTTCTTCTTCTTCTTCTTCTTCTTCTTGACCTTTGTCTTGCTCGGTCGCTGCTGCTGCTGCTGCGGCGGCGGCAATCTGTGCCTGTGCCTGTGCCTGTGCCTGTGCCTGTGCCTGTGCTTGTGCTTTTTCTTCTTCTCTGGCTCGGCGGAGCTGCTTTCGGCGGCGTCTGCTGAGCTATAGTCGGCTGTTAGCCAAAATTTCAGGCACTATCTGGTAAAAGAAGCAATCTTACCCGATATTTCTTGGCCGGAGCCGCAGTGGTGGGAAGTGATGGGCGAGGTGCGAGAGAGGGCGGAGCCTGAGGGAGAGGCATCTTGTTATAATACTAGACTGTACAGTTAGTTCAACGATTTGAGAAGCATCGACAAGGCAAAGAAACTTACAATCCTGACGAGGAGGCTGGATTGGAAACTATCAAAAAGTAGAAGGAGCGCCAGGCGAAGAAGAAGAGAAACAAAGCCGAAGAAAGCGACCTCATGTATGCACTTTCCTCCACCCAAGTGGTGAGAAGAAAGTGAGCCGGCCCGACACCGGTATCGCAGGATTGACACACGTGACTGGGAAACAGAAGCACCCATCAACTTGGCAATTTCTGGAACTTCCGGGAGAGAATTGGGGAACATAATTGACCATTTCTCTGAGAGTTTCTTGCATATCAGAGGGGTTGGAGGCCATTTGTGGAATAAGCAGGTAGACTATTAGATACCAAGTCGATAGCCCATCGCCTCTTTTACAAAATTTCCGTCTTGATTCGCCAAATTCTGTCTGATCGACCAACCCGTTCTCTGGTATCTTTTCCAGGCGGTCGCTTTGTAGAATTCTGCCAGCTGGCACCTGAGGCAGCCAACGAACAACTGTAAGGTACCCGTGGCACCCAGAGTAACTGTCTACCAGCTGTATAAGCAAAATCTGCGTAGAAGCCTCGTAAATATGGACTTCTTGGAAACTGTGACGCAATGCTTTTCACTGTAGGTTCAGATAGGTATCGCGTAGCAGGCGCGTGCAGAAATTCTGGCTCGTCGTGAAATATGAGGCAGTTCCCCAAACTTTTCGTGACTTCTTTCTTTTTCCCTTCTCCATCGCTCTCGCCAGAAGCTGTGAGTACTCTTTGCGCCACCAGTTGTTCTGTTTTTGCTCACTAATGACGGTCAGACTTCATACAAACAAGTACCTGCCTCTCGATTTTTTTTTTTTTTTTTTAGACAAATATCACAATGCGTAAGTTGCCGCCACCCCATTTCCCGTTCGTTCTTGCATTTTACCCGTACCCACATCTCGATCCCTGTTCCTGGATCTGCGACTAGGTCTCATGGCTGGTTGCGTTCCTGAGTTTGTGTCCAATGAACGTTCTTGTCTGACCTCTTTTTAGCTTCTACCACTGTCCAAGCCGGTGCCCAGCGCCCCCGTCCCCGCCCCGCCGTACGTAGTCGAATCCCCTGCCGTCACACATTCCTACTTGGACAGAAGCTGACATTCGATGGGAGAAACAGACTACCAGGTGCCAATGGATCGCCATCACCATGATCATTTTTATGATCACGTGCGGAGGAATTGCCCTCCTTAATTGTGTCTTGCTGGCCTTTGAGGCGTATTTGGACTACAGCGTGAAGATGGCGGCAATCGCTGCCACTACCATCGCCATCACCACCATCACCACCATCACCACCACCGCCACGACCATCACCATCGCCGCCACCACCACCGCCGCTAATTTTTCTTCTGGGGTCTGGTACTTGGAGTAGTTATTTTTTTAATAATAATACTACATGGGGTTGTCTGGTCTGGTTTGCATTAGTCCGTTTCTTAATCGTAGGTTCGCTCAGCGTGATACGATTTGTCCGAATCTTCTAGTAGGTTTAATTGTGATGTATGTCAACCAGATATGGTACCCACTAATGCAGGAACTATTATACCGAAAGGCCTAGTATTCATTTTGGGTGATTTGTGGTGCGTACGCCAAACTCTTTAAATACCGACCAATTTAGCCCTCAGATCAGTTACGTTGTTGTCCGCGGACTATCCTAGTCGCTGGATGGTCGAGTGATGGTCTGGTTGTCTTTAATAGCACGAAATTGGCCTACTGGAGTCTCAAACAGGTTGAGAGACTAACCAGCGGCAGGCCCTCCAACACGGCCATACTGCCAACCCTAGTCTGGTTGACAACTTCAACCTCAACCAAGATGACGGCGCCGGCAGCAACAACATCGACGACATGGCCACCAACGTCGACGATGCTGACCATAATGACAGCGGCAGTGGCAGCGACAGCGACTCCGTCGACACCATCGACTTTGACAATCTCGACCTCGACCGTTTCGAGGATGAGGACGATGAAGCAGCAGCGAGGCTTCCTCCGATACTGCTCAGGAGACCTCTAGCCTGGGGGGCGGAAACCAACCGTAAGTTTGTCGCCATCCTGTCCCTGTACATGACGGTTACGCTAACCGACGGTTCAGCCTCGAAATTCCCGACTCCGAGTCTGACGAGGAAAACGAGAGTTGGGCAGAGTGTTCTTCGACCCTACCGTAAGTTCTTTGGCATTCTGTGTTGACGATGACCACGCTAAGCTACTGCCCAGTCTTGAAATTCCCAACTCCGACTCGGATCCCGACTTCCAATTGTAGTCACCCGCTCTTACTCTCTCTACCTTCCGCTTCCCTTCTCTTTTTCCTCCCCTCCTTCTTCGCCTGGCTTACGCTGCCTCGATCTTCGGCCGTTGACACGTAGAGTCTTGATCCCTTTGGCTGACGCTGTTTCGATGTTTATTCGTAGAGGCGTAGAGTCATTCTCCCACATATACCTTGCCTGACACCGCAGGACGTAGAACACTCACCTTGTAGATTGACCAACTCAAAATTTTGATCGCTAGAATTGACCGGTTCTATAATTGATGTATGGATGGATGGAGTGACGGATGGAATTGGCGTTTGCGTGGAAAGGTAAATCAGGAGTTTTTTCGGGCACATCGGCCGGCACAGTTTTTTACATGGAGTTCAATTTTTCTCAGTTGACAGCGGAGTCACTGATGGATGTGCAGGGCACCTGGAACGTTTATTTGCCAATAAATCACGGTTCTTATTTGATGAATGCAATTGCTTCCATGAGAGAGGAAAACTCCTTGCATTGAAGACTACCTTATTGCTTGATCTTGGATGCCGCATATTACGGACTTCGACCCGCCTGCCATAACTCCGTATAATGTATTAACACCAATGACGTTTTCGTTTACGGATATCTGGAGACATGAGCGCACGGCACAAATCCTCGCTTGGCGCTCTACAGCACTCCATTGAAGGTGGCCCGCCTCGAGCGGTGCTCATATAGTGGCCGAGGGACCTGAAGTTATCGCTACCGGGCACCTGGACCTGACCGGTTATAGCGCTCTAGCGAACAGTGCCAGCTGATGGCTGAATTTTGGCTGGAGGAACACAAGCCGACGCCTAAGAAAAACATCACTTTGTCTGTGCGATTGCATTGAGCTTGCGTATGTGTGTGTTTAATGTTTTGTTGGCAATCTAGTTCGCGGGTCGTTTCGAATCATCTACCAAGCATCCACACCACCGACGGTTCATGCCGATGTCGCGATCTTTTACGACAATCTCTTCTTCTTCTTCTTCAATTTCCCACCCTCACGCCAATCATCGTGATAACCATCTTAGGTGAGAGATTAGCCCAGAATGCGATACTGCCACGGAAGCTGACCCATCCCCGACGGAGAAATCCCGACCGGTCATGGTAGACCGACCGACGACCGGCGACCAACCCTCCAACGAAGCCTCCATCTCCGCCGCGACCTCCACCGATCCCGACCGATCCTGCACCGGCCGAAATCTTGCCCCACGAGGCCGCGATCCAACGCTCCGATCCTTTGCTCCACACGACGGAGGCGTGAGTCTCACGCTGCCAGCCACGCTATAACGTGGACCGCTCAGACTAGGCACGCTCCTGATGGTGGAGATGGACACAAGGTTCACAGGGCGGGCAGTGACACACAGCCATCATTGCTTGTGCTGGACTACTGTTCCTCTACTGTTCCTCCCAAGTAATAGACTAGGGATGGAATACATTGTCTCAGAGTACTCGGACATGTTCTCGCAGGTGCTCTGTGTCACGGCCTTATCGGCGACGATTTATATCCTGACTGCTGACCATTAATGCCTTCCAAAGTTTTATTCCTCCTGTGAACCTTGCCTCTACCATCCACATCATCGACAGCTTATTTCAGCACATTCTTCTCAAATCCTGTCTCTTCAAATCCCGTCCCTTCAAATCTTGTCTCTTCTTGTGTACCCACTAACTACTTCTCTTCCATCTTCCAGCGCCCCGTACGGAGCCACGCCGCCTGTTACTGGTTCATCAACTCACGAATCCCAACTGCCCGCCCCCAACAAGCAAAATTCCACTTTGACAAAGCCTTGCCCGACTAACGAAGCCTCCATCAAACGCTCCGATCCTGTGACATCGCTTGTCTGAAGCATGAGTCTGGAAATTCCATGCTCCCATGCAGGATACAATCCGAGCTATTTGGACAAATACACGCCTGGTTACACGTAGTGGGGATAGAGATGGTCTTCACAAAGTACCTGATGTAGATCAGGGAATAAAGTATTGCAAACTACTAGGTACTCTACTGAATGTTTTTACTGCTGTGCTTATCACTGTACTCCTCTTGCAACCTGAGCTACTAGAAGCTCAATCTACGACATCCTCGCTGTGTCTCATCAGGCTGCGTGCCTGGATAAGGTTGTGGTGGATCGTTTCCTGGACTCCAGCCTGAACCCAAGCTTGGACCTTAGCCCCTGCCACCGCTACCACTCCCCTTTCTATCATAACGTCGTCCTCCTAAAGTCTCTGGCCTGGGTTGTCCGCTTAATAGTCCTTGGGGACTCCTCTCACACCCATTTATATCATCATATGTCCCCTTATATTTAGGAGATACATAGCTGTAGCCATGAACAGCGTTAACGAAGCCGGTTTGGGTAAGCAAGTTAGAGGATACAACAAGCTATATTCCACAAGGACCTTCATTTTCTTTTATCTTTGTCTCTATGAGCTGGTAGCGTCGAGAGAGTTTTGAGTCGATTAGCTCTAAAAGAATGCTGCATGAACCAATGACCATTTTCAATTGCCTTGACTGCACGAGGAAATATCTCTTTTTAGTAGTCCGCTACAGCGGCTTCCAAGTTTACTTAATACTAAATACGGTACTACAGTTAAGGAAATCACATTAAGCGTCGATAATATAAACTCTCGTTTTAACAAATGCTTATGATCCGACGATCCGAGGGCCTTGGACGGACTAAACAGGTGAAAAAAGGGGGCCCAGTTGCCGAAGGATTGAGGGGGCGTCGTACACTAGCCAGAAGCAAACTGCATGGGACCTCGGGCTCCGCTGGGCATCGTATACTATACCAGTATTGGATAATTCTCATCGAAAAGGTCCATAGTACTACGAGTATTAATCATCCGAACGGAACAATTGAACCAGTTTGCATCCTTGCCACTGAATTTGAAATGGCTAATGTAGTATCAAGCCAAGCGGCATTGCTTGTCGGTAGGGAAATTCGACAAAGGTGAAAGGTATAAATACAGATGAGGATAGGTAGACTTCACATCCAAGTAATTCAACATCTTTACCTAGTCTACCCGTCTGCGAGTTCTAAACCAAGACAATTTGTATCCCAAAAATTAATTATCAATCAGGATGGCCAAGCTTCTTGTTATTATTGGCGTTACTGGCATACAGGTACGTGTAGCTGCTAGCACAAATCATTGGCCATCTTCTGAGACAGTGGAAGGGGTCCTCTATTGCTAGACAATTCCTGGATTTGCCTGGTTGGAAAGTCCGGGGTATCACTAGGGAACCGTCCAGTCAAAATGCTTTGCGTTGGGCGGCTGAGGGCGTTGAAATCGTGAAAGGCGACCTAGATGACACAGATTCTCTTCGAGCCGCCTTTCAAGGGGCCAACGCCATATTTGCAAACACCGATTTCTTCGGCCACATGTTCGATGGCACACACGGGCCCGATACGGCGTTGCAGTACGCTTTCGAAAGGGAAGTTGAACAGGGGATGAACGTTGCCCATGCTGCGTCTGATCCTGGCGTCCTCAAAACACTGGAGCACTTTGTATACTCATCACTTAGTGATGCCTCCCGGTGCAGCGGAGGCAAGTACACTACTGTTTATCACTTTGACTCCAAGGCTAGGACTATGGACTTGATCAAACGTCAGTGTCCGGAGCTGACTAAGTGTATGAGTGCCCTGCAAATGGGCCACTACGTCACAAACTGGAAAGCTGTACCAGCGATGGCTCCGAACCGTCAACCGGGTGGGACGTACCTCACCAGGAGGCCCTTCTCTGGAGACCTGCAAATGCCTTTTGTCGTTCCAGACAAAGATACGGGAGCATTTGTCAAGGCATTACTCGATGTTCCTCCCGGGAAGACTCTCATCGGTGTATCTGAGATGATGACCTTTTCGACGTGGGTAGAGATTTGGGGACGTGTATTAGATGTTCAGGCGGCATACCAAGAAGTATCCCCCGGTGAGTTCTACAAGGACTTCCCACAGCCAGTTGGCCAAGAATTGATGGACACGAATGAATACATGATTGAGTTTGGGTACACTGGTGGAGATCCTGAAGTCATGTATCCAAACGAGGTGAAAATTATCTCATACTTACTGCATTTGCTGTGATCTAGAGAATCCGCTGACATTGAAGCCCAGTTGGACCCGAATATCAAGACGACCTCCATGGAGGAATACATCAAGGGCGAAGACTGGTCTAGCGTGCTGAGCGAGCAGTAATTTGCCTTATAAGGCAAGATAGCATGGTATCGGCCTCATTGGACGATGGAAAATGACAAACTGTTTTGCTTCAGCGTGTCCATAGATGCATTAAGATTGTCGTCTCGTCATTGTACTGGCGCCCATTGCAGCGCTTTCGTGAGACAAATGCAGCGCTTTCGTGAGATAAATGCAGCAAACAAAATGGTATCGGGAATGCTACAGTTGGTGGGGTTAGCGGACTAGAACTCCGCCTAACGCGGAGTTTGGCACTGAGTTCAGAGGATTTCTAGACAGTCTGGATTAATAATGACACTGAAATTTTAACACACTTAAACTACCATCGATTGGTTATACTATCAGGGCGCTGTGCGTGAGGCATTGAACGGATCAATCCATCGCTGATTAGGCCTGGTGTAACTGCTTGCGCTTCTTTTAAGGTCAGCCATGCCTTCGCGAAGGTGGCATAGCAAGTCTAGGCTTGGTTGCGCGCCATGCAAGAGACGTCGTGTCAAGGCAAGCAAAGCCTTTCACAATGTGAAACTGTGCAGCACACCTAATTATCAAAATGCTAGTGTGACATGAATACACCAGTTTGTGGTAGATGCGACCGTTTTGGAGAGCACTGCCCATTTGCAGACACCAGCGTTGCCCGCGGAGCCTCAATAGAAGCCCTCCAAGCAGGCATTGTCACCTGGGACTCAAGCCTATCTGTGTCCAGCGATATATCTAGCCTGTCACCTTCGATGCTTCTATTGACAAAGTCTGCTCAATGCGAGGCGTCTTTGATTTTTTACGAGGCTCAGCAGCATGTTTTTGCGATGCAAGCTCTCAACGCCTTGTCCGTGCTATTCTGCCAGGGTCAAGCCGCTCGCAGTAGTATCAAGGCGCATGCCTGGCATCTGAAAGCCTCTGCAGGTTTCCATGCCTCTGTCGCCGGTAAAGTAGTCAGTACCTACTTTGCTCAGTGGATTTTCGGCCTAGCAACCACCGTCTTCCAAATTCGTTTGTGCGTCACTCATCCAAGAGAGGACGCCATAGCCGAGACCTTTCACTTACTCAGAGGCACCGCAAGACTTGCCGTCGCCATCGCACCCCGATTCATGCAAGATCAAAGGCTAGCACACGATAGAACAAAAGACACGGGCGCAAAGATCCATCTCGAGTTTCTAGAACGAATCAAACTCTTGAAAAGAAACATTCGTATGGTGGAGCCGAACCAGGAATATCTGATTCAAGCTGCTGAATTGCTACAGACTTGGTGTGTTTCTATCCAGGGACAGCCAAGGACGTGGTTACACATTTTGTCATGGCCGGCCTTGGTGAGTGAAGCTTTTGTCGCCCAACTACATTGTAAAAATAAGAATCGCTCAGTGGCACTTGCTATCTTTTTGCATTGGTGTGTTATAATGATTAGATTTGATGACACTTGGTTTCTGAATGGGTGGATAACACAACTGGCGCAGCAAGCGTGGGCGCAATTGGAAGGAGGTTGGGAGTCCACGGTCATAGTAGCTGCTCGAGCTCTGCAGTTGGGCCCTAAAGAAGAGACAATAAAGGATTACGGTAGAAAAGCATAAGTAATCTATAGAAATGCATTTCATGTTATTGCGGCGGTTTCGGTATCTGGCTCAGTCTTTCAGAACCTGGCTCTAACATACCTAGACGCTGCGTCGCCATATGGTCGGAAAATCGAGATGAGCCAGCTAGTTAAGGGAACCAGTGGCAGTTTCTACAAGAGACTGGATACTGCTCAAAAGTTTTTGGTCGTCGAGCAGGTAACGGAAGCAATTCACGACAGCTTATACTATCTGGTCAATATCACCTCTGAATCGGTATACAGCCAGCTACGAAACGTATACCCAATGGCGTACGGGGTTTTACGTCGAAACTAGAGCGCCCTTGAACTAAGCAATGCTAACTAGACTAATTGTTAATTAGAAATATACAAGTATACCCAGTTCGGAGTTCCAATATGCCTTGCCGCGCGCCTCGGGTTTTAAATATAGAAATTTCCGAAGAACCAGGGAAGCCAAGTGCGGGTTTACATCGACTACTGATTTGGGCGCAGCTGTTAGACTTACAACGCCTTGTTGGGTTGACAGCCGACAGTGATACTTAGCATCAATTGCCATGTAATTTCCTTTTGTCCGACAGATGATCTTGACCTCTCTGACGTCTTGGACACCTTTCGGAGCTCCGAGTGTCCAACAAATTGTTAAGGTTTGGGGGTTGTACAATAATAGAGGTGATGTCTTTGTAGAAATAAAGTCTGCTAAGAAAAAATGGCGGAACCAGAACTTGTTATTATTGCTAGCTCGGTGGCTGGAGATCCAAGTTCACTCTAGTAAAGATGATTGAATCCTTTAGTTGAGGGGCCAAGGGCGTTTCTACAATGTTCATTGTCACGTTAGAGAGGGAGATAGACTAGGTATAGGGCGACCAATGATAGCTGGCCCCGGAACACAGCTGCCCGGGTTTTTCTATGGAGAACACGCCGAAAATGGGGGTACCTTGAGAACGGACGAAAGGAATTGCTCCCAGGACATGTTGCTTTGTAAAAGATGATAGCTTTAATCTAGATCACGACAAGAGAGGTGCTAGTTTCGCATCAATCGACGAGTGATGAGTCGCTATGGTCTTGCCGAGATAGAATTACTAATTCAATTGCTCCTTGTGCATTCACACAACCCCCTTTTCAACATATAAAGGAAACATTATAAAGTGTGTAGACTGACGTGGCATCAACAACCCAAAAGGAAACCTCATCAACTCCTATAACAATGTTGTTACTCACCACAACCATTTATTTATTATCGCATCTGGCAGCTGCTCAGTATTTGTCTCCGTCTTTTGCCAACTTTACCGGAGACAATGGCAAAGAGATAGACTTGGGATATACTAAAATTCGAGGGACTCGAGTGGCATCATCATCTTTTCTCATCAATGCCTGGCTGGGTGTTCGGTACGGAAAAGCTCCCACTGGCAACGGCCGCTTCAAAGCGGCCGTCCAGATTGATGAGAAAAGCGACTCTTCAGCGTCAGTGTTTAATTCCACAACATTCGGACCTATATGCTACCAAGGATGGACACCGAGCGCTCCCGAGAGTAGTCTGGCCAAGACATTGTATTATCATACTGGAAACCGGGAAGAGAGCGAAGATTGCTTGTTGTTGGATATCTACGCTCCTTCAGAACCCACTTCGAAGAATATTCCTGTATTGTTGATCATACACGGAGGTGGGTATGATCAGGGTGGCAGCACCTCAATCAACCCTGTCGACATAATGGCCGCGGCTCCCGGGCAATTCATGGTTGTATCTATTCAGTATAGGTTGGGTGCTTTTGGATTTCTGGCTGGAGCAGAAGTATCCGAAAGTGGAACTCTGAATGCCGGTTTGCTAGATCAACGTCTCGCAATGCAATGAGTTCAACGTCACATATAATCCTTTAGCGGTGATCCCGCCCAGGTCACCATCGACGGCGGATCGGCTGGCGGTGGCTCTGTTTACCATCAACTGCTCTGGAATGGCGGCGAAGCAGATCCCCCATATCGTGCGGCAATAGTCGAATATCCTTGGATGCCAAATGTTCTCAACACCAGTCAGCTCGAGCTTCAATATCGACAGATCTTGACTGCCTCAAAATGCATCAACATCTCTTGTTTGCGAGAGTTATCAGCAGAAGAGTTCAATACCGCACAACAGAAGGTCCTAGCATCTGCCACTTATGCCTTTGGTACCTTTTATTTTGGCCCTGCTATTGATGGAATTAATGTGCAAGGTCTCCCTCCAAAGGAAACTGAGGCTGAGCACTTCGCGACCGTTCCACTGATGACGACCCGAGACGGAAATGAAGGGTTTGCCTTTACGCCGCAGGACATTACAACAGAACAAGACTACAACGCCAGGGTGCGCACCTTCTTGAACGGCGGAGTAAACTTTTTCGGTCAACTCGATAGACTTTATCCGTTAGTTGAAGAAGGAGCATTTGGGTATAACAATACTCAAACAAAGGCGGAGTATCTGTTCGGCGATTGGGTCATTCAATGTCCAACGTATAACCTTGCAAGATCGTTTACGGACAATTTATCCAAACTCGATGCCCTCCATCAACCTGTTTATAAGCTTATCGCAGGTTATCCCACGTACGACAGTGCCTACCATGGAAGCTACAGCAGCCTCGTCTTCTCCACCAAGCCCATTCCTGCTGAGGATATATCCCCAAATGTTGAAATCGGCCGGGTTTTACAACATTATTTCACGTCGTTTATAATCACTACCGATCCGAACAAACATGCCATGGAGAAGCCCAACGATCGCTACGTTGAATGGCCCCAGTACGGTGCAGCGAGTAACATTCTCTACATAAACTCTACTGTACCCATTCAAATTCAACACATCGACGCGGCTGCTCGTTGTGACTTCCTGCTTTCTCATTCATCTGTGACGGCGAACTGACGAATTTATTCTCGTGAAAGGGGAAAGGAGCCACTTGATACCTGTGTTATCTAAAGAAAGCCTCACTGGTCCCCCGCTAAGCCTGCTATTCTCCCGAACATCACGCAGGTGCCATCTTACAGCGCAATATAATATGTAACTTTAGAGTAAAACTCCAGGGCATCAGAACATTGGTTCAAAATAGTTTCCTATTATTTTATTTACTGTTCGTATAGAATTCTTAGCTGTGGCATTAGGCTGGCAGAAAGATTTAGACTAAATTATTATTTATTTAAAACAAGTATCCGTTCACTCCACCATGAGTAGCCAACTTCGGATATCCGAAACGCGCGGCTAGGACTTGGCGCCGGACATGAGGTTGCTTACAAGCTCAACACCTCATTTTGAGATCTCCGCAGTTACGTTTTTCATGAACGTCAAGCGTGAATTAATACAGGATGCCATAGTACTGTTTATGCATGTAACGTAAACTCTCAATATATTAACATATAAAAGAGCACTGACAGAACGACCAACTTTACATACTAGCATTCATACAGCCGACGTTGCTTCACTGACTGAGAGTGTCGCTTCCATTGCCCTTTCATTAAAGCTGCTTTTCTCAGACTATTGTGCGACAAAATACGAAAGAGCAATATGACTACGCCTTCTGCTGTACCTTATGTTCACTGCGGGAGGGATCCAGAGATTGCAGCTGCGGTAGAGCTAGCATTACAGCCGGAGTACAACGGTGAGTGACTACGTGCTCCTTAAACACAACTTGGCGAACCCCATTGTACTATACTGATAATAATCGTTCGGCATACAGCAATCGCAACCTTCTACACGATCGAGCAGATTCGCGAGAACTTACCCAATATACCTTCCCGTAGAGCTCAGCTGCAGGAGAATTCTCCATCTAGTGACATGTCGGATTTTCCACGAGCTGTCATTTTTGGCACGGCTTTTCCCCGAGAGCAAGTTTTGGAAACGATGAAATTGGCGAATGCTGATCAAGTTGTGTGGCTGCATGACAGTCGAAAGTTGACAAAGGAAGACGGGCAGGGCATTCCGAAGAAGGAGCTCGGGACAACCGGTGGCAGACGTATTAAAGCGTGTCTAGCAGAATGTCTCAAGCAACCAGAAGAAGGAGGATCTCTTGATGAGTTAAAGCCTCGGAACCTAGGAAGCCTGTGCTTGTACTAGATAGTACCTACGTCAGGGGAAATTGGTTTAAGCCTACAGTAACCTTGGCTTACTGGGTGGGCGGAAGGCTTGCAATTTGATCCCTAGGCTTGCGGATGCTACAGATATTACAGACTAGATATATCCTCTATAGAATTTACTATAAGATATACCTTTTTCACTTAAAACTCAAGCAAGATTGCGTATTACTCGTTTATTTATACGCTTCTCTATATGTTTTCCAGCTGCCTTGGGCAGCATCAGGTCTTTTCTAGCAACCTCAGGCAATAGCAGGCCGTTCTTTCGCCAAGATGACCTTAATCTCCTTCATCTCCACTACCAGCTGCCATCCTAAGGTCCATGAAAGGTCAGTCAGTTAGCAAGTGCATACACATCCAGCATACTGCTACGCTAATGAACTAATACTGCACTAATCTCGCCGCATACGATACGCTCCACCCACCGAAGCCGCACGCCGCACGCCACTATACTGGAGGGAGTTTGGCAAACTTGGTAGATCAGTTGGATGGCTGGATGGCCGATGAATTGGGGCGGGTGATAAGGTATAAGATAGTGCGCCATAGCTGTAAAACAGTCAGAAGTACAATTTCTCATCTACAAACGTACTACCAGAAGCTATTGGCCAACAGATTTTACGAGTTTTGCAAACCGAAATGACGTTGCAATTATTTACAAGCCTAGCTATTCTACTAGGGTTGCGAAGCGCCGTTACCTCCCGGTAAGGAGGTAGGTAAAGGACCTTTGGAGCTTAGTCGGATTACGGACAGCTGTATTTAAATAACAAATTGACCCCAATGTCTCTGCTTTACAAATCAACTTCCACAAAGGTCGCCTTGACACTTTACCCTGAAACGTGGCGAGTGTTCTTTTAACTGACTGAGACAACATGGCTTCAGCCAATATACAGGCAGATCCCTCCGACATCGCCAGTAATACCGACGCTTCAATACCAATGTTATCACGTTTAGCATGTCGAGTGAGAAAACTCAAATGCAATCGTGCCAGGCCAGCATGCGCTCGTTGCGTTGAGTTTGGCCGCAACTGTGCCTATCCCCAACCCAAGAGAAAGCCATCAGATCGCAAACATCTAAAGGGTCTTGAGGCGCGCCTAGGTATATTTAAAACGATTTGTGAAAGGCAGTGATAGCAGCCTCTTACGGATGTGTGCATAGAACAACTCGAGAAAAATCTGAACGAGCTAGAATATCTGGACGACGAAACTCCTCCTCTGAAAGTTCAGGAAGAGCTGTGAGTCTAAGTAATCAGACTTTGACGTACTACTAACACCTTCAGCAATCGTACCTTCTTCAGCAACCAGTATTACTCAATTCCTGTTGTCCATCCCGGCCGCTACTACGATGCATGCTACGGTGAAGGATCGCGAAGACCGCCTTGGTGCTTGCAGTACGCTGTTTGGTCATTGGCAGCCAATGGTCACTCAGTATATGACTCTCATGCTTCATCGCTTTACGAAAGAGCTCGTAAATATGCAGAAGAGGATGAGATGAAGGTAGGAGAGTGAAACATGCCATATACTTGGTTGCCGATTCTGATCTACAAGAAAGGACCAAGGAGAGCACTTCATTTCGGTAGCACATGTACAGACTTGGCTTTTGCTTGCCACTTTTGAGTCTAACACCATGCTTTTCACCAGAGCTTCAGTTAGTCTAGCCAAGACTATGCGCCTATCTCAAATGATGGGCCTTGATCGACTGGATGGCGCGAGCGATGGAGCTCGAGTGGTTCTGCCACCCCCCGTATCTTGGTGTGAGCTAGAAGAACGCAGGCGAGTATTTTGGGGTGCTTTTGCAATCGATTCGCATGCCAGTTTAGCAACAGGCTGGTCCTGCTTAATAGATCCAAACAGCGTCAGTCAACCCTAACACCCCTCCCTACGACTGGACTAGTTTCTCACACTTTTACAGATACGCACCCGCCTTCCCGCCTCAGAAAGGGCCTTTTCAGAAGGTAATGAGGAAACCGTTCCGTTCCTGGACGAGATATCCAAAGGGGGCTCTTACGATGACTTTGCCAGCACTCTCGTCACACTCCAAGTCTACAGAAGCATATTGCAGCACATACTTTGCCAAACGCAACGAGAACAAGTCGACACTTCGCCAGATTCGTTCTGGATCCGTCACTACCGCCTGGATGACAGACTGTCACCCATTATTTCTAACTTTCCCAACAGTCTTGTGCTGCCGCTGAAAGTCACGAATGTACACGCGATTCAGATGAATTGCAATCTTCATGCTGCCTACATTTGTTTGCATCATGCAGTTATGGAGAATCAGTCCGGAACATTACCACCCACTGTCAGACAATCCAGCCTTGGTCGGCTAAAAACATCAGCGATCGAGATTGTAAATATCTTGAAGCTGGCACCTCATTCCATTGCAAATCTTGTGCGCAACGTGATCTGTGATTAATGAATTTGGAATTTATACGCTAACAGGCCTACAGAAAGATCACTGGAGTGCGATGCCCCTTTATTTGGCCAGCACAGTCTATGTCTTGCAAGCCAAAATGGATCCAGAAACTGGCCTCAATGCCACTGATGCGTCTGATCTCCAATTCCTGATAAGCTCCATGGAAGCTATCAGCCGAACTCATAAAGTTTCGCGTGTCTTTCTAGAGCAAACATATTTGGACATTTGCATAAATGGGCTTGAATCCCGCATTGGGATTCCCGATCTAAGCAAATATCATCAGATGTTCTTGAATGCAAAGAGCAGCATTCCCTTTGTAGCGCGAACTATGCTGTCTGGCGGTAGCGAGATCTTGAACTCTTCTATTCCTGATCTTGCTTTTCAAATTCCATCTGGTTGGGATATTTGGCCTGAGCTAGCTGATATAATAGGCATTGAGTATTTTTAAAAAGCAAAGATTTGATTACACATAGTTATTACAGCCTCATCTTTTATGAATAATTATTATAATAAACGTAGTTGCCAGTTCCCTGACAGTCGACGCCCAACCGACATTGACCAACAAACTTACAACCTCCGACACGTTAGACCAAGGCTAGTGCTGTCATGAAAAGACGAACTGAAAGAGGGCAAAAACATAGTTATCAGCCTGGACACCAAGGGCCTCGGCAGCTCTCTCGGGATCATAACTAACATAGATCTAGAGGTTGAGGGTAGTCTTTATCTCCAACTACAACCCACTCGTACTAGGAATATCCCAGATCACCAAAGTTCTCAAGTTATTAGTCATCGGCCTCGGCGTAGAAGTCCAGCCCGAGATCGACCATACGTCCGACGAACCGCTTACTCACATTTAGCAGCACATTATCGTCAAAAAACTGGCGGGATACTCAAAAATATCATTCTTTACGCCTCTTGCTGCCTCTCATTCCTGAGAAATACCATCTATTTTTACGTTTAAATACTCTATGTGCCGTTCACGCTCCAAAATAGCAGAACGCGCTCCTGCGGCTGTGTGATTCCATTAACGCTTGATGAACCCCATGCAGGATGTTATGTATTTGGAACTTTGTAATCTTTATTTAATCGTGGATGCTGGTATACCAACGCTGGCCAACCATATATTTTAATCTCATGTTCAACTCAAATATATCTGGGTGATTTAGAGATGCCGCAGTTGACCTGATTGATATCTGAGTGTATATCCACAAATGCCCGCCATTAATCAATAGACTCTCTACTCTACTGCGAAAAGTCTGTGCTGCAGATAAGGTCCTTGTGCTCTTTAAGCGAGCTCAATGTTTCCTCGCACTTCCCAGTTATCCCTTGATACGCATCAGTTCCCAACGGCAACCTAAAAGGCATCTCGCGACCAGCCGCAGAACCCTCGCCGCGAACAAAGTCCAAAATGAGCGATACTCCCTTTTCTGGATCACCTGGTTCTTTCCCTCCGAGAGCAGCAAGCATGCCCAACAAAGCTTGGGAAGCAGGTTTGTATTCCGCGATTTGTGCTTCGTGATATTTGGCATTGCTTCCGAGCGACGTTCGGAAGAGCCCCGGTTCAACAAGCATCGTCTTTATTCCTAGAGGGGAAGTCTCTCTCCAGAGACTCTCAACAAGACCTAAAATTTGGTGTTAGATATACCTAACTAATAAAGATGATAAAGGCCATCACACCTTCAAGAGCAAACTTGGATCCTGAGTATGCACCGCCAAATGGGTGTCCAACCCAAGCAACCAGAGAGCTAAAGAATACTATTTTGCCATCCTTTCGCTCTCTAAAATAAGGCAGAAATGCTTTGGTAACTTTGAAGACTCCAAATACATTTGTTTCAAACTGTTGTCGCACTTCTTCAACGCTAGAAAATGTTAGCATCACATTCAGCCGCGAATACTAAAATGGACGCATCATTCTACCTTGCTTCTTCCCAAGACGCGCCGGTTGAAGAGCCAGCATTGTTAACGAGCACATCTACCGCGCCGTATACAGCGATGGCCTGCTCTGCGATCTTGTTCAAGTTTTGTTGGTCATCTGTGACATCAAGCTGCAACGTCTTAGCTCCGGCACTTTCCAAGTCTCGGATACTGTCAAGCTTTCGGGCTGTCGCAATAACACGATCGCCCCGAGCCAAAATTTGAGTAACAAAAGTTCGGCCAAAGCCAGAAGAGCATCCAGTCACGAGCCATACAAGGGGTGCCATTGTCGAGTAGAATTCTGTTTGCTCGATTCACACAATAAGTCCGGATATTTGTTTGCAACGAAATATTTTATTCATCATGGTCAAAGCTGCTGTTTATATACACGAATGTCTTGCATGTGATGATATATCACTTTTCTCCCTTCTGTTAGGTTAAGTAGCTTCTATCCATTCAATCGCACGAGGAGCGGGTGGAAGCGGACTCTGTATAGGCGAAAAGAAGCACTGGAGCGGCCGCCCAGTATACCGACTTTGGGATTGAAGCGGATAGTGGAACGAGAGAAACGTACACTAATTCATTGATACGAACTTGCAACCGGATTTATATAGCTAGTATTTGGATCCTATCGGGCGAGATCGACGGACTTTGCTTATCTCCAGTAAGTCGCGCTACTATTTTGTACAGGCGTCCTGCGCGGTTTTGCACCATTTGCCAGACTGGTGAAAGTCATTGTCAAAATTAAGAGGATAGTTTCCTAAAATGGTTGGCATAACGTCAAAACTAATTTTTCTGTACGTCATTGTCTTGAGATTGTTTCATGATACGCTCATGCGTATACTGAGTAATCACAAAAAACGCGACAGGCTAGTTGACACTACTACTCTATCTAGCCAAAGTCACCACTTTGGCTGTACAAGTACAAGTAAAAGATACTCGCAGAAAGCCAAACAAACTGTGTTTTATCTTTGCATGATAGATACTAACTATAATGCTACTCTCAGGTTGATGAACTAGAGTACGTCAAATGGACAAGTCAACGACTTAGGCTTCCAAATGCACGTTGTTGCAGACATCGCCAAAGACCTCTATAGCATGGGATAAGTAGTTCTGCACAACTTGAATCCTGCCTGCCAAGTCTCGACCTAGTGGAAGGGCCCTTTCTGCCTCGTGGCCTTTACCAACGCCTTCTCCCACAACGACTTCGTAGACAGCTTTCATGGCCTTGTCTTTGTCTCCATTGGGAGCAAATTTGCCGGTAGACATAATGTTCATTAGCGTTTCCGACATTGATCCCTTGTAGTCGTCGGGAAGCGGGTTTTGACCCAGTATGGTCGCATCGCCCATGCCTGTGTTAAAAGTTCCAAGAAGGACAGTCAATACTCGGATATTAAACGCCTCAACCTCCTTTGCTAGTGCCTTTGACATGCCTAAGCTCTAGTTAGCTCTACTTCATCTTCTATTTTGGTTCGATGCAGATAAAATGGTAGTCACGTACTGTCCAGTGCAGCTTTACCAGCTCCATAGGGACCCATAGTAGGGTTGGCCTCCAAGGCAGCACCGCTGCTCATGTTGACGATGATTCCGAATCTTCGTTTGCGTTGGTGTTTGACGGCAGCCCTAATCAGACGGCTCGGGCCAAAGTATAGCGTCTCCATCAGCGCGCGGTTTTCGCCATCGGTGAAGGTTTCCACAGGATTGTAAATGCAATACCCTGCGTTATTCACGAGGACATCAACCTGCTGCCCTCGACTTTCAAGATCATCAATCACTTTGTCGCAGTTAATATCATTGACATCCAATTGAATCCATTGACCGCCCTTGCTCTCAACCTCAGAAACGAGGTGCGGTGTAGCTGATGGCTTGCGTGAAGTTGCAATCAAGTTGTGGCCATTTGCCTGGACGATACGAGCCAGCGCCAATCCGAAGCCAGACGAAGATCCAGTGATGAGCCATGTCAGAGGCTTCTTGGGGGTGGTGTATGTAGCTGCCATTTTTATGGATATAGAATGTTCTTGAAAGTATTTGTAGGTAATCTTGATGATGCTTGCGGATGAGACTGGTTGCTTGAGATGGTTTGAGAACTTGGAATATGTCCGGGAGAACCAGCCTTTATATAACAAACTTCCACACGCATATCCTTCCGACCAACACGGTCCTCTCTTTCATCGATAATTCTTAAAATCCGTTGAACTCGGACATAGACGTCTTAATGCCATATTTTTTTGTCGATTCAAAAGCATACCATCCAAGTTGTCGTTGGCCGCCGGAATTTTGCAGGCAAATGAATCCATGGCTCGGGCCATGACCTTGACCCCGATTTCCTATTTTGGAAAACTTTCCGGAAGATGCCCCACCAAACATCGGCACGGCTCACGGGGTTCCCCCGAGTGTTTCCGTCTCGGATCGGCTTTTAGTTTGTCTTTTACTGTAAAATTATTGTGAAATATCGTCATTCAATCAAAATGTAATCCAACCCAGACTTGAGATATGATGATTCTATTGGCGTTAGCCAGTGGCATGCAGGCCAAAAGACAGTCGCCGCTGTGCCAATGGAATGCCTGCTGTTTCGCTATGCCTTTTCAGGACGTAGTATGTCAGGACATCAGCAACCAACAGCCATTTGCCAACTTCTGCTTCAATAGTTGGGTGACTCTTGATTCCTCGCGGTGGTAACTAGCACGTGACTTTAGAGAAGCAGTGAGAACAATGGTTCAGTATGCAATTATGTATGCTGCCAACTGGCTTCAACTCCCTACACTCACAAAAGCTATAAGCGTCGCCGTCTTAGCATTCCAAATTGTAAATTCAAGCATGAATAAACACAAACAGTTGGTCCAGAAAATCCATCAGTCATATATATCCTGTCATAGACTAAACTACACTTCAAGCTTGCTTCTCCAATTCCAAGATTCTCTTGGCCGTGTCAGCCATCGTCTCATCGAGGCTCCTAAATGTCAAATTGAGCGCTTCAGTTGCCTCGTCCGCAATAATTGTTGCAGGAACCACTTGTTCGTCCTCTCCACTGTCGGCAGGCAAACGGCCCTTCAGTTCAGGCACTTTAGCAAGAGAGTTCACAAGCGCTGTATATGTCATGGAGTGGCCTCCAATGGTGAGTCTCTTATTAGCAACCTTGGGTTCCGTGAGCGCTTTTACATGTGCCTCGGCCAAGTCGCGAACATCGACGTAGCTCGGGAAAGTTGTAGGAGGAATCGTCGTATATGAGCCATTAAAGAAACTGTAGATGATCTTGGCGCTGTAGTGCAGACCCTTTGCGCCCTGCTTCACTGGCTCTATCGGAGGTCCGAAGATGAGAGCGGGTAGAAAGACGGTGACGGAAAATTGAGGAGAGTTTGTCTTGACGAAATCCCAGATAGCAAGCTCCCCTTCTTTCTTTCCCGAGCAGTAAGAGATGTAGGCATTCTGAGCCTCGCGTGCTGCCTCCTGCGAGATTGGGAGCCAGGTGGAGTTGGTGAGGGGGCCAGCAGACACCTCTTCAGGCGAGCCTGTGGTGCAGGCATTGATAGAGCCAGTGACGACGACAGACTTTAGAGCTGGTGCATTTGCTTGCGCAGAGCGAAGAATCGCTAGGTTACTATTCGTGTGGCGATTAGCGGCGTACCGATTATCGTTTACTAGGCAGGTAATCTTACCCTTCAACACTGGGATTTAGAAAGTGTTGATCATAGTCGGTATTCTCCGGATTGTCCAAAAGAGGCGCAGCGACATGCACAACCTATTAAGAGTGTTAGAACTCACAGAAGCAAGATATCTTGATGATGAACTGACATGGTCAAATTTGTTCTTTTTAAATAATTCATCCCAAGCCTTTTCGTTCGTGATATCCTCGACAACAACTACTTCAAGAGAGTCTTTCCATTCTGGGTGAAAAGAGTAAATGTCATTAGCGGCTGTCGCTGATCGAACCGTTCCCACCACTTTATGGTTGAGCTTGATTAGAGCATCAATGATGTGCGAGCCGACAAACGAATTCGCTCCAGTAAGAAGTATGGTAGACATTGCGATGGAGTAAAATGAGCAGATAAACTGTATTAGCTGTATAGATGTTGGATGGTGTGAAGATAGACTTTAGAATAGAGACGCGGTTAGGCTGCGAAAGCTATTCTTTTTGTATCTTTTTCGCAACCTCATCCAAAGACTCTTGCCCCCGCGGTGGCTTCACATTTGGAATTTGCGCACCCTCCTCACGCGCCACACACAATGAAGGGGTGAGGGGAAAGAGTACACCAGAACTAATTTGGATTTTTTAGCATGTATCCTACACTGGTTTTGGTTCCTTCAGTATGCACATCAGTGCAGTGTTTTCTTCCTATAGCCATGACTAATAGAAAAGTCTGGACTGTTCTGGCTTACTCAGAATAGCTAGCATAATGCGTATTAGCAAAGCTTACGCCTCGAGAGTGGTGTTGTAGGAATCCACCTGCAGATTTGATACGCTTCTCATCTATAGACCAATCCTTCGACATTTAGCTTACTACTTTAATGCTAGTGTTTCATTTTGCTGAGTATCATTATTACTTCAGCTGCGCCCGGTTCTAACCTTAACCCGACAGCTTAATTGTAAACCTTATAAATGAGCCGGATATTGCGGTTGTTGCGGGTAATTATAAATCACTCTGGCCCGATTTTCCTTGACAAATTACCTTGGCATGGTTACCCATTGTTTATCTAGCAGATTTATTTATACTGCACTGCCGCCAGAGGCTCAGCCAATACTATACTTCTACGTGAGCTATATATCTTTTCCCGGGCCGACTACTTTGGAGTGCCGTTTACTGCAGAAGAAGAATACTTGATATCACTCAGCATCGTCAAAATGGCATCACCACACGTTCCCTCTTCAGGTTTCAGTGTTCATGTTACCATAACAATTGACCCGGCCAATACTAGCGCCTTCCTTACCGCGTTTCGAAGAATCTACGAAATTGTTGCTGCAGAGCCAGAGTGTACATACTTTGAGGTCTTCCAGTCACTCGAAGAACCCGGCGTTTTTCGCTTCGTGGAAAATTGGAGCAAAGATGTTCAGTGGTTCAAGGAGGTGAGCTAGTTCGAATAGAACTGGTGATGTCTCTGTAGCTAACCATCATTGATACTTGTAGGTCCAACTCACCAAGGCGTACTACACTCCGTATTTAGAGGCGACCGAACCAATGTGGATCAAGCCAAGATTAATCAAATACTTTGAAAGATTCTCGGGAGAATGGATGACAGTGAAACCTGAAAAAACTAGTGCTTATCAGCTGAAGGCACCCATGACATGAAGGAGCTGGAAGATTGCCAGGAACCAAATCCCTCACAGAAAAGTGTTACGCTAGTTGGAGTTCTTGTTAGTGTATACTCGAATACTTTACAACATAAGTCAGTTCTCATGGCCACATGAGCTATATAACAAATTTCTCTGGTCTGCAATAGTGAAATGTGAAGAATGCTCTTGGGATATCTTATTAACGCCCTACTTGGAGGAAATGTTGTTGAGATAACAATGACTTTTTACGCGTAAAACCTACCGACTCGATCTGACCTAATCTTAATCAGGTTAATTCCAAGGAAACCGAACTTGGCCGCCATCAGCAAATCCGGAGAGGTTAACCACATCTATAATTAGGATAAGAGCGCCAATATAGCTGCAATCGCTTATGCAGTGATTATTCAGTAAAGGATTCGCCCCTGCCTTTGATGACGCACATAATCAGGGCAAATGACACTCCGCAGCGTATATTCTCTGTGGCGGTAACTATAATACAGCCCAGGTAGATATTTTATCCCTAGGGATCCAAGAGGTTATACTGCATTGACCTCTATCCCTGCTGAGCCATATTTTCCACTTCATTTATACTAGGGCGGGCCAATAACCGTGAGCTAGTGGTGGAAATCTTTCCCCGCCATTCTTGTATACCTGATATCTTGAAACTAACAAACGTTCCGGTACTGTATACGAATAGCCTCCGAAGAGAGATCCTGCAGATGAAGATGATTAGAATCCCACTCTGTCCCAGTTCCAAACGCCATCCAGAATACCCAAGTCCATTTCTAAGAATTCGGTTCCATCTGCCGCCAAAGTGTTTTCCATAAACTGCAAATCTTCGTCCGAAATAGATAGAAAATGTTCACTCAATTTGGAAGAGTGAAGCGAATCAACACCCAGTTCAACGCCATCTTTCGCGATGTGGGTGCCAGTACTCTCCATCTCTTCGATCAATTCTCGTTCCCAAGGGTATAAATTAATGCGGTCTTTCAGTGTGGAGAGGATGCTCCATGTTGCGTCACCCATCTTGGTGAAGCCGCGCAAACGGTGAGCAATGTGCAATGCCTGGCCAACCGCATGGACAACTTCTGTCCTCCTGGGGACCATTGTACCGCCAACACCATGTATTAACAAAGAGCACAAGAGTGCTGCATTGTCAAAGGGACAGAATGCGACCATGTAATACTTTGCTTGTTGTGGAAAGCAAAGATCAAAAGTGTCTCTGCTGACGGACATGGCTTTTAAGCTTATATCAACAATCTGATGTAATAGAGCCATGGTTTCTGAAGAAATCTCTGTTTCGGTGCGCTCCACCGAGAATATCTCGGATGAAACAAAGATGGACCTCAAAAGTATAGCCTGCGTCATGTAGCCTACGCAGTGCAACTGTAGGCGTTGAAAGGGTATATGTGGAAAGTCTGCATCCCATCGCCTGTCTGGATTGACGACGCTAAATACCGCTGGCAGAGAAGACATCCATGATTCAACAAAAGCAACCTTGCTCTGTAGGTTTGTCTTGTCCACACAATCACCTTCACTCAGCTGCCTTGCAAGCTGATTCTCCAGTATCTTGGAAACAATATGAGATGGGACATCAGGAGTGTTGGACTGATCCAAGGCTGGATTCGGTAGCGATGACGGGGCACCTGATTGTATCATAGGAGGGCGGTTAAAACTGGCTGTCATAAATCTAGTGTAAACAGCGTCAGCTATATGCAAAACAACGAAGGCCTAGCGCAAAGCGGCACATACCTATCCCATGTGTACAGGGCACACCATAACCTTCGTCGAATCTCTAGGTCAAATTCACTCATCTTATCTGAACGCACATCCATGTGGATACCTTGAGACACTCGAGATTAGCTGACTAGTCTCTGTAGCCTATCAAGGGGAACAACTATACCGATTTCTTGAGCCTGTCTCACTGCGGCACCTAGTTCGTGCCAAGATCTGACAAAGTCCGCCTCCCCTTTGTGCCACGTAGCTGAAAGAAAGAGCTGCTGTGCATTAACGAGACCACCAGAGCCTGGAGATAGAAAGCCGCTGATTATCTGTGCGGCATCGTGATAAGACTTGCTTAGATTCTGAACGGAGTCGCCCAGGTCGATCTCCAGCTGAGATGAAGTTTGAGGCGGGAGAAACTGTGTAGAGTTGGCACAAATGCGGAGAATCAGGCAGGTCAACGCAATGGTTGAGGTATTGCGCAAGCTCTGGGCTTCGCGACGGTGACACCACCAGTCGACATAGATGACCATGAAAGACGGCTGGTGCAAAATCCCGTAGTGATAGTTGACATTGTCAAAAAAGTTCTTCACCAGAATGTCTGTATATGGCCGTGGGGGCACGGCGCGGGAGGCTTTGAGAATCGGATCTGGCAGAGCCTCAGACGAATCTGTGTATTCAGCATTGCGCTGAGACAATAAGCCAATGGTCAGCGGTTGTCCTGCTACAAGAGATCCCTACCGCAATAGGGATCTTTTATGAAATGTCTTACAGTTATACTGCCAAAGATTGCATCGTTTTTCTCATACATATAACCCAGCATGTGCATCGCAGATGCCGAATTGGTGACTTGAGTGGCATCATCTTGCGACCCAGAGACAGATGACGAAGACGCAGTTGAAGGCGTCTCTTTTGTAGTGCTCATACGCCTCTCATTTGGCCTAAGTCTGGCTGGTCAGATGAGACTCTGTATACCAGTTGCTTCAATCACTCACTTTTGATGCCTTTGAGTTGACTGTAAGAACTGGCATTTGTGTGCCATTTTGCGGCTAGTGCAGTGGTTACATGGCCACTGGCGGTCGCATTTCTTCTTCATCTTCCGGCACTCGAGACATGCCGTGACGGTGCGCCCTCGGCAGCGCTTGCTTGTATTCTTTTCCAGGTCCATTGTGTCTTGTCGCAATGGCGTATGCAGAAGCTGTCAATCCGAGCTCCAGGTTTGCTCATTGCTCTCTGCGACGCGGCCGCTATATAGCGGGAAAATCCATAATTGTCGGGATTTTGGACGGCCAGCGCGGAGACAAGCACAGAGACTAGCGCGGAGTTGCTGACTGATGCTCCGAATCATTGCGGAATCTGTAACTATTGTCGGGAAACAGTGAAAGAAGATGCTAGATTTAGTTGTCAAGTTGTCTATATAAATGTCAAGAGATCTATTTCGTTAGGACAAAAAACTATCAATTCAGTCTCATCAACAAAAGCCACCAGCTTACAGCAATCTTTACCTTCATCTCAAACCACCGCAAGCACTTACATCACAATGGCTCCTCTTGTATGGTTCATCACTGGAGCAAACGCCGGTTTCGGTCTTACCCTAGTCAATCTAGCTCTTTCCAAGGGCGATACAGTTGTGGCAACTGCCCGAAGCCTCTCAAAGTTTCCTGAGTCTCTTACAAAGAACCCCAATGCCGACTTGGTAGAAACAGAAGTGACCGCGCCAGCTGCCAACATTACCGCGCTAGTCAATGCCGCCGCTACCAAACACGGAAGAATCGATGTACTTGTAAACAATGCAGGTTTTGGACATATCGGCGCCGTCGAGGAAGTTTCCGATGAAGAAGCTCATTACCAATTCGATGTCAACTTCTTTGGCGTGCTCAACTTTACAAGAGCGGTTATCCCACACATGAGAAAGCAAAAGTCCGGTGTCATTGTACAACTTTCCAGCGGCGTGGGCATTCTCGGCCCTCAAGGAGCCCCGCTTTATTCAGCTTCCAAATTCGCGGTTGAAGGTCTGAGCGAGTCCATGGCCATAGAGTTGAAGCCGTTTGGCATTCGCGTTCACATTGTTGAGCCTGGCGTTTTCCGAACCGACTTCTTGAAATCCATCTCCCAAGGCCAGAATGTGAGCCGCCATCTGGAAGGATATGCGGATTTGGGGGGGATGCTCACTGGAATGCACGGAAAGCAGCCGGGCAACGCGGAACTTGGCATCCAGCGTCTGTATGAAATCGCGACTGGGACAGGAATGGCCGCCGGCCTAGAGGATCAACTTCGATTTCCTCTAGGATCGGACTGTTACTCCATGCTGGAGGCAAAAATTAAGATGCTCAATGAAACGGCAGAGAAGGGCAAATCTATTGCGCAGAGCACGGATTATTAAATATTTCGAGTTCTTTATACATACATCTACAGATAGAGCAGCATTGAATGACTATAGATAAAATAAAAGAAACTATTCTTTACCACTACGAGCTCTTCTTAGCTTAAAGGACAAGAAAGTCACTTGATTCATAGTATAATGGCGTCCGGCTGAAAAAACAGTTTAGATGATGCTCTGATCCTAAGGTAAGCCATCGGACCTGGTTTGCTCCATTTGCCTCTGAGTGTATTTTTAGAAGCGGCTTCAACACTCGGAAAATTAAGCTTGTGTGGAGCCAAAGTAAAGGCGCACCACTCAAATCCTTCGCCCAGGTACAAGTGTACTTCGCGAAGCTCGAATAAGATCAACAAGTTTTCTTTGCATGTCGGTGGATAGCAACTAACCGAGCTCATTCTTCATTTGGAGATGTTCCGGTCCTAAAAACCTTGGCAGCAGCTTCACAATTAGCCGAGGCGGTATCGGAACAACTCAAGCCCTCCAGTCATGTCGGCAGATGGCTCAAAGTGGGCAACCGCCTGTTAGTTGTGCTTTCAATGCTTCTTAACTGGGTTTTCATTAACGGAAAAGGACATGCCTTAATTGAAAGAGGGGTCCCGGAAATAATGACCCAAGGCATTAATAAACAACGTTGAGATTATCAATTTAATGGTAGAATAAGAATTTTTACTACGGAGGTTGAAAGAGAGCGATAAAGGGGGTCCAAGACTGGCCGCCTTAGACCGGGGCGTACGCCTACGCACTTCGCACAACCGGCTCCGATGGTCCTGACCGACTTCCGGCATCTCAGTTACATAGGTTACCACTACCAAAGTTGAGACAATGCCGAAATCGTCTGCCGGCATAGTGCGACAATCGCCTAATTGCGGAGGATTTGCAGTCAGAAATAAGCCACGTCTTCTCGATTCCCCAACGAAGAGTGAATAGGCATCAATTGAAGAGCAGATGATGTATTATATATCACGCTGAGGTACTTTTATGAGTTGACATAAATCCCTGGTGCTGATGTTATTTGATATCTTTTGCTCTAAAGTCTACAGATTCTTACTTAATGGCTTGACAAGTCCTCAGTTATGAGGGACCGCCAGTGAATCTCTCTTTCAATGAACCGCATGAGCTTTATATTCAGTGTATTCATTTGACCTAACATGCCACAACAAATCTCAGCATCCATCAATAGATCTATCCAACTCAACATTTGTCTACCATCAAATCCACCATCTCGGTTTTAACCCTGGCGATATGTCTTACTACAATAGGCGGAATTGTCAGCGTTGCATTAATCTTCCAATTAAGGTTATTCTTACAGGGCAATTGCATCCGCAAATACCGCAGCAAGTGGGAGCATCGAAAGTTCCGCATCCAATGTTGGAGTTGTAACAGTTGTCGGCATCGTGAAGGTCGCTCTGGGGTGACTGGTTAGATGGTAGTTTAATGGCCCGCGCGAATTATCAACCTACATCACACACGGTGAACTATTGGTTCTCGTTAGTATTTACACAATAATTAACAAGATATGTAGAGATCTTTTTACTTACGCAGTCACAGTCGGCAGGAGTGAGAGCTGCGGTGAAGGTCACGCCCACAAGGACGGTGAGGAGAACACGGATCTGCATATTTATGGTAAAGGTTTTGGGTATTGAAGACTCAATAGTGTGTTTGATGAGATGAGATGTAAAGAAGTTCACATCTGCAGACCCCGCCAAGTCTTTTATAGATCTCTAGATGTTTTCCAAGCGGACTTGCCGGAGTTTTCTGATCACCGCCGGTAATACAATCTATCCGAGTCAAGTTTATTGAAGAAAGAGAAAGTAAACGGCATTGTGTCAATTGTTGATTGTCATTGGCCAATGGCATCAACAGGCACGGATGCATGAAGGGCATTTACTGGGGACGTTATATAATCATTGGATAAGGCATAAATACTACATGTGGATAAAGACATGCTACGAGTAATTAAACTGTCAAGTTACAGGCTAAAGTGTGTTGGAATAGGTAGTGATCATCCTTTAAACTGAGATGCATCTCCAGTCCCCTGTAATATGGCTCGGATTACGATCGTAGACTCGATACATCCGGCATCATGAGTGGGATACTTTTTTATTCCGTTAACTGATCTTTAGTCTGGATTTTACCTGAAAATGATCTAGTCGCATCAATATTCATTGTCCGGAAGGCTCAAAAGTAATTGAGACTCTCCGTGAATCATTGAGCCTTAGATGAGATCAGCCGTTACATCAATAGCGCCAATCTCGGCTAGTTTGTCCGTTCTCTCCGCCAAAGTCGGCAGTATGCTTATAATTCTGTTATTCCAGACTAGGAAGGAGCCCGCGACTCATCATAAACTATGAGCCCATGAGCCGTGTTGCGTTGTATAAAGAATGCGGGCGATCATTAACGATGTTGACTTTTATCTCAAAGGCTTGGTTCTACGATGTGGCATGGCCTCAGTGGAAAGCCGAACATTTCAAGCTTCATGTGCATTACATCTTGACACGCGATTTGCTCTAAATTAGTTATTAGTCCTTTGGTACTGCATCTGGGCTTGCATATGTACCCAGATATCACATAATCATTTGCTCATCGAATACCGCACATTCGCTCTCATAACCTAGTTAGGAAAGCAGTTAGGTTAGAAGGCCATACCCCTGATTTGTTAGTGATATAACCGCATGAGTGGTAGGATTATATAAAACCTGCATCATATGACATCTGGTCTACTACCAAGACTCATTTTCACTCATCTGTAGTGGAGATAATTTGACGCAGTCATTTATGAACCAAAACCTCAAGAGTAATGGATAGTGAAACAGCCCATGAGTTCCAGGAACAGCGATACGCATAGGGTTTCGAGAAAATATGTCCTGAATGTATTATAAAGTCTTTGAGTAGGGCGAGGAGCTATTGACTTGACCAATGGCATGAGTTAATGTTGATCGATAAAACACATGTTAGATCGTGGGCCGCAATTACAGGGCTGGTGGCAAGCTGATGACAAACATAAAGTTAATACATTTCAGACAGGCCAGGTGTGTGTCCAAGGAACAGTTTCACCTGTATACATTGTAAAGAAATACACCAGTACAAGGCTGTATTGAAGAACTACATCATGGCCGATGTGAAGATACAAAAAGTCATCCCCAAATGCTATCATTTATTTCTCGTCATGTCATATCTTCCGGGTCGGTATTTAAGACTCATACTTTCGACATATTATACTTTCGACATATTTATCTAGTCCTTTTGGCCATAAATTTGCATCTCGATCGTTGTATAGGGCAGCAGATAGCCTTTGATGTTCAATGCTAGATTACGCAACATGTGGAATATGACTAGGCTAAAGTTTCAAGGTTGGGCTATTTATTAAACGCACAATTAGATTATTTCTACCAAGTTCGTCTGTTGCGTCCTATTTCGCTGCATTGATATATATCTAACATATGATTGGCTAATCTCATTTAGGCTGCTCAGTGATAAGTGTGATGATGGATCCCAGTTTCCACTTCCACCGTCGACTATGTTTGTAAGGTAGCGAGCGGCTCTGGATAGGTAGGTATTGACAACCTATATCGCAAATTCACAATGGCAGATCCTCAGTTTTGACATCCGCCAACTTTTGATACTCAATTATCCGCAAGGCTCTTGCGTCCCCCTTTTGGACAAGCTCATTGTAGCTTGCGCTGTACACCTTCAGACCCTCAATGAAACCAGGCTTCTTTTGTTTCCAACCAGCAGCCCTTTTTAGCTTTTCGGCACTCATGGCGTGAGAGAAGCCAGTAAGCTCTTGATAAAGCTTCCCGCTCTCCACAGGTTTAAAAGTGATCGTATGCCTGCCTCCGTATTGTTTGCTGACTGCCTCTGCAATGGCGCCAAGAGTTTCGTAGTCATCGTTTGCTATATTATACAGCTCGCCATGGCCTCGCGGCCCAACCTTAGTCGCCAGCAAAAAATATGCATCGGCCACATCATCAACGTGGACGCCGTGGTAGACAACATCCTCAGAGCCATATAGAACGATTTGATCCCCGGTAGCAGCTTGATGAAGAATTGTTCCATACCAGGAGGCACTCCGACCGTAAATAAGCGTCGGTCGAGCTAAAATTGCGTGAAAGTTGTCGGCATGATTGAATGATTGTTGTATAGTATTATATCGTATAACATGCATTGGTAGAGGATCGCGGGGAACAGTTGACTCGTCTGTTACCACGAAATTTTTGGATGAGACAAGGCCAGAAGGCCCGGTGTCTTTAGCGCCAGTGGTGAACAAGAGGAGAGGTTTCTTTCCTGCACGATTTGCCGCTGTAGATGCAGAAATAACAAGAGCAATGATGTCGGCAAAGTGGGCTTCGTAACGGACCATGTCTTCAGTAGTAGAAATAATGACATCGAACTCGACATCTTTGATCTCCTCAAGAAAGCCCACGTCTCCAGGCGCGCCCACTAGCGGAATAATCTCATTTTCCAACAGGCCGGCCACCTTTTCAGCAGAACGCACCAAGCCATATGTCTCCCATCCCTCGAGACAGAATTTTCGACATAGGCTCTCTCCCAGGAAGCCGTTTGCGCCGGTGATCAGAACTCTTTGTATAGCCATTGTTGCGTTTGTTAGTTCACTGTCTTATAAGTCGTTACAAATGTTGTCTTATTGGTACTTGCAAAATCTTTATGAGCCATACGTCCTATTTATACTCGGATTGAACACTCAAGAGTGGGCAAATCTGGCACCCCAGGTGCCTCAATCTCCTCTCCCCATACTACACATCGGTTTTTCTATGCATCCGAATTTTCCGCGCATGTCCGCATTTCTAAGCCACTTGGCAGCGGCTTAATCTGAGATGGTCGGCATTAAACCGACGGTCGCATGCTCTGCACCGATTTGGCTGTTTCATATCATTGATTCTCAGCTGAATCTGCCATTTGTGTGGTGGAAGTAGGCATCTGCTTACTCGTAGTTTTCGTCTAGAAGCCGAGAGAAGAGTTGCTTGCGGAGTGGATCAGATTTAGCTCGGCGAATTTGGGTGAAAAATAGCGGGAGCTATCCCATTTCGCTTAGTCGCCGCATTCAAAGGTTGCAGGACGCGGGAAGCTTTAGAGCACTGTACATGAAAGCTGCCTTCTCTACGAAAGTTCCGATGTGTTTCAGTATATTTTGGCCATGGGATGATGGCAACTCTCGGACTTCGTACAATGCTCCCAATTCTATCCACAGACATACTGTTAAGCGGTGGTCTAAGGAACCGCGGTGAATATTCCCGATATATGTGCTGCCAAGCTTACTAAAATCTGTCCGCTACCTGAGCTGGCCTCATAGAATAACATCATTTGTGTCAATGTTGGAACGTGGAAGATTGTTGGAATGGCCAAAGATCATGAAGGTACGAATAATGGAGAGCTTTATTCTAGAAGACGCACTTTGACATGAGATGTTGGTTATAGCGGTCATCTTTATAATCGAGGTAAGCGGATCAGCAAAGCTGTAGGCTAATAGCTGGCTCAGAGGAAGGCCACCCCAACCTTTGGTTCAAAATCCAGAATCGATGGTTGGCTCAATCTGGTCGGCAGCAGCCGAACGAATCAAGCCTTGGGGATCTAGGCCATAAAATGCGGTCGGTGATAAAGCTATTAGAAGAAAATATACAACTCTAGACGAGATTTATTTTGACAAGTGTGCTGTCATTGAGTCCACCGCTCCATTCGTTCTGTACCATATGTACTCTCCAGTATCATCTTCCCAAATTCGTCGATTTCTAAAGGACTGGCTTCTGTAAAAAGCTTCTCCGTCTCAAATCTCTGAATGAATCCAATGTCCGTCTCTAAACATAATCTCTCCCACGCAAAAGCCGTTTTGGCTTCCCAAACCCCGCGGCGTGTCGTAAACATCATGCCCCCAGGACAAAAAGCCCAGCCTTGTTGCAGTGTTAAGTATAAGGCTTGTAGCCCCGTAGCCGTTAACCACGTACGCCGTATACTTTCTGCCAGAATCCAAGTGTGCCATAGATGCTCCGTGCCGCCGGTCACGCTCGATGGGTTGACTGGGCTAGTAGTTTCTACGAGATCGAGGGGATCGAGCGTTAACGACAGCAGGTATAGGCTGCTACTGGCACATTCGACCATCTGCGTAACCCAGCGGACCAAGATGTTGGCGCGGCCTTCAGCGAGATGGCGCGATCGGATATCGCCATCGAAGAGGCATATAATTTGGTACACCATCAAGGCGTGGGCTCGAGCTAGATGCTCCAAAGGGTCGAGAGATTCTAGCACGTCGTTGACGCTTATGTCTGTGTTGCTCACCAATTCATTGGCTTGACTCTCTATTATCCTCAAGATGATTTCCGAATTGGTTTCGGTTCTGTTAATATAGGCTGATAAAGTGGTGTAGGCAACTTGAACGCAGGTTGGAAATCGAGTCCGATACAACTGAGGGTGTATGAATGGATTGCTGCCCGACATGACCCAACTCTTTAGCCAGTGCTGGATCACCGAGACATAACGTTTCAGCATGGAGCTAGAGAACAGGTTCATGTTTGGATTAATGTGAATAGGATATGGCTCGATCTTCCATGTCTCTGGCGAAAGAAACCAATCTGAAGGCGAATGTGCGCTGAAACGTTGATGGGAATGGATCGAGAGATCAACTGAGAGATCAACTGCCGATGATTGTGTTGCAGTATTAACATCTCCAATCTCACGAATCCCGGCGGAGGATTTTGGCAAGCCAGCAGCCTCATTAGACAAGTGACAATCGTTTAATAGCACATATGAGGATTGCCTTGGCGGTGGGTACACGCAGTCGATGCCCGCGTCTTTGCATCTCTGGCAGGACAACATCTGCTTATCACATTTTCTCTTCGACTTTGCGCATGATTTGCAGGCTCTTAGTTCCAAAGGCGCAGCCATTCTAGTATTGAGCCATTCGTCAAGGCTGAGTAGCCACTTGGTATAAAATTGGACAATTGATGTAATATTTATCTTGAAGCAGGACCGTGTTTTGACCAGCCGCGCGAACGTGGCAAAGACGCTGGCAGGAGTACAAATCCGATTGGCTAGAAAGGATTAGGGCACCAGCTAATACATGGAGTTAGTGACCGGATTAATGGCCTACGAGGATGAAGATACTGCGGAGATTAGCGCTTACAGTGATGATCGGGGTTGTTTGCAGCGTGTCTGGGCGTCTACTATGCGGGGCACAAGTCTTTGAACACGATCTTCTCCTGGTAACGCCTGTAATTGACTTCTCTATTGACTTTGTTAAGTTAATATGCCCGTATCTCAGTAGTTGTAGACTCTCTTGCATGCTTATGCCGCTCATGACTGAAATTACTCCTGCTGCTGTTGCTCCTTGTGCAGGCCAACAGAGTTGGCCCTTGACAGTAAGACTGAAAAACTGTCTTCAGTTTCACCACAAGGCGTAATCTCACTGATAGCAAAAGATATAGCTTAAGAAAGATGCTCCAGGTGCAACAAAAGAGTTGTCTCCCACACTACAGTGTTGTGTAATTACGCGTTCATGCAGTAACAACTTGTTATGTGTCGATTGGAAGAGAGTTGTAACTATTATAATATCCATTGTCATCAAAACGCAATGAATACGCTATTGCATCCCTGGTAAGTCATGTTATTTCTTAAAAAATATCTCCATCGTTAATTTACAGGAGCAGGAGCCGCTTCAGGATCGTTGGCCAGCAATGCCTCGATCTTCGCCCCCCTCCTTCGCCTCTCATCGAGAGAGATTTCGTCTTCAGGCGCAGTAGACCAACCAAGGCGTAGCTCAGGATACTGAAGTGGAACCTCGTCACTTTTACGCGGTAACCCGTCTAGGTAGATGGGCCAGGGAGTACCCAGCCAAGCATTCCGAGTTTCGTGATCTCGGCGTTGTTGAGATGTTAGAGGATGGACCAGGATACTATATAGTTTCTTAGAATTGAAATGACCTGTGTTTGTCTTGGCCATCGGGAAGCGTAATGCATTTAGGGTGGGAAGAGTAGACCGTGGTGGCTTACGCCTCACATGTTAAGCAAAAAGGCGGGGATGCATACCTCAGATTTCCTCGGTTTGTTGCCAAGTAGAAAAACACTTCAGAGAATGAAGTGTCCGGAACCCAAACTTTGTCCAAGAATTAGTCTTGTATTATTGGTATCAACCGTAGTCACGAGTGTTTCCACTTACTCTCATACGACCCAGCAGGATGAGGCCCGATGGGTTCCTTATTCACCCTTTGTAGAGGGACGGCGACGAAGGCGCCTACATGATCGTGGTCAGTGAAGAATCGAGGCCGGCTTAGACTTTGCCTACCATCACGACGGAGTCTCAATACGGCGTCACGAAGCGCGAGCGCTGCGGCTGTCTCAGTAGGCGACTGCAGCAGGAAATAGATGTGAAAGTGCCATTCCCTCGTCCGACTTTCCACAACAGTTTGTAGATCCTCTTGAGGGCCGAGTGCCGTGGGAAGAGTGACTTGAGTCATCGTGAGACGGGTTCCTGACGTTTATGAGTAGATTGCTTCTATCAATACGTGAATGTCTTCGGTTAAAAGTTGAAGTTCTCTGCCCTAGCCAAGCGGTAAGCACGCCATTCCACTGTCATTTGCGCTACTCGATGCGGGGATAGATCGCGCATATGGTGTATTTCTGAGCATTTCTGAGCTAATGAAACTCGACCTCGGCGCGTTCCGGCAGCCGAAAATAGCATGCTCTGTCGGATTGGTTGGCGTCGAGGATTTGGCGACAATTTCGTTAGTTTAGTTTTTATGCAACAAAGATTTACGTATCGTGGGAATTATCGACGCACAGCCAAAGTGGCCTATTACTGATTATTATTTATTGGTAACACATACCACTACAGTCACGTCAAATGTGTGAAGCCATTTGCTGAAAGGAGCTGGTGATTCATGTTTTCACTCTACTCTAACGATCATTTCTCACAACGTCAAATTTATGCCTTCAACTTTGCAAGGCGGGCCTTGGTGCCAGCCACAACCTTTTCCTCGTTCCATATTCCATTCACACTGGGATGTTCAATCACTGTAGTTGCCCATTTATAAAAGTTGGGTGTCTTGGTAGGCAGTTCTTTGATCAAACTCTCTGGCCCAACACCATTCTTTGGCAGAGAGAGCAATCGTAGAATGAAAGATCCGGTGAGGACCTATCGTCAGGATTAGTACAATCATGTTTTTTCATGTCTCTTCTCTTTTATTCTTTTGATAACATACCTCAGCCAACGTCAATGTCTTACTTCCTCCAAAATACGGGGCTGCGTCGCTTAACAGCGGCTCAACCTCCTTCTCAAGCTGCTTCACAAATTCCGCAGCAGCCTCCTCGGCCTCTTCATCTGTCTTGGCGAAAAGCGCTTTGTGATAAAGAGAATTGACCTTGCTAAAAAAGGTATCGACAAAGAAGTTTATTCTGGCGCGAGTAAGAGCCGCCTCAGGAGTACCTCCATTCGGGACCAGGTGGGACGGATAGGCATCGGCTAGGAACTGAGCGACAATAGCAGACTCTGTAATAATCTGGCCATTGTAGGAAAGGCTAGGAACGAGGCCACGAGGGTTGATTGCCAGGTACTCCGGCGTACGAGGAACACTCAAGTCAATGATTTCCTCTTCAAATGGGATTTTCAGCTCTGCCAGTGCAATATGAGCACGGTGGGCCCCTATGGTATCACTGATGTTAGTGTTGTCATGACCATGACTTTGCTTGGTAATTATATACGCACAAGGGCAGCCGTGGTTGGTATACAGCTTGATTTTGGCAGTCATGATACCGGCAATGTTGAATACAGTGAATAGTCAAGTGTGTCAATTATTGATAGAAATCGCTGTCTTGGGTAGCGCGTAGGTAGAAAGATAAGAGGGGTAGCAGTTTATATAGGTTGGGCTCCCAATGCGCGATCAACGCACATCTTGATGCAATTCCGCAATCTATGAGATGCTTTATAATGCTCGCCAATACCCCGCACACAACTAGCCACTTGATAGGACGTATTGGATAAGGCGTCATAGAGTGTGCTTCCTATTCTTTAGTTAAAGGCAAGGATGTTCTCTACTATTCACTTTGTACTCCATGCCTCCGTTACATATGTCAAATGTTGTCTATTCATTTTGCGGTCCCTTGTTTTTGCCAACCGCGCGGCATCTATGTAAGCTGGGGTCCGGTGGTTTTTGCAAGGATTTACGGAGTAGAAATAAGGACTTCATCTGCGGACTCCCGAGGATTTCCATTGCGGACTTTCGCGCTGAAATAGTCCCAACTCGGATCTCGGCATTAGCCAAAGGCGAAAATACAATCTATATCCGGACCACCTGCGGAGGCTATCGCCCTCTCCACGCACCCTTTCTTCATAATCAGTGGTAGGTTGAAGCGGCACTCACGTGTGCCATCCTCCCTTCTGAACCATTCCCATCCTGTCACTGCACCGCAGCCTTTGATCTCCTTTTTGAGACTTTTACCTTCATCGTCCAAAACCCAACTGCCTGTCATGTCAATTATATCCAATCGCCACAAGATTGGTGGGTAAAGCGCAATCCCACAGGTGACTTTTGGCGCCTGAGTAGGCTCTGGAGTAGGCTCTGGAGTAGCCTCTTCCGAAGACGTTGAAGGCATCTCTGAAGTGGTCGTCGTGGGGGACTCGAGCAGAGAGAAAAAATCGTCTTCGTCTTTACCAATGGACGCGAAAAGAGCTTCATCTCTCAGTAGCTTCATCCCTTCGTACCCGATGACCTTTGCAATGTAGGTTGGATCTGGCTCTTCACTTGACGATTTTATAGTCGTCGTGACAGTCATGTCGGCAGCGTCGCAATCGACTACGTTCTCGCATTGAGTTCGAGTAGTAGTCGACCAGCTTGTAGTTGGCTTCGTCTGCACTTGGGTACTGCTGATGAATTCCGTGCACTCTCTACCCGTTTGTAAAGTTGTGCAAGCTTTGGCTGTTGGTTGACGGCCCGGAGGACAACCAATCAGGCCGCATGGTGCGTTGCACAAGAGGTCCCAAGAAGGACACTCGGGGAGTTTCGGGCATCCAAAGAGGCATGTAGGCCTTGGAAAGCTCACAGGAGTGCCCTTTGGACGGGGAAGAGGTTTGATAGTGAGTCTCTCGCATTGTGCGCCAGAGCACTTGGATCGAGGGAAACAGCCTTTGCCCTTGCACTCTCCAGAATTGCAGCTTCCAGAGGACTTTTTAGAACAACCGCCTCCTTTTTCGCATGCTTCTCCTTCACAAACTCCTCCGCGTTGACATTGGGAGCCAACGCAATTTCCTCCACGGACGCATTTCTTCCCTTTGCATTTTCCAGCAGACACACATGATTCACCGAAACAATCACCTCCCCGCAAACACTCGTCATTCTCGCAGTCCTGGCCCTTGGTGCATGAATCGTTTTTACAATCAACAACACCGGGAGGAGTAGGAGGATTGACGATTGGGTGCTCGTCATCATCAGGGAGCTCCGTCGGAGCTGGTGGCTTAGGAGTAAGCACTGACGGAATTTTGTAGCTCACCGTTGGGAGCCAGGTAATGGGCAGCAAGAAGCCCATTCCGTCATGGGATGAAGTGGTGGTGCTAGTCGCTTGTGGAAGTCCAATAATTGACTTGGAAGGTTCCTTTGATGGATCTTCTTTCGTGACTTTTCCTATTCCTGTAACTGTCCAGCCAGCAGGTATGGGGATCGTAACGGGATTTGGCGTTATCCTGGGAGTGGGATTATACGTGAAGATTTGTCCGGAACTCAACGAACTGATATCCGACTCATTGAAAGTAAACGGCTGATAGCCAACTTCTGAGATGGAAAAAGGTGCAGATACTACCGTCGTGCTAAATGACGTTCCAGATTGGAGAGTAATTGTCGTATATGCCTTAAGCGTAACTGTAGCTGGAAGAGGTGAGGGCTGAAGGATATTCGTGCATCCGACGACTGCCTCTATGGATGGATTGAGCCAGTCCCATATCATATTGTCAAAGACTTGTATACAAGAAGAGTTGTTGTAATCTCCATACGGGCCAACGGTGTCTGCCCCGTTAAATTCTTGCAAGTCAACCGCCCAGTCGACTGATCCGCCAAAGTTGAGCTGCTTCCATTTGTCGCGACGGACTTCCTTTGTGTGATCGGACATGTATGCCACCCATTCAACGTTTGCATTGATATTAGCATGCAATACAGTATCTGGAGAAGCCGCGAGTGGTGATAGTCTTACCATCATACACCAGATAATCCGACCCAGTATCCTTGTCGAACCATGTCTTTTTCGACTTTGACGGCTTGGATATGATCTCGTTGATCTCTGCATTAGAAAGATACCCGCTGGCGTTTGTGCATCTCCCTTTTGCAGCGTCAGATTGACCGTTCGTGCCGGTAAATGTGCAATCGGGCCCAGTACAGCCAGTCTTGGCCATTCGAAACGATCTTCCATAACTAGATTCTCCTACGAAGACCTTGTTGGCATCCACGCCGGCTTTGGTAACTGAATGCAAGATGAATTAGCAATTCCACGTCATTTCTCAGTCGCTATTGCTGGGCCGACTGCTGACTTACTCATGGAAAGTGCCAAAAGACTTCTGTCTGGTTAACAAGGCTTCTTAGACAATTTCCACCTGGGCATCCGGACATGGCCCACCCATTTCCAACATCCCATTGACCTATCACGTAGGTTAATCCCTGTGGTAACGATTCTTGTAGTAAGCCGATGATGTTGCTTACCGTGAAGATCGTATGCCATATATACGATGTAATCCACCACTTGGGACATTTCTTGGATCGGAAAAGGCCTGAGATACCAGTACGAGGCAGGGACAGCAATGGACACAGAATACTTGGCTGGCAACGCTTTTCGCAACGCGCGCAGTGTATCGAGATAGTTGCGAGTGTCGCTTGGTAGACCTGCTGGAATACCAGGTATGTCAGGTGCCTATATTGGATCGGAATGTTAGCACAACAGAGGCCGAAACAACAAGCGAAAATGTTGAGGGTCTGACTCACGCCAGGGTATTCCCAATCGAGGTCTATGCCATCGATGTTTGCTTCTTTCACAAAAGACACAACGTTTGAAACGAAGCGATCTCGACTCTCAGGAGACATAGCTTTGCGGAGCACTTCATATGATGCAACTCCGGTCGAAAACCCCCAGCCACCAAATGAAACAATCTTTTTGACGTCCTTCAACCTCATGAATCCATCCCATTGACCGTATGTATCGTTGACAGAAACTGACATGTCACTTTTGACGTCTCCAAACGCCCAGTGTATATGAGTGTATTCTTGCGTGTTTGACATTTCTGATCTCATGTGCAAGCATGAACGCTCCCAATTGAATGCTTCGTAATAGCCAATGCGTTGGAATCCGCTCGAGGGGGGTTTGCCGTTGTTGACAATGTCGGTACCGCAGTTTGAGATACATCCATTCGAGTCAGGCGGTGCGGTTCCAGGGTTTCCCGTCGGCCCGTCTGCTTTTGTGCAAAAGAGAGAATCGATTCCGCATTGACCCCAAATGTTACAACAAGAGTTGAGGGGGCATGGATTGAGCTTGGCCAGAACAGAAGCATCTGCGACTGGCCCTGGACTGACGGTGCCGGGCTTCTGAGGGCCACAGACGGCGTTGCTGACGGGTGCTGGCATCGGTGGCGAGCCTTTGCTGAAACAGATTTTGAGACCAATGGTCAAGTTGGGACAGCCTCTCCAACCCCAAGTTATCTTGTTGTTGAAGCCTTCTATATCGTTTGGTGTGAGATTCCAAGGCAGACCAATGACTGAACAGTCGTCGCCTGCCTTTATGGTTTGTGTAAAGCAGTCACCATTGTCTTCAGGGAGTGGTTTGCTTGAGCCAGATGAACAGCATGCATTCTTCCCCGCTTGCAGCTTTCTACACCAGTCGTCCCCGTCTCCCTTGACGTCGTTGTACTTGAGGAAGTCAGCGACTGAGATCTTGCACGCTTTTGCTATCGAGGCGCATGACTCGCCGGGGGCAATTTGGTGTTTGATGCAATATTTGGCATTGGCCTGAGTGTCTAGAAGCTCGGCGGTGGCTCTTAATCCTTCCAATAGCTTGGATGAAAGCTTTAAGTCCGTAAAACCCTTGGCCACTGAGCTAACGGCGGCTGGTAGAGGCACTTGGTGAACGATGAGTTCTTGGGAAGTGGATCGGCTGTCTGCTGCCTTAGGTTTGCTGGCACACTCTCCCTGATTCCATGACAGCAACGCGGATTGGACATAGTCAATGTCGGTTTCCAATGCTATTGCCACACCAGCTGTATGATCCATGTCGTTTTCCTGGCCACAAATCTGTGCTAGCATACTGACAGTAGCATTGCTCAGTTCCCTGTGCGGATCGGACAGATGGTCAATCATGGATGAGATAGTATCTGAGGCCATTGACTTCCCAACGTAAATGCCTACCACCAATCCATTAAAGTAGCTCAGCATGATATCATTGTCTTTGATGCAGCCGTTGGTGGCCACAGTATTGACCGAATAATCCTTCATCTGGTCAAGTAGCGTCACCAAATGTCCGCTGGATAGAGTCGCGGATTTGCCAACATTCTGAGAAAGTTGTAGTGGGACTTTGGTTTGGACATAAGAATGTCCGCATGTGTCGAGTTCTTTTTTCGCAGCTTCCGATTCATGTGAAGGTCTTCCATTCGATACAGCAGCCGTGCATGCACGAATTAACACAGATTTTGTCCGGTCATTGACGGGCGTATGTATTGCCAGGTCAAAAAGCATAGGACGGTCGCATTGCGAAAGTCGTTCGAAAGAAGAGTAAACGTTCCAATTCTCAGGGGTCTTACCCGAACATGGAATTGGACATCTGTTGAACTGAGATTGGAAAGCTGTTGCATCGTATATATTCGACGAAAGTTGCTCGGGTGTTCTTGCTGCCACTAATATCGTAGCCCATGCAAGCAGGCATGCAATAGCCCAAGGCCTTTTCCAAGGCATGTTTGCAGAAGAAAGAGAGGGAAAAATTTCTGATAACCGAGATTTGAACTGTAGAGTGATGCAGCAATATTTTGAGCGGTATGATGTGGTTGTAATGTCTTCGCCACAATCGTAAAATACTGATGATTGAGGCATCCGGCGACGACTATATGCCTTTTCGTCTCTTGATTTCATTTTTTCAACTCATCTCTACTATCGTATCACCAACCGTGTCCTATGCCTGTGAAATGAGGCGATCTGTTGACAAACAATCGTTGGTTGTTGCGCTGCTACTACCGGCGACATTCTGTTGACGCTCAGGCGTGTTAGTATTATCACGATATGTCACCACTGGGGAATTTGTTGGTTCCTAGACCAGAAACTCTATTTGCTTAATTTTACGAAGGTAACATGGTGTTTGTGCTGTTGCAGTGTCGCGTGCCTCTTCGACTTCTCTCCAACACAACTCATATCGCGATAATTCGCATTCCCTATACATATATTGCTTGTTCTAGTATGCCAGCTAGATCAGCTTTGTTCAGGCAGCCAGAGCCATTCGTATTCCTTTCTTCACAACCATGAAGCCGTCACTACTGTCCTTTGTTCAACTACTTGTGCTTCTAGGCCTTGTACTCGTCACGTCGTCTTTGCCAACTGATCATCCCATCGCAAACCTCACTTCTTCTTCAAAAGTCAGGTCAAGAGGTAATAAAGATGCTTTTCAAAACTGCCGAAATGGGAGAATCGCTCCCTATATTGAGCAGGCTTTTGAGGACGCAGAGCTCATTGTGAGATATTATATTTCTTGCCAGTGACTGAGCCTATTGTTGACCTCGAGTGTAGCTGGGAAATGCATTTGAAATGATGGACTTACTCATTCCGCTTTTTAACGACGACGGTACCGGCCTACTTCTACCTCATAAGGCCACAAAACAGGACCGAACCTTTGATGAAGACAATGTGTTTTCAACATACAGCTTTTTGATTAGAAGACTGTACTTTCCCGACAATCCAGAGTGGAACAGGGGAAATATGGATGCAATGTTACATACGCGTAGTAAGTATACCTTGATGAAAAACGCGAATAGAGTGGAAGCTAATGCATCATTGTCTTGTATAGCCATGTTATTCACCATGAAGTACACGATTCAGCAATACTTACTTGGTAACCACATTCCTGGTCATCCAAAACTGCAAATGTATTGTGACGAAACAGAATACATGTTCGAATACAATGACCGTGGCACACGATATATCGACGGTTCGATGAGCCCCAATTTCCTTCTCAAACGTTCCGTTTCCTGTTTTTACTGACTCGGGCAGACTATCCCCAAGCTACAAACCGTGAGTTTTCGAGATGCAGAAGAGAGATTGTACTAATGCTGATATTTGAAACAGCTTACGACGGGACGTATTTCGTATCCCGGGCTGTAGGATCTCATTCTGCTCGCACAGGCTATATATGGGTTGGAGTGGCAGAGATCTGCGAAGAAGTTCGTGGGCAAACTCACCGCAACATAGGATCGCTCGTTATCCCAACTTTGGACGTATACGCATACGTAGAGAACCCATCACCCGAAAATCTCGACGAAACCTTGACTCTTTGCCCGGCACGGTCTGATCAATGGATAACCGCTGAATCGAACTCGGTAATGGATGGCCTTGAACTGCGGAGGCTACATGTCCCAACAAATTCTCAACCTAATGCATATCAGAAAACTGCATTGGATAAACTGATTTACCAGAAGTCTGACATAGGTTGGCTGGGACAATTCCTAGTCACAACTTTGATCCATGAGCTATCGCACACAGAAGCCTTTACACCCAAAGGCATCCAACAACGTAAGAGGCAATTCGCGTGTCATCTGATATCTATGCTGATGTCGTCGGATGGAACAGAGGATATTGAATGCATGGCAAGCGGAGAGCCTGTCATCACATCTGGAAGCATCGAATGTCTCTATAGCGTGGCTAAAGGGACTGATGGTTTACATCCGGATACCAACACTCCACAAGGTCATTTGGATGCAGGTAAGTTTCTCACAGTACCTTCGTTTGAAGAGAGAGTCCTGTTTTACTAATACATGGATCATTAGAGGCATTGACTTTATTCGCTATGGGTAAGTTATCTTCTCCTCGAGCTTCTTCCAAAATCCCTCTTTCCACATCCACACTCAAACGGACCCCATCATTGGATTTATGCTAATTCGCATCCGTGATATTTCCAGCATTGTGGGCAAACTCGGCGACTTGGTGGAAATCTTATGAAGCAAGGCGCAGACAGAAAGATCCCCAGGCACAATGAGGAATTTGGCCCAACACAGCAAGGTTGTTGAGATGCAGTGAGGTGTATAATTTAGTCAAAGCACGTCATGAAATGGAGACATGGCTATTGGATCCTACCATCATGATCCTTAATTTGAGCTGTATTTAACCATCTGTGTATCATGAGTATACAGGTTGATCTAGTAGCCAAGGAACTAAAGTGTCAATTTCGAGTGCCATGTTTAAAATGAGAACACGCTCTTGACTCTTCTAACCACCTCTCTCCTCAGCGCTTGGTATTCGGCCAATGTTCTGGACACAGCATCTTTGTTCTCGTTGGCACGCCGTAAGAGATAAAAAATACAGTCCCCAATTGTCCCCCAAGTAAGGCATTTGTATACCTCACTTACGGACCCTTGGCTTTCGATATCTTGTTTGTTTCGCTGAAGAAGTGTAAAGCTTACTTCATCTGCCATCCCCAGTAGCTGGCCGTATTGAACCTGAATGCGCGGCAGTCCGGCGTTTGTGCGAGACTGTTGCAGCTCTTGAGCCTTCAGAGTGCTAGCGCGATTATGAGTTGCCAAAAACAGCTGTAGTCTCGGAGAAGTGAAAGATTCATCTTGTTTCCAGGCGGTCGATTGGCCTTGGATGAGACTTTCTGCAATGAGATCGTACGAAGCATCTGTCTCTGCCTTGGTATCGTGGATAAGATGGCGAGGCTCTGTGCTCATATATGCACCACGAACCAGCTTTATGCCAATTATGAATCCTTCTTGTTTCGCACAGTGTAAGTGATCAAGAAGGGTTCCCGATGTCGACTTCAGATAGGCCTGATAGGTGTTGAATACCACCGCCATGTCACCCCGATTGTAGCGGCGCATCAGATCGAGAGCGACTTTATCAATTCCAGGCTGAACATGGTGCTGTTCTGCGTCTAAAAAAATGTTTACACGTCGGCGAATAGCTTCGTCGCAGAGAGCTACCAATGCGCTCTCCATCTGGGTGGGAAGAGGTTTACCGTGAGACAGCGCCGTTGTCACAGCCGCACCGGCCCCGGTCAACCTATCCTCGCGTCAGTCGTCTAGATCGGCACAGTAAACCATGAAAGGGAAAAGAGATATGCCTTACTTTAATGCTAAAAAGTCTCCATCGCCAATCATTTGGACTGTCTGCAAAACACCTTGGTGCCATGTTTCAATCTCAGGGTCGACTTGTTGTGATTTGGAATCGGCTTGGTCTTTCTCATCGGTTTTCCCAGGGCCCTCTTTTGCATAGGTAAGAATAACCCCGCGGAATCCCATATTTTTTATGTTTTGTATTGTAGCCTTAACTTCGCTGGCATTCTCACCAGCGCAAAAGTGGTTGTAGAGGACGTTTTTCACGATGCTATGCAGCAGTGGATTTCTTTCAACGTTAAACAAAGGGCCTCGGGGCTTGGACAGGAATTTCAGAGTCGCTAATCCTGGAGCGAGAAGCATTGGGTGGCTAGTGATCCCAGCTACCAATAGCGACCGCAGAAGCATCCTAGTTGGGAGAAGAGAATGTGGTGGCAACATTGCGCCTCCCCCTCCTCCAGCTCGAATGAGCTGAAAGCCTATGAAGGTATCTCTTTGTTGCCAGATGCCCAGCCGTGTGCTTGAAGAGCCTCTTTTTCAAGCCTGATTTCGAATAGAGAGGCTTACTGCTCTGTCTAGAAAGGTAACGTCATGTTTAATTGCCTCAGTTTCCTGGCTGTTGCAGTGTGGTTTGATTCAAATGTGAAGACTTGCCCCTCCTCTTACGGAGTTGATCGGCCATTGGGTTGGGTTGGCCCCTCACACGCAACTGCTTAGTAACCCCAAACATGTATCGCTATGGACTCGGCACTTTATGGTTTCTTCCTGCTATTAAACCGAATATATCTTCAGATAGAGAACACTGAAATCGGAGTATATAGTTCATAGTGCTACAGAAAAGTATCTAATGTATAAATCTAGTACTGTGAACCATTACTAAAATTCCATCGCAGAGAATGCCTCTTTGGTCCCAATAAGACCCTCGGAAATCCCCAAATCATCTCGTGTTAACACGCCCGCATCTTGCGATCTAGTGGTCTTGGCCCACCAAAAGAATTGCATCATGATTCCTATCTCCTCGGCCCAACCTGGCCATACCTTGTTAAATTCTTCTGGTCGAAGCTCAATGTACTCAGCTGCTTTTCCTTGAGCTTCCCCCCATAATTGCAGCATTTCCCCACATGTAATATTTTCTGTGTGGGCAAGCACATGTTTCCCGGGTAGTGTTTTGTCGGGCTGATCAATTATAGCCTTGATAAATATTCCCACATTATTTTTAGCATCACCGATAGGCCGAAGAGGCGTATCGGCTGGGTATCCATTGAGCTGGATGTGTTTACCAGCCGATGGAATGAAGATTGGGGTGTGTGTTTGCCAGTAGAAGTTTGCAGCGTAGTAGCCTATAATGACAAACGTCGTCTTTGCAAACAATTCTGGCTGCGATTGTATATACCGGTCGGCGACATTCTTGCTCTCGAAATGAGGGACCAAGAATTTTCCTGAGCTCTGGGTTTTAGCATCGGGTAGAGTTGACCATATATAGTGCTCAAGTGTTGGCGTTGCTGCAGCGGCTTTTGCCAAATTGAGAGCTTGAGCGGACTCAATTTCCATGGCTTTCAAAGGCCCTTTATCTGCAAATAAGCCAAAGAAATCCGTCACAGCAAATATGATCGATGAGCCTTGGAAAGCTGCCGCCAGGGATGAAATATCATTGGTGGTTGCTTGAACTACTTCAACGCCTTTAGCAGCAAGATCTTTTGCCGACTGACTTTCGCAGTTTCGTGTGACAGCGCGAATATGATATTTATCATCTCTGAGAAGAACATCAATAACAGAACCACCTTGAATGCCTGTGGCACCAACAACAGTGACAATTTTTTCCCCCATTGCGTTCTTTCAGCCTGAATGAATTGTAGAGAAAAATCTCATAAATTAAATGAACCCGTGGATTAGCAACTTGGTGAAGGCTGTGTAATGGTTGAAGTTGGCTCATGTTGATTGGGAGAGGATCGATCTTTGTATCCCAAAATCCATTAGCTACCATTGCACCTTAGATCGTAACATCATTCAGAATTAATAATCGGTTTTGTTTAGTAATCTCGATTTTAAAGCACACGATATTCAACTCATACACGACTTGGCAAGTAATAGAGTGAATGGTCAACGCATTGAAGCCAGAGTCATGTAAATGGGTGGCAGTTACAGGGTGCTTCAACTGTGCTCCGGACTAGCCATAGAAAGCCGGATTTTGCAGCCATTCGTGGAAAGGTGGGTGTTTTGCCCCACCAAGAATTGTTCCATCTCGCTCCAGTTTATGACACGACTCGGCAGTTGACCATGATTCTCTATCCGTAAGAAAGATTGTCTCGTTTATTGATCACATAATCATGTTCAAATGCGAATAATTTGGTCAATAATATCTTGTTAATATGGATTCAATAGCGTGATAAGATCTCGGATGTGGGGCTCAAAGGCGAGACCGACGACCAAGTAATAAATATTGAAAAGGCGGAGGCAGGATACCACGGTTTGACTCTGTTGGAAAATGACATATTTCTATTACCAAATCATTATACAGCGCGTTGTATAGCTGCCAATATTGTTTTCAAGTACCTAGGTAAGAAGAAATGCTATAAAACTAACAATAGAGTATTGTGTATTAATAAAAGAATAGCTCACAACATTATAGTGACGATCGCCCTTCTTCTGAACTGTGACATTGGAGTGGATATCATGAGTTGAGAGGTTCTGAGATGTAATAGGTATTTCGAATATACGGTATTTCTTGCTATTTACGAACACTTCAGACTATACATACTCATGGCATAAATATTCTCCTCACAGCAGCTTCTGATCGATGCCACAGCCATTCTTGGTGGGCGGTGGTTCTCCCGAACTCGCCGCTTCCAATTTGATCTCACTATTGTTCACAGCGTGAGCGCACATGGCAGCAATGAGTGCACGAAGAACGCAAATGACTGCGTTGAGTCTTTGATATGATTGCTAAATAACGACTTGCACGCTCCCGGTTATCCTCTATGATCTATATGTAAAAAAAAGCGAATCAAAAAAAAGGAAAAATATGAAAAACCGGTTTCTATCATACAACATTATTGACTTTCATCTCGTCGACGTTATCTGAAGACTGAGCTTCAAAATCAAGTTTCTCCCATTTCATACAAAGGCCTGCGATTAAAGTGATAGCGCCCCCTGCAAATGCAATCCATTCGATCTTCCCAATGGTCGTTGTTATACCTTCAATGGCAAGGCCGATAACACGAGGATCTTGTCCAGCGCGGAAGATGCTAGAATCGACGCCGGCAAGTGCGTCACGGATGTCTTTGTCGGAGAAATTACCAAGACTGCTGATGGAGTCGTGCAACTTGTTGTATCCAAGATTCTGAAAAACGCAGCCGGCGCACGAGAGAGCAACTGAGACTCCAAAGAGCTGTGAAACAAGATGTATCATGGCAGTATCTTGGCGTAGTGATGCTTTGCGCGCCTCATTTCTTTCCACCTCGACAGGATTACTTTTGTCAAGCCCGGGAGTGTCCGATACTAGACGTGACATTACCGCATTTCCTGTTTGCCAGATGAGACCAACGCTTATTCCGACAAGCGTATCAAGGCCCAATATTCTGCCATCAGGAGTACTTGGCTCAAGAGCTGATAATCCACCCGCGCCTGCCAGCATCATGGCGCCACTCAGGATGTAAAAGGGTGGGAAAATGCGCAGCCGGGGTAAGAGAACAGCAGCAACAACTGTTGATAGGATAAAACTGCCAATGTATGGCAACAATCGTACCGCCGCTGAAATTGGGCTTAACCCTTGGGTAAAAGCAAAAAACAGGGGTGTATAGTAAAGCGCGATACCGTAGGAGCCGCCGGCAGCAAAAGTCGATATAAATATGAGAAGAAAGTTTCTGTTCTCGAAGAATAACGCGACGGGGAAAATCTGATGTTCGCGGGTGGTGAAGAGGGGTTTAAGTTGCTGCACTGTGTAAAAGATGAAGACAACGCCCGTAATGACCCAGACTGCAATCGTCCCTCCGAATCCCCAGTCCCACGTTGAGCCACTAAATATGAGGACCATACTGGAGAGGATAACGAAGGCAAAGTGTGAAATGGCTCCTATCCAGTCAATCTTAGTTAATTTTGATGATGGCATTGAGCTGTGGTCTGCGGATAAACTGGGAAGGCTGATAACGGCGATCGTAAGAATAAGGCCAATGAAGGGAATATTAATATACATGGCCTACAATTCAGACATGTTAACGACTAGGTTCAAAGTTAAGTGTTTCTTCGTAATACACTTACCCAACGCCAAGTGGCGTGACTATTCTGGGCAAAAGCACCTCCAACAATTGGTCCCAGCACAAGCCCTACTGCCCAACACACGCCCAAGAGACCCATATATCGAGCGTATTCTGTCGGTGTTGTAAGAAGTAAAACGAATATGCTGCCTCTATACTCCGTAACTACGTTAGCCAATGTTCAAAGGACAACCTGCTGCTTTTGAGGTAATACATACGCCATGATAGCTCCTGCTGATCCAAATCCAGTAACCACGCGCCCGATAATCACCATGTTGATGTTGGTGGCAGCACCAGCCAAGATTGATCCAATGAGCATCAATACTTCTGAGATGAAGAATACGACTTTTAGCGGGTAGATGGCGGTGATCTTGCGCCATGATGGAGCAGTAGCAGCACTCAGTGTACTATACCCAACAGCCACCCATGGAAGAAGCTCAACATGACCAAAAGCTTCATAGACAGAGGTTTGAACATTGGCAACATTGCTAACATCGTAACCTAAAGAGAGTTAGAGGCTCGTACCAATGAAGACGCATTCGACTGTTGCTTCAACGCACCGACAATCAACATGGTCAACCCCAGACATGTGAGAATCAATGGCCATCTCCAGCCTTCTAGGTCTTCTCTTGGATGACCGGAACCGATTATGGATGTATTAGTGCTTTCATCGGTATTAGGCTCCCCTTCTTCAAGAAACATCCGGCGCTCCTCCATATCGATGGCTGATGGAATGCCAGGAGCAGCTAGCCGGCAATCCTGTACTGCTTTGAAATCAGTGAATAGGGTCGTAGAAGGGAGCACGGTACCGAAAGGGAGCAACTAATGTTTTTAATCGTGATTTGCGATGGGTCTCTTCCAAATCTGAGCAACTTCTTTTCGTCAGCGGACGATTATATAAACGCGCGTTTGCGATGAAGACCCATAGAGGCTCAGCTCTCTCACGCGCGCAGGTAATCCACCATTCTCCACAAGGAGACCGCAGGATTACATTGCGCATCGAATGATTTGTATTACTGTAAGCTTCGGCAGCGATCCCGAACACCTTGTCGAAACATTATCGGCTTGAGAATCAATGTGACCCTATCATCTTGTCTTTGTCCTAATGCCAAAATAGGACATATCTTCAGAAAGACAACAGATGGCCTCCCATCTCGCATTAAACGACCCACCCGCGTCAGCTCGGCTGCTATGACCCACGGACGAACAAGTACTATACAGATACGAGTAGCTCCATATATGCAGCTTGGTGGGAACGAGTAGCCTCCTTACCTCTGTTGGTCAAAACTTCTGCAAATTTGATCAGGATATAATGTTCATCGGAGGAACAGTAATGGCTTGGTACCATATAGAGAAAGTGGTCACTGCCAGACAACTCACCTGGAAGAAGACCAAGTGTATGCATATCAGCACTCGGCTAGATTACGACGATATAGGAGGTTAAATAATGACCGTAGATGCAATTCAGAGGCTTTTAAAGATCGATGCTAAATGTCAAAATCCCAAAATAGCTGGTGGCGGTCAGCTCTCCGATGCGCATGGCTAACGATGGGTTCACGCATAACATTCCCAATACAACTATGACTGCCCCATATATCAAGATGGATTCTGCAATTCTCATGTGGAAAAGAAACTGTCGAGTTATTTTGACTGACTACGCATATTTGTAACATGCCGATTTCAAGAAGCCATTCTTACCAGCCATAAGACCATTCCGCCTTCTCAAGACTGCCGCAGTACAGATGAGAAGTTTCCGCCTCGCACTCCATATCTCATATAGTGCCATAATAGCCTTGTCCAAGCCTGCCGTCTAATACTTCATACTTACTGGCTTCCTCTTACCATAAACCTCGAGGGTGTGTGGAGTTCATTTATATTACCAGTCAGCATCTCGCTGGGTGGAGACGTCGGCTGCTCCGTCTTGTTCAAGGGCGCGAAAACGTAACAAGTAAATTCCGCGAAACCTTTGAAACATTACCAAAAAGGCACATGAACCAAAGCACACATGCAGGGGGTGAGTATGTGCACTCATTCTAGAAGTAAAGGAGTATAGCATGGACGGACGATGACCCGGAAACCAGGATTATCAGCCGCACCTTTTTGCAACCCTGTCGGAAAACACTACGAACCTTGTTTTTACGTCCGATCGTCGTTCTTTTATGCTAAGGCGTTGCCCTACGATCCAAACTTGGTATAGGACTCATTCTAGTATATCAATACATGCAAAGGGAAATATATGATCACGCTGGCAGTCGAAGAAAAGACTCTACATCTGTTCACAAAGACAGGCGTTAAAAGACAAAGAACGTAGACCACAGCGAGATAAAGGAAGATCATCTCATAGTAGTTTTCTGCTATTTTTAGAGCAATACACTAATTGCAGCTCAGTAGCTATAACTGTGCGCTAACAATAGCTTGATAATGACTTAATTTTTCCACACATTATTGAGCAACCACAGCTCTCCGGCCCATTGCTCCTGGACAACGGGCCAGATGTTTTCAGGAGGCAAAACAAAACCACCCTGACCACTGGTCACTGGATCTAATTCGAGGGTCCAAGAATGGTCTGCACCATAGGCACCATAGTGGTGGTCGCGACCATTGCCGGCGGAATAGTACTCAATATCGCAACCCGTACCATACTGGTAAGTCTCGTTTCGGCTGTCAAATGCTTGCACAGCATTTGCAAAGCCTTCAGCAACTTCAAGCATGCGAGGGAGGGTGGCGGGATACTGAGAGGTATTGCAAGTCCAACCAGGAGGCGTCAGGATCTTCTGACCATAGCTGTGGAGATCAATGTAGGAGCGAATTCCCTTCCGCGATTTTCCAAGCTTGTTTGAAAGACTCGATACGGCGATGTTCTCCGGAGTGTCGCCTGGGGCTAGGCCTTGGAATGTGTCAGAGCATGGATTGGTGGACGCAGCTCCAGTGCCTGGTTCACCACCCCACTCAAAGCTCCAGTTGCGGTTAAGGTCTGTGCCTATGCAAGTGGTGTTACTGCGAGGCAGTCGGTTCTTACGCCACATTCGATCAGTTGTCTGCGTGTAAGAGAAGCCTATGGGTGAGATCAATATCGGCATATTACTTTACAAGGTAATTATCAGTGTCTTCTCACCATCAGGGTTGTGGAATGGAACAAGCCAGAAGTCATAGTAGTCCAGAAACTTTGTAATCTCCTTGTTCTTGGTCTTGTATCCGTTGATCAGCTGCCATGCCCAGTATTCAATCACCTATAATACTCATTAGACCAGTTACAGAAGCGCGGATTATTCTGAGACGCATACCGCTGTAGAGATCCACTCCCTAGCATGGACGGTACCATGCCACAGAATGATGGGCTTGTTGCCTTTCTCACCCTTGTCGCCAAACAAGTGAAAAGCGTATATGGTGCGGTTTTCATACGATAAACCAAGCTCATATTTCTTAGAGTTCTTGGGAAAGGCTGCAGCCAAGTCATCCCAGTACTGGAGATGATCCTCGTATGGGTGGTATGTTTGATACCAGGACAGGTCAGGTAGATGGCCGGCCTTGTGTAGCCAACGCTTGTAGACGGGAGCCTTATTCTCGCGTCGAATCTGTTCCCCAAGATCGTCGCTTAGCAGGCGTGCATTAAGACCCAATTCATTAAAGCTGCGGACTTCATTAGGAGGAATGGCGACTTCGAATCCGCGGCTCGTAACTTCTGTGTGGTAGGTGGCGAATCGTTTCTCAATGAACTCAGCTTCGCTCTTATCCGCCGCTCTTATACTGTAGACCTGATACCCATTGTAGCTGACTTTTTCCGTACGCGGGCCAAGTGATTCTTCTACATTGACAGAGCGCGATGCCACCAATGGCGCCAGAAGGGCCAGAGTCGTCAGGAACTTCATGATTCTAGTCCCAGATGAGGTCCCGGATCCCGTTATCGAGTGCACTGGATGAGGACAAGAGAAATTGAAAGCAGGCAGACGAAGGCCATCTTTATAGTTCTAATCTATCAATGTCCATAACGATTTTGTGGAGAGAAATGTCGGTCGGAAGCTGCCCCGAGATCATGATATATTGCCAAACGGAAGATCGAAACCGCGAGTTACATAAACCAGAAGGCATATGAGGGGAGTTTCTGGATCTATCACGCAATGCCTGGCCTCCTCATTGAGTGATATTGTGCTCCGTTTACGCAATCGCCAGGGGTCTTGGTATCAATGTAATCAGTGTTTATGTGCGAAAACATATCCAATGGGCCATGGTTCACCCATTATTAAGAATCTCTAGGTGCCTATATCTGGACGAGCTAATGCGCTAAAAGTGTCACCGCTGCTAGTGGCGGTTATAATGCCAAAACTACTGCAACTTTGCAACGTTTTGAGCCGGCAGTTCCAACCCAATTCGGCATGTATTAAGCTGAACCAGTAACGTTTCAGCATGATTGCACGTAGCTTATCGGGTCTTTCCTCCTCTATGGGTAAATAGATCTCATAGAGGTGATGATTGGATGCATCATCAGGCAAGCAAAAAATCTGGCCAATTGTGCTCCAGTAGCCCACCTAAAACCTTCAGATCCCGGCATGTTGTCATCACTATAACGCATACTATTGAACTACATATTCTACAACATAGAAATGTTTGTAGAGTATTCTACATATATACATTTATTCAGATATCGCAGCACTATTCTTTTGCTGTCTGATTGATCTTGTTTTGTTGCATAGATATAACACAAGCCAATCTTTCTGTCATAGTAGCCATTATATGCCCGCATCCGCGCATTTAATGATGCCTCGTCTAATTGTTCAGAACTTATGTCCAAGACGACTTTCTCACCAAAATATATGCTTTGGCAGAATTGGAGGAAATTTTGTGTTGAGGTGCGGTAAAGAGAAATTAGAAGCTCTTCAAGTAGAATGCTAAATGTCAAATATCTACACCCATAGTTAAAGGAATATATCACATTCGTGCAACATTTTTAGTCAAGTGACGAAAGCTTAAAGTTTGATATCATCTTGTTTCTCTTTATGATACGGTAAGATGAAAAATGTGGCGGTAATCCTCCCCTGTTCATATATAGCCCGAATCAGCTGTCTGCGTTGAGCTGATTGGCTAACCTCCTTGACTTCAAAGGACTATTCGAACCTTCAGCGCATTCTTCTGCAATATCTCATCCTTTTTCTGCTCAAGTTCTTGCATGTCCCAGCACACACTAATAAATCGACCAGACAACCACTCTCTCCTTTCTTTAGCCAGCCATACAAACGTATGAGCAGCCAACTCCGGTGGATCAATTAAAACTTGGTGCAAATATTTTGGCATACGCTGACCCAATTCTGTAGCAACGCCGCCAGGATGCAGATTGATCGCAATCAGACCTTGCTGATGATACTCTTTATCGGCAAACTCGGTAAAACGAGCCATTGCAAATTTCGCGGTCTGGTAACCCGAGGCACCTGGCAAAATGAGATGGCCTCCTATACTGCTGCAGTTGATGATTGTCTTCGTTTGCGACTCGAGCACCAGCGGTATAAAGTACCGGTGACAGAGGTATGTGCCCTTCATATTGACTTCCCACGACTTCCACCAATCATCAGCTTGAGACTCAGCTAATTTTCGCCAATCTTCCAGGTAGCCAGCATTGCAAATCAAGATGTCGAGGCTTCCGGAAAACGCCTGCTCAATGGCTTCAGCGGCCATTCGTACGGACTCTTCCGATATTACATCCACAGTTAGGCTTAGAATCAGAGGCTCAGGGTGATTTTCTTTGACTGCAGCTTCTCTAATGGCCTTTTCGACATCGTCTAGGGGAGATCGTGCAGCAATTGCAATTTTGGAACAGCCAGCCGTCGCAAAGGCCAGGGCAGCGGCCTTACCAATACCTTTGGAGGCACCCGTGATGAACACAGATTTACCAGCTAAATTGGCACTGGTAGGATCTATGAAAGGATATGTATCATGGCGAGGTTTGACATATGCTGCTATTTGAGGCGCGTTGGTCTCGCGAGAAGTATCTTCTTGATCACTCATCTTGGCTGATGCGATTGTGTGCTGCGGATTGCATAAGTCTTTTGCGCTGTTTGTGACAATGGGAGGGGAAACGATGAATGGTAAAGGCATTAGAGAATAGATACATGGCAATAATGAAGTACTACTTATAGAAAGAGAACATATTGCCTGCTCAGACTTCCCTCGGATATATCGCGTGGCGCTATCTCCGCCCGAGGAAGATGGATGCGAACTCCAATCTTCAAATTGTAAATCTGTACCAACGTCTGTCGTCGGATTTGGAAAATATCAAGTAAATAAATTAATTCCGTGACTGTTCTTACGGATTTAGCGGACAAACCTATCATACTAACTATTATCCGCCGATTTCTCCGGATGTTCGTAGAGTGATTTTGGTACGGGGGATGTAATGGTATCCTATCACTCTATTTTAAAAAGCTCCAAATATTATTCAAGCTTTCTGCCAGCGAGGGGTGTGCCCATATTGCATTGCTCAACGCTGTCCATTTGACACCTCCAATCATCGCCATTTCTACCAAACTCATTATCTCACCACCCTCGATCCCCAAGCAAGTGAATCCAAGGATTTGCTTGGACTCAGCATCAACCACGGCTTTCATTAACCCTCTCGATTCGTCTGTCTCCAGCGCACGTGCAACATATGACATTGGCATGCTGGCGACTTGGATTTTACGATCAGGAAACTTTTCGCGGGCCTCATGCTCGTGTAGGCCAACGTGTCCAAGCTGTGGATCGGTATAGACGACGTAAGGTACAAGACGGTCGGCTGTAGTGTTGTTTCCCTCCTCAAGCAAGTTGGTACGTAGCAAACGGAAGTCGTCATACGATATGTGTGTAAAAGCTGGCCCTCCTTTAACATCGCCAAGAGCCCATACCCGGCTATTGGTTGTGCGTAATTGCGTGTCCGTGACGATATGCCCGCGAGCAGTCGACTCAATACCAGCCGCGCCCAGGTTCAGATTCTCAGTATTGGGCATGCGACCAGCAGCGAAGAGAACATGGGACGCCTGTAGTTCAGATTGACCATTTTGACCAGACACAGAGACAGATACTGAGACTTTGGTGGCCGGATCTTGACTGCTGGTATGAGGGTGGATAGCTGTAGGGGCCGCCTTTAGAAGAATGCGGATACCATCTTCTTCTAGCACCTTGTGCATTATTTCTGCAACCTCAGCATCTTCACGTGGAAGCAGTTGATTACCCCGCTGAATAATCGTGACAGCAGCACCCAATCGGCGAAAGAGTTGTCCAAATTCGAGTCCAATATAACCTCCACCAATAACCACGAGATGTGATGGTACCACCCCTAGCTCTTGGATAGAGCTTGAGTCAAGTATGGCATCTGGTGGGAAAGAAGCCGCATCAAAGCCGTCAATCTTGGGTATAGCTGGGCGTTCTCCACTGCAGACGAAGATGCGATCAGCAGTGAGGCTCTTCTCGGGGCCATCCAGACCGCGTACCTGGAGTGTACGCTCATCTTTAAAACTTGCTGTGCCCATGATGAGCTCCACTCCAGCTTCTCGCAGCCTTCGCTCACTTCCGGAGCGAAAACTGTCGACAATGTCGCGCTTCCGCTTTCTTACAATCTCCATATTCACTTGAACATCATTAGTGGTAGCATCGGCGCCAGCATTCGCAAATACGCCATACTGAGGGCCGCGACGTGTAAGATATGCGACTCTTCCAGATGCAATCAAAGTTTTTGTCGGGGTACATCCTTCGTTGATGCAGCAACCGCCGACATGAGAGCTCTCTATCAAGGCAGTTTTGTATTTTGCTTGTGCGAAAGCCATACTGAGTGGCGTGCCGCCTTGGCCGGAGCCAATAATTATGGCATCGTAATGAGTAGACATGGTTCGAATGATCTGTTTAACAAAAAATCGCTTGGGTGCGATAAATAGCGTCAAAGGCACGACATGTAACGTGGTGTACATGAAATAACTTGGATGTCGAATGATGCAAGTTGGGCGAGAGATTGGGAAGAAATGCGATGATGAGGGGAGACATCCATAAATGCCATCAATGTGACGACAGTACACAAATGACAAAGTACTAGGTAAGGTAAGTAAACCAATCAGGATTATATGACTGCTACGATCATTCTGCTTGCTTTAGAGTTAAGCCAATTTAGACTTTACGTGCGGAGAAAAGTTGTGTAGGAGACATTAACTACTGGGTAGAATTTTGTGAGAGGGATAAAAGCCTCAAGGAGTTAAGGGGCAGATAGAGACATCGAGAGAATATACACAAGTGACAAGATGATATTGGTTAAAATGAGATCTGCTCTGTGAAACCCTCTCCGAATACTAAGGTGATAAAAACAGGGAAAGTAATAGAAGATCAAATATTGAAGAAATCCTATGATCAGCGAGGAGAAAATACGTAGATCATGTGTGTCTTTTGCTATAGGTAATTAATATTACAAGCATAATTTTGTCCAATTCGTGTTACCATTTAAGTAATAAAAAAGAACAGAGGTTCGTATCGTCTTAGTACACATTAATGGCACAATGGAGAGCGGCCGTCACTTGATAGTTGCGAATTCCAAGTTGATGAACTTTATTGGCTCATGGAAATTTTCATGAAATGAAATATGGGTATGATTTTTGAACTTAGATTAGGTCATTCAGTTCCGTATTAGATACCGTTAATTTTTTCCGGTGATTTATAATATTCACACATGTTTTGCTTCCAATATTTTTCGGTATTAATTCAATACGTTTAGGTAGCGGGGAATATAGCGCCGTAGTTCGTTGTACACGCACTGAGCCCCGACACGGTTATGGATCCATGGATCTCTCCAGTGATGAGACACAGCTAACACCCGCATATCGGACTTGGCGGAAAACGTGTTTTGAGAAATTTACAAGCCGCACCCGCTCCTCGGAGTTTTCCGGTCACAGGCATCGTTCATTGCAAATTATTCATCGGCGGGTTATGGTATTTAGTGCTTAGTACCTCGTCGGGCTTTTTCCGTTTGTCTAAAGGTGGCCCTGCGCGTTGGTAAGGAAGTCGATGAGGCAGTCTCGGATCGGTACATGTAACGGTTATACTGCTATGCTCGGGCTTGTTGAGGTGCGAGGGACCGAGTGGAATTGCTTCGATTGTTAAATGACATCTAGAGAGGCCTAAGAGAGCAGACTTTGAAAGAGAGGTGATAATATTATGTCAACCAACTAGAAAATATCGTGGAATTCGGCAGTTGTCTACTGGTGTACTAAAACATTGTGAAAATGGAAAGACGTTTTCCGTAAAGGAACCTTTTATTTTTCAGCTTTTCGCCCGGCCAGCCGCGGCGCTTCGCTTCGGATGCAGTGACACCCAGTATGTTCGTCTCTACCTAGTAGTATACCGGAAGAGGTGGCCGTAATGACAAAGAGCGGAGTACTCATATACATTAGCTCCTTTAACTGTATTAGCTCAAGTCCGATGTTGATAGAATGGCCGTTATTATATAGTTATAGCTACTACTAGAAGCTTTTGACAGGCTATGTTCCTTCGTATCTACATCATATTCCAAAATCCATTGTTTGGTGTCGCAAATATGGACTACGAACATCAATCCATCTCACTGGCGACTTGGTTGCCCGACTACGAAAACCACGATTCTCGCTGGCAGGCTGTGAAAGCCCGCGATATTCGTGCGGACGGCTGCTTTGTCTCGGCCGTGAGAGCAACAAAGGTCTATTGTCGACCAGTTTGTAAATCTAGACTGCCTCTTCGCCGCAATGTTTTATTTTACAGAACTGGTCAACAAGCGCAGTCTGCAGGTTTCCGTGCCTGCAAACGGTGTAAACCCCAGCTAGATGGGCTCATGCCGGAGGAAAAGTCTGTGCAAAAAATTCGAGGGTTCCTGCAAGAGTGGGAAACAGCCGTCATCAGTGACGAAAGTCTTTGCCAGTTGAGCTTAGGCCAAATGGCGAAACAGGCCAACATGTCGAAATGGTATTTCCATCGGCTATTCAAGAAGTGCGTCGGCATGACGCCCGTTCAGTATCTCAGAAGCCGGCGGAACATCATGCAGCTCCAAAGTCAGGACCTGAGCTTCCTTGATCAACTTATCCCGTGTTTCATCGATTGGCCTCAGCTTACAGATACGTTTGCGGATAACGGAGATGTTACTTTGGAAAAGCTTTTGAAAGTCACGGAGGAGAATCGATTCGTTGACGGCTGCTTCTTTTCGCCTGAGTTGGTGGCGATGATATGAAGACAGCTCCTGTATTTGGAAAAAAAGAAATAGTAACGTGAAAATCATTGTTCATAATCATGACGCACCACTTATGACCACAGCGGAAATGTTACCATTATTCCTTTCAATCAAGTATCCGAAAAAGCCATTTCCTTGTAGCTCGTATAGCTCCGGCTATGAGACGTCTCTTTCCGGACCTTTTTGCATTGCGTAGGAATCCATTCGGAGAACCGACCGGAGAACCTTCCTTGTGTTTTGAAAACGAGGCGACCTTGTCAATGTGACCCTAAAACGAGAAAATATAAGAAACTTTTACGCAGCTCCATGTGTCCAATTCTCGTACAAAGCTTCAGACCCTAATGACATCAGAATTTTGTTTGTGTCGACGGACATGGCAAGAGGACCATCCCCCTATACAGCTACTCCGTTGTTTTTAGTTTTCATCGTCGTAAAGGGAGGGTATGAATGAACCTGCCGCCCACACCTAACGGTTTGCACTCCTTACTCTACGACCATAAGGATTTTTATTCGTGGCTTAGATGCTTGATGTCGGGCGTTGTCTGGCGTAAATTGGGAATTCTACTTGGTCCGGCGGTCAAAAACGGCAAAGATTTCCCTTCTTTGGAGGCAGGCTAAGAGTGACAAGCAGTAGTTGAAGGCCGGCGCTTACCTAGTTTGTCGACATCTTCTCAGCCGTTCTCAGATGCAATTTGTAAATCTGATGCGCCGGTCCAGCGCCACTGCCATGCTTTCATTCGGTTACAACAATGACTCCCCGATATTGCGATCCAACCACGCGACCGGGTCTGATGGTGAGCTCTTATTTGCCTGGACAGAGAAAGCGGAGCGGCCTGGTTGTGACAAGCAAGTTTTTGCGCCGCGTCCGAAACAAGCCCATCTCCACATGCAAGTTCTGAACTATCCTCTGGAATACGGAGTACATATTACTCAATAATGGGGAATCTCGCTCGGGGAGCTGGAAACGGCACAACGAACTCGAACGGTCTCAATGCGACTGTGACATTGTGTGATGAAGGATGTAAGCGAAGTATCCCTAAGAGATGCTACCGGACATTACGGGGTAGTAATTATCACCAGAAGTCGGCCCAGTTGGGAGAAATCAGGGGAGAGATGAAGCTTTCACGTCTACATGTTTATATCCAGCTACTGTTTACTCAACTCTTTCCATTATGATTGCGCTCTTTCGAGATCTATGGTCGTTACGCGTTCATATTAGTCCGTATCACTTATACTGCGATTGTATACCCTGTTTGATTATCTAGCTGAGATCAGTATTAATGCAAAATCAAAGCTTAAGAAGTGTTTTCTGTATTTTTCTTGAAGAAAATGTGTTCGCAATATTATTGAATTTGATTTTTGTTTTGTCTTCTGGTTAGATAAAAGAAGGTGGCACACGGTGCACATTCATCACTGATCTATATAAAACCAGTGCATCTAAACTCTGAAAGTCGGCCAAATCGCTCTGGCCCCAAGCCTGCTGTACCATTCTTCGTAGCATCACCCATTTTCGTAAGGGTAGGCGCTCTAACACTGACTCTATTACCTGCAATACTGTCCGTCGTTTGTCTTCCGTTGATGCTTCGAGGGCCAAGACAAAGAGCGGCCAAGGACGATCGAAAGTCTCCATGCAATCCAGTAGTGTATAGGCTTCTGTCACAAGCTCAACAACCTTTTGGGCGTCTCGGGGACTGCCACGGGCAACTCGTTCGAGATAAAGTAGCGCATTTAGTCGGTAGAACTCTGCTGCTCGACTGTTGTACGATGGTGCATTCGCGCTTGGGATATCGTGCTCTTCACGTTGGCTCAGGCATCGTAGTCGCCATTCAAGGGTATTTAATCTCGCAGTGTGCTCTGGAGAATTGTACTGTTCGGTATCTCGATCGTGGACGTCGTTGAAAATGTCGTGTAGAATATCCAATAGCTCTAGAGAGCATCCCCAAGAGGGCAAGATCTATAAATCATGTATTAGGTCGAAGGAAATTTTTTCCTTTCTTTAAATTCACAAGAGAAAGGGGGCAGGGTTGAAGAGAGGGAGAGTGGGCAGCTGATTCTTACAAATTGGCGGCGAGCCGAGTGGAGAGGCTTTGATATTACTTTCTTCTGTCTCTCCAGCCACGTTTGCAATTCGTCTATTCGAAGCCAATGAAGAACACTGAATTTATACATGGTGGAGCAATACAAGATCCAGTCCATGATAATTGCTGCATTGCCATCGTAAGTCTCCTCCGGATTGTAGATGGTGTCAAGGATTCTCTTAGTACCGCTGAAAAATATAGCCCAGCGAAGTGAAGATTCGCCGTTTTCCATCTGTATCATATGCATTAGCTACAAGTAAATACCAGCAAACCTCTAAATACTCAGTTAGTGTGACAAGGGTAGCAGCCAGTGTACCTCGTACAAACTGAGTAGCATACTAACTGCTACCATTGGGAAAGCTTCTTCGTGATCCCACGGCAATGATTTCTCCATAGCACTCTGTAAGCCTTTTATCGACCGATTTTGATGATAAATAGCATTTGGAGTAATGGCTAAGTATTGAAAGCATAATGCTAGCAGCGCGTGGCGAAGAGCTATGGTAGCCGACGCCGAGCTGTTTGCAATCATCTCCCTAAATAGCTGCTGGATGTCATCTACATTCTCGCCAAAAGTAACTTGAATGACTCCCATCTCGTCACATCCTGTCCATGTTCAATTGCGATTAATCGCTGTATCTGTGGATTACTGTTCCGGACGTACCTTGCGGTGTTCCACCAGTGGGTGGATCTGCAATGTCGGATGAAGGCGCTTCTGGGAAATGCGGTAGAGCTACTTCGTAGGCGAAGTGATTCTGGCAAAGGTCTATACAATGTTACTATGAGTCTTTATTGAAGAATTCGTTTTGCTCTCAGACTGACCACTCCATCTGGAATTGCGGAGTTCAAATGATAGCTCCAAATCTCGATGACCCAGGTCAATAAAGTACAGGGGCCTTTTATGTATGGGTACTTCGATTTCGGGGATGCAGACAATGGATCTCCGATTGTCAGATTCTTTTGGCCACGATAGAAGCATTCCGTATCCCTCACACGTTATACCACGTCTCAGGCAGTTCCCACAGGATGGAACCTGTCTGTCGCATGACTTCTTACCAGCTGCCCCTTCAAGTTCAGATTCTGGAGTAAAAATGTCTTTCAATGTGGAGATATACTCACAGCGGCAATTCCAACACCTTTTCCCCGTTTGATGATCCATTGCTAGTCTGAGTGTAACAGACTCCTGCATAATCGAGCGGGAAATCAAGTAGTAGGAGGAAGTAATAGTCAGCCCAAACTTGTTGCAGGTAGCTTGCCCTGGCAAGGGGCATGGCCACGAGATCAATACAATCCATCATGTATTCTGCAGCTAGATACGTGGTACATATTATAATCAAGTGGAACTTTGGTACACCCCTTTTCAGACTGTTGTCAAGATTTGTTGTGCTAAGCATTATTTTGTCCTCACGTTGCCACATTGCTTCTGATGTTCGCCATGTAGTAGAATCAAGTGGGACTATGGAATATCCATTTCAAACATTTTGTCGGGATTTAAGTTGGCTTATAACGCTGTGGATTATTGTGTTGGCGCACTGTCGTGTTGCGTTTGATGTTGTGTGTGCAGTCCAAAATCTAAAAGCACCAGCGGTTCACTATTCGCCACCAAAGTACTCAATTGTGGGCAGAAGGTAAAATCGGCAAATCAATTGCGCGAAATAAAACTTGTCCTACAAGTATATACAATATACATATATAGCCCTCTTCCGGCTGGGTTTTTATGTTATCGTTTCATTACCGGTTGAACATTAGACGACCAGGAACAACGAAAGAAGAATTGAAGCAGCCTTTTTTCAGACGAGACGATGAGTCAGCCAATTCAGTTCTGGTCGCACAGTAAGTGATAAAGCAATCAAAAGCCTTGCATCAGAAGAAACTCTAACCTATCTAAAAGAGATCGGCCCAAATCCGTGGAAGAATGTGATTGTCTTCGAGGAGCTCGGAATACCATACGCAACAGAATATCTAGATTTTGGCAATGATACGGGAGGGGTGGAGCATCCCAGCTTCCTAAAGAAAAATGCTGCAGGCCGTGTCCCACTAATCCACGATCCTGCAACAGGTAAGCAACTGGAAGCGTAAACAGCAGAAACGAACAAATAGAAATTGACGCCATGAGATGAAGGCATGATCTTAACGGAATCTAACGTCATCAACCATTACCTATTGGATCAATATGACAAGAACAATATACTTTCTCCAGCTACAGAACAAGATAAATACCTGGTGGACAAATACCTCGGCTTTCAAAGCAGCACACAGGCACCGTTTTATGCGCAGGTCAGTCCCCCCGCTCCGCCCCCCATTTTTGTTGGATTTGCATGGCTTACATTTATCCAGTCTCTTCAGATGAGAAACAAGAAAAATTTCGATGGGGTAGCTCACTTTCAACATCTTGTTAAAAGAACGCTGCGAACTGTTGATGATGAGCTGCGGGGAAAAGAGTTCCTTGTAGGCGATAAATGCACTCTCGCGGATTTGGCTTTCATCCCGTGGGATCTCATGTTAGATGTTGTACTTCAAGGAGACGCCGAAGCCGCATCCGCGCCAACGACAGGAAGCAATTGTTTCCCAACTGGTACAATTGGCACATGAAGATGATTCAGAGAGAAGCTGTGCAAAAAATGATGAAGCTAAAGGAAGAAGTAAATTCGAACTAACACGAGTAAAGTTAAGCTGGCCAGCTTAACTCGACATCTTGACCATGATATTAGTTATCATAGAAGTTGTTTTCTTAGTGTTCGGCATGTGCGAATAACAACTGAAATTGAATAAAGGTCTTGCTTTGTTCCAGTCGTTGTGCAGTAAAACTTATGTGCGCCGTAGTGATCAAGAGGCGTTCGCACATGTATTATTTTATCTGGCATCATCACCTCATCCAAAAAGAGCTACTTGAAGGGAGTTTCAAATAGAGTCTTCCTATTTGAACAGATAAAAATTCCTATTTAAACAGATGTGGCCTGTGCGCTGCGCTAAATGGCGCTAAATGGCCCGTGCACCCAGAATTTCCAAAACCACCTCCAGCTTCAATAATAGAAATAACTATTTTAATAAATTAAAATAAATATTACAAAAATATTAGCATTTAATTTATAAGCTAATTTTATATCTTATATTTTTTTAATTTATTTTAAAGCGCAGTTTAAGCTTAAATCTATAATAGATTTTAGTATAAGATTTCTCTAAGTATATAGTATAAAAATATATGCACTTTGTATTTTATTATTATTTATATAAGTAAAATTTTAATTTTTAAATTTTATATAAATATCTTTATTAACTACTTAAAGATATCTACTTAAAATTCTTAGTTTAAAATTTTAAAAATATAGTATAAAATAATAATAATAAAATATTTTAAAAATTTTTATAGCTTTATTATAGCTTTATTATATATATATAAGTATATAAATATTTTTAAATATTTTTTTTTATTTTTTTATTACGTTTTTTAACTACTTAAACTTATGGTAAAAGTTGAAAGTGTCAGACCCACAGGATATGTCTGTTCAAATAGGAATTTTTATCTGTTCAAATAGGAAGACTCTTCAAATAAATTGATAGTAAAATTGGGGTATCATTTCTATTCCAAGATATTTATGGCGATATTGTAACTTCTAGAGTGACAGGATCATTGAAGCGTTTCATGGACAGGAGCCGCCGACGGAGAGAAAGAGGTATCGGATGTCAGCCGCCGTGGCGAGATGCTTATACAGCTTACAGCTTTTACCACGATTGCAAATCTCTCGCCATTTCCTTAAACTGAGATGATGGACGGACGTTCATAGAATTGCTAAACCAGATGCGCATACCATCAAAAACGCCGTCACCCAAAGTGTAGGCGCAGAATTGAGACCAGCAGCATTAGAATGACCATCGTCCCCCTTGTCTCCGTTTCCTCCCTTGTTTGAAGCATTCGGATCTCGGCTGCCATCGGTAATGTTGCTGGCACGCAAGCAGCGGAGGGCTGACGTGGTAGTGGTCATATTATCTGGCGTGTTGGATGTGTGACTCCATGTGAGGATGACAGGCCAGATGTATCTAACGGCAGAATCGTACTCTGTTTGGTTATTCTCGGACGCTGGGGCTGAGCCGGCTGTGAAAAAGCGACCGTCGGTGATGAGTTTCTCGTTAAATACTTTGGCGCGTCAGCTCTCTTTCCCTCTTGCACCATGTTTGTTTCGGTATATATAATATGTAGATACCAGTTCCCTCAACTTACCAAACGAAGTCATTTGGAAGATTTGATCTCCAGACGGGCCTAGCCAGTCGTTGCAAGAGTCTGGTAGGGGGGCTGAACCACAATCAGAGAATCCACCTTGGGCGGCGGCCTGTAGGTCTCTCTGACACTGCTGCGATAAAAAGTCACACTTCCCGCCTTTGGTCGCATCGTCCTGGTTGTCTGCTATCACGTTGTCTTTGAGACCAAGCATGACGTAGCCGCACATCTTGTTCCCTTTTGCAATTTTGGAAACTTCTGTTTTCTCCACATTACTGAGACTCATGGAGATGAACTGGGTGAAATCATTCTTCTCGGCTGCGCTGAGGCTTGTGTCATTAGAACCATTGAGCGGGATGTTGGCCTGAACTGAGATGTCGATGTTCCAGTTATGCCCATCGCCTTGTACAGATGGATTTGACGAAGATAAATTGAATCCCGGGATGGTAAACGAGCCAGTGGCATTGGCTTGCGATAGAGGCCGAAATGAACTGTCTGGGAGACCGAATGGCGCATCATTACCAATAATTAGATCTCCTCCTGTGCCAATGTCCGCCACAACCAGCGGTACCAGACTCGCGATATAAGCCACTTGGCGTAGGATGGCCATTTTTGCATGCGTTGTGTGGGTATGGTATATATTTGTGGTAGAAGTAGTATAGTTAACGAAGGCTAATAAGCATAGGTTGAAGGTTAGGCATGATGCTGCTTTATAGTTATAAAAAATGAATGGAGGATGCTCGGCGGTGTAATGGAGCACGATACTAGACAAATTATCAGTCCTACTAGTATACCGGAAATAGCATCTGCCTATCTCCTCGGTGTTAATTCTCTTGGGGCCAATTCGTGTATATTAATCGGATCTGTACGAAATTGACAACAATCGGCCTCGCCAGTAAGCACCAAAATCAGCCCAGGGCTAAATCGCCTCAAAACACCAGCCCCCAGGAACAAGCTAATGCAGGACCGACCAACACCTTTACTATTTAGTGCCATTCTTCGCCACACAAGGGATGTCAGCAGACACCACACAGGAGGCTGACGCTGGGGCTCTTGGCACTTTTGTACAAGGCAATCCTTGAGACAATTAAGACAAAAATAAAAGTAGTCCCTGTTCTCCCACCATACTGTTACAACTCGCTCAGAAAACTTACGGGGCGCAAAGGGGATGATGACCTTTGCCAGCAGGTTCCCGGGAATCATTTAAAACTGCACCTGGATGCCAACAGCCAACCGCGACTAATATTGACACAAGCTCTGAATAGCTGCGATTAGATATCCTATAAGAACCAGGTAAAAATCAAGGTGGTAATGTGTTTTACTGAACCAATGCTTCTTGCAGCAATTAACACAAAGCATAACTTGGTATTGATGCAATGTACCAAGACCAACGGCACCTCTTAATTATTTGATGGCAGCCCCGCTGTCTAGCTAGGCCGGTCTTGATGGAAACGGAGAATGCCGACGGGGCTCTCTTTATCTCAGGCTGCTATCGGTGTAGCCCCTAATTTTGAGTTGATGTTAGAGTTGTTCCAAAGAGAGCATAAGGAGAAGAGCGACACCTGTGGATAAATGTGTACGTAACGCCTGAATAATTGAAAGCACATCATTTCCTCAATGCAAATGTAATAAGTTAATAAGCAGAATCTTCTGTGATTCACAATCCCGGCTTAAGTCTGCATTTCTTATTTCCACATGGTCTGGGAGGGGTTTTTTTTTTTTTTTGAGCTATAAATTATTATCAATGAATCCATCTCCAATGCATTAAATATTGTGGACCTATTGTACCCCGAGAAGCGTTGGATATCTCGAAGCTGCTACCATCTATCTTGGAAGTGGAATACACTGTCGATATAACATTCGCAATTAGTCTTCGACTCATGGCTGGCACAACTGCGGTAATTAAACCCATTGGAGACGTTCCGTCAATATACTCGATAATGTGTATAAGAAATTTATCGAAGTAGGGTAAGCTATCCACTTCACTCTTCATGGCGGGCATCCTATGCCATGCCTACCCAGATCGACATCTGCAGCTAAGCATAAGACGTATGACGTAGGTGGTAAATAAGTGGTCGCAGAGAACAACTAATACATAATTCATGTGCTATATATACATCATCTGTGCCTAGCTAGCTGTTCTAAGCAATTAGCAAATGCCACACTCTTGTTAGTCCGCTATATATTGCTGTCGTTGATGGTGTTGCTCTCGAACTGGTAGCAGACTAAGTGGCTGTACCAAGGGACGGCTTCACCCTCAAAGTACTAGCGAGACTGCAGCTTATTAATTTGAGTCATGTTTGAGCGAGATCCTGCCGCTAATCAAAACTATGTAATGGATGTCGGTTCTGACAGCATCATATCGCGTCCAAACAACATTGGGTAAGGCGGACGGGCACCACCTGTTTCAGACCATACTCGTGGTTCTAATTTTCCATGACCTAACAATAGGATACTGTGAATCATTCTTTTGCGCTTGTATGCGGAGCATCATGATACGCAGTTTCGACGAAGGGGTAGGCCAACAGGGGTGAGAGTTAGAATTAATTAATGTGGTTTTCGAGGCCAGCATTCCACTCCTCTACAATTTATTAATAACCTCAATGTGGCCAATTCTGCTGACATCGAGAGAACGAGGATAATTCTCCTTCATTCGATTGAGCAAGCCTATTTCTACAAATGACAGAATAGTCTAGAGACATGACCAGTTCAGTATAGCACACCCCAACCCAAGTTTGCAACTGTCGAGAATAGTCGGGTGACAAATTTCCGCCCCAGAGACGATAAACCACATAAATGAGATGAAATAGACTACACCTGCAGGAATCATACTAAGATCAAACTTGCGAATATGAGATGTCCATTAGAGTGCTACCGAAAATGATACTACGCCGTTGATGGCTCTTCGTCCCCTTCAGTCAACATGCTAGACATTTAATGAGTACTAGGAACATGGAGTAAATGACTTGACTTGTACACTACATACATGACTACGAAGTCTTGAAAGACTAGAAATAAATCTTCGTACTCTCTAACCTTACCCTTTGATGAGTTGTATTGTGAGACTCATTAGCTGATGCGTCAAGTATACTCACGAGACTGTATATATCCGAGCCGCCTAGAGTAGCATTGAATGTTGATTGGTTCAAAAAGTATAAGCGAGTTGACTTGTTACCTGTTAGTTTTATTGCAAGAAAAGTTGTCGCAGGGAATGATGCTAGAGAAATCGGCATTTAGTAATATTGCTCACAAAACACTTTATGAGCAACGGATTTCCAGAGATGTGAGTAAGCATAGCAAATTCTGTCATGCTTCCAATTGAAAATGGTGTGTCATAGCCACACGGCTTGGGCGCTTCAGTTCGCATCAGTTCGCATCGGCGTAGCCACTGGTGCACATTGCGAGCAACAGACAAGGCGGGGCAAAACAGTGTGCGTCGGCTTCACGTCAAGTCTAGATGGCGAGCAACACGACAACTGGGCAACTAATGATAATAACCGAGTGATTCGGTTACTCACAAGTGGTGTCCTATTGAGCAGTGGCGTGTTATTCGATACTTACTTTACACTGTGTTGCAATGGAATCCACGAGCTCGTAATGTTTGCAACGGTGGTGAGAAGGTTCGGCATGATAAATCATAATGACTCCGTAGTGTTCCGCGGTTTATTCTAGATATTTAAGGGCCTTTGCTGCCGTAGATTGCTGTTCAGCCTGGCAACAGTGAACAAACATATCGCACACGACCATCAATCCATTAAGCAATAATTCAAGGATAACCGCACACTTCAACTCCATCATAATGGTTTATCCGGCCATCGAAGTTACTGTTGTCACAGTTGGGAATCGCACGATTGAAGATGAAACAACGGAAGATGGACAAAAGTACCAGAAAGCGTTCCATGCCGCAGCTACAACTATTCCTGGCTGCTCTCGCGGTTGCTGGGGCAGAAGTGATAAGTATCCAGATAAAGTGATTCATTTTATCGGTACGTTTTCCATTTTGAAAGGAAATGAAAGACCTGCGTTAGAGAGTCGTCTAATTATTCTCAACCATATTACCAGACTACGACACGCGCAAACAACACGATATTCACAAAACCCTCATCAATGGACCTACACCACCGATTCTTCTAGATGTTCAAAGCGATGAGACTGTTTATGTTATTCATCCAAACACGAATGATCGCACCAAGGTGTACTATGCTCCATACACTACCGTCACCTTCTTCTGGGGAATTGATGAAGAAAAATGGACCGATGTTGCACCGGAATTCTTTGCCGCAGTCGCTAAATCGGATAGCTGCACTGGATATATCTGGGGTGAGGTGGACAAGCCTATTCTTGCCGACTTTAATGGATATGCATCGTTAGGCAGTGGAAAGTGTGGGATCTTAATTACCGGCTGGCGCAGTAAAGCTCAGCACGACCGAGAGACGAAGGGTCAGCGTGTCACCAAGGCTTGGGACGCAGTACAAAAGGTTTGTGCAAAGGCAGACGACTGGGGTACCAGCTTGAGGATTACCGAAAACACGGGTCATATTCACCGATGGACTACGCCTTTGCCTCTGAAAGACCGTTCTGACTGGCTTCCTGCGGCTGGACTGATTTAACTTAGGCGATGTAGCTATCGCGATGCATACAATTGGACTGAAAGCACATAGGAAAATACAACGGATTATCTGTATGTAACGACGGTTGAATGAGAACAGAGAAGGCTCAAATTACCGCAGAATGTATTAGTCAGGAACAAAAGAATTTGAACTGCTATCGAGAAAAATTGCTCAAGATCCCTTTGACTCGCGTAGTGTGAGTGCGATAATGCACGTGAAGCAAACTAGAGGTACTCCGTAAAAAGAATGCAAGCACAGTCAAGCTCCAAATGCAACAACGCAATACAATATCGTGAAAGCCATCACAGCCTAAAGGCTCCAGTTGCCCAATCTCTATGGTAAAGACAGCAGATTACAGGCTGTATAATCGAGCTACATACTTGATCCCAGAATGACAAAGTGCCAAAACCTGATCTAGATATGGATTGAACGTTCTATGTCATACAATTCATGTATATCTCAAACATGTTGCAGATAATAAACGCCGGTATGACAGGTTTATATCTTACCATCAACCAAGTTGGCGTATGGAAAGTTTATGTAGTATAGATCGTGGCTGAATGGGGGTTATGTAAGATGAGAAACTTGGGTATACGAGTTTTAAAGAGGATGCAATATATGTATCTGTATCTAAATAGTCTATTCTCTCCGCTCAATATCTGGATAATACTGAGGCGCTTCATGTCGGTTGTACATGCCATAATCTCTTATGACTCTTCCACCCCTGTATCTGAAATCGTTTTTCTCTTCACACCCTTTGAGAAATTCCGATGCAGCATTTGCAGTTGTAAACGACAGATAGGCTATAATATCGCCTGGGTCAAGCACAGCATCAAAAACATCCCATGACACTAGGTCTTTGATCTTGTTTGATTCCAGACGAAAATAGTCGAGGACTTCCTCGGGATTTGGGTTCTGTAGCCCCGTTTTGTTCATGCTAATCAGCACAACGGCCTCCGCGTCACCCGCTCGTGTGATGTCCAGCCTCTGTTCATGTATTCCATATCCTTCAGGTATGTGCGTGTCTGCTGTAATTTCGCATATTCTCAATCGATAGTCGAGAAATACTTCGTTTCTACCCTTCTCTTGAGCTCCGTGGTGGCGGCCCTGAGTTCTCCATCTAACTAGTGACTTTTCATCTCTCCAAGTAGAAAGTGACAAGACCCATCCAGGTTTAGTTACTGAGCCGTATCTTATATTATCGATGAAACCGTCTATTTTCAGTAGTTCGGGCCTGAGAGCTCTCCCAATGTCAAGGTAGAGGGCCTTTGTCTCCAATGAGGGGTGGACTTCAAAGAGTACTGTGAACATGGCGCAGTTGGTGAATGCCGGGACGACTTTTGAGCTTCTTTGTGTCAAACTGCCGAAATGTTTTGTGAATTCTTTGCTTAACTTAAACAAATATTAAGAATAAGAATGGAAAGTGCTTGAGTGTTAATATTTTTTTCAGGTCTCATGAAGTATGAAATAACAAAGTCTGGGTGGATTAATAAATGCCCCCTGCGGATTGGTGAACTTTTCCCCCGCCGCCCAAAAATTACTGATATTCTTGAGTGGGGGCGGGGGCGATCGCATTGTGTGTGAAGTGCATATTATCGTTGCTTTCGATATTGCTAGCTTGTCCGTTAACTAGACGCCACCTTTCTTGCTTAGTCCCGTGTTGCTTTGGATATGAAAGCTCACCCATGACATGGTCGCTTTATCCATTATCCGAAGCATAGCATTTTGACGTCATGCCTTCTTGTCATGCTCATTGGGATTTACTCGCAAAGATTTCAAAAATATATAAACTCACGTACTATATATTACACATGATCATGAGCAGCAATGAGAATAGACAGTTCCCTACTGACATTTTGTGAGAGAGATCAACGACACATTTTATAATCATGTCTCTAAAGCATATTTTCACCAAAAATGCGCCAGGAGCGCCAATCCCAGGGCTGGTATAATCACCATTCTCTTTATATACATTCTCACACCTTCATTTCGGTGTTCCTGGTGTTGAGTAATAATTCGCTAACCGGCGCTGTCATAGTTCTCTCAAGGTGTGAGAACAGGTCCATTCTTATGGACGCAGGGTACTCCAGGGGCCCTTCCAGATGGTACCATGGTTCAAGGGACAGTGCGCATCCCACATAATCTCAATCTCACTTCAAAAATTCATGCTGATACAAGTAATTGACTACAGATTCAAAACCGTACAAGACAAATAATCAAGAACCTTGAAGCGGTTCTGGCCGCTGAAGAGATGTCATTGAAGGATGTGGTGAAAGCAACCATTTACATAAAGAACTTTGATGAGAATTTCCCTTTGGTCAACCAGGTTAGTCAAATTACAGGCAATGTGGCGCATAAGTCGCTAAACGAATAGCAGGTATGGGAAGAGATGATGCCTGAGCCACGCCCTACTCGAACGTCATTAGGTGTCGCTCAATTGCCCGCCGGTGGAACCGATGTCGAGATCGAATTTGTGGCATATAAAGCGTAACTCAAGATGTTCTTTGTAGAATCAAGTGTATTCTGGAAGTTATAAGAGTAGTGCATTATAATGTTATTCTCCAGTCTATGCTCGATCTAGGTATAGTACGAGAGTACATCGTACGCTTGAATAGAATGTTGAAATTGCAAAAAGGCCGAAAGCCAGAGGGCTTTTGAGGCTTATATATCATTCATTTCAACATAGAAGTATACTTTCAACAGACCGGGTAAATTGACTTTGGGTGAAGTAGTTGTCGCACCGGTATTGGTTAGTGCTCTACTATTTGTATCAAATCTATCTGTTGTGGTTGGCACACTTCAGCTGTTGCATTAGTGTCGTGGGTATGATCAGAGCTGCATGAATATCTACCGGAAACTGGAATTGTGAGATGCAGAAGGTCGACTAAGCGAACGAGCGATTGATTCATGCTATTCCAATTGCACGCATGCCTTGTTCCTTAACCAAGCTCTGGATGACGAGGAGAGGGCACCTATCAGACACCTATGAATGTCTCCTTGCATCAAACGATCATAAAATTATGTAAAATACGAAAGATCGACCGATACAATTGAAAAGGATCATATAGCTGCGCAATAGACGAACAATGAATTCCAGATGTGATATTTGGCAAGCTAATGTTGAATAACTGCGTGAACTATCTACTACAGCGCGGTTCTTATTGACAATTGTCTTGGCACGTTGACCAATAACTAGAAAGCGAGAGACTCAATGCCATTTTTGTGGATAAACTGGAAAATCGATCAAGTCATGGCCTTTCGAAGAGTAACCAGAAACATATCGATCACCGAATGGTTGCATCCAATTGTCTAATATGTATATTAGTATTTACTCCAATGTCAACATTCATCCTGCTGTCTTACCGTAAGTTGTATTTGGCTTGTTCATGCAAAGATGAATAATAGATTCGTTGAAATTCGTGCTAAAATTGGTTCGGGGGAATTCGGCGATCAACGTGTTCCAAGAGGACTGTATTATCGGAAAAGCTGGCGGCCCCTCGAAATCTGCCACCGCTCCGGTACTCACAAGCTGTACCTCGAGTTCTTTGTAATCTGCAATGGTAAATGTGGCATGCAGCGCAATAGAATCCCACAGCAGTTGCAATCTGTGACTATCCCAAGTTTGACCTATCTCGTGCTCCTCGACAAATTGTCTGGCAGCAAAGGCGCCATCGACTTCAAACCGTCGATCTGAGCTAACAATAGGAGAATTCGCAGTCGGGTCTAACCCTATGTCATGAAGAAGCGAGGCAATGGCATGCACTTCAAGGTCAACAGTGCTGCGGAGTGTCTCGTTGGCGTTGATGATGACCGCAGAAATCAGCCAAGATCTCATGACATGGTTGTATATGGAATCAAGCATGTGTTGGCGAGCAAAAGCTTGTGCATCGCGGACGAGAGGGGTGTCAATAACAGTGATACCTGCAATCGTTGTTGTATTCTGAGATGTGGCCTCAGAGACAGGCAACGTTTGACCACCAGTGAATAATAGACTACCATAAAGTAGTAAAGAAGCTGTCAACGCGTTTTTGCGAATGGCACCCATCTTTTGGGGACTTTTTCGGAAACTTTGTAAAAATTGGGCACCTGAAACTGTTGGTTTCTAGTAGAAAGTGAAAAGCGGTGTTGAGTTGGATAGACAGAAGATAGCATCACAGCAACATATCAGCTTCTATATATACCCAGTGAACATCCATGTAAGGAGATGTTTTGTATCATGATTTAAGAAATTATAAATCAGCACTTAATGCTCCTACGCTCAATGCTTCCATTGTAACTGATTGATTCCATATTTCGATTAATAATTTAAGAGATGCTCAGGCACAGAGTTTGCATAGATGGTGTTTTTTGATGCAAGAAATGCAAGAACCCATTTCACTCAAGCCCCGGATTATTCTGCGAGCGCCTCTAACATGGTTAGAGAGTATATGCAGCCAGGGTACAAATTTCCTAATCTGGATTATATACTTAGACGCAGCTATAACGTCTAAGAATGATGAGTATTTTTAAATAACTTACTTTAGAATCCATATTCCTCAATAGTATATTTTAAGAGTCGTCTTAATGAGCATCTCAGCCTTTGTACCAGATTTGAAGAAATTCCGAAATGACTCATCTTAAGGTTGATACTCACCGAACTTTGACGGAGCGGAATATAAAGTTATAAAGGCGCATGTAAACTCCGTTGTTCATAAAAACTCAGTAATGATTCGGAAAGTACTTCAAATACTCCGTAGAGTGTATTAAGTGTGTGACACAAGAGCAACTCGTCTCATTACAACAACGCAATCTGAAATGATGGCTAACAGTTCCAAAGCCATTTTGCTAGGGAATAACGCGCATAATTAACTCTAGGCCAGTGACCTGTTCCTTGCTTACCACTGATGTTATGGCGATTACTACAATAGTACAGTAGCTAAGACATTGAGTCTAGGCATCACAAAGCGACCATTTTTGCAAGACTTGGTTTATTTCCTCGATGAGATTGCAGTGCTGCATGATAGCTTCAATCATGCATTGGCCACTGTCCACCTATGCGAGAGATTATAGATGATCTCTTCCTGCAGAACGCGTCGCGGTTGTCATGACTAAGCTGTTTATAGGATGTACTCACCTAGTCTGAGAACTCTCAATTATTATAAGTCTTACATAGAGATGAAGTCCCTAAGTCCAACTGCCGAGAGGACGTTTCCAATTGCTGTAATCTAGGGTAGTGAGATTTTCATCGGACTTAATGATGAGCAGTAAAGTAATGCGGGAATTTCTGCTGGGATAATAATAATGTACGTGAGTTGTTGAACAAATTCATTTTTATGTAAGCATAAAATTGGCATTTTGAAGCTATTCAAGAGCTTAGAGTTTGCAGTTGGATGAATATCGTGACCGTAAGTTATAATGAATACTACCTATGTACGAAATGGAGTAGTCACTTGGTGCAGGATTCTGAATGCTCACGAAGCCCCGGAAATACTGAACTGGAACCCGCACAACCGTACTAACTTGGTGAGAGATGCGGTTACTTTTTCTTTCGGAGTATCTCAGACATGGTTCAGAGGCCAAACAACACTCTTCGCCTATGATGGCGCCGAAGCGCCCTGCGCGGGTACCATCAACACTACTTATTCAAAACTTATGTGGAGCAATGGCGCGTAGTTGTCGCAGGGCGGCTTCCGAGTGAACCAATCATCTAGGTCTAGACGACTACCCGCAATTTTTGGAGAAATTGACACAAACTCCTTTTCGTGTTGGCGGGCTTACCTCGGAAGCGGACCTAGTAAGACCTTCACGCTTCGAATAGCAAAACCATCAGTGAAATACTGATTAGTCGACAGCTCCACAGAGAAGACATGTAAAGGATGTATTATGTTGTACTGAAGCGTCATTGGGTCACTATTGCTGCCTAATCATTTCTAAGCCCCCCACCGAGTAGGTTTATAAGGAGTGGTCAGATCAGGTCAGAGAATTGGAGAACGCGAGTCTGATAATAACACCAGCAACTAGCATAATGCCCGGCCAATGGAAACAGTTCATCAAATCGGTTCATGATGATGATTGGACACACGTTACGGACAAAGCAGAAAGGAAACGAATACAAAATAGACTTGCTCAAAGAGCCCATAGTTCGTAGATACTGCTGCCTCCAATAACCTCTTGATACCCTAGCTAAAATTAGAAACATTTAGGATCCAAGTATGGACGACGAAGAAAGTCCAGAGCAAAAGAGAGTGCAGGAACTTCAAAATCGAAAGAAGACGAAGCGGTTCCACATTCTCATAGTGAATCTACCCAAGAGCTCCAATTGAAAGCGAGTACTTCCGAAGAAGGCCCAAAATCCGTTAACAGAAAAGTATTGCCTGTTTCCGCCTCCTTGCCCACGCATACTCTGATCTCAGCTATCTATGGCAACAACTTGGAAACAAGAGATTGCCATCAATTCGTTACGTATGGTTCACCTTCCCATTAACACGGCTCTACCGTCTCATTCTGGAGTGCTAAGAGTGACTAGAATCCAAGAAGACGGAAATCACAGCGTCATACCCATATCGTTACTGAAAACAGATCTAGTTATCAGTCTTCAGGGAATGGCGACTCTGGCAGCTCTATTGACTAACAGATATATTCTTGCTATTGATTGTAGCCGACTTGTTCCTGCCATTCATATCCAAACCTCTACTCCCACTCCTCCTGCACTCACGCCGACAGCACTTCAAGCTTGCAAACCCCACCTCCCCTTTATTGACTTCCTTCCATTCCCGCAGTTTCGAGACAACCTTCTACGCGCCGGAGATGTAATTGACTCTTACGAGTTCTGGGATGATATGGTGTCAGGCAAGTTGAAGGTCTGGGGGAAGACTCCCTGGGACCGGAGAGGCTGGGAAATGCAAGAAGACTTTGCGACAAAGTGGAGCTGGGTGGTGGCAGATGATATCTTAGAGGAAACAAATTTTTGGAGGGTATCGAGAGGCGAGGAACCTCTGCTGCCGCACTTACTACAGGGACCATAAATGACCAGTCCATTAAAGAATTTGCATGTTTCTCAAGTAGCCGATAATAATAAGCCAAGAATCAAGTTCTGAGTCGTCGCATAACGGCAGTACTAGTCCTAGCTTGTAGGTGGAACGCATCATTAGCAGTGTAACGCATTTTATTCAGATTTATGGCTACTGTGCGGAATATATATCCGTTGAGAGATGTGTTCTTTCCAGTTTTTTGCGCTATAGTTTGAGGGACAACCCGCGTCAAAGTGCTGAGTGTTGCATCTAGGTCCGAGCGAGTGTTTGCTCATACTATGTACAAAGTGCTGCCAATACAATCGGCTGGTATTCCGACCCCTCATCTGACTGCATTAATAATGCCACTGATGTTACACTACCTGCATATTAGTCTGACCATTCTGACCACGACCGGACCTGGAGATAAGCTTCCAGGAACGAAAGCTAGCAATTCCAACTATGGGATCCGCCAAAGGTATGATTTGTAAATATTGTCATTGTGGAGGGATCAAGTAAAAGAAACCTCAATGGATTGCATTGCATTACCTTTGACCGCGGACAACGTTATTGTAACGAGAAGCCGGGTCAGAGAGCGGCTGGATTTATAATCTCTCGGTTCAGTATATAAGTTTCTGTGCCCAGCAGTGCAACTGTAGAGCTCAACCATCACCACCAATCTATTCGATATTCATCTCTTGGCACCATTCCTTAGTGCCAGAAATTATCCCCATCATGTCAAACAATCCAAAATGGCTGAGCGCGCCGCCATCGGCCCACACAGTTACGGTTCGCCTTATAGAAGAGGTTGGTTTGATGTCGCTTCCGTCGGCGTTGTTCTTGGACCCAGTGTCTGAAGGCCATGAAGTTATGAACGGAGGTGACTTGGCTTTTTTGGTCGAAAACAAGAACTTGGGGAAAATGGCTGTTTTCGATTTGGGTGTCCGAAAGGATTGGTGGAACCTACCACCAAAAGTTCGAGATCCGCTTGCCTTTTGTGTTGGCGTTAAAGTGGAAAAGGATGTTCCTGAAGTACTGAAAGACAGCAGTATATCATTGAATGATATAAACGATGTCATCTGGAGCCACTCTCACCTTGATCATAGAGGTGATGTGTCACTATTTCCGCCTAGCACTACTGTTAACTACGGAAAAGAGGTGGCAGCTCTAAAGCCTGATGTCACTGGCGAGGCAGAAGCCGTCTTTCTCGCATCGGATTTCGCTGGACGCCGTAATAACGAGATCGATTTCAGCAAATCCACCTTCAAAATCGGAGGTTTTCCGGCGCTTGATTTCTATGGTGATGGATCCTTCTACTTGCTGGACACCCCGGGCCATGACCACGGCCACCTGAGTGCCCTGGCCAGAGCTACTAGTATAGCGGCCGGACATGCTAAAGATACATTCATCCTCTTAGCTGGAGATGCATGCCATTTCTGCGGTGTGCTACGACCAAATGCTTCACACCCGTTTCCAAGTCGCAATTTTCCCGACTCCAGCATTGGGCTTTCCGCTTCTGAGAGCCCAGAGACGTTGCTGCAAAGGCACCCTCAGTTCCCGCAATCTTCTGATGCAGTAAATGAAGCATCGCGCGTAACGCCATGGTACGGTGTTGCGACGGGCCAGCTCTCCACATTCGTCGACCCTATACTTGGTCAAAATACTGCTAATCAGATAAGAGAGGCATTCGACGAAATGGACAACGTCTTTGTGGCAGTGTGCCATGATCTTGGCCTACTAGTCCAAGACAACGGAAAGCCTGTGTTGCCCTCGTTAAACAAAGCCCCACAACAAGATCTCAACAGCTGGTACGAGAAAGGTTGGAAGGATAAGGTGTACTGGACCTGGGCCAATGAATTGGGTAAAAAGGATGAACATGGAAGAGTGCAGCCGCAAGAGCCAGCGGTGGTTGGATTCTGGATGAATGGGAAGCGATACGAAAAGGCACAAGATGTATTCGAAGAAGCGCGCAAAAATTGAGGCAGTCTGAAGGCATAGAATTCAACCTAGCTTGGCTTTTTTTACCACCAAAATCTGAGCGAGTTTGCACTATTGTCAGTGGGGGAAAACAAGTACTACAGAGCTCTTACAGCGCCAGCAGCTGTAGACATGAGAGCGGGACGAACCATTGGATGCTTATAGACAGCCCTGCGCTATCCATTCCTTATTACATGTTTCCACCTCAATAGAAACAAAAACAATCAGTGCCCCATAAAATAATACGGTTTACACTACAAATACCGTGTTTCTATACTATGCTTCACGATCAGACTCTTGGACATGTATGCGATCCGTCTCTTTGCATTGGAGGGCGGCGATTGACATGCATGCTACATGATCGCCGCCAATAGCCATATTGAGAAATATCTCTACATGGAGAATAATGTGGCCTATACAACGTATGGAGGACGAAAGGTTTCGTGTATTGTGTATGATGCGTTTTTTCAGGCTGGTCAATTGGCAGAGTTCTATAAGATTTTAGGAAGAGCAAGCCGGATATCTGGCTGTAGTACATAGTTAAGCCCTCTTCTTTACGAACAACATGACACCATGAATGGTCCCTCTCATCCTTTCTTTCCCTTCTTCCACACCACTTTCTCGTAGCACACGTTCGATTTTTCTCCGGAGAATTCTCACAACATCATTCTCCGTACCAACGGCTTCCGGGTGAGCTTGGCGCCATCGCGTCGGGGGACTACCGCTTCCGACGATCTTCTCAAATGTGTCCAAATCCACCTCAGATTCCCCTACAACAAATTTCTCTCCTGCTGGCCAATCTTTTCGTACGAAACTCTCCTTGTCAAATGCTTCGACTGGTTGCGCGATTGACCATGGTAAACCGAGATCCGCATATCCACTGCGCACCATGTAATTGCCCGGCACGTGGTACGGCTTCAGATAAGTTTCTGTATGCTCATCAAAAATGGCCTGAAGTGCAGCAGCATTTGGCATGGATGGGTGAACGCGAATTTCACCACTCGTCCATAGCGCAACTGTGCCACCAGGTTTGAGGATGCGGGCGGCTGCTAGCCAGAACTGTGGCATGTCAAACCAATGGGCAGCGTTTGCCGCTGTTATGAGATCGACGCTTGAATCGCTGATGGGTGTTGCCAAATGTGCACCAAGATCTTCTGCTGTTGATATCTCAAACCGAATAGGCTGCGATGCGGAGGAAACGCCGCCAAAGCTACGGGCGGTTGCAACCATACCCTGTGAGGGGTCGAGTCCAATGGCATTGGCAAAGTACGGAGCAAGTCCTCGTGTAGCCGAGCCAGGACCACACCCAACATCAACAACGGTGTCGAATTGACCTCCTGTTGACTTGTGGTGATTTATAATTGCATGATATACACCAGGATCATAATCGGGGCGGGCATGAGCGTAGGCTATGCCTTGGTTCTGGTCATACGAACTGAATGTTGTTTCAGTTACTGGGAGCGCAGGCTGAGCATCGGATAGTTGAGAAGACATGATTGATTGTGGGTTGATACGACATGAAAGCAGAGCAGGTTAACGAGTTTAAAGAAGATTGAATATCCCATTTGTCGATGGTTATTGATGAAGCGATGGTTCCTTGTGAAATATATATGTTGCGAAATCCGGAGTAGGTAGGTCGGGGTTCGCGAAATCCGATCAGAGCTTACGCATTTATGTGGGCAGATCGCCATACAAGCACGTATTAGGTCCGTACGGAACGATCCTTCGAGATAGCTATATTCCGTATCTCCTTTGTCAGGAGTACTTGCTTAAAGGAAGGGGCATACGGAATACGGAGTGAATGGACTCCGTGCTCCGTACGCCCATCCGAAATACTAGCGTGCTAGTGAGGAGCTCCTCGTAGGCTGCCTAATGGCTTGAATCAGGCAGCCTTCAAAGGTAAATCGTAAAGAATGCACATCAAGAGATAACATTCTTGTTTGTCAAGTCATTCAATCAAACGCGATTATCGATATATAGAACTTACTTGCAAAGTCTTCATCTGTCATAAATACTAGGGTTGCTTACAGCGACGTTCATTATGGTCGCACCGGGCCTCTCAGCCGACATTCTTTGACTTCAATTTACCAAGGACCAGGCCTGGTATTTACGCAGAGGAAATGAGCATGTCGGCATACCCAGAAAGAGTAGCAAGATGACGGCACCAATGGAATTCTACCATCTGCTTATGGAATTGAATATACACAGAATGTCAATTTTGTATCTTCATTCTTCTTAATCAGCATCTAAACTTACAACTTGGCTGCGGTGAGTGGCTTAGTTACACCATCTGTCCAGAGGGTCAATCACCGAGGCCCCAGATTAATTCTAATCCTAAATGGGCATCGCTCCCTATTAACAGCTTACTCAATGCTTCCATTGCCGAGGTTGGGCGGTATTCTTATTCCATATATAGTTAACTGACCAAGCTGAGCAGTACATTTTGGTTATCTCTCTCTTTCACTATACTGGAGTATGCAAATTGGACATACGCGATAATGCAATCCTCATCTATGGCTAGCGTAGCTTTCTTGACTACTGCAAGAGTAAAGGACGACGAGACGAAGGAGGTTTGTAATCTCATATCTTGCCTGTGTTGGTAGGAATTATTGCCAATCATAGTGGACTACAACATGTCATGCTTGGACGCTAAACTGATGCACAGGTTGTGAATGGCTTGCAACAACTTAGTGCCCATCTCCAACTCCCTACGACGCCATGTATAGCCGGAGCGTGCTTTTCGTCCGCGGCCAAAAAAGGTTCGTTAACGCAGCGTGTGGAATAGTTATAAGCCAATTGGGCTTTTATTGATATGGAGATATAGAAACGGGTGTCAAACTCATCGGTCGCATGGAAATATTTCCTAGTGCCAGCGAACTTGCCACTGTTCAAAGCTCCCCTGAATATAAGCGTTTCAGCGACTCGGTCACCGGCCAAAAGCTTCACGAAGGCAAGGAGACTGCCACTCTATGGCAGCCCACCGGCGGTTTTCTGACAAGGAAGAACCAAGCCTCGACAACAAACGCCGGTGTACTTGTTTTAGCCAAGTTCATTTGCAATGACAAAGAGAAGGCAGTTCAAAATCTCGTGAAAGAGTTGCAGTACGCATACTACTTCCCCCAATTGAGGACAGCGATGGGCTGCATTTTTAAGCTAACTCTTTTAGAACATATTGTGAATGGATCGAGGGCAACGAGCTCACGACATACACCTATTGCGTAATGACAAGTCAAACTGCAAATAAAGAAGTTCTGCTCTTTGAGCGTTATAAGGATCTTCCTTCCGTCAAGACCCATGGCCAAACAAATGAGTTCAAGTCTATGTTGTAAGTTTAGTTGTAGCAACTTAAAAGTCCTTTGCCCATATATGTGAAAAGTATAGAGCTAATGGCTGTGAAGCAAACGAATTTCGCCTTGGATTGAAACAAAGCGTACCGAAATAACTCCATGGAGCGAATTAGACGGTTCTTTCTTCTCTTCCCTAGATTTAGAAGCCACAGCGAAGCTCTAAAGATAGCTCTATATTCCTTATAATTTTGTATTTTTTCTTCTATTCCATTCCAAGATTGACAATTGTGATTATACTCTGTTATTTTTGTTGTCTCGATCTAGTTCAACCAATTCCTGAACGGCATGGACTTATTCATAAAAGATTGCCTTTCTGGATAATGGGCGGTCATGGAATACGGAGCGAGACGTGTCATTTGGTACTGCTGCACTCTGTGTATCATCTCTATATCATTGATCCGCAATAAGTGGGTCTTCAGTTATTCAGCGTCAGCGTTTCTCCAAGATATGCGCATATTTTTGTTGCTGTTTCCCTGCTCTTCCTCGCTGACAGATCGGTTAGGCTAACAACTTTCTCAAGCCGACTGACGTCGGAAGTCCTAGATGAACTAGGGAGTTCGCATCATTCCGAAGCTGCATACTAACAACGATTTCAATAATATTTATTGGTGTTAGTGGTGATACATGGTCTAGGGAGGCCTATGAAGCTTTGACGAGCTATGAGTGGTTCTTAATAGTCTCGTTTGAATGTAAATACCTGTGATGTGACATCGATTGTCAATAGAATCGGGTTAAATTTCATATTAGAGCTGTGACATGGAAGAAATGTAATGATCTATCCATCGAAACAGTATAGCATCCTGAAGTGTCTCGTCCAGAATTAATCAGCATTTACCATAAAAGAGAACTGAATTCAATAGCGTTGGCGAAGACAGAAGCGTAAAGAGACTCGATCCTCCCCAAGGTGCCCCAATTCGGTGCTGGGCTTTGGCTAGGGTGCTGGGTAGCCAGCTCTAAGATGTCAGGTGGCTGCTGTCTTTATTTATTCATCTTTTATTAATAATATTACACAAGCCACCTACGGCGCTCCACTCACGCAGACAAGCATGGAATCGTGATATTATTTTATGATTTCTTGGACCCTTTAGCCCTGGACAGCAACCTTGTGTAGTATTGGTGGGTTTTCGTATACGCCCGTACCCTTACTGGCTTAGTTAGGTGCTAGAAGCTTACTCCATGAGCCTATGCTGCAGCTCAATGAGAGATACTCCGTAGCTGAGAGATACCCTGTATTGCTGACATGAACCCCCTGGGGAAGCCGACCAACCGACGAATGGATTTGACGGGGTTCCAAACTTGGAGTGTGTCACACACCACTCAAACGGGGGAAACTCCTCCATCTCATCACCATTGGTGCATAATTACCGACAAGGGCTATTTAGTATTACACTCAAGCACAGTTGATCCTTTAGATGCGGCTTGTTCCGTTATAATAAGCGCTGCAATTGCGACTATTAGCCTAATATTTTACGCTACCAAGGTAAAGAATATCGGGCCATCGGATATTCGCCGCACTAGGAGGACAATAAGGAATGTTTTTCATACCCCACGGTTCAGCGATACATGGGCATAGAAACTGTAGGTGATTCTCCAATGAGATACAACAACTGACTAGTTATTTGAAGGATAGAGATTATGTTTATAACCCTGTCAGCAGAGCTGTAATCAATGGTTTTGTGAATGACCTTGCCTGAACCTGATGTTCAAAGTAAACAGATATTATGATATTATAGCGTAATGTATAGCGAGAGGTATCGATAGACCACTGCGGGAAGCCGGGGCTGCTTTTCCCTGCCCCTGCATTTTAACCCCCTGTGAGTTCATGTGAGTTTCCCCGTGTTCGCAATTAACACGGACAACTGTTCAAGCAATGGATGCTTGCGCCTAACCCCGTGGGTTCGAATGTGTCATTAGCTTGTTTATTACTATCTTGATACAAAGCAGCTTTCTCCTGCGTGGAGCAGTACAGTCGTTCTCTATACGTATATCTATTCAAGATAATATTCACAGCAGTGGGATGGAAATAAAAGGCCATTTTGATTGAGAAAAGGCGGGGTGTATTACTCCGTAAATTCTTGATGATGGAAGCAACTCGTTGAAAGCAGCCATCTCCATGTGGAGCATCAGGGTCGCATTCTTGATGAAAGCGTCTACATCAGCTTACTCTGCTGCATACTACCAGGCCCATCTTATAGCCTGAACTGGGATCTCGCTCGTATTTCGATATTTGGACAGGCGTGCTTTTTAGAATAATTTGCAACAAACTTATCAAATATGCACAAACAGGTGATAATAGATGACTTGGATAGTTGTCCTTATTGTCTTAGTTGAATGCGCCTATTTACTTGTAGTCTTGATTGGTTCATAGGCTAGTTTACCTTTCTATTTTGGCTCTGCCAAAAAGACACTGGGGAGAATTTTGATCTAAATGAATCCAGTATTTCTTTTTTTTTTTTTTGTTTCTGATGTTGACATTTTTTCGAATGCTTAGCTCGTTAGCCTTGTTCACCCTGGAAACTTGACACTGACAGATTATACTTGCCACGGTTATGCGGAAAACTTCTGAGAAACGTCTTACCTGCAGTGTCTATTAACAGTTATGTGTTATTCAGGGTGGGTAGTTTGAAGATGGATACCCACACCTCACACGGGGAATATCGCTTTGACATAAGCATTCCTAATCAAATAGTATCCTTATTAAATATTGCTAATTACCGTATTATTTAACCGGCTTGAGACGCAGCGTTTGTCAATACATCAAGGTACAGGGATTTTTGAATAAGCCTAAAACCACCTGCATTAGTTTTCTCAAAGAAGGACCGTGACACGCGGTGATCAAAAGGACATAGACAGGGCAAACTATGAGCACACAACTCTCCTATCACTACATGCGCGGCAATAATAAAACTTTGTTAAGTACAAGCATGTGTTTGTTTCATCACTGTATGCGTATCTTCTCTTCTGGTTGAGTGTTTCTGGAATTTACTAGCATGGGTAAGGATACAATATTGGAATCTTGGGTGGAACTATGTCAATACGAAGTCAAACCCAAGTTTCGTGTCTTACGAAAGAAAAGTATAAATAGGAGGTTCAAGGTCGTATCCTAAATCCTCTCAACCACATCAATCTTCTTTCACCTCACAATTCAAAGCAACCCAAGAACAGCTTCGTTCTCACCAATCCACCACACTACTATCAAAATGAAGACCGCCACCGTCCTCCTTGCCCTCGTTGCTGCTGCATTTGCTGCACCTGCCCCAGTTGAGGAGCCAACTCTCGCCAAGCGTGGCTGCGCTGCTGGCGATATCTGCATTAGCGGTACTTGCCACGTTTGGAGCTGTGGCCCTGTTGGATGCTCCGTTGGTGGCTCTCTCGGTACCAGCTGCTAAATTGTACGGTACTATTCACCTGTAATGCATCAATGGAAACTTCAGACACTGACCAAGGAAATAGATGAAAGAATCTCTCATGCAGGACTAAGAAGGATATATGGTGTTATGACATTCCCTCGAGCAGTATATTAAAGCCCTAGCCAGGATAATAACGCTGCGATCTTTTTAAAAGACATCTTGTCCGACCATCAAGGAATCGCTTAATTTGCCATATGGCCAATCCAGTCGTCTGCTACTTATCACCGCTGAAGCGTTGAACTTTGTCTATGCAATACATTTGAATTACTCAAGCCCATGTTTAGTAGAATATCGATGTATAAATACCGTTCAACAATGAAATTAACAAAGAACAATGTATAATCACTGTGAGGCTGCCATATTTATACCCTTTGGGAGACATAGTTGCTTTTCTCTACACACGAACAGGTGCATCATGATGTAACAGATAAGGTAGTCTCCATGACATCCTTCAAAGTATTCCCTCTAACCCCAAGGACCTCGGAACCGCTTGGATGTATCCATTCTAAAATGCCCAGTTAACGTAGTATTCCCCGCTGTTTCCAACTTGAGCTGTGCATCTTTTTCTTCCCGCCTCAATTGATCGATATGCCGAGCGCTGGTGGCAAGCAGTGACCGGACTTCGTGGTCTGGTAGGTGTGCCAGACTTTGTTGATCGCCGCGTGTAAGCCGTGACAATTGAGTGTGAGCTGGGCCCGTAGTATCATTATCTTGTACTACAGCAAGATCTGATGGTTGTGTTGGTATCATTGGCTGTGAGGCTGCAGCTTCTATGCGTGGCTCCCCTGTCTGGCGTGCTACCGTCGGCGCCGCTGATCTAGATACTCTCGTACGGTGACCGAGGAGCTTGCCTGATGGTAGTCGCAACAATTCTTCATCGGCATCATATTCTAGGGTAGGAATATTGTAAAAATCTGCAGTATCTGAAGTGACGTTAAAGCGGCAATGCCCTTTGGCCATCATATGGTGCTGAATCCCTTCAACAGAGCTACGGTTCGTGGCGCATAGAATGCATTCACGATATCCGTAAATGACTAGGTGCAAGTATCCGATAAGCGTATCAGGTTCGACTGTCAAATCGGCTTCATGAGGTATAGCGAAACTGTGTTCCTTTGACATATGCGCGAGATTGTCCTCGAAGGTGTCATTCTCCGTGCCGCAGAAGAGACACTGTCCGGGGTTAAACTCCGGCTCTACAGAAAGCTCTGTATCGACGCTGTCGGGATCGTCATCCAAATAATTTTCGTTCACTGCATCTACGGCTTTTTGGGGATTTAATACTGAAGATGCCTTTGAGCTGGATGAGGAAGATGGCCGTGGTACGACTGTTCCGGGTTCTGCAACTCGCACGCGAAGATTGTAGACACTATAAGAACAGGTTAACTCATCTCATCATGAACATCTGTGTAGGATCAGCTCATGAGACGTACTGCCAGTCGCTCTTTGCATGCTGTCGCCAATCGTTTGGGCTGGCTAGCGCGATGTTACATAGCCGGCAAACGGATGGGGATTTGTCCTCCATAGTGGCGGTGAGTGGATCGCAAGTAGCTCCGATGTCCAGAATGTTGGCGGTTTAGTGGCCTTGTAGGTATTAAGTTGAAGGTGTAGAGAGGCGGAAACGACCAAAGCGATTGGGCTATTGTTTGGAATGAAGGCCAGTGAGTTATACTACAAGACTGAAAGTGGCATCTCGGAACATAGACGCATATATATGTATTCGTTCATCTCCCCAACTTCACAATAACGGCAAACAAAGCACCCTCTGACTGTGCTATGTTCTATCAAACTTCAATGCTCGCACTTCCCGAGATTGGTGTCAGTCATTCAGCAGCATCTGTTTGACTCACAACTTGCCTATTTGGATTGCTCCAATCTTGCTCAGCATCAAGCCACTATGAGTCATATCATGATTCATTAATTTTGGGTGCGAGCGGCGCGTGGGATCTCGGGTGCGGGGCAATCTAAACACGGGATTGTTCTGTCTCCGGGCGCTAGAACACACACCACGGCGTCAAAGCCACATACAGTAAAATAGGGCGAACTGGTTAGTCGACATTAATTTCCCGAGCGGGAAGCCTCTTCATCAACCATTTATGCTAGTGGCAAAGTTCATCATTTATACGGCATTGATTTGGAGAGTCTTCACTACTCTTTCATTGCCTGGAAGCCTATACAACATGCTGCCAGGACCATATAATAGGTTGCTGGTATTGTATTGAGAGTACATGATCAGTCTGAGCCGCTGCGTGATTTCATCGTAAGTCACATCTTTGTACCGTTTGCTCTAAAAAATCCCACACCCAGGGAGGGGTCCCCAATTGAGGTTCTTGTGTCTTTACCAAGGATTTACCGTTGCTTTTCAGGTTCCATATGCTAGACGGCGTGGTATAAGTTGCTAACTCATAAGCGCCGATTTGTTACCACCACGATTAACTATTCCCATCATTTCCAGCTTCAGGCGAGCCAGTCAAATAATAAATAACGTCTCAACCGATCTGCACGCCGCCTGGATCTTGTGAGATTATAGCCAGCGATGATCGTCATCATAAAGAACATCCTAAAGAAGGACGCGATAAAGCTCAGAGGAATTGTTGCAAAGCAATGGCCCATCTTATAAATGCTAGCGCCAATACCACGGCTAATACCCAGTAAGATGGGACTTTCATGGGCGCACATGACCCTCAGTGTTGGAAAGGCGATACGTATTGAAGTTACTATAACTTTTGTCCATTCGGAGGGGATAAATTGATCTCATCTGAGATACCTATATATTTGACCTCGGCCTCTTTTAGAGCAAGCCTTTTCTACAGATGAAAGCCTTTTCTACAGTTGGAAGCTTTGTGTACAGATGGAGCCGCTATTGGACGTTTCAAAGCACAAGCCCCATCAGCCAGCTCAACTAAGCTAGCAGAGGTACTCACGAATAAGCGCCAGCTACAGAGTACTCCCCTAGTGTACGGAGGCATGATGGAGGCGCAAATGACCAAAATAATAGAGAGAAGAAGATTTAGATTAATTGATGGAGGATACCCATCGACGCTGGAATAATAACTGTTTAATTTGGCCCAATGGAACGAGCGATAATTGGATGTTTCAACACAATCTCTAGACCCCGCTGAAAGTGAATTCATCTGTCAACATAATCGTTGTGATGTATGTGAAGGTTGGCTGGTAAGATGAATATGAACATCATTAAAGCTGAAATTCTAAAATGGATATATGGTCGAGAACGATCGTTCGCGCTGTAGTATAGCATGCGGCCAATCCAAGTCAATTGGTAACCTTGTTACATGAGGATAGTACTAAATTTAATAAATGCCGAGATAGAGGCATTTTAGAAATCCAGTTCTTTCCAGGCAGGCGGAAACTATGGTCGAAAATCACTTGAATCGCATATTATTGCTTGGCCTAGCCATTAGTCACAACCACAAAGGAGAAGTACCATAAAAGATCTGCCTGCTATTCTGTTGCCCATACTTGGTTACGGGCGTTTAATTTGTGGCATTCGGAGTTTACCATACTGCACTATTGATCTACAAAACTGTCCTCCAAATGACGCAAGCACAGAGCCGTCCATATCATCTAGGTATCATCTAGAACAGTGTACCACTCCGAAATGATTGATAGCTAGAATACAAAAACAAGCCGTTCTTCTTCCAATGCCTTTTGAACACTTGGTCTTTGTAAGATCTTTTGGCGATATCGTACCAAGGAGGGCCATTCGGCTAAGTCAACATCATCGAAAACCCTTGTCCATGAGAGCAAAGTCCAAGCGTAGCAGTCTAGCACACTAATTTCCTGCCCAATGAGGAATTCCTTTTCACCCAAAGTATCCTGCAATATTGTGAAAGCCCGACCCAAGTCCTTAATGGCCCGCTCGCGATGTTTTGATGACATATCGGGATTAAACAACGGTGAGAATGCTTTGTGGATCTCTGTCGTAATAAAATTGAGTAACTCGAGAGCTCTCCAACGCTCCAATCCGCTCTTGGGAAGAAGGTCCCCATTGTGCGCTGCAGGAGCAAGCTCCCATGCAATGTATTGAAGAATAGCTTGAGTTTCCGTCAAGATACTTCCATTTGGAAGCCCCATAGCTGGTACTTTTTGCTTGGGATTCAGAGACATGTAATCAGATGGAATTGCTGTTGTGGTTTTGATTCTCAGACCCGTAGGCGATCGTTCAATCTCACGAAGTTGGAGTGGAATGTTGGCTTCATGGCAAGCGATATGGACTGCTAGAGCACATGTATCTGGAATGAAATAGAAATCCATGTCGAAGAAGGTATATAATAATACAATGCGGTTAGGTATATGGAATTAGAATACCGCATATCTCGAATATACATGGCTGAGAAGACATCTCTTTATATTAGCTTTAGGAACATTGAAGCTCATATTGTGTTCATAGTCATAAGCATATGAAGTCTTTGTAAAAGTTTGACTAATCTAGGAGCATGATTTGTCAGTTCATGTATAAGCCTGAATAAACAGAGGATCCCTTTAGCTAATACGTGTTGTATAGACTCGGAATTAGTGCATTTCTAGGTCGCTTTATTCCGATTAGATAAATAAAGCCGATAAAGGTCTTCTTTCATGTACTTATATGGTCGATTGTTGGTAATTAAAATTTTATGAATTACGTATGGAGGTTATATTTAGAACCAAGAAGGTCAGGAAAGCTGTAATAGTTGGTTCAGAGGAAGGCTAGGCCCTAGCATTTGGTTCGGCATCTAGAATCAATCCGTAGCTCAATCTGCTCGACACAGCCGACCAAGTCAAACCTTGAAGATTCAGGCCACAAAGTGTGGCCGATAAAGCTTCATGATCAAACGTCAATTGAGCAAAAATGCCCGAATAACATGGTCCAAGAACTGCGCAAGCTTCAAGCCTGGAAGCTATCATTCAATGGCCCAACCACGCCAGATGAGATCGTTCTGTCAGCCTATAAAAGGCAGAGATAATCCTCGAAATTGGATTATGCATTCACTTTAAGATCAAAAGATCACTTAACGAACAACGCAACCTTTGGCGATGCTTATACAAAAGCGAAGAACCTCCGCAGGAACTACTACACGACAAGTCAACGGCCGACCAGCGTCTACCACAAACATCCACAGTGGCTAAAGGCGATGCGAAACCGGCTGCGGCCATAGCCAAGGTAATGGCTGCTGATACGAAAACTACCAAGGACAAGGTAAATGAATTACGTATAACTCCAAAAGCTGCACTAACTAATTGTCCCTTGAATGTGGAGCTGAGGTGTGTACTGTAATATATCTCTCGCTAGATACTACTGAAACAACTATGGAGCAAATTTTTTTTCTTTTTGCGCATGCCACTAGTTCTGGTAGGTTTATTTCCCTGAAAAAAATGTTTAATTGCCAGAAAGAAGAGCTCACTTTACAGTCATTGGCAAGTAACTTGCAACATGTGAACCATGTAGTAGTCGCAAAAAGTAAAGCATCTGTTCTGCTTATTACAACTACACCGACAAGATATGACTTATAGAGGGGCTTGTGTTTGTTTTTTTGTTCGTCTTATTATTAACAATCACTGCGTAAGCTAGTTACAAAGTCCTCATCCGGGCACTAGGTCGGTAGGAGCCGCGGGGTCAGACCCGCGTTCGCTACGTGTCTTCTGAACAAAGAGGTTTTCAGTGCGTGTTTATGGGTGTGTTAGTTAAAGGGAGAGGGAGAGAGCACATGGGCTTGTGTCCTCCACTAGTTCTGGAAGGCCACGTAGCCCTTCCAGCCAAGTACGTAGTCAAATTGTCTTACCCCTTTGTCGTAGTCTTTTTCTGAAACGTCAGCTGGAAGGTCCGGACTGTTCGGCCTTCCACATAGAGAGGCTTCTGAGATAAGCAGTTATTACATTGGTCAAATTGGGGATTTCTGACAACGTGTTTGTGAGATTACTCCCAGTATGTTGAAGCAGACATGTCCATCAATCGATCCATAGTTAAGATCCAGCTGGTTTATATTACTAATAGTCCTTTAAAAAAGATAAACGAAACTGTCTGGTTACGAAAAAGACATTTGTCCAAAGTATTCAAATCAAGCGATTCTCAATTACATTAAATCAGGTCTAAGTAGCTTAGACTGGGTGTCTAATGACTCCAAAGGTATTATTACGTACGGGTTAATTTGTTGCCGGTTTGCCATGAATTGTGAGTTAACAAGACTGAATGTAACAATAAACTCAGTTGCAAACAAAGGAGTGGGTATAAGACAAGTTCTAAACTAATAAAACTAAATGTAACAATAAGCTTACAGTTAAATGGGGGGTGTTGAAGTAGCGGTGTATTGTATGTTCTAAACTAGCAGAATTGGATGCAACAATACGATCGGCATTTTCAGGTACAGGCTGGGTACCTGTAATTGGGAGTATATAACAAGGAACTCATCAGCTTGTTATTTATTGGCTTGTCCATTACCAGTGTATTAAAACGTTAAGTTCAACTTACAAAACTCAGTAACTATTTATTCTTTCTCCCAGAAGAAAAAGTGTTTCGATCTCTTCTACTTCAATAACCAATTTCAACATGTTCTCTATCAATTTTATCGTGTCGGCAATTTTCTTTATGCCTACAGTTCTTGCTGCATCGCAAACAGGACAATGCTTCTTTGGCGGTGCCTTCAACGCTGGAAGCTGTCATTTTATTGGAACCGGAGGCGTTTTTACAGGTACTTGGTCGGACTGCCCTGTAAGTAATTTTTCTTCATCTTGAATTTCAACTAAGGCTTCAAGAACTTTTACTGATGTCCATTTCTTACAGACGAGCAGTCCATGCAATAATAATAACAACTTCTGCCAAATGGATACTCTCAATGGTGTAACTACATGCTCGTAGCAGCACGTCTAAACGTATGGGCTTCACAAAAGGTAGAAAGCGTGTGTTGGCCTAACAGGTTAATGTGTTGCCTAGTTCCGGGGAAATCAGCCAAATCTACAAGTTCACTTCTATTGCATTCTTGGAATAATTAAGACAGCTAGTTAATATAAGCATTTCATTGCCAAAAGATTGAATTATCTAACAAAATAACGCTTAGACAAAAAGATAAGTGTAAAATTAGCGCGAGAGTACACAAGGTACAATGTTTAAACTGTTTCAATGCCCCTGTCAGAAACACTCTGATTAGTTCGTATACAGCGTAAGCGACTTTAACCTGGTGATGGTATAGGACAAGTTGTAAGTTGTTACAAATGCAATGCTAGTCAAAATTAATATTGCGATAGCTCAGCAAATAAATTGGGAGGATAGATGATCAGAAAACAAGCGAATAAAGCTTTTATTTTTAGAAACAATGCTGACCGACGTCCTCAAACGTTGAGTTTCTTGTAAACTATTTCCACTACTGTTGTTTCCAACAAAGACTAAGTTTTACCTAACATAAAGTACCTCTAACAAGGCTCGCTCTCTATTTCTTTCTTTCTTGTTCAGTAGTTTCCTCTTCCAGTCTTATGTTCTCCATCCCAAACATGGCGATAAAGGGGACTGATAGTAATGCAAGTGCTACGATAAGAAGTACATGCATTACTTCAGTATAGCTTTTGTCAATGGCAATTCTCTCGGAGCTACCAGGTAAATATGATGAGGCCACTAAGAAAGAGTTTTGGATTTCCACTGCTGCAGATTGTGCTGTTGCTGGTAGATTGGCTCGAAGCCTAGAGAGAAGGAGAGCTGTCCAGACAATACCGGAGATGGCGTTACCAACTGCTCCCCCAATGGCACCAGCGACTTCGTATAGAGTTGTCACAGAGGCAACGTCTATTCATGGTGAAATTTGCAGTTAGAACGTGCTGATGCTGATGAAGTGAATATATGTAAGTCACGTACCTTGACGCGGTGTTGCGGCCTGAACGGCAGTCTGCGCAATGATAGATATCATGCCTGTCCCAGCACCAGAGACAAGCTGGCCGAATAAAATCTGTACAGTGCTTGCTCTAGCGTTAGAGTATCGTAACATCAATCCCGCTCCGACCAACTTTGATGTCATGCCCAGCATGATAACCCACTTATATGTGGTAGTCAATCTGACAAGAAAAGCTGCAAGGAGCCCAATAACAGCGATTGCAACTGTTTGTGCTGCAGTGATGTTTGTGGCCGCCTTCGAAGACTCATTGTTGACAATTATGAGGAATGAGAAGAAATATGGCGCCCATATGTAAAAACTTAGATACAGAACAAATTGCAATATGCAGCCCGCCACGACAGTGCGGTTTTTAGTTAGCTTCAACAAAATGATAGGGTGCTTTGGAACGTAAACGTCGTACACTAAGAAGGCGATAAAGCAGCACCCTCCAACGGTAATCATAGATATTTTCCCGGGTGAAGACCATGAGTGGAAAATTGTGGTTGACAGTGTCATCGGGAGTAGGATAAGGGTTAAGCCGGCCGTCAGAAGAATAAGTCCCACAATGTCGAATTGAGACCAGAGCGCGAAAATGTTCTCGAGCTTTCCATGTGTAGCAGTAGACTCCAATATATGGCCCCGTTTCTTTTGCTGCCAAAGAGCAAATAGAAGCGGTAGTGAGATCGTTGGAAATATAATGGCCCTATTCTCCATGTCAATTTGCGGCTCCATTTGTTAGGTGGCACATAATTAACTCATACCACATGCCGTATCCCCTGTTGTAGAAGTATTAGCGTAGTTGAGAGGTAATACTAGTTGAGAAATGACTTTACCATCTCCACTTTGCTGGAACCATAGCACTGACAATTGGAGCTCCAATCCAAGAGGTGAATATTGTAGGGGATAAAATAAGGCTCCCGAGAATAGATCGATTTTCCAATGTTGTGATTTCGGCTACCAGGATCTGCTGTAAAAACTGTATGCCGACTTGCCCAATAGTATAGAAAATCTGCCCAGCTGCTAACCCTCCTAGATTCTGAGAAGCTGCGTTGATTGCAAATCCAATCAATATCGCCGCGATGGACAAGCTGAATGCTTCTAGAAGACCCCATATATTCGCCGCCCTCGCTAGTGCTGGCTTAACAATTGCATATCTAATTTGTCAGTTGGGGTATCACGGCTTAGCCAACCCGGCGGCTGTACGCACAGTATGTATTGGATTGTGCCAATTACCGAAAGCATGCTATGAGCGTTGAATTCGGAAAGAGCGTATGGCTGGTAAGACACTATTGTCTGTCCAGCTAGACTCACAGCAATTGCCAACAAAAACATGCCGAACCATATAAAGGACAAGAGAACTGGGGAAGCATCATATGTTGATTTGGTGGCCTCAATCGGCTCTTGTCCGTTTATGTTCGTGGGTTCAGTAGGGCTACCATGGTCAATTGAACCAGGCGCAGCTTCCTGCAGCCGTAATCTATAGTCAACCTTGGATTCTTCCATGGCCTATAAACTTATAAAGTTAGGTATATGTAAAACTGCACAAACAAGATCTCAAGTGGCCGGCACGTCTCGATAATATATAGAAGCCAAACCCCACATGAGAACAAAGATATATTTCGCCGAATTTCGGAGAAAGGCATCTTGATTTGAATAGCCATAAGACGATATATGTGGATCGACCATCGTATTGGAGTACGGCTCCAACTTCAATAATGATGCCACCATATCAATCAATATACGGTTATAATGGCTTGCACTATCCTTGTACTAATTACGGATAACATTATTGCTTACCAACTTTGTATAGGTCCATTGCTTGTATGTTTAACTGCATCGCATGATGGATTTGGAGTACATAGCTAAAGATTCTATTTGCTACCTCAAATGAGAAGTACATCTTATCTGATCTGCTGATATCGAGAATTAGACAATGTGAGAAATATATCCGACGTTACTAATGCATAATTCGGAGATATTTCAACCCTAACTCTGAGGGATTTTTTTTACCAATACGCCGAGAGCTACTCTAACTATTTGTAAATCTTATCTGATGATCAAAGTTCTTACGGGTCCACTACTGTTAAAAGGCTTGCTTCTAGATCTAAATCTACTCCGAGTGCATGCTGAAGTACCTATCCAATAACGTGCCATATTGACCGACGATGAGATTCCCGAAATCGGATGCATATCTGCGTAGAAATAACAGCATTATGCTGTTAGAGATGGATGTTCTTTCTACTGAAAACCCCAATATATATCAGCAAAGGAATATGTTCTTGTTTTGGCCAGTAATCACTACTGAGAAATCTCTTGACTGCCAGCTAGTCTTGCTTTGCTACTCCAGTGATATCCGGCATGACAAAGCTCAGGGCAAGCGGAATGGGCCAGGCGAGGCCTTCAAGGGGATTTCCAGAAACATCATTTGCCGTTATCTTATCGACAACCACGACAGCGATATAACCACCAAAAGCCGTAAATACATGCCACCTAGGTGATAAAGTCAGAAGTTTCCTGATCAAGTATGGCTATCACAGATACACATACCATCCATGCAGCTCCAAGAGAAATGCTATTGGCAATCCAACAAAGTGCTTCGCATCTGTTAATAGATTGCAGACCCATCTATCAATCAACCAAACAAAATACCCGAATAAGAAATTCACTGCAGACATTAATCGATGCTTTCAGGTAATCTGTAGTGAGAAGCAACTTACAGCAACCAAAGAGGGCCATGCTTCGAAGAATTGCCTTGATCTGGGGATCTGCGATTTGCTGGATTGTCTTCAATGAATAAGTTGCAAGGAGGTAAACCCCAAGACCGAAAGATGTAGCATGAAGGAGAAACTCATCCATGACCATATGAATGACCATTACAACGACGAAGATGGTTGAAAGAGCCGCTCCCAACAACCGGGTTCGCTGCGGGCTAGCTTTGAAGCTTAGGAGGCGAAACAAGAGCGGCGTAAGCAACATATGCATAGATAGCTCGTCCGCTAAGATATTTCAGCAAGAGAATCCCAGAATAGTGATAGTTCTTGGGCCATGGTGTACGCACACATTTGTGTATGGTATTTTAAAGTCATATGGTAGCCTGCGGAGCAAAGTCCAACGCCGATCAACCCAAAGTATGGAACCCAACGAGAAATATCTGCATTCTTGCTACGAAGTTGCAACAGACCGTATACTCCATATACCACTAATGCGAAATTTAACTTCAATTGTGGAAACAATTCACATGATCATCTTACCAAAAACTAGACTGCTCAGTGTGTTAATGAACTCTGCAATATATCGCGTGATTGTATAGTCCTAAATTGTTCATGATGCTTCAGATCAGCCATTGACGTTTTATAAGCGGGTTTCGTTCGCATAGTACCTCTTCACAAAAGCTGTATTCGGGGTAGGAGTTAGCAAACTTCATTGCGGCGACTCTGAGAGCGGAAGACTAACTTCAGATAGGATGTTTGGGGGCCCCAGAAGGGGTCTGCAGGCGCTGAGGCGTCCATGGGGGAGAGAATCGCTATGGGTAGAATAGAGAAACAGCAGAAGTATTAAAACAAAAGGCAAGCGTTGCATAAAGCACAAACAGAAAGCAATTGGGCAAGGGTCACAAGCCGACGCTTTCCTTCAATCGGCGGGTGTACGCGCTGAGTCAATTTATCAACTCGGAAGGAATTGAACGAAAAAAAGGGAGAGAAAAGAGAGGGAAAAGACGGTAGAAGCTGATTGGCTGCATTCCACCACCCCACTCGAGCCCCCGAGCATTCCGCATTATATCCGATTAAGCCGAGCTACCACAATGTAGGAACACATACTGCGCTTGAAGTGTGGCAATTACAGGTTATCATGTTCTTTTTCTTTTTTTCCTCAATAAAAAAAAGGCAGTAAACTCCGTATCTTTTATATTAGCTATACATATACTCTATTGTATATATATAACAAGAAAGGCTCCAAGTCCCAGGTGCAGAAGAAATTGAATATGAAGGAAGGACAGAGAGTATATCTAACAGAAATAGTAGACAAGTATTACTCTGCTGACCGCGCAAAAGCTCTCTAGTTATTCATTAAACTGCCGGTATATGAAAGGTTGTATTCTTAATCAGTGTAAGAGGCCCAATAAGTCATAAAGCCTGGTTCTCTGAGAAGACTTCCGAGAGGCTTATGAGAGGCTTTTGAGAAGCTAATTTCTAGCTGTTAAGCACAATAGGTTTTACATTACTATCTGTTACTCCATACTTCTGCTCTATATTTTATGAGTAAAACCGTTTTTACTGTTCAAAGCATATCGCTTACATTAGATGTTGCGTTCGGAGACTTTGTTGAACTTAGTCTCGGAAATTGTTGCTATATGTGATAAATCCTACCAAAGCATGAATTTTAACATGCTACAGGACGAAGCTAGCAAATAATATCAGCAAATAGTAGTATTGTAATGCATACGTCGCTTACAAGAGGCATATTATCTATTGTGTATTCTTTGCGTCACATTTTAGGCTTATTCCTATTCTTATTTGCTTGTTTTGGCTTTGTAACGTGGTTGCAACTGCTGGAAGAATTAGTATAAAGACACAGTTTTTTCCTCCATTTTAAGCCTTCAGTACTACTTGTTGTTTATTATCATCACTATTTATCCAAGATGTCTATCCAAACTACGCTCCCTGAGGGTTCTCTAATTCTTGTTACCGGTGCCTCTGGCTATATCGGGGCGCATGTTACCAAACAACTCCTCCATCGAGGGTACAAAGTTCGAGGAACTGTTCGAGATATTGGCAAAGCCGAATGGCTATCGACGGATAGTTTTCCAAAAGAAGCTACAAATAGCTCGCTGGAACTAGTTATTCTCAACAACATCAACGACAAGTACCAAATCCAGCAAGCTATTCAAGGTATCGCTGGTGTGGTTCATATCGCAACACCCAACACATTCAACCCGGATCCAAATGAAACTGTCACACAGACCGTAGAGTTTGTTGTGAATTTACTCATAGCTGCTGCTTCTGAAAAGACTGTGAAAGAGTTTGTCTACACTTCCACAATCGGCGCTGCAACTATGCTTCCCGCCCAGCCAGGTTTCCATTTTGATGGAACTAATTGGAATGAAGGTGCTCGAGCCCTTGCTTGGGCACCTCCTCCCTATACCCCCGATCGTGGTATGATAGCCTATGTTCAAGGCAAAGTTGAAGCAGAGCAAGCCTTTTGGAAGTTCTTCGAAGAAAATAAACCCACTTTCAAGGGTAATACAGTCATAGTTTGCACTGTATTTGGACCACGACTGCACGAAAAGTCAAATTCGTCAACCAGTGCGTGGCTTTGGTCAATTTATAACAACAATGCGGCTCCAATGTCGTTCTTCCCATCGTGTATGATCTATCCCTTACAATTCTTTCTCGTATCGCATATTTGATTGATAGATTCTTTGTGGTGGTGACTAATGATGAAATAGCCATATTTGTTGATGTCCGCGATGTGGCACTACTCCACGTCGCAGCTCTTCTTGATCCATCCATCGAAGGGGCACGCCTTCCAGCTTGGGGATATGAGTTCAATTGGAACGATATCCTGAAGATCCTCCAGCAGCTGGACCCGGGCAAAGCACTACCAGCTGCTCTTGATAACCCCGGAGGATTTAATGGTACGACAGATGTGGCCCAGGCCAAGCATGCGCTTAAACGGTGGGGCGGACAGGATGACTTTATATCTTTAGAGAAGGGTGTGATAGATACTCTGAATGGACCATCTGTCTCTGGGTAACTATCATTTCCAAGATTTATAATCAAGGAGTGAACTTCAACAGTGGCCAGTCTAGCGTCAGATTCTTTCAACAAAAGATCCATCTGCACATGCAAATATCTGATTGCGATACTAGGAGTCTACCGGTATCATAATACGTTTTGCATTCAATTCTATACAATCTCAAACCCGGTTTCGCTCTCGCCATCTTTATTTCATCACGAAATCTAGTTTAAATTAGACAAAACTGTCAGTACTTATTCGCAGTTCGTTCAAACGAACTTTCTGAAGAGTTTCTATATTGAACTGTTTTCTAAACAAACAACCCGAATTCCCTTTCTGAGTCAGATCCTGAAGATCTCAATCGAGTCAGAGCCTTTGACCAACTCTTAGGTGTCGCCTGACAACTTTGTTTTTACCGACATCCAAGATTGTTTACATATGAGACTAGATAGCCAAGACCATGCATTTCACATCCGAATGACGTATAATTATATGCTCATATTCTTCTCTTTTTGAAGTCTCGTTTCACTGTTGATTGTCATTGTCCAAAGGCTACAGGGCAACATTTCTTGGCAAACCGAGGTAATAGAATCTTTGAAAAATAATATGTGCAAGTCAATGTTCAATATTGTATATAAATATTTGTATGTATATGTATATATGTACGTGTATAGAATTCATAACGTTCTGGCCAATCCTTGAACCAGTATATAAGACCCAGGGAAGCATAAAGAGTAAGCTATTATAAGTTGCGGTCACCCAACAGATATATGATGTATGCTCAACACTGAATACAAAGATATTTCATAACATATATTTCCGTCTGAACAAAGGAGAGAGAGAAGAAAAGAACCGAGCCGAGACTTCTACTGGTCCACGGAACACTTGCCACTCTTGCAGACAAAGTCATCAGAGCAGTCGTCATCAGAGCCACAAGAGTCACCAAGGCAGTGACCCTCCCAAGAGCAAGTAGGGGGAGGAGGAGCAGAACCACCACCGCCTGAGCTGCTACCGCAGACGCCGCTGTTACAGGTGAGATCATCAGAACAATCACCATCTGAGCCACAGCTTGCACCTGCGCAGTGGCCTTCCCAAGAGCAAGTAGGGGGGGGAGGGGTGGTGCCGCCACCACCGTTGTTGGTACCAAGGCCTTGAACCAACCTGTCACCCAATGCCTTGATACTTGCTTCAAAATCTGAAACATTATTGGCATTCCACTTGGCGCCGTTCTTCCCTGGAACAGCCGTAGGATCGAGGAATCCAATATATAGCACATCCTTAGGGCCATGTCCATTATCGCCGGTAAGATGATCATTAGGGTAGCACAATTGAGCAAGAGAAATGGACGCCTCTCCAGTAGTTGGTTCTGTGTTGGTATCACCCCAGACACCATACCACTAAGGAACATAGTGTCAGTAAAACCTTTTCGGATTTTGAATACGCGCTATATAAATTCAAGAAGGTGGAAAGAAAAAAAGAAAAAAAGGGAGAAGTCAAACTCACCACTTGATTGTTGCAAACAATTGCCATGACACTCAATGGCTTCAAACCGAAATGTTGAGCATCGAAAAAGGGCGGCTCGTTGACAACAACATATGGATGAATGTTGGCGTTCAGATCTGAAATGCCGTATGACTGCACAGTGTCCTTGAACGCTGTCTCACCAAATCCAGTAGGATCATTGGAGCAATCACCAACTTTATCATCGGCACCATCACAATCGACATCCATGTTGTCATAATTTCCATTGCTTCCCTTGAGGAAAATAGCGTTTGGAATATCTCCACAGAAAACGGCTCCAGAAGACGAAGTTCCAGAAAGAGGGTTGGCACAAGTTCCCGCCTGATACAGCAATCTTCATGTTAGCAATGATAGTCAGTAGTAGCAGGCAATACAGACCTTGTGAGCATTGTATATCGCTTGAAGGTTGGCGGGGATGGTGTAGGCTAGAGAAGTAGTTCCCGTAGCCAGGAGTGTGAACAAAGTCGAAGAATGCATCGTGGTAAGTTTGTGCAAAAGTCTCAAGCAGTACAGAGTGTATGGTTGAATCTGAGTTGGCGCCAGAAATCAGGTAGTTGCTAGTGTCTTTATATAGCTGTGAGTACCCCGTACTCCGTAGGCGCTTTTGAAAATACGAGTTTGCATGGATGTCTGCTACCAGATATGGGAAGGATTCAGAGCGGTTGGCATCTTCTTCAAGCTGCCCCCTTGCCATTGAGCGCCACGCGCTAAAGTAAGCTTAATTAGGAAGGTTGAGTCTTTAAATTAATTAAGAACCCCCCCAAAAAACAGCCAATCCCTGCGTAAGCGTGTTTTATGGAAGGCACCTTAACTCGGAAAAATATTGCTCATTCGAGGAAAAACATTTTCTAAAATTCCCAAAGAAGCCATAAGAAAAAGGATGGCTTAATGGAGAAATCCTCATACGGATTTATATTCAGATTTTAGCTTATTACAACAGCTGATCAATTCCATCCAGTCGAAAACCTGCCTTTCTTAGCTTTAAGCCAAGTCAGCGCTAAGATTTTTCAGAGCATAGCAGTTAACTCTTATGGGAAGGCAAGATTGTTGTATTGCCAAAAGTTTAAAAATACTTCAAGTTTGTTTAACGTACGTAAGCCACTACCTTATGATATACCAGATGCTACAAAATAACGCGCGACTGAAGAGCTAGAAGTAAGTCTTAGAGGAACTAAATGTTGGGTGCCAACCACCGCATCCAAGCCATTCCATTCCCATATCCCCCCCCCCCCCCCCCCCCCCCCCCCCAAAAAAAAAAAAAGAAGAAGAGAGAGAGCGAGATGGCGGGAATTGGGGATGATCTGAAGCCATAGTTCAAAAAGATGAAGATATTTATTTGATGCACTGTATAAAGTAGGTCCGGTCTTCTACTCGGATCAAACATACATGGCAT